GGGTACTTGTGCCCAGTACTCAGAATATGTTGGCATGGTCAATCTATTTCTGTGAACTATACAGCCATGAAACTTGGCAAACCGACACAATTTGACTTGCTGAAAATGATAAGAATGGTCCCCACCCTCAGAAATGCCCCTTGTGCTATTTTTAGACTGGGGTACTTGTGCCCAGTACTCAAAATACGTCAGTATGGTCAATCTATTTCTGTTAACTATACAGCCACGAAACTTGGCAAACCGACACAATTTGGCTTGCTGAAAATGATAAGAATGGTCCCCACCCTCAGAAATGCCCTTTGTGCTATTTGGACTGGGGTTCTTGTGCCCAGTACTCAGAATACAATAGTATGGTAAATATATTTCTGTTAACCATACAGCCATGAAACTTGGGAAATCTACACAATTTGACTTGCTAAAAAAGATAAAATGGTCCCCATCCTCAGAACTACCCCTTGTATTATTTTTAGACTGGGTACTTGTGCCCAGTACTCAGAATACGTTAGTATGTTAACTATACAGCCATGAAACTTGGCAAACCCACACAATTTACTTGCAGAAAATGATAAAAGTGGTCCCCCACTTCAGAAATACCCCTTCAAACATGATTTCTCATGCCTTGTCTACAGAACATGATATCAAAGCATTTTCTGATTTAACTCCAGGCATAAAAAACAATCCATACCAGGATGTACATAAAGGGGGAGGATTTAAAGCACAACCATTAAATGATGTATATGTTTCCAAGTTTATTAAATGTTGAGTTGAAGCGAATTTCAAAAAAATACAACCATTGGGCACAAAAAAACTTCATTCTCAAAATTTAAAAACAGTGTATCTTAACAACAGGCAGTGACAGAATACATTAAAAGAACATTGTACCCTGAAGGTAAAACATTTTCCTCTGATTATTTATAAAAAATGTTACCAAGCAGGTGGTACAGGACCATTATTGTAAGAGAAAATCTAGTGATTTGACCTAGGGCTGACAAGATTTGGCCATTGTCCCACTAGTTTCAACAAATTTCTCTTCTTGCTATTTTGAACTAAAAGTCTGGTCCTTTTGAATAACCCCTGTATATAACCCTGTTCTCCACTGTATATGTAGTAGGTAGCTGATTTTTGCATTTTCATTGTCTCTCTGCAGAATTTTGAAACTCTTGTCTTCTTTGACTAAAGTTATTTTCTTTACATTTGTGATAAATGCATACTTAAAGTTGTCCAGTTATTCCAGCACAAATACCCAAAAACCAGCAAACCATACATTGATCAGCCACTGTTTGTAGATACCTAGCAAAGTGGATATAATTTTAGGTATTATTCTATTTTAGGCATATTTATGCAATTCTATTAAATATTTGACATTTTCGAATTATCAGTCCAAAAATCTGAATTGTCAATGTACACAAAACAAACCAGTTTTTAAACAAAAAGTGGATTAGGTCGACCTGTTTCGTGCTACACATCAAACTATGTATAAACGTTTTTATATCAAAGCAAATATTTATTAAATTGTAACATGTAATAATCCTTATTATTTCAGATTTTAGAAATGGAAAGATTATAATAGGAAGCCTACTCATTCTCTGTTGTATCTTACTTTTTATAAGGAAATAAGGAAATTGAGCTTGAGTATTTCTTGCCTTCATTGCAAGAAAAGAAACAAGGATCGACGTACCATTTATCTACTTCCTCATTTCTACCAACAAAACAAGCACGTCGTGGGAGATAATTCATCCTCATCCTCTGGGATCTCATCGGGCCTAGGCTAATCTTCATCGCCACTTTCGCAGGTCCCGTTCGCCCTTGGTAGGGCAAGTACTTCACCACCACATGCTCCAAACACTTCATCGTCGCTCGATCTTAAGTCTGTTGTCATTCCTGAAGAGCTGTCGTGAAAATTGCGATCTGAAACTTTAACTACTAACCAAATTCCCTCCCTCCGATTCACTCTACTACACTGTTGTTTTCGTTAGGTTCGGGGCACGTGTCCACGACTTTACGTCAGCGCCTGAAACTTGTCTCCAGACCTCTCCGCCACGGAAATGGAGAAATTTCACACTTTGCGCGTTAAATGCAGGAAAACGAAAAGAAAAACACTAATTTCGTGTCGATATCCGAAATCAGCACGATGAAAACTACTTTTTAAATGATTTTCATTTTTCACTTCAGTTCCCCTTTAACAACATTTATTATTTTGTCTTATTATTGAATGTGCAATGAATTTCACAAATGCAAAGTTAGATTCTAGCCGTTCTTTGGAAGTTGCCTGGCAACCTCTATTAAAGTATAGGATAACCTTCGTTTGCAATATTGGGTATTTTCTTTCAAAGTGTTATGGAGTAAGATTAGAGCCGGATACAAGAAATGACAACCGAAAGTGTAAAGGTAAACTTAAAAACAAATTGTAGGAAAGATATTGACTTCGGATGCATGAGCCATTGAATTTTTTAGGGAACTGGCAAAGCTGTGTAAATAGTAAGCGAAAATCATGCAAACGATCTAGACAGTTGAAAGCAAAATTTGAGTGTGTGGATAAAGACAAGATGTTTTCCTCATACCAAACTGACAGTTAATTCGTTAAATGACTCTGTTGTGGAGAGATGCAGTTACAAATGGTTGGCTAGGAAAGTAATCAGTAGCATCTGAAGACAAACTACTCATGATAAGAGATAACGTTGTAACAACTCTACACATAGCTGTATCCATCTCAAGGTCACGGGAACAAAGCAAAGCAAGACGATATGGCCAAAATGATAATAAAGTTGCTTATACTCGTTCTTTCTACAGTTTTCAGTTCAGGTAAGGGAATTATTTGTTTAACGTAAATAGCAAAATAGCGAAATAGCAAAACTTTTAGTAGCTTCAAAAAGGACTTGTTCTTTATATGCTGCAGTCAAAGGAAGTCCTGAAGATCTTGGATCTAAATTTTCCGATAAATATTGCAGAGAATTCTGGCCCCTTCTGAAGCTTTTTAACTTGATCTGCACCGTTCCAGCCACAGAAATCCCTCTTTGTTCAACACAAAAAGGATTTCCTGAAAGAAATATATTATGAAGATTGCCTATATTTACAGCTTTTGCCAATCGTGAAACCTCGGTAAAAGGAGCAGAACTTATTTATGATAAGGGTAGAAAGAGGACAGATGATAACGATAAAGAATTTTTAGCATGTTTTAAATGGGGAAAATAATCATTCATACATCCAGAATTCTGCAATATGTTGAAACAAAACTTTGTCTCACAGAACTAGATTTCTAGAAGTTTCTAGAATTTCTTGTCTATATTTCTAGCATCTTTATCAATGGTAGAATCCTTGGCAAATGTCTTTGAAAACTAACTCTACTCATTTTCAAAGGCAGATTCAGCCATCCTCCTGTCCCTCCAGGAACAATGTTTGTGTACCATAGGAAAACGAAGAAGGTTACGGAGTACACAAAAAATACAGAGAGATATTGAAAACTCAAACATTTTGAAATCAAATACACCTGTCCTAAAGACATCATTTGTAAAAGATCTGATTGGCTCTCTATGTAAGTGAAGTCTATTATTTTGCTTCCACAACAGCAAAACTTACTGTACGCACAGAGCGTTTGAATAAGTGACTGCATTCGATGTTTTTCTAACTCTGCTTTTATGGTATCTAAGTTCCAGCCATAGAGATTGAAGTAACTGAAAACTCTCCTTTAGCTAGACTTTGCAAAAGCGTAAACAATTATGTACCAAATATCTTATTCCTATTGCATAACAATGTATCAATAGAAAGCGTAGAAAAATCAATGTTAACATCCGTTTGTGAAAATCAATATTAACACCCTTTTACATCCACAAGATGATTCTCGTAGGTAATAGAACTTTGTTTTTGTTAGGGCTACACAAAGACAGCATTTTTTAACCGGTGTTCCTCAGGGGTCCATTGTCGGGTCTCTTTTCTTTCTTTTCTACATTAATGATCTTACTGAAGGTGTATACTGTGAATTGAAACTTTACCTGACGCATCTATGTTCCAAGTAGTTCCTAATCTTGAATTCACAGCAGAAGCCCTTATTCATAATCTGGATATTGTACAAAACTTAGGACACCGATGGAAAAAGGGGTTTCAATCTCTGATCTCACAAAGCAAGCGAAGAAAGCAATATTCTCGACTATAGGCAAAAAGCTAGGAAACCTTCTTCTAAGTTCTAATGATGATCCAGCTGTTGCCAATATATGTCAACACAGGTACTGGGCCAGATGTACAAGTTATGCATAAGACCACATCCGGGATTGTGATGTCGGGTGTGGAGGCAGTTTGACATCGTCATGCTTGTTGCCTCCAGCGCAACAGAAATAAAATTTGAGATTTGTTTTTGCCAAGTATCATTGATAATAGACAAAAAAGGCCCATTTTCGTTAGTGTTCGGTCCCATTTTGAATCAAACCCTCTCCTTTAGAAATTTCTTATTCGAATCTCTGAATCTATTAAAACGTGAAAATTTTCTAAGAATATACTTTGATGAAGGCCCGTATGACAGGGCGAAATATTAGTATTCGTTTTGTTTAATCTATTTTGAATTACATTGGATTCTTGTCACCGTTTTGCTTTTTTTCTGAGTTTCATCTTCGTATTTATACTCATTGCAAGATTCACAGAATCCGGCGGACAGCCTATCCTGCTGTTCATACTTCTTACACATTTTGTAAGACTTGCTGGTCTGCAAATAAATATAAAGTTGACGACCTCTAAGCATTAATTTAAGACTCACCCAAAGATAACTGTTTTTTCACTGATACAAAATACTCAGCTTTTACATGATATCTTGATGATAATAACTGATCGAATCAGATAGTGTAACATTGATTGCTAATGTAAATGTATACTGCTTTTAGCGTGGTATTATTCACATCAAGATGTAGGAGAAGTGAAGATCGCAGGAATATTCAATGTTCATCTTAAGGGCAATCTTGGAAAAGGCTACTTCAAACGCTGTGGTATCATCGATCCTCAATACGGAATTATGTTTGTCGAAGCCATGCTATTCGCGTTAGACCGTATAAACAATGATACTTCAATACTTCATGGATTGAAACTGCGCACGCGGATTTACGATACGTGCGGGGACAAGCTCTACTTGCGCAATATTCTAGTGCAAGTGGCAAACTACCATTCTCAAGGCGTTGTAGGCCCCCAATATTCGGACGATGCAATAACAACCGCAACGGTAATGAACATCTTCGGTAAAAATACCATCAGCTACGCTGCAACAAGCCCGGATTTAGAAAACCGCATCCGGTATGGCTATTTTTACCGTACGGTACCATCAGATTACAACGCTGTGAAGCTTTTGGTGAGTTTGGCGTTGAAATTCAAATGGAATTACATTGCACTTATCAGTTCAGAAGGAAACTATGGTCAAAGATCATCGGATCTTTTTCGAGATTCTGCAACAAAACAAGGAATTTGCATCCCTATAGACATGACGATATCAGAGGATGCCAAAACCGGTGACTACGAATACATACTGCAGATGATAAGGAAGCAAAGCGCTATTAAGGTTGTGTATCTGTTGTTGACAGACAACCATCTAAAAATTTTCTTTGAAGTTGCTCAGAAGTTGAAAGAAGATATCGGGTATCTGCAGTTTGTCGCAAGTGACGGGTGGGGAACAAGATCTTTTGTGGCATCAGGAAAAACAGTTGCAAATGGAACAATTACTTTTCAGGTGGATCACAGCGAAGTTAGGGAATTCAGAGAATATTTTCTCAAACTCAAGCCTGCAACAAACAAAAGAAATGTTTGGTTTAAGCAGTTCTGGGAGGAAACGTTCAACTGTACGTTTAAGAACTCAACAGTCCAGAAATCCTGCACAGGTGATGAAGAACTTATGGACGGAGTAGGTTATTACAGCCAGACACCAGTCCTATCAGTTATAAATGCCATGTATGCATATGCTTATGCGTTTAAGAGAGTTATATGGTATGAATGCCTGAAGAAAAACAAAACAGCTGATTACTGCAGCAAGAATAACGCCATGCTACAAAAGCTTACTAGTTACAGAGCAATATTATTCTATCTGCGAAATACGCGGTTCAAGGAGCCATTCAGGAACAAAATCTTTAAATTTTCAGCATCAGGGGACTACGATGAAGATTACAAAATCTACAACTTTCAAATGCCAAACAACACAACTCAAGGAATATTTAAAGAAGTAGGGAGGTGGAACAACGTTGACAACAAAACAGTGGTATTTAGAAATACGGTACAAAACTTTCCCCTTCAACCAGAGACGTGGCGCCTGAACATTGATGCTGATAGAATAGGCTGGAAATCTAACGCATTGCCCGTTTCAGTCTGTAGTAGACCATGTGATCCGGGACACGTCCATCATTTCAGATCAGCCTGCTGCTGGACCTGTGTTGCATGTAAAAGAAATGACGTCATAAGGAACAACACTTGCCTGTCCTGTCATCTGACGGCAGTACCAGACCCCTCAAGGAGATACTGCAACCCATTGCCTGTAAAAACTATTGCTATGTACAAACACATATCGGTTACTATTCTCTCCGCTTCAATCCTCGGAATATTTGCTACGTCTGCAGTAGGGGCCCTGTTCTTGAAGAACTTCGACCGGCGCATCGTCAGGGCATCAAGCCGTGAATTATGCCTTCTAATGCTTCTAGGCATAATTTGTGCGTATGCCTCTCCAATCGCTTTCATTATCAAACCCAGTTCAATGGTCTGCAACTTACAACGCGTAAGTGTTGGCATTGGTTTAAGTTCGTGCTATGCGCCACTGCTGTTGCGGACTAACAGGATTTATAGGATTTTCAAGAGTGCCAAAACGACAGCCTCTCGTCCGTCCATGATCAGCCCTCGATCTCAAATTGCCATGTCAATGGGAATCTCAGGAATCGGCATTTTGATCGGCCTCGTATCGATTCTTGGGCGTGATTCACAGATTAACACCGCATACCCAAGTCACAGGGAATTCGTCGTTCAGTATTGCGAGTTAAATGCACAGACGATGATCGTTAACTTGTCCTTTAGCTCAGCCTTAATGATTGCTACAACATGGTTTGCCTTCAAAACGAGAAACTTCCCAAAGAACTATAATGAAGCAAAGTACATTGGGTTGACAATGTACGTTACATGCCTTGTTTTGGCAGTTGTATTGCCGCTGTTCCTGTTTATAAATGACGAAGAAGGGAAATCACGTACATTGACTTTATGCTCCCTTTGTTTGATAACAGCATCAGTCAACTTGCTTGGACTGTTTGGCAATAAAGTGAAACTGCTTGTGTCGAGAAATGCCGTCGAAAAAGATACAAACATTACGACGTTGGAAACCACAAGAACCAATATGCAAAGAATTGGAGTTACGGTCAGTTTTAATGACAAGACTGAATTTAAGGGTGAAACAAGCTGTGATCGCACAACAATTACGCCAACCGCGTAACTGTGCTCGAAATTTCAGAAGAACGATACTGGGCTTAGTTGAAGCATCATTCTGCAATCAGTAACCATCTATATTAAAACGGAGCCCTAAAAGGACAACAAAATTAGCAAACCATAGTATTTTTCTTTCTCATCCTTAAGAAACTGCTCGAAAATCTTTGTTTTAAAGATGGGTTTGAATGATTCTTCTCTGCGATTAGGCACCAATTTTCTGTTTGACAAAGATGAACAAAAGAAGTGTTTCTTTTGACTTTGTAGGTGTTCTGCTTCGTGTTGTCTCACATTAAATGTTTATTTCTCTAAAAAGTATCTCTAAATGTTTTGGTATTTAAGGAAACTTTAAGAAACTTTTACACATAGATTAACAAAAGAAAGTGCGAGCTTATCCCGAGTTCAGTTTCTTATAAAAATGAATTACACAGTTAAACATGTCATTGGTTGTGACATGACAGTGAAACAGATAGAACTATAGCCTTTTAGCAAACAAGTATTGATGATATGAATGCTGTTCAACCGGCATTTTAGCTTACTTTGTACCAAAATGGTAATGAGCTAATGAGGTATAGGCAGCGATGATCACAAAAACCTTCTTCTCCTCATATATAAGAAGAGGCATATAGAAATACTACTCGGATGTAATTTGATTTTCTTTTTCATTTACGAAATACTTCACATCAATAAACTGCATCTCAAAGATCTTTATCCTGCCATCATTATTAGATAAATATGAAATTTCTAAAAAGTCTAACAAGAATATCTTATAGCCAGGAGCGGATCCAGGAAATTTTCGACCGGTGCTTAGTTTAAGGGACCACAGCCAACAAATTGACCACGCCCATTTTCGGTGGCGATGTTAAGTAGCGTATTTTTTCCAATGAGCATCCCTCTCTAATGCACGCCCCCCTTTTGTGCAAAATTTCTCTAATCAGCACCCACCCTCCAATGAGCGCCCCCTAAATATTTTGTAAACATATAGAGACCAGCTAATCTTTACAGTAGTAATCAGTTTAAATATATTGAATAAAACCTATGCTGTTTCAATTAGGAAACTCTTCTGCAACTACTGACAGAATTACATAAAAATACATTTGAAGGTATTTACAATTTAAATATTCAGGATGCCACACCAGTATGTTAAGCAAATCTACTAGGATTTTGACTCGGATGAACTTGAAATCTTGTAATTATTATGGCCATAACAAGTGTGATTGATTTTTCTAAAGACAATCATTGTTTAAATTCCAAAGCTCAACTTTTTATTGATGGATATTTATCTTTTTCTCAATAAGCCCACTCTCTAAAGTGGCCAAAAATAGAATAGAATACGGTAAACAAGAGTGGCTGTGGAAGCAAGGAAAGTATTGTACAAAATAAGGCAATGTATTTCATGAGAATTTAGAAAATGTTTTACGGAATTCGTTACACTGGTTGAAAGCTATCTTTTGCAGCTTGGAATTGTGTTCTTAAAAAATGAATTTTACTTCTCTTTCATTTATCTGTTTTGTTAAAAATTTTGTTGATGTTCCAAAAATTTTGACAGGCATTTACACGCCTCTTTGAACTATTCTTCCTTTAGAAAAATCACAAAGGAGGGCTGCGATGCCATTACTCGCGTAAAAAAACAAAGCCAATATCTCAACACTTCAATTAACGCTTTGTCGTAGTATCACAATTACCTCAAGCAAACAGCATTGATTCGCGTTTGCGAAACTCAAATCAACTAATAACAAACATGGCTAATAAAACGCAACCTGGCATGTCACCCTATTTCTCAACCAGATGCATATAATATTTTCTGATGTCTTGCAATTTTTCAAAACGATTGTGTGTTACCACTTACCTGATAGATAGTTATCTTAGGCCGTAGCTTTGCTACACTTCCGGGAAAAAGCTGTGAATCAGTGAACGAGTCGGCGCTTTTGTCGTCCCAATAAAACTCGAAAACTCCACAACGCCCCTTCTCTATCATTTCTTTGACCAGGCTTTTCTTTTGCCATAAATATTAAGGCAACGTTTCTGTTCATGCACCCCGTAATACCAACGAGAGTTGCCGCAAATCCCAAAAGCCTATGCCAGTTCCCTATCCATCAATTTCCCTGAATTTTTATTGGCTATTTCGTCTTGACCGGTGCTCAGATGACGTTGAGCACCGGTGAAAAAGCAAATGATTGGATAATGCTGGATCTGAGCACCGGTGAGAAAGGAGTTGATTGGCTAGCTCCGCTCGTGACAATTCTAATTAACGAACCCACCGGTGCTCGGAATAGCATTGAATAATTGGTCAGCACTTGCATTCTACCAGAATTTTGTTCCGGTGAATATGCCACGATTGTAAACATTAACACGACAAAAGAAAATTCTTTAGATAAAAGGATATTTTTCATGCAAAATAGATGAAAACATCGAATCAATAGAAATCTTTAGCTTTTTTCGGAAACACGCACAGGAACAGGTACCTGAAACAGTACTTTGACAATCTGACTGGTGCTTAAGCACCCTTTGCACCCCCTGGATCCGTCACTGTTAAAGCAATACATCAATAACCAGTAAAAATAATTACCCCAGTGACTGCAAAAAACTGAAACAACACACAAACTTACTGAAAATAACTTCAGTACAGACATTTTAGTCATCTACCAAAAAATACTTTAAAAAGGATGAAATCTTTTGGGATTGATTTTGGAATGGCTACATTTTATTGCATTTTATCATCAAATCGAAAACCTCACTGAAAAGGACTTAATAAGAAATTCAAGTGCGTCATAAAGACATGAAAACTGTTCGAGGCTTATCTAACTCGTTTTATTAAAAACAGAAAACAGAGTTTATAAATCCTTTAGAATACCATGGAAATAAGCAAACTATTTCTTTTGAAGAATCTGTACGTGGAGAGAGCATGTGTTTTTACGATGGAAGGCAACGAACAGCTGTTCATAGAGACGATGGTTCACATACCCTAAATACCATCCAGAGATGCACAGTCAAACCAAACAGAAGCTGGCAACTATTTCAATCACGGGACTTGTCGATTTCTATTTTACGGACACAAAATATTCATTGGACGTTTAATTAATATTTCATCAGATTCACTTTAAGAATCGAGGACGATTCATTTTCCTTGATAGGGAGGTATGTAATATAGGTACTTATTTCATTTTAGGTCAGTCTTGCGTTTATGCTGATGTCTATCTCGAGCCTTCTTATTCTGATGTCTATCTCAAGCCTAAAAAGCTTAACAACATTTATTATTTTGTCTTATTATTGAATGTGCAATGAATTTCACAAATGCAAAGTTAGATTCTAGCCGTTCTTTGGAAGTTGCCTGGCAACCTCTATTAAAGTATAGGATAACCTTCGTTTGCAATATTAGTTATTTTCTTTCAAAGCGTTATGGAGTAAGATTAGAGCCGGATACAAGAAATGACAACCGAAAGTGTAAAGGTAAACTTAAAAACAAATTGTAGGAAAGATATTGACTTCGGATGCATGAGCCATTGAATTTTTTAGGGAACCGGCAAAGCTGTGCAAATAGTAAGCGAAAATCATGCAAACGATCTAGGCAGTTGAAAGCAAAATTTGAGTGTGTGGATAAAGACAAGATGTTTTCCTCATACCAAACTGACAGTTAATTCGTTAAATGACTCTGTTGTGGAGAGATGCAGTTACAAATGGTTGGCTAGGAAAGTAATCAGTAGCATCTCAATATAAACTACTCATGATAGGAGATAACGTTGTAACAACTCTACACATAGCTGTATCCATCTCAAGGTCACGGGAACAAAGCAAAGCAAGACGATATGGCCAAAATGATAATAAAGTTGCTTATACTCGTTCTTTCTACAGTTTTCAGTTCAGGTAAAAGATGACTATCTGTTTAATGTAAACAACGAAATCTTTAGTAGCTTCAAAAAGGACTTTTCTTTTATATGCTGCAGTCAAGGGAAGTCCTGAAGATCCTGGATCTAAATTTTCCGATAAAAATTGCAGAGAATTCTGGCCCACTTCTAAAGCTTTTTAGCTTGATCTGCACCGTTCCATCCACAGAAATCTCTCTTTGTTCAACACAAAAAGGATTTCCTGAAAGAAATATATTATAAAGATTCCCTATATATACAGCTTTTACCAATCGTGAAACCTCGGTAAAAGGAGCAGAGCTTATTTATGATAAGGGTAGAAAGAGGACAGATGATAACGATAAAGAATTTTTAGCATGTTTTAAATGGGGAAAATAATCATTCATACATCCAGAATTCTGCAATATGTTGAAACAAAACTTTGTCTCACAGAACTAGATTTCTAGAAGTTATATTTCTAGTCTATATTTCTAGCATCTTTGTCAATGGTAGAATCCTTGGCAAATGTCTTTGAAAACTAACTCTACTCAGTTTCAAAGGCAGATTCAGCCATCCTCCTGTCTCTCCAGGAACAATATTGATGTACCATAGGAAAACGGAAAAGGATACGGAGTACACAAAAAATACAGAGAGAAATTGAAAACTCAAACATTTTGAAATCAAATACACCTGTCCTAAAGACATCATTTGTAAAAGATCTGATTGGCTCTCTATGTGATTGAAGTCAATTATTTTGTTTTCACAACAGCAAAACTTACTGTACGCACAAAGCGTTTCAATAAGTGATTGCATTTAGTGTTTTTCTACCTCTGCTTTTATGGAATTCTAAGTTCCAGCCATAGAGATTGAAGTAACTGAAAACTCTCCTTTAGCTAGACTTTGCAAAAGCGTAAACAATTATGTACCAAATATCTTATTCCTATTGCATAACAATGTATCAATAGAAAGCGTAGAAAAATAAATGTTAACATCCGTTTGTGAAAATCAATATTAACACCCTTTTACATCCACAAGATGATTCTCGTAGGTAATAGAACTTTGTTTTTGTTAGGGCTACACAAAGAAAGCATTTTTTAACCGGTGTTCCTCAGGGGTCCATTTTCGGGTCTCTTTTCTTTCTTTTCTACATTAATGATCTTACTGAAGGTGTATACTGTGAATTGAAACTTTACCTGACGCATCTATGTTCCAAGTAGTTCCTAATCTTGAATTCACAGCAGAAGCCCTTATTTATAATCTGGATATTATACAAAACTTAGGACACCGATAGAAAAAGGAGTTTCAATTTCTGATCTCACAAAGCAAGCGAAGAAAGCAATATTCTCGAGTATAGGTAAAAAGCTAGGAAACCTTCTTCTAAGTTCTAATGATGATCCAGCTGTTGCCAATATGTGTCAACACAGGAACTGGGCCAGATGTACAAGTTATGCATAAGACCACATCCGGGATTGTGATGTCGGGTGTGGAGGCAGTTTGACATCGTCATGCTTTTTGCCTCCAGCGCAACAGAAATAAAATTTGAGATTTGTTTTTGCCAAGTATCATTGATAATAGATAAAAAAGGCCCATTCTCGTTAGTGTTCGGTCCCATTTTAAATCAAACCCTCTCCTTTAGAAATTTCTTATTCGAATCTCTGAATCTATTAAAACGTGAAAATTTTGTAAGAATATACTTTGATGAAGGCCCGTATGACAGGGCGAAATATTAGTATTCGTTTTGTTTAATCTATTTTGAATTACATTGGATTCTCGTCACCGTTTTGCTTTTTTTCTGAATTTCATCTTCGTATTTAAGATTCATTGCAAGATTCACAGAATCCGGCTGACAGCCTATCCTGCTGTTCATACTTCTTACACATTTTGTAAGACTTGTTGGTCTGCAAATCAGTATAAACTTGACGACCTCTAAGCATTAATTAAAGACTCACCCAAAGACGACTGTTTTTTCACTTTTTTCACAAAATACTCAGCTTTTACATGATATCTTGATGATAATAATTGATCGAATCAGATAGTGTAACATTGATTGCTAATGTAAATGTATACTGCTTTTAGCGTGGTATTATTCACATCAAGATGTAGGAGAAGTGAAGATCGCAGGAATATTCAATGTTCATCTTAAGGGCAATCTTGGAAAACGCTGTGGTATCATCGATCCTCAATACGGAATTATGTTTGTCGAAGCCATGCTATTCGCGTTAGACCGTATAAACAATGATACTTCAATACTTCATGGATTGAAACTGCGCACGCGGATTTACGATACGTGCGGGGACAAGCTCTACTTGCGCAATATTCTAGTGCAAGTGGCAAACTACCATTCTCAAGGCGTTGTAGGCCCCCAATATTCGGACGATGCAATAACAACCGCAACGATTATGAACATCTTCGGTAAAAATACCATCAGCTACGCTGCAACAAGCCCGGATTTAGAAAACCGCATCCGGCATGGCTATTTTTACCGTACGGTACCATCAGATTACAACGCTGTGAAGCTTTTGGTGAGTCTGGCGTTGAAATTCAAATGGAATTACATTGCACTTATCAGTTCAGAAGGAAACTATGGTCAAAGATCATCGGACCTTTTTCGAGATTCTGCAACAAAACAAGGAATTTGCATCCCTATAGACATGACGATATCAGAGGATGCCAAAACCGGTGACTACGAATACATACTGCAGATGATTAAGAAGCAAAGCGCTATTAAGGTTGTGTATCTGTTGTTGACAGACAACCATCTAAAAATTTTCTTTGAAGTTGCTCAGAAGTTGAAAGAAGATATCGGGTATCTGCAGTTTGTCGCAAGTGACGGGTGGGGAACAAGATCTTTTGTGGCATCAGGAAAAACAGTTGCAAATGGAACAATTACTTTTCAGGTGGATCACAGCGAAGTTAGGGAATTCAGAGAATATTTTCTCAAACTCAAGCCTGCAACAAACAAAAGAAATGTTTGGTTTGAGCAGTTCTGGGAGGAAACGTTTAACTGTACGTTTAAGAACTCAACAGTCCAGAAAGCCTGCACAGGTGACGAAGAACTTACGGACGGAGTAGGTTATTACAGCCAGACACCAGTCCTATCAGTTATAAATGCCATGTATGCATATGCCTATGCGTTTAAAAAAGTAATTTGGTATGAATGCCTGATAACAAACAAAACAGTCGATTACTGCAGCAAGAATAAGACCATGCTACAAAAGCTTACTAGTTACAGGGCAATACTATCCCATGTACGAGAAACGCAGTTCAAGGAGCCATTCAGGAACAAAATCTTTAAATTTTCAGCATCAGGGGACTACGATGAAGATTACAAAATCTACAACTTTCAAATGCCAAACAACACAACTCAAGGAATATTTAAAGAAGTAGGGAGGTGGAACAACGTTGACAACAAAACAGTGGTATTTAGAAATACTGTGCAAAACTTTCCCCTTCAACCAGAGACGTGGCGCCTGAACATTGATGCTGATAGAATAGGCTGGAAATCTAACGCATTGCCAGTTTCAGTCTGTAGTAGACCATGTGATCCGGGACACGTCCAGCATTTCAGATCAGCCTGCTGCTGGACCTGTGTTGCATGTAAAAGAAATGACGTCATAAGGAACAACACTTGCCTGTCCTGTCATCTGACGGCAGCACCAGACCCCTCAAGGAGATACTGCAACGCATTGCCTGTAAAAACTATTGCTATGTACAAACACATATCGGTAACTATTCTCTCCGTTTCAATCCTCGGAATATTTGCTACGTCTGCAGTAGGGGCCTTGTTCTTGAAGAACTTCGACCGGCGCATCGTCAGGGCATCAAGCCGTGAATTATGCCTTCTAATGCTTCTAGGCATAATTTGTGCGTATGCCTCTCCAATCGCTTTCATTATCAAACCCAGTTCAATGGTCTGCAACTCACAACGAGTAATTGTTGGCATTGGTTTAACTTCGTGCTACGCGCCGCTGCTGTTGCGGACAAACAGGATTTATAGGATTTTCAAGAGTGCCAAGACCACAGCCTCTTGTCCGTCCATGATCAGCCCTCGATCTCAAATTGCCATGTCAATGGGGACCTCAGGAATCGGCCTTTTGATCGGCCTCGTATCGATTCTTGGGCGTGATTCACAGATAAACACTGCATACCCAAGTCACAGGGAATTCGTCGTTCAGTATTGCGAGTTAAATGCACAGACGATGATCGTTAACTTGTCCTTTAGCTCAGCCTTAATGATTGCTACAACATGGTTTGCCTTCAAAACGAGAAACTTCCCAAAGAACTATAATGAAGCAAAGTACATTGGGTTGACAATGTACGTTACATGCCTTGTTTTGGCAGTTGTATTGCCGCTGTTCCTGTTTATAAATGACGAAGAAGGGAAATCACGTACATTGACTTTATGCTCCCTTTGTTTGATAACAGCATCAGTCAACTTGCTTGGACTGTTTGGCAATAAAGTGAAACTGCTTGTGTCGAAAAATGCCGTCGAAATAGATACAAACATTGCGACGTTGGAAACCACAAGAACCAATATGCAAAGAATTGGAGTTACGGTCAGTTTTAATGACAAGACTGAATTTAAGGGTGAAACAAGCTGTGATCGGACAACAATTACGCCAACCGCGTAACTGTGCTCGAAATTTCAGAAGAACGATACTGGGCTTAGTTGAAGCATCATTTTGCAATCAGTAACCATCTATAATAAACTGAGCCCTAAAATGAACAGAAAGTTAAGAAACCATAGTACTTATCTCCTCATCCTTAAGAAACTGCTCGAAAAACTTTGTTTTAAAGATGGGTTTGAATGATTCTTCTCTGCGATTAGGCACCAATTTTCTGTTTGACAAAGATGAACAAAAGAAGTGTTTCTTTTGACTTTGTAGGTGTTCTGCTTCGTTTTGTCTCACGTTAAATGTTTATTTCTCTATAAAGTATCTCTCAATGATTTGGTATTTAAGGCAACTTTAAGAAACTTTTAACATTGAAATTAACAAAAGGAACTGCGTGCTTATCCCGAGTTCAGTTTCCTATAAAAATGAATTACACAGTTAAACATGTCATTGGTTGTTAAGATAGAACTATAGCCTTTTAGCAAACAAGTATTGATGATATGAATGCTGTCCACCCGGCATCTTAGCTTACTTTGTACCAAAATGGTAATGAGCTAATGAGGTATAGGCAGCGATGATCACAAAAACCTTCTTCTCCTCATATATAAGAAGAGGCATATAAAAATACTACTGGGATGTAATTTGAGTTTCTTTTTCATTTACGAAATACTTCACATCAATAAACTGCATCTCAAAGATCTTTATCCTGCCATCATTATTGGATAAATATGAAATTTCTAAAAAGTCTAACAAGAATATGTTATAGCAATACATGAATAACCAGTAAAAAAAATTACCCCAGTGACTGCAAAAAACTGAAACAACACACAAACTTACTGAAAAATATTCAGTACAGACATCTAAGTCATTTACCAAAAAATACTTTTAAAAGGACGAAATCTTTTAGGATTGATTTTGGAATGGCTACATTTTATTGTATTTTATCACCAAATCGAAAACCTCACTGAAAAGGACTTAATAAGACATTCAAGTGCTTCATAAAGACATGAAAACTGTTCGAGGCTTATTTAACTCGTTTTATTAAAAACAAGAAACAGAGTTTATAAATCCTTTAGAATACCATGGAAATAAGCAAGCTGTTTCTTGTATTACACGGGATCTATAACGTCTGTTTGTCCAAAATATATTTTGGAATGTCATATGTATATATCTTATTTTAGAAGGAAGGATAAATTTATATACCAAAAGCTATACCTCGGACACTACAACGACAAAGTACATCGGAACAACAACTACCTTGGTCACGATTAAACGTGGTACAAACCTTCAACCTAGAAAATCCATGAAGGACTATCACAAAACATAGATATATACAAAATTACGCACAAATACAACAGGTCTTCTAGCAACTACAAAATGTTCTAATTTGTTCTAAGTAGCTCATTTCTTACCCCAACTCATGAATTTAGCTTTCCCTACTCTTCTCTGATAAAGATGAGATGCGTTTAGTGGCTCTAAAGCCTTCGTGTCAGGTGACTTTTGAAGTGCAGTGAATGTGGCTTTGACCGCTTCCTAAAAGGGAAAAATGACAGGTGATGTCATGTATCTTCAGCAAGATAGCAAAAGAGGAAATCAATATGGACAAAGAAGAGAGGTAAACGCCCTCTTATCCCCATAAAGCGCAATTTGGCATGCTCCTGAATATCGAAAATTTAAAGAAATGAGGCAATAAACCAACGTTCCAATGTCTTGAAACAGCGTATCGATGTCGTCTCAAATAACTGTTTCATTGATTTGTAAAATATTAAACATAATGACTTTAAGTATTAATATAATTTAAGTAAAATATTAAACATAATAAACATAAAGGCTCTGCAAAACTGGTAACGGTATTAACTGTGTTATTAAAATTCTGTACCTAATACCTATTCTAATAATGTCTAATTTATTTTCGCGAATATTATTGATAATATTACTGTAATTTATATTGTAATTGTTTTAATTATATACCTTGATTCGTGATGCTGTTTCCATGAACTGAATTTTCTTATCTGGCAAAGAAAATCGGCCTCTGACCCAAGGATGCTTCAAAACCTGGAAGGAAATACAATCATTGCAAGAGCGAAATTTTGAAAAAATTATAAGCCGGCAATATAAATGTGAGAAATAACTGGCAAATTCTTTACCATAAAGAAGAATCAATTGAATGGTAACATCTGTTTGACGCAGAGGCCAAAGCTATATTGAGCGGAACGCTATATTGGCAGTGTGGATGCAAGTTTTAATAACTTAATCTTTGGTTGGAGTTGTTCACGGAGTGAGACGTAAACAAGTCGTTAGACCTATTAGCTTGGTCCTATTGGTCTCAGCAAATGATGTGATAGCTTTGGTATATTCGATTTTAGACTCAAAAGTTTCCCAGGTAACAAAAGGTTAAGCATACCAGTCACTTAGGGAATAATAATAAACAACAATTGCATACCTGCGAAGCAGTGATCCTTTGTCTTGGATCAATATGGAGCATTCTTCGGACAAGGTCCTGAAAAATAAAGTGTACAACTTTCTGACACAATTCTATTAACACAACGCAAGTCAAAAATATTTTAACAGAAGTGTCAAGTCTCAAGAGGTTCCCTAATAACATTGAATATATATTTTAGAAAGATTAAAGAGTTAAAACGTATACTATGATTGGTTTCTTAAGGGGTCTAAAGGATTACGTTTTGGTACATGGTTGATTAAGGGTGGTGATACAAAATGAAAAATTCTGTTCTTGCAATCAAGATTGCATGACATACCTTGGCTAAATCAGTCACCCCTTCCCATGTTCCACCAGTTAATGAAATATTCCCATCGTTTATTCGTGTTAAAATCCTATTTGTGTCATCTTCTGGACCAGTTGCGAAGGGGGTTCGCCTAAGAAAAAACATGCTCGTAAGTGCTTGTCCATTTAAAGGAAAATTGACAGATGAAATAGGGCTTAAAGATTCCAAAAAATGAGATTTGGAAGCTGTTGAAAGCTGTTACATTTTTACATAAAAAGACAGCAATCTCAACATCTGGAATTGCTAAAACGACATTTCAGTTTCAAATGTCGAATGTCACAGTTTCTGATCCATTTGTGAAACGTGATTCGTACAAAGGTCCTTAGCATTTTGTAAAAACTTTCCATAAAACACAAAAATTTGCAAAGATCTGTGATAAATCAGTGCGAACCAAGAATATTCGAAAGATAATTCTTAACTTAAAACTTAAAACTTATACTTTACTAGGATTTAAGAATGCAGGTAACTTTTCAATTTTTAAAAAAGGTTTGTATTTCAACGCCAAAATAGTAAAACTCCTCCATATAAATTGACCGTCGATATATCAACGACACTTAATATTACCTGTATTATCTTTTCTTCAGTTTTAAATGAAATATAATATCAAGTTGGATTTTAAACAAAGTGCATTAATTACCCAGAAAGCATGATGTAAAGTAGAACGCCTAAACTCCAAACATCACAAGCTGCATCGTACCCTTGTTTCTTCAGAACCTTGAAAACAAAAATTTATATACGTCACGTTATGAACATAAACGTAATTATAAAATCCAAATTCACAATTAATGTCCTGGAAAAAACGTCAAAAGTAGAATTAAACCGTCAGTAGTCTCTCAATAACGGCAAAAATGTTTGTACTATTATGTTTGTACCACTGAAGATTGTGATTCATACAATGCCAAAGAGGAACAAAAAGAATTGTTTGCTAACCAAAAATCTTGCTATTGATATGATGACACATAAAACCAAGCTACCAAATTAGACTTATAAAAACAAATTGGCATGGCAGCGAGGAATGCATTTTGTTCAAGGGCAGCAAATATCCTATCTGACATTTGAAAGATTAGTTTTTCAACCGTACAATTTTTATTCAATTCTGAAAAACATCTTTATATATGCAGCTATACTGTGCAATGGCCCCTTCTTAACCTTCTGTGTAGCCTATACATCAAGTCGGTGAAAATTCAACATTCGTTGATCATTATTCGACATATTAGACCCTTCCGTATTTCATTAAGGCAATATTTGACTTAAGCACTGGCCAAATGAGTCAAACTTCATGTATGTCCAAAGTGTCAGAAATCGCGATCTGCGTTTGATTAATACAGCAAGTCAAAGAAGTTTGTTTTACAAAGGAAAAACCAGATCTATTTTATATTTGCGGCTTTTCAGTTCTGGCGACATGAGGGAAGCAAAACATAACCACTGTGAAGCTTTTTATTTTACTCACTTCTGGTGCAACATAATTTGCAGTGTAACACGGTGTCATAAGCAGCCCATTTTCAGCTCGTATCTGCTTAGCAAATCCAAAATCAGCGATCCGGAGTGTTTCAGGGCCACCTCCATCAACGGCATAGAGAATGTTACTTGGCTGCAGATCTCTATGTACGACCTGAAAAAACGTAATTATTGTATCAACCATAACAGCAACCACAATATTATCTATAATATCATTTATGATATCAACAATCATATAAACCACAACATAAACCATGATATCAGTCATAATAATATCAACCATGATATCAAAAATGATGCCAGCCATGATATCAGAAATAAATAGCAACCATTAAATCAACAATAATATCAACCGTAAAATCGATCATGATATTAGCTATAATATCAACCGTAAAATCGATCATGATATTAGCTATAATATCAACCGTAAAATCGATCATGATATTAGCTATAATATCAACCGTAAAATCGATCATGATATTAGCTATAATATCAACCGTAAAATCGATCATGATATTAGCTATAATATCAACCGTAAAATCGATCATGATATCAGCCATAATATCAACCGTAAATCGATCATGATATCAGCCATAATATCATCCGTAAATCGATCATGATATCAGCCATAATATCATCCGTAAATCGATCATGATATCAGCCATAATATCAACCGTAAATCGATCATGATATCAGCCATAATATCAACCGTAAATCGATCATGATATCAGCCATAATATCATCCGTAAATCGATCATGATATCAGCCATAATATCAACCGTAAAATCAATCATGATATCAACCATAATATCAAACAAAAATAAAGCTTTTCCAGTTCATTTTCAATACAATAAAATCTAGATAATGAAATCAATTTCATCTTTTCTCACTATCGGGAAAAGAAAACAATGATATTTACCCCCTTTTGATGAAGGAAATCGACGGTCTTTGTCACCACCTCCAGAATCATTGCAGCCTCTCTTTCAGATAAGTACTTTTGTTTCTGGATCCGGTCCAACAGCTCGCCACCTTTCATTAATTCCATTACCACATACTTATATCTAGCGTCATCAAAAACCTTAAAGAACGAAGCGTACAAAAAATTATTGAAAAAATATTGTCAAATCAATCTAAGTTCTATAGGATATTTGTATATAAAGGGATACTTGTAACCCAAAATAGCAAAAATTCTTACAGTTTTAGAAAGCGTTTTCAGTGGTGGAAGCAAAGTCCCCCATGATCAGTGAAGAGTAATAAATACATTTCACTTGTCAAAGCCTTGTGACGTCATCAAGGAAACAGAGACAGGTTCAAAACCTATTGAACCAAGCGTTGCAAACCACAAAAGGCCCAGCAATTTTTTGCTTTTTGTCTTAAACTGGCCTATTTAATCACTCGAGGGAAGGAGTTAGTCATCAAGGAAACAGAGACAGGTTCAAAACCTATTGAACCAAGCGTTGCAAACCGCAAAAGGCCCAGAAATTTCTATTTTTTGTCTTAAACTGGCCTATTTAATCACTCGAGGGAAGGAGTTTAGTCATGGGCGTTAGCAATTAAACGTCTTTAATTGCAGTTATATTACATTTATTCGAAGTTATCCATAAAAATGAGACCACTTGTTCAAGGCTCAATATTTTCATCAAGAAGAGACTGGCATAGCCCGTGACAACGGCAAAGACAGCTTCGCCTATCAAATACAGCAATTTGTTAAAAAAGGTTCAAATCCACATTCAAAGAACAATACCAAAGTAATACAAATATATCTTAATACGCTACAAATCGCACTTACGTCTCGTATGCTGATAATATTTGGCCAATTTCCGTAACGTAACAAAATCTGCGAATAACAAAGAAAAATACAATTACTCTCGCCCCTTGTCACAAAACCATTGTGTTTTAAACATATGCAACCAACCTAAATCCTTCTTGCAATTGTATACCAGGCAATACTTTTTCACAGAATATCAACACATTTCACTCTTGGCCAATAAATGGCTGCTTACCTCGATTTCCTCAGATGGATCCCGCTTGCTTTTATCAATAATCTAAAAGCAATAACAACAAAACATATCATGCATGCATGACTGAATTGCAAGGAAGAAAACTTTGATGTACCATTATACGACATCATCAAACGAGATAATGCTGTAGTTAGCAAGACATGTATTAGAGGCAGTCCAAGAGAGCAAGGCCACAAATACATATGACATCAAGTCTAAAAGGCTTGGGTGCCTAAAGAAGTAACAGCTATGACAAGGAACATATCAATCATGATAACAGTAATTAAGATTTTACAGCATTCATTGTCAAATGTGTTAAACAGCTATGGCAAGTCTCAACTCTCTACCTTCGCGCCTAGTTAGATCTTAAAGCAACTTAGATTCTATGACGCATAATATAAGATAAGAAATATAGCTTTCTTTATTCCCATGGCTGACTGATAAGGTAACCGAACAATTAAAGCACTGTCAGAAAAGAGCAGAGACTATAAAAAAGCTGTACATTGTCAAAAAACGAATAGTTCATTCTTTCCTATATTGATTTAGATTTAGTCTTGCGGGGTGGCAAGATTTAACCCTTGAGCTGTGTAACATATGCCACGATCTGATGGTGATTACGCTGTTTGGTGTTTCTTAAAGTAGGTTTATACTTTGCTTAATTGTGACAACATAAAACATTAAGTTTTACTTCTGGAGTTAGCACAGCTATGTCAACATACCAGCAAACACTTAACAGTTAAAAGGACTTGTATTCAACTTTAGACCAGCAACTGAACACTAAATGGACTCATAAAACGAACACCAGCAACCAGAGATGCTGTCTGATGTTAAAGATGTGTCCATTGTTCAGAGATAAGTTCCATCAGGCTTTACCCTAAATAGTTGGAGGTGTTCACTACGAGGAGGTCGTGGTTACTTGGCGCTTCATTTGACGATATTACAGTTGAATTCCGTTAAATTAGATCTTCAGGGGGGGGGGGGTTGAAAAGGAAATGGTCTGACTTAGCGAATGTCCGATATATATGGGGTGCCAAGCTTTTCGACTTGAACGAGGTAGAAAAATCCAATAGGAATTGAAAATCAGCTCAACTTAGTGAGTTATCCGGGATACGATATAACGGGATTCGAATTTTAGTTTTATGAATTACTGTAAAGAAACAATTCCAAACATATCACCATTAGAAACAGTATTGTTAGGCTTACCTTAACGGCATATTCATGACTGCTTGCTTTGTGGACACATCTTTTACAAACCGAAAATGCCCCGACGCCGATTTCCTATAAAATACATACATTTCCATAAAAATATATTTGTCACAACTTAACTTTGTGACAATAAGATAGAACGGTATTTGACAAAAATAATTTTTCCTATTTCTTTCACGAATAGTTTGAATAAGAGCTAGTTTTTGACAAAACAGATCTTGAAAATCACAGCCAAAACCACTTCCAACAAAAACTATTAAGGTCGAATTCAACGACTCCAACTTTGCGTTTTGAAACAATTTTGATTTACTACTAATAATGCCGTAATTGGTATGAAACAAATATGTCGTACGGGGTATGGAGGTTTTTTCATAGGGGAATAGATGTAGTACACAAACAAGAATCGAGCAGTTTTCAGTTCAAAGTAAATTCGGTAGGCATTTAAAGGCATTTTACATGCATAAATACAGCGAAGAATAAACTTAGGCCAAATTGATCAGAGCACGGCACGCGCGTATTTAAGGAATTGGAAACTGCTCACGTGAAACCACTGTGCGCTGCTCTAGGATTTTGCCGATTTGCAGAAAGGCGGAAGCTGTTCATACAGTTTGATTGGTCAACCGCTGGTGGTAAAGTGGCTAAAGTGGCTTTTACCTAAGTCAAATGTCTTCTGCACTTTGTCTCTGGGGATTATTTTTTATTTTTGGTCGCTGAAGACAAAGTATTAACAAACTTTGGCGCCTCGGTTATATCGCCCGAGATTTTATACGAGCAGTTGGGTGAACAGGTATAACAAGGAAAGAAACTCTCCTATTATTCCGTTGGCCGAGGACAAGCACCTTTTTTACACACACTTCCCTTTGCACTTACGCCTTAATGTACTAAACTTCCCTCCCATTCGAAATCCGACAGAGACGTTTTTAAAGGATTTGTTAGTGCTTACGAGCCAATAAGCTCTACGTGCATAACTGATATTTTTCTATTGCATCCTGCTACAGAAAAAGAACTCGTATAGAAAAATGTTCGTTTCTACAAAGATAAAATTAGTGTACATACCTCCTTTATTTCATAGTTGTCAGTGATTGACTTTCCATCATTAGCATTCGGATCCTTGAAAAGAGATGAAACTGCTTACTATTTTAGTTAAAGAATTGAAAAACGCATAAATTACATGAAGAAGACAAAAATCTTTTAATCAAAATCAAAGGTTGCATAAATTTCCTCTTAACGTGTCGTAAAATCCTGCGGTAATTCAACTATAGTTGAATTAGACTCAGAAACACATACAAGACTCAGAAAGAATTTGAAAAAAGGTACAAAATTATGAAGCATTCAATAAAATATTATTGCTTTAATTTTTTTTTTCTTTTTAAGTTTATACAAGAAAGGTATAACTTTATGCTTTTTGTGGTATCATTTAAGTTGACTTGGTTAGCAGAAAACTATGAGTAATGTACGGCTCAAACGCATGTGTAACTTTATACTTGAATACAAACAAGATTCAGGAAGAGAGTTTACCTCACTGGGCATATCAATCTCCATATCATTTTCATTCTCCTGAAAAAACAGAAACAGAATTATGAATAAATTCAAATACTTTGCTTAAATTAAGTTTGACTTTACAAAGAACAATGTCTTATGCAGTTGATGACCGAAAAATGGGATGAAAAAGACAAGGTGGCGTTGAAAATAAAACGCATTAGTTACTAAAGACCAAAAATACAATGGCAGATCCATTTATCAAAGACTTTAAAGTATTCCTAAAAGACTGGGTTTTCCTTTTAAAACATCAATGATTTACAAATATGAGGTATTACAAATAAAAACTATGACTGCCAAACGCAAAGAAGCTTTCATGCCTGAATTAATAGTTTACAATGTAAAGATAAGAAGGACATACTTCATAGACGGTTGGAGCAACATAGCTGAATCCCCTGAATAGCTGATTTGAGCCTGCACTTGGTGGAACCGCAGGGGAATCTGTGAGAAGCAAATGTTCGCAATTTACGAAAGAAGCCTTAGTTATAGCAAAATGTCAACATGGTACGGAAAAGGAGAAACGTTACATGTTAAAGTAAAGTGCGACAATGCGTCCGCAAAAACTGAAACCTAAGATATTCAAGTCCAGGTACGGATCGAAAAGTATTTCAGTAGAGCCAGTAATGTTTCTCCAATCTTGAAATTCTGTCTTTGAATTAATTTTGATTGATCTAAAACTTTTCATAAAGTTGCAGCATACAAATAAAGACGATTTTCGGGGTCAAAGTTTTAGTCAATCACACAGTTTATTTGATTATTTAAGAGTAAAGGAGACCGGCAGCAGCTACATCTCGATCGTTTCCAAGAGGCCTAAACGATTTTAAGGAACTACACTTTAAAGGCAAATATACATTCTACTCGAGATACTATCAAGGCCAGCTTGTATGCGTAGCAAAACAGCATTTTCGACAAAGAAAAAATTTAAGTATAGTATAGGTTTTTTAAGAAAAGTATAGGTTTTTTAGTACTGTACATTGACACATGTTTTGTACTCATTAAGATCACGCTTTATCATTGTCTGCGCATCATCAAATATTGGGGTTTAAAATCTTATGAAAAACAGCAGCTACACCTCATTCAGGTATAATTGTTCACAAGTACTGCCTGCTCTGCAGTCTAGCACTGGAGGCGAATATATAAAGGCTGGACAGGAGGCGATGACCATATAACTGTGAACCCTGTTGCATACCTTGCAAAAATGTTATTTAGGAGCTTAAGTGGTAAATTTTTTCATCGCTATCAAAAGTTTACAATGCTTCCACACCGGAGAATGTTGGATAGCATTGACAACAAACCTTTTGGAGTTCTTGAAGTATACTCTTTATCAAAATAGTAGGTATCGTCTGCTTTTGTCACAGCAGGTTGAAAAGGAGGAGCCAGTTCCTTCTTCACAAGTCTCTAAAATGTAAGATACATAAAGAAATGATGTAGATGCCGACAACGGGTTTCCGTATGAGGCTGTAGCTCTGGGTGAAATGATCAGCGCATGGGTACTGAAGGACAGATAATATTTGGAGAAAACGTTAGAATGGGAATTGAAAACTCTATAACTGCTAGTTTACCTCATGCGAGGATTTTTAATTGCGATGATTGATTTTGGTACTTTAAAAGCATAACAATATGGGTTAATAATTACATTTGCCATTAAATTTTCAAATTCACTTGGTGAAAGGTAAGATCGAAGTGCATTACATATTTGAACACATCACGTGACGATTCCAATAAAATGTTGCAACTGATGTCTTGAATAGAACGACTAGTTCTAATAATAATACAATGTAATGTTTATATCTGATGATGCAGTGCAGCAATACTTACATCAAAATCGATAGTCTTGAAAAACGGCTGCTCTCTCATTTCATCGAGTCCACGATTTGCACCTTAAAAGCAAATTGTTGTTGAATGGTAAGATAATGAAGGATTTGACTGGAATAACTGCAAGCAAAATCAACATCTTAAATATGATACTTTAGTCAGAAGAGGGAAAATCGGGTAAATCTTATTATAAAATATACAAAAATGCTAACATTTTTATAGAAATCAAAGCTACTCCCCAAATGAACCTCTTGAAAATGATGAATGATAAAACGATAAAATGAAAAAAAGAATTTCATATCTTCATCTGCTTGTTTGCTAAAATCTTTAATAAAATTACCTAGTCGGTTTGCTGGATTTCTTTTGAAAAGCGCACGAAGCAAAAGCTGAGCTTCTGGGCTAATAAACTGAGGCATTCCAAGTTTTGCTCTAAGGTAAGAAAGAACACATTATAAAATATTGACAATGAAAAATGATATGTTGACAATGTACCGATGGGCCTATCTTATCTTTTCATGGCGATATTTTCACATAATATAATCAAATTCAAAAGGAATTCCACCTTTTCCCTAAAGTAAAAAGGAACACAACTACAAAAGCTCGCAACGAAACAAAATATTTTGACAATGCACTAATGGGCCTATCTTATTTTATCATGGCGGTATCTTGACACAATGTAATTCAATTCCTATAGCATAGATAAAAGACAATAAGTTACAAAAAACCTCTGCCATATCATCAACTGCTTTCAGCGTTTCTTACAATGTTCAGATATTATCTAAAAATATTATCCTATTGTTGAACAAGACATAAAGATAATTTTAAGTAGCCCATGGGCATTTAGAGATTTTAGATTATTTTCAAATATATTAATAAGAATCTTTCAAAACTTATCATTCTGCTACTTATACAACACCACTTTATTGGTTTTAAGTGAATTTCTTAAAAATGTAACCAGGACCAACTCCATCCTCTATTTACTCTCAAATACCAAAATGCTTGTCCGTCGCTGGAGTCAAGAAGTGCTACTTGATATCAGAACATCGTTATCAACCGCAAAAAAATTTCAAGCATGTGTTTCTCCTCCCATTATACTTATTAATTAGCAAATGATTGTCGTAGCAAAAGAAGGCCAGCCTTTTTTCCATCCCAACAAAATCTTAAAAATGAATACAACAGAGTTCCCACATCTGACAAAGAAGTGACAATTCAAAGAAAATATAAGCTTCATTATAAAAAAAACCTGTACTTTACTCACTTCAAAATCATATTGATTGTCTCTTTCCTATTTGCACCTTGAAATGGCAACGATCCTGTAAGCATCTCAAACTGCAAAAACGGTGCAGCAATTAATAAAGGAAACAGCATAATCGCACACACTGAGGAATCATTAGCAGTTCGTTCTTATGCTAGCAAGTGCGACGAGGCAACCTAACGGGGTTTGTTTGACAATAGAAATCTATTTAGATTACAGGAAAGGCACACAAATACTTCCAGGCGAAACGCAAACAGAAACGCAAACGTTATTACAAATTGGAACGTGCACTAAATTAGCCATAACTAAATAATAATAATCTGCTACCAAAGTTTGCAGAGAGGTGGTGTGTATAAGTTTTTTTTCGATGGGTAGGGACGGTAGAGATAGCCAGCAAGAGCATTTGCTTTAAAGACAAGCAAAATATAACAAAGTGGCCTACGCCAACTGTCAATCAACAATTGGCCAATCAGTCAGCGTAATACCATTCATACGACTATTGATTGGATAATTCTGATTGACAGATGACTTAAGCCACCTGTTAGTTGCCTTTAAACTAGATCCTTTCCTCGCTGTCTGTCGAGGCCTATCTGTTGCCCATTGGATAGCAGACCAGTCTCCAAATTACAGACTGGATCTAGCTAGATCTTAGACCCCGTTTATAGGATCAAAAGAGTACATTTGTTTTGCTTCTAACAGTAGACTCTTTGTGAATCTGTAACTAAATCATATCTGATTAAGTCATTTACACAATATCGTTTTAATACCACAATATTGTATTGGTAAGCGGCATAATTACTTTATATCGCCATTCATCGAAGTCTCCGTGTAAAGGTAAGGCTTATAAGATTTGATATCAATTTAATACGGTGTCGTGTAAACGGAGCCTTTTTCTTAAGAAAAGTGATCTAGCCACAAATAGCCAATTACAGCATATGCCTAAACCTATTCACAAAAGCCCAATCACAATTGGTTCTTGTTAATGGACATAAAATATTAAAGAAGTAGAAACCTGTTATAAGCACAGTCATTCAGTACAGAGGCCTTAGGCATTTGGGTTTTAAAGTATTAAGTATATACCATTAAGACTCCATATGACCACCAGTCAGCTGCCGTTCCATGCCCACGGCGATTCACAACTTCTGGTGCCATGTACTCAACAGTTCCACAAAACGAAAACGCCTTCTTCTCGTCATAAATTGACTCCTTGCTTAGGCCAAAGTCTAGAAAGATGTTCGCATAAACATAAATAATTTTTACGACTGAAAACATAGTAATCTACCACCTTACTTGAACAGTTTTGAATACTTAGTGTATAAATGGAATAGCAAGCAAGCTTTTGTTGTAGGGCAGGCTTGCAGAGGTTATGCTATGCTATAACCCCATGCCCATCTGAGGAGAACCATAACTTTTGCCCTCTTCCAGAGACTCCCCTCAAATGTTCGAAGAGAACTGTGATTGCCCTCCTAAACCGTTCAAAGAAGCAAACTGCCTTCGTTAAAAACAGTGCTTTTTTATTTCTACTTTCATATTTACAAATAGCTCACCTGGAAATTACTAGGAGAGCTGTTTACTACTCCCATGTTTAAAATCTTATGGCCAAGCCTGATGACATGTAACTTGAACTTATTACTGACGACATGTAACATTATCATTTGTCACCCAAGAGTACAATGTTTGATTATTTTCCCAAACTACTAACTTTTAGGACTTCCATTTCGAGTGTTTCTAAAGTTTACAAGTTTTAATACTGTCAAAAAAGTTTAGTTGTGGTGCAGTTTGGCAGATTAAAAGGCAAATGTAAGATTGATCATTTAGTGATTATATCATATCAACAATTAGTCAATTCACAAAATTTGTCTACTTTTTGCAATCAAGAAGTTATGTGCCATTTAGTTTCAAACTGAAAGTAGGAAAGCTTGCCAAACTGAGCCCTTTAATATGGACAAATGAGGCAAGTTATGAAGTTGATTCTTTGGAAAAAGACATCACTGGGTATTTAAGCTTGATTCAAAATCTATATATATATACTAACCTGTCAGTTTAATATGCCCATCATAGTCGAGAAGAATACTAGAATGGATAAATCCAAAATTATATATTTCTTAAATGAGTGACTTTTACAGCATCAATAATTTCAAATTGTGTTTTAAAATTGCAAAAGCCAGTTGCTCAAACTGTTTCTGTTTAAACAACAACAAAACTGAAAAACTACCAACTAATGGCTGAATCAACTAAAGCTACATAACGCTTAACTACATAATAATAGATCAACAACAAGCTAATATATACATTAGTTAATTTTATAACATTTACTTACTTTTCTGGTTTCAAATCTCTGTAAATAATCCCTAGTTTATGCAAGTGGTCTAATGCCATTGCCAGCTCAGCTAAGTAAAACTTGACATCCTCCTCAGTAAACATAACCTGCAGACAAGTGAATCATTTAATAACTTAAAACTAAAGGTGACTAAAAATTGCAATCCTGTCAAATATATTTGTTTCTACAAAATTAACTATTTATGATATTGAAAAAATAACATGATTTCACACCTTCCAATTCCAGGATGTGCTCGAAGTACCAAAAATTGAAAAACTTTACCAATGGACCTTGTATATTCTCATCTTACGTTCAACAAAAGGAAAATGTTTGGTATTACCTCTTTAGACAGTCTTGTAAAAAGGTCTCCACCTCTTAAGAATCCAAGCACAAGATAAAGTTTCCCTTCAGTCTGGAAAGCTAGAAAAAAGCAAAGAAGTTCAAACAGAGCATCAATTTCATGTTATTTGGTTAGTAAATATTTGTTAATGAACTTCACTAAATCTAGGTTGCACGATTCTTGCATAACCATATAATTTTATCATTATCAAGTATTTTTCTGTGAAACACTAGAATGTTATAAAAGTGTATACCTTGTTCGAAGCAAGCAGGAAAATGATATGAGGCTTCTGACAAGGGTTTTTAGATTTGTCTTACAAACTTCAAAAACAAAAAAAGTGGACAATTTCTTAACATTTAGAACTTAAGCAATGGACTGTTCAGCTAATCAGAACCAAACAATTTAAGCTGACAGAACTTCACTTTAAAAGTATATCCTGCTTGTCAACTAAAACAGGGTAGCTTAAAAGTCTACAATACTTTTAACACTGGATATAAAAAATTTGTTTAAAACATCAAATTACACTTTAAAATGTCTTGAATAATAAAGCCTCTACAGTTGAGTCTTAACTTAACGGTTTTTAGCACAGGTGACAAAATTAACTGGCATAATCTTATTGCAAAAAACCAAACAGAGTCATTGGTTGATTAAGAGATACCCATACCATAATGAAGTTGCACTATGAATGGATGTTCCATTTCAGCCAAAATATCCCTTTCCATTTTTGTTCTCATTTTATCACGCACTAAAAGATAACCAACCTTGCATTACTTGGAAAATCTTCTAAGAAAAGGCAATATAATTAACTCAGAAAAACCAATGTACTTCAATATCATTTATGTAAATGGAATCAAGCATATCTGACATAATTAGTCCTGAAATCTGATCATACATAACCTAGATTTTACCTGGCATAAATGTAGAGTAGACAATTTGATGAAAAAAGCTTGAAAAGGAAAGTCTAATGAAATTGTCAAAATATTACAAATCATGATCTGACCAACTAGCGAGGATAAGGAAAGCTTTATAAATTTTTCATAACTTGACTATTTTTACAACCTAGGTGTAAAAAAAGATATATATATACATATTGAAATGAAAAATAGTTTGGCCTTCATTTAGTTTACTCTATTTTGAAACAGTTTTGAGAAGTTTGTTGAAATAAAAAGATGCAAAACTAAAACAAAGTGGTTTTAATGTAGCCTAATTTTACAATACATAGAAATTATTCATATTATCATCAAATTGAGGGGCAATTTAGGTATTACCCTAAATAAAACACCTGACTTAGTTAAAGTAAAAAAGAAAAAATCTGTATTACAAGAAACAGCATGAAAGTCATGAAAACCTGATTGTATTACTGAAATGAAGCCAAAAATCTAGGAGATAAATCATGATTAGCTTCGAAGAGCCTCTTTAGCAAATTCCAGTGAGAGTGCTGGTATAATGTTCAAACAATTATAACCATGCAACTGAAAGTTCAAGTTCATTATAAGATTTTATTTCAAGTTTTCGAAAACCTTCATGGATTGAGGTGCAACTAATAGACAACATAAATTTGTTTTATGACTGCGAAGCTTAAATACTTTTGAGAATGTTGTTAAAATTTCAGATGAAGACGTATACAATATAAACTTTTGCTAAAATTCTTAAATTCCTTAACTTTATACAAACCTTTTAGTGTAGCTTTTTTCAAAACTTTCATTGCATATATTTTGCCAGCATCTGGGCCAACAACTTTCCTCACCATGAAAACCTAGAATTAAAGGAAGTAAATGATGAGATTATATAAAAAACAGTGGCTATCTTAATGCACATAAGTTCATTTGTCATTTTCTTATTCATATGCACAGTTCAATGTTTGTGTGGGTAACTTTTGCAGGAATAGAAAAAAGCTGATGCATGCAAGAAAAATACAACCTAAACATTGACATAAAAAACATGATCAAAATAACCAATACCCATTAAAAGCAGTTTACCGCCCTGTTTATTAGCTATTGTTTGTTGAATTTAGAGGATCCTCAAAATTAGAGAAACATGAAAAAGTAGTATAACTGATCAAGCAAGTAGGAGATATTCTCTGTTAAGAAATGAAAAATCATTGAAATAGAAATTCTGTTCTTTGTTTCAGTAAACCAATGCATGGCAGGCCAATACTGCCTTTAAGTTAGATAGAGAAGTGATGGTGTGAGAATGATGGTGTGAGATAGAGAAAGGCTGAATTATCAGGGGTACAAATTTGTGGGATTCAACTGTAAAAAGGTACTGGGCAAGCTGAATGAACATTTTGTGCAACATGATTTATGTTACCAAAGTGATAGTTATCAAGGGGTCATATTTTAGCTTCTTGACATGTTGTGTCTTGTTACCTCAATTCATGTCTATCCTTGTTATGATATCTCAAAATGCACTTTTCTTTTTTTTCTTTAAAAGTTTTGGAACATGCTATATATATATAATCTGCTCAATTAATCCAAAGATTTTTCATACTTGGAAAATGAATGGCTTTTCACCCTCACCACAACAATATATAAAGGACAACTGTAATATCAAATTCTTATCAAAGAGAACAGCACTTGGCAGAAAGATCTGAATGGATAACATACTTTCCCAAATGATCCTTGTCCTAGCACCTTTAGCAACTCAAAATGTGATGGTGTCGCTTTGACTACTTTCGTTTTCTTGATTTCATTTTCCAATTGAATTTCATGTTCTTGTACCTCAGGCGCCTACAAAGTAATTCTCCTTTCAGAAATTTGTTTCTGCATGTAAATGTATCATTATATTAAAAAATAAACAAACTTCAACTTCGCATGTGAAAAAACTAGTTCAAGTCAGATTTGCCAGTGAACCAAGTTAAAACCTGTGAAGGGTCTATATATGATTTGAAGAATGTGCTTTAGTTAAAGGGGGTACTTTCTCCATCAGTTCAGTTCAGTTCTTTATACTTCAAATTTCACTACATTAGTTGAACTATTGGGATGTTTATAATTTGGCAGTTATAAATGGTCACCTGCTGTATCTTTATTCTAACTAACTGTACCAGATTACAAAGCATTGTTTCTACGCAGGGAACACCAGAACAATAAAAAATTAAATCTGTGGATAAAAATGTATTACAAGAATTCATGTGCTGAATTTGTGGAAAAGGTTTTTGAAACATTCTTGTATTCTTTGTTTTTTTTTGTAATCAGAGCTCTGAAGTTTTAATGTTGGATAATCATATGAAACATGACAAGATAAAACAAATATTATGCCCAGGCTCTACCCTAGCTTCTTAATAATGCACAGGCAGAATAAGGGATAAAATTATTGTGTGGCAAAACAAACTTTACCATCAGGTAACTGGATACTAGTTTTAGAGAGATTATTGTTAAAGTCAAAAATTTATGTTTCTGTTATGGAGATAAAATAAATACATAAAATAGGAGATAAAATACATTTAAGAAAATAAAAAATGTAATTCTACCAAAAGAAATCTTTTTTGTTGTGAAACTTAGGTGTCTGGATAACATTTGGAAACACTTCAAGAAAATTTAGGCAAATGGAATACCACATTATGGCACAGGTCTTTAAAATATTCATAGTTCAAGGTTCGAAATTCATAAAATCTATATGTCTTTTCTTTTTGATAAAGAAAAATTAACTGCAGGGGCAAAGTGTACTGTGTGTAATTCCCCTAAACAACAGATGATTGGAGGTTGTTAATAAAGTTAAAATATATCCTACATAGTTATTGACCTACATACAGTACACTTCAGGAAACAATGAACTTTCATTCTTCGATTATCATGAAGTATCATACAGAAGGTTTTGTAAAATAGGGTTAGAAAATAGCTATTAGGGAATTGCCTTTCATAACCTAAAAAAGCATATCAATTTATCTCAGAACTTGCCATAGAATTACCACCTTTACACTCTCTGATGTATGATTTACCAACTTGCATGAACGCTTGGCAGCTTAAGGGACACAGGTAGAAAGGAAAGGAGCATGATTTGAAACTCACCTCAGCAGTCAGGTCTTCTTGTGAACCCGTAAACTATGGTGTAATAAGATGAATATAAATATCGCTGTTAGTACAAAAGTAAGACACCGATAAGAATCAAATAAAACACTGACAGAAGTTAGGGAAGCATTGACTAGGCTTTGGGGCATGGCTAGGCCCACTCATCCAAATCAAATTGGCAACAACTCACCTCAGCTTCTGTAGCGACGGGTAGTCTATGCCAAGGGTCTGCATTATTTGCGAGCGGCATGTTGGTAAATAAGCTTCGCTGTTTTGTTTATAACACTTTTAAGTTGGTTATAGCCGCTTTCTGTCTAAGAAGTTCATTACCCTGCGCTGGTATGCGGTTCAAACGTGAATCACTCTGCATCAGCGGAGATTCATTAGCATATAAATGAAGTTTGGCTTCCCTTTGTAACAGGAAGTTCTAGAAATAATATGAAACCAATAAAACAAAGGCGGACCAAACAATAAGCAGACTGAAGGTGCTCGAGTTTCCCCACCTGTGCCAAATGTAACTTTTTGTGCACCAGTATCGCAAAACGGGAAATAGAAACTGTGGACATAAAATCTAAACAACTTGTTGTGTATGCACAAAATTCAGAGAGAACCTGTGCAATTGAGAAAGGCTACAACCCCTTGTTTTGTAAATGGCCGGAGGGCGAGTGTCTGAAAGTTGATAGAAAGCTATATGTTGAGAGGGTCCAAAATTTAGCAAGATGAAAGCGATTTTCTGTCAAGACAAGTAATATCCTATTCCTTCAAAAAGGAATTTTTTCAGGAAAATCAAACACTAAAGACTCGCCAAGCCATAATCAAGAAAAAGCGAACAATAACCTATTGTCTCAAAAAAGGAAGGCTTCTAGGGCTGGAGGGGTAATTCCCTCCCCCCAAGGGGCACAGTGTGCGGGGGGAAGTGTGGGGTGTCAACCCCCAACTTTCAGAGAACTCGTCGGTAGAATTGCATTTATACCAAAGAATGTTTATGCCGAATGTAACAAACGAATTTCTGTCGGTAAAATATGGTTTTGCATCTCTTACACCCCCAGGAAGAAAGGTCACACTGCGCCACTGCTCCCCCCCCCAAGGTGTTATGTAAAAATGATAGTGGACTGAAGTAATAGAAATGATGTTTGCCTGCGTCGGTTCCGATTTCTTCATGTAACGATGTCTTTAAATTTAATGGCTATTCGAAATCTTTACCTGAAGCCTCTAATCTGCTGGCAAGGCTCCACCGTAAAAGAAATGCAGACTCCAGCCTTGAATGGGTGGATGAAAGTCGTAATAATCAAATCGGAGGCACGATGACACACTCACGCACATACACTTACGACCGAAGCTTGTATTTCAGTTTCACGCACAGGCGGTGAAAGAAAAGAAAAAGGGACCAAGCATCTCGCTGGTGACTATATGTGCATATATTAAATGAAATTCTGTGGTAGATTAAAAACAAAAGGCTTGCATACGTGTTACAAGGATGATATATATTGCAAAATGGGATACTGTCTAAAACACAAATACTTCTCACGTCAATGTAGTACAAATATAATATAAAAATGGTGAGTTATATAAATTGAAGTCCACGTAACAACAGTACTGAGCATACTTCAACGATCAAAATGATTATACAATGCCTGTATTGCAAAATTTATGTCTTTATGCAACATTATCAAACATATTCCATATCAAAAGCAAATGTAGAATGATGCAATGAAATGATCTCATGAGGCCTGTCCGTTATATTTCGATTTTAGTCAAGCTCCTTCTCAGCCTGCTAGTACCACTGAAAACCAACTTCGATTCGGGGGTTAAAATACATTCATTCTTACATACAATGCTCAAATTTTGCCAAATATAATCATTATCTTCGATTTTACCATCCATCTGTAAACATACAATGCTCAAGATTTACCATTTAGAAATGAAACTGTAAACTTTGTCGAATCTTTAATCCAACTCTAGGCATTTTAGTCTGCACATGTGAATAATACTTCATGAATGGTAAATTTATTATTTCTACATTAGTTTTTGTTGGTAATGTTTGTTAATTTTACTATTACTAATACTTAAATATTGTTTCAATATTACTAATAATAATTGGTTTAAAGGCGATGATTCCATATAAAAGGGACACATATACGCTTGGCCTAAGTGCTAACAAATCGCTAACCTATGTCATGAGAGTCAGGCAGACAGTAGCTATAGAGGTACGTGTTTGTGTTCGAAATATGACCAGCAAGCCTAATTTATCACGTGGAATATCATACAAAGTTCAAATTCCCCAAGTGATGCTGTTTCTTTTATCTGGGCTCGTTGCTTTTAATGCTGGTTGGCGTACATTTTCCGACAGTCCCTCAAATGATTAAGCAATGGTTTACATGCCCCTCACACTTACGAACGTGATTCAACAATTCCAGAAAGCAGTGATAATTAAAATCAAGCAACAATAATAAAATAATTTAAGCACAAAATTAATATATCATTTTCGTAAAATATCATTCTGAAAGGTTCCCTTGAAACATCAAATTCTGTCCGCTACCATGTCCTATGAAAAAATCTATCTATGTGGCTTAAATAACCTTTTTTGAATAGACTCAAGCTGACCCTCTATTAAATAGCCTCCAAGCTTGTAAGAAACCTTGAACAGTCTAGACTCTTTTCTGTGTGTAAGTTTTCCCTCATAAAATAGAATTCTATTTGCTACTTTCACAACTACCTACTTTTTCAGAGCTCTTATAGGTATAAAAACCGTTTGAAGTAAAGGTCTGACTCTAAAAACTTCACGAGAAGCATGTGACCTGGTAAAACCTGTCGACTGTAGTCTTGGTAGAATATTCACGCAATATTGATATAACTATTCGAAAATCTTGTTGCTGTTTAGAACATAACATTTAGAAACTACTCACAAATGACTCATGATTGTCTATAAATTACTCAATAAAGATTATATCAATAAATATAATAGATATTGTATTATGCTATTGAAATATATTTATTCCGCCCTTGCTAAGCATATTAATCAATTAAAATATTATAAATTTCTACCGTTTTTATAACTTCACATAGTAATGAGAGCTTGTTATGACGTTTCCACGACGTGTAAATCAAAAATGCTATTAATCGCTGGAATCACAGGATTTATTTGAGCGATATTCAACCTGAATGAGACCATCTTCATTCTTCTTTGGGGGAATTATCTTCACATATGAAAACTGAAAGGCAATGAAATATTTTATACAATAAAATGAGAAATACTTTCGCCAAGGCACCTAATTCCACTTGAAGTTCATTTCAGGTATCCTAAGCTCTTATATATATTCATAGCAATTATATTTTTATTCTAGCCAAAAGATTTAGTGTGAGGAAGAAAAATTAAATAAAGTACTCTTTTCTAAATCAACACCAAAGACTGCTCTTTCAAGTCTTCATTTCGGTTACTTAAAGCAAATATATTATGAAATATAAATGAAATATTCAAAATGTACAAACTTTTAGGTCTCTTCTTTAACAAATTTGTTTGAGAAATATTAAGAAATAATGGGCCGCAGCTTACAAAACTGATCGTTTTGAAACAACGGAATTTGCTAGATAAAAACCAAGGAATGTTTGAAAGGCCAATGTTACTTTGGTTTTAAAGGAAATCAAAATAAGTACAGGAAAACTCCCTTTTCATCTGTAGCATTGAATTTTGATCCAAAAAATGCCAACGAAAAAAGAAATGAAAATAAGGTGCCCTGCAAAACTTACATGCTCGCATAAGTCAATCCATGTGCCACTATTTACGTAATACATATTCTTAAGTTTTCCAAGAAACTTTGCATTCCTAAACATATGCGTATGGCCAAGAACAATAACATCTTCACTCATCTCCAAAAGAAAATCTTCAAAGTTGCCAAGTGAACCTTCCAGCATGCTGAACACACGAGATGAGCCATACTGGAAGAAAGGAAAATTTGCATATACGTTCACCCATTGAAAGTTGAAAAGCGAATTTTTCGCTACTTTGTTTAAAATCATGATTTATCTCCTTCTGAGATTCGTGCTTACCAAAGCTCTTACCAACGTCGAGCTTTTCTTTAAATGCAACTTGTTGCAACTAATGCTTAATATTATGTACATTGCAACAAAGGTGTGGGGATTCTAATCTACAGAAAACAGTTATCAAAAAAGTGGATCAAACGAATAACAACTACCATACTTAGAGATACACTTATAGAATATATACTTAGAAAGAAGAAACCCCCAATCAAAACATCCTGTGAACAACGTGCTGGGTCTTAACATTGAAAAAATAGAAACTTAATCCCTTCCAGTTTCTAGCAATGATATTATACATTACAAACATTCCATATATCACTATGTTCAGATGCTCCATTAGACAGCGAAATTGCGTAACGTACCTTGTTGATTGCCAGCTTTATAAACGGATATTTAATCAAATCCACGATTCGAACACATTTTTCATCATTCATTAGGATACATGTATCATCTGTAATTTCCAAGTCTAGAGCGTTTTCAAACATTGTGTTGAGCAGTTTCTTTTGAAAGAATCCTTTGCTAAGTATTTCCGCAATAGTCGATCCAACAATCTTGTTTGGGATTATAGATAAGAACCATCGAAGTGAATCTTGAATGACCTTAAAGTGTAAAGAAAAAGAGTAAAGTTAAGTAGGATTTTGTTTAGCCAGCATCCCTGTCTAACGATATGAGCAAAAACATGTTTGTTGGGGAAGGGGCCTGTGATCATGGGGGCAAGTCAATTTACAATAAATTTAACTTACTTTGTACTTTAAGGGTAATTCTAGGTGTTCTTTCAGGTTTTGGTACAAAAGTTAGAAAATTCAAAAAACAGATTTCCTAAAACGTCGCACTTTAGCACTCTATGAATCCATCGATTGTTGACACTTTTTTATATGCAAATGATATTTGACTTGACTCCACCATGACCAATCCATGACCAAAAGATAGGTTATCCGCTCTCTATGTTAATAGTTAAACTTGATACAAATCAAATTAATTCTGCACTGAATCTCAGGCTTTTCATGGTGGTTTTCAGCACGATTTGCAAACAAGTCTGGCACAATGAAATTTGTACCAAAAGGGCAAAATCGCAAATGCTGCTTATAATACTATTTATAGTTAGTTCATAGACGTACCATTTCTGTATCACTGAAATAGGTCTCTTTTGACGATTGAGCACACCTCGAAACATAGTAACCAATTGGCCTCCCTTGTAACGGACTTTCCATCGGAGCGAGGTCCGTGCAATTAAACAAATCGTAATCATGACCATGTTCAAAGCGAATTCTGTACTCTTGAGACCCTGTGTTGATAATATAGATCAATTTTCCAGGAATGAATACAACCTTTTCACCAAACAACTCTTTCACCATCTCTTCATCAATATCAATATCATGGTTGCCTCGAACATAATAGACCCTGACGTCATCATCTTCAGCCATCTTTTGAATGGCTTTCATTACCATTACAACTTTCTAAAACGAATATTTTTCTGTAAAAATTCGGCAAAAATGTTATAAAACGACTGTAGGATTGTCATACCAACATTATAAGCATTCTTAGGTAAGAGAGGCATGTGAAGAATTCAAAAAGCAATTTACTTCTCACTTATTTGTTGTATAGAACAGGATGGTTTTAAGTTGCTACTCAAGTTCACGCATAATGCGATCACCAGGAACAACTGCCTGGCGATCGTATCATGCCGTAAAACTCGGAGTTGCAACCAAGAACCATCCTGTTCTTTACAACAAAAAGCGTGTACAGCTCTGCCCATACGGCATCGAGCGGTTTATGATAGATTGGTAAACAGTGATTTTGTTATCGCTTTTTACTCACAAACATTTATCATTGTACAATGCGGAAAACCATTATCGCAAAGACCATAATAAATACAAAAATAAATCTGTATATTTATTCATGAAATAATATATGAAAATGACAGAAAATAAATAAACATTATCAATCCTTGCATAGTAGTTGTTTCTATGTTTACTGGATGACCGTTGCATGTGGCATGAATTTGCTCAATTCTTTTTTCGCAACCTTAAGTATATCAATTTTTAGGACTTGACCAAAGAGTTAGTCATCAACACACCTCATTTTTCTTCAGGTATTCCAACATTTCACTTTTTGAAGGTGGACTGCATGTGATTGGTGTCATCCACATCTCAAAGACGTCCCCTAGTAACACTATCGCATGGACAAACCTCTCAGCTATTTTAGCTAGCGTCACAACAAAATCCTCCAACTTCTTAACAGTTTCTTTACTCCATTCACCACCTAAATGCATGTCACTCAGGACAAAAATTTCTCGCTTCTCAGTTTCGTCTGACATCAATACTTTTTTCACCACGATCTTCTCACAAGAGTTTGGATCACTAGTTGGGAGGTGATATCTGCAATGCAGAAGGAATGCACAGATTTTGATACAGATGAAATAAACTTTAAAAAACAATGAACCCAAGGATATAAAATAAGGCTACAATAGAACATGTCCATGATGAATACACGAATCCTAGACCTTAAACGAATATCAAATCAAATTAACCCTCATCATCAAGGAATGGATATCTGAGCCATCTGGGCGAAATTATTACAAGAAAAAGAAAAACAGACATAGAGTAGTAAATTTAGGCTTTGAGAATACACAAGTATTTTTTGCATATTCATAATTACCATAAATGATTTTCGTATGGGTGTAATCAAGTTATGTTACAATGTTATAGCAACTATTGAAAGTAAGTTATGCATCACTATTATCATAATTATGTAACTGAAGCATTTGTTAAACATATGCTACCTTACTTAGAATCGTCATGGTCTGGGGTCATTTAACACCTATCTCCACAACCAACCTTTAGTATTACGCGGACCACGTAATTACTGGCTATTGGAAAGTCTTATTTCAATAGAGTATAATACTGGAATGTGGATAAATGATGGAAAGTTTTTTTTGAAAGGCAATGGTATACAACAAGCAAAGATTAAGTATAATAAAAATGTAACAGTAAGCAAAAAATAACATTTTCATTTCAATTCATTTTTCATAAGAAACCCAGGTCCACGTTGAGTACTCCAGTTTCTCAACAGCCTGGAAAATTTTAATGCTCGATGCTTCTAATCAACAAAAAAGGCCTATTTTATGATAAATTTCTGCAATTATCAGGCAGCAAACGAATATATCTTACTCGGGAGGCCTTTGATATGAGCATTTCACAATCTTCTTCCTTTGCCAAATGATAGCCTTTTCATCAGGCAAGATGTTTGAGAGTCTTCTGCGTAAGGCAGGAACTTCATCGGGGCTTGCATCCTCGAGGTCGTTGTCGCTAGCCTCGCTGTCAGAGTCGTCCGATTCCGGTAGCGGGTTAGAATAAGACAGTACTTCCCTTTCTGCAGACACTGTCGGAAATTCAATTTTTTTCGCCTCTTTGCTCGCTTCTGCGAAAGAAAAATAAACGGAACCATTTAATAGAATACTTTCCTGAAAGCCAATCAGACCGTTAGCTAGGATGTCCTTGTAAGGGGTCGTCTCCATGGCAAAAGTAAGGTCCTGATACTCGTAGACAATATCACTGTAATTGTATCGCTACATAATGTACATTGTATTTAAATACAACGGTGGGTTGAACCACCAAAGCTTAAAGGCACTATGTCTCATCAGTCAACCCTTCAGAGTATAGGTCGGGACATAGTGCCATTAAATTAATTCAAAAGTGGTTTAGTTTCTTATACGGGCACTTTTCAAATCGAGGGGTGTATCACTCCATGAAAAGGCGTACGAGATATTTTCGGATTGAAAAATCCGTCAATTTCGGGTCCGGGTTTGCGGATTTTTTCAGATCTTTAGCAAATTTTTCGGATTTTTCCTCTGAAAATCTTAAAGAAAAGTCATCTAGCTTCATTATGCTTGCTTGCTTGACAATTCCGATTATCGCCAACATTATCACAACAAGTTATTAAGCCATGTCCTTTAGACTTAAAAACATTACTCAACGAAGCAACTATATCAAAAGTATAACAATAATGCAGGGTGGACAGGGTGTCAAAAATACTCCGCCCACCTTTCTTCGGGATTCTTAAAAGAATGATGACATTTGAATTCATTTGACGCATACCATTTTAAAATATATTCTATCTTCATTCCAACGATATCAAGTTTTGGCACTTTCATTAAATCATATGTTACTTAATGGACCATTCAGCTATTCCACAAAAGTGTCTGGGCCGAGTCATCTTTTTATACAATGGCTTGATTGAGTTGCGTTAAAGTTCTTAGAGCATATATCCTTTTGTCATCTCATCATGCTTGAAAATTTTCAACTATGGTTTGGCTACATTTTCCTAGGTAGCTCTTGTCCTTGTATTGCCCTTCAAGCACAAAAATGATAGTATTCTCTCTAACAATGACTTGGAAGGATCATCTTCTCTCCTAAAGAGGTACTAGTTTCCAGGCTTTCCAATGTTAAGGCCGATTTCCATTTGACATTTTTTGTGCGCGCGGGCGTAGCGCCACAATCTGAGCATGCGTAGCTGAGTGCTGCTGTCAAGTGGCCGAGCGCACAAAAAGTTGAGACCCTATCAACTTTCTGACGCTCACAGTGGACGCAAAATTGAGACCACTTGATTTTAACTACGCATGCTCAGAATTGGGCGCTACGCCCGCGCGCACAAGGAATGTCAAATGGAAATCGGCCTTTACGTTCTCGCTACGTTGCGCATCTGCAGTGCCGAGATCGGTTTTGCGAAATCAAGGGTTTGTGGTTCTTTTCACATTTCTTTTTGTCAAGGAAGGGATTGTTGGTGCACAAAAATAAACGGATGACTGGAACAAGAACTCGTGTTACCAAAGATGACTGTCAGCCAGCGAGGAACTATGATGAGGAACGGTAACAGCAATAACAACGGAAAGTCTCTGTATTCACTGTTCCAAATCATCCAGATCATCGTCCAGATCATCAACCGTATCTTTCGATGATGTCTTTGATTGATCCAAAAGATTTTCGTCCAAAATGTAAGTCCGTGATTCAACGCTGATGTTGCCAGAGTTTGGCCTTATTTCTTTGACTTGGTACCGGACATTTCTTGCACATTTCTGAGTCTGATTGGATTTTCGGAATTTTATTTTCTTTGTGGATCTCTGGATTTTTGAAAGGATTTTAGTGGATTTTTATGGATTTTTAGCAGGGTGTACGAGAATTTTTGGAGTGATACACCCCTCGTTTTGAAGCGTAGTGTAGTTTCGTATCTTAGCATGGTTTGTAGAGTGATTATTTTTGCGTCGTTTGATGTGAAGAAGTGTGCTTGATCAGCCAAGCCGCGATCATTCTCCAAATTACGAAACCACATAACGATAAAAAACCACACTAAGATACAAACGACCCCCTAGTACCTCATTACCTCATTACAATCTAAAACCAGGCTACGAAACGCTACGATTCAGAACGCTACGATTCAGATTTGAAGCGACCCTACAAGGTGAAACTTGGCCACAATAAAATTACAATCACAATTAACCAACTATCCCCAATAAGTTGAACAACTACTAACCAGATAGGAAACAGGCGCACAAACTGTTAACCGGAATCACATCCTTGTCCTAGCACCGTACAATTCAGCAGATCGTGCGACTGATAAACATGAGTCACACCAAAGTAATCTTTTAAGGAATGGGAAGTTTTGGCTTGTTGGCGAGAGGAAGGTTAAAAATTTCAAATACCCTAAAAAATGTCACCATAAAAAACTGGCAAAAAACAAACCTGAGCGACCTTGTGTAACCATGTGCATTTTTTTTATCGCCTTTTTCAAACCTTTGACTATCTTCTTGCTTTTTGCTACGTTGTTTTCGGCATATTTGTCTAAAAATCGAAGTATGTTAGGCCATACGTCATAGCACGCATTCTTCCCAATAAAATGATCGACATGCCCATAGCCTGGGATGACATCCATCCCATAATCCTGATTGGGGTTCACCCTCTTCAATGCTTCATACATCCGCTTGACACTGTGAAGGTTGAAAGATTCGTTTTCGCTCCCTAGAACAAATAGTAGAATATAATGGTCCCATCCAATATCAACAGAAAAGGATAGAATGGGTCAGTGTGTGAGCTCTGTCAAGCCACAACACATTTAGACAAAACTTGACAAAAAAAGAAAATGAAGATGAGTTAAACGTTGTTGCAATGTTGATACTGCCAGTCCATCAAACAAACTAAAAAGGTTGCAGACAAACCAGCAATAAAGGTTTTTTAAGAGCTTACCGCTAAACAAATAAATAGGAACGTCGACATTCTTCACCCACTCCAATGCAGCTGGATCACAGGTACAAAAACCAGACTCGTCGAGGCCAGGTATGTACGCGTCATTTCCGTCTTTGTCTACGATGCGCTGCCGCCTGAAGCACTTTGAGAGATGGTGAAAATAGCCAGCTGCAGCGGTGCCAAAGATCTCGTGTAGTATATCATGGGTATCGACATTGAAGTTGGAATGCTCGTAAATCAAGCCATAGAAGAACGTTATCCTGAGTTAAGTAAGATGTTAGTTTAGCAACCAGGAATCAATAGAAACACACAGGCACCGCGGAGCAGGGGGGGGCACTTTTTGCAGAAAATGCCAAATATTAAGTATCAAACTACCAGAAAAGCCTCTTTTTATACGGTTTTAGCCCCCCACATTTTTAGACCCCCCACTTTTCTCAACGCTCCGCGGTGCCTGACACATGCAGAAGACCAACTGTATGACGATCGCTAGTATAGCCTTTTCGGTTTATATACAGAGAAAGATATTTGCCATTGTCTTAAACAATCGAAGTTAACTAGGGCTAAACGGGGAATTGCCCCCCCCCCGGTAAATATGTCAAAAAAGCTCCTGGTCCTTTAATTAAGGACATCACTTCGTTGACAAACTAAAACAAGCTTGTCTAACGCTTTTTCAGTTCAAATACAATCGAGGGACAGTGACGTTAATGGTCATAGTTTATATTCCAGTGACAGAAAAAAACATGTGACAAGAATCAAGCATATTATATTTTTGTGATGGGTATGAAGGCTTATGACTGTTTCATAGCAATTTTGACACGTGAAGCGTTTTAGTGCGTTTTTTTAAAGATGGTTCTTTAGTCTAATAATTCTATCAGCTCGAGCCCCCCCAAACCCCCCCAAACCCCCCTCTATTTTGGACAGCTTAAATTTAGATAAGATAGTGGAGCAATGGGCAAGTCGTAGAAGGAGAAAAATTAACACCTGATTTTTGGACTACATATGTTATGATGCACTAATTAAACTAACAGTCTTTATGCTCGATCTTCCCCAAATTTAAGAAATCTAGAAACTTTATCACACAGCTGAATAACTATTAACGAGACAATTTATAAGGTTTTGTTGGTAAGAAACTATTAAAGTTTAGGCCCTCAGGCAAAATTAGCATTGATCTTTGTCAGTCGGAAATTTTGAGCCCTTCACCCCCCCCCCCCAAATATCTGCCAATTTACGTTCCTGTTGATATTCACAAATTACTTAAAAATCTTACAGGTATTCAGTTGCCAAAGTAATGAAACATACCTATGGCATACATCGCTTGAGCAATGCTCATTTTTGCTTGTCGAAGCTCTCGCTATCTTCCTGGCAAAGCAATTCATTGCGTTAGATTTCTTCTCTTTGTCCGTATACGCAGACACCGTCTTAACACCCATGCTATCAAGGAATTGGCTAAGGTGAGCTTTAGACTTCAATTGGTTCATAAAAGATCCTTCTGGTATTGCAACCGCCTGGCTGATTATTGCGGTCCGGATTTTACCTTTCACCTTTCCGGACAGTAATGATATCCAAAAACCAACTGCTGAGACACAATGCACCAAGATTTGTACGGATTTCTAGAATAAGGAAAATGCGACATAACCGTAGGGCTATAAAAAAGGTCGACATTGAACATTGGGATTGATGGAGCTATCAAAGGGATCAAAAAAAGTAATCTTTACTTAATATTATGAGCGTTAATTTTTTAACAGAGGAAGCGATGAGAAATCAATGATTCGTTAAAAGGATCAAATAGTTGCAACTCACTGCTTGAAGTAGCTGCAATTAACCAATTTCTTTCACATAAGATATTTTTAGAATTAATGATATAAGAAAACCAAAAATTGTGATTTACCAATTGAAGCTGATATAGTTTACATACTTCTCAAAATTGTAAGCAAAATAAATTGGCACCAAGATTAAACCCAAATTAATTGGGCAGCTCAGGGAGGCATTTATAAAGCAATGCTGAATGTCAACAATGCTTAATAATAATCAACAGTTGTGAACTTACTTTTCATCGTGTCCTATACTTTCAAAAGTGGACTGTATCCAACAAAACTAATTATGATGACAGAACAGTAGACTTTTAGCGCTATAAGGGACTACGTCCTGACGCACTTTGATTGTCCTTCAAATTCCCATTGGTTGGACTTTACGATGGACCTCTTGTTACGTATCCGATCGGCAACGTAAGGCTAATTCTTAATGTTTTCTCAATCATAGACGTTCCGTAGGTTAACACTGGATGGCTGAATCACGGGATATAGTACTTTTAAGGTAAAAAAGGAAGTATATAGGCAGATTATTAACTCACCTCGTTAGTAACTTCTAACACCTTATCGACAGCTGCAGGAAAATCATAGAGACCAATATCATCAATGCTGTATTTGTGCAAAGAAGACACCCAAGGACAAGCCGTTGATAACCTCGTATCAAATAGCCAGACATCATATTCTCTTTCGACAAAGTATTCAAGGAAATTGACTGGAATCGTGTCCAATGTAAAAAGGATTGTGTTTGTTCCCATTCCATGGCATGCCACAAGTGGCCCCTTTCCGCCACCGTTGTAACGCGTTATCCGCAGTTCCACCTGCAAAAAAAGTTCACTTGGTTTAAATGCGTTAACTATCTTTTTGATAAAATACTCCACTGTATACATGGATGACAAAGTTATAAGTACCCATGTTTTTGTGAAGCAAAATTAGTGCAAATAAAGACATCAAGTGTGCGAATAAAATAAACATGCCTGCTTCTTATTTCTCCTACAGAAACGTATTGCCTTTTGGAATCTTTGCTCCAAAACTCTTCAATCAGGGCATTTCTTGGCCTGAATCTCAACGATATGGCTTTCTTGATCCAAAGGGAAATCGATCATAGAGTTTCAAAGAAACCATGACTTTAAATCAAGAGGAAGACCATGCTCTAATCTTCGCTACAAAGATTCTTTCCATTAAGGAATGTTGCAGGAAATAAAATGAGCAATGTATGGTGGGACAAGCTTATCAATAGGGCTTTTTAAAGATCCTACCCCGGTACCAAGCTTATTTGAGGAAATATTTTTGGCAGAAATGGAGCGATTTTCCACCCATAAAAGAACTTAAAACGAAAGGAACCTTTACAGCTCTAAACTATCAAAATGCATTGAAAAAGCATACATTATCATCGGTTGTAACTTTGTACACTTCAGGGTAGGCATCACCAAGTTTTAAGGGCCTTTTCTTTCTTGGAGGAGCGTTTGGATCCAGGTATTTGCATTCAGCTATTCCACTGTAGGTATTCCAAAGGACATTGGCAAAGAATTTACCAAACTTCACTTTCCACTTCATCTTCTCGAGTATGCCTTCCGTGTTCAAAATTTCCATTGTATCTAGTTGTTTTGAAAAGTCTTTAAATCCGATTTTTAAGACTCCACTTGCAATCAACGGGCCAGATTCCTCTATTCCTTGAAAGATTTCAATAAACAAAGTTGTTGTGTCACTCAACCCAGTTTCACCAACTTTATCAGCTTTGATAATCTTCTTTCCAAAAAAGCGATATTGTTTATTCTCTTCCGAAGTTAGGATGAACTTATACAGCATTTCCTTAGCATTGACGATCGATGTACTTTCAATAAACAAGTTGAAAACACCTAAAATAATTGCAACAAAATAAATCCAAAATGATATAAATACACATTTTCCATATTAAATAAATGTATAAACAATCTTTCCGTGGTACAGAATTTAAAAATGGCTTTGAAAAAAGCAAACATTCTGGAACAATTTACTGAAGTTATTAGTTACTGATTGTTCTTAGTTCAACTTCATCTTAACTATGGAAATTTTTGAGCTTCACATCATCAAGAATGGTCACGTCAAAGGTGAGACAGCGCGTTACTTAACCAGCTCACCTTTATGATAACCTAAAACTTAGCTTCGGACCGAATTTTTCATGTTTCATAGAAAAAAAAGATTGATACCTCACAATCTGTGTAAAGCTGCCTTGTCGTTCTTGATTTTGATTTTCAGAAGTAATTGTGAATTAAACAGCAGACGGCAAACTCAAATTTTACAAAAATTTACAAAAACACCAACTGAAAACAGAAAGGCCCTTTTGTTCAAAGTAATAGGAAATTTCCAGTTAGAACAAGGAATGATATTGGAGGTAAACAAAATTCCAGAAATCCAGAGCAAAGGTGTACCTGAAGAAATTGTAAGTGGTTCATCTGACAGAGCTGGACACGTGACAGTCCCAACAATCGAGGCCTCGTGATTCGAATCATGATACAACATGTGATCAATGTCATGTGACTCAACTGTCACAACAAACTCGCAGTTAGACAGTTCCCCCGTCTCTTCTACTGTCACCTGGCCAGACATTCTCTCAGTGAAACGAATTCCTGGTTTTTGATCTGCATTTGCGATAGTACCTAATAAACAAAAAAGGACAGTGAAGAATGCAGAATTTGGACTAAGTTCTCAGGACAGTTAAGGTCAGTGAAGTATGCAGAATTTGGACTAAGTACAAGTCTTGATCGAGATTACAAATTTACAAAAAGACTTGAGCAGAAACATCAAATCTAGTCCAGTAGGTCCAACTAAGAACAACAGTATGGATCAAATGTAAACTTAAACTGCAAAAATTTGTAATAAAAAGGCACAGGCTGTGTAAAATTCAAAAGTCCATTAATTTTAAACGACGCAAAAAGCAGGAACATAATGGTATTACCAGGTGTTACATTTCCATGTTTCATGTCATTTTGAACTTTTTTTGGGTAGGAGAGGGCAGGAAAAATCAATCTACTATTATAAGCATTATATTATAAGATTAAGAAAAACATACTGAAGTCTTTAACTGAGTTGTAGTCAATTTTCCATTCAGCATCTTCTATAAGCAATCTGCAGCATCGTTCAGCAAGGATTGAAATGGTCATCGCAGGATTAACCCCAACCGATGTTGGTATAATAGCACCATCCATTACATAGAGGCCAGGGTGAACATCGTCAGAATCCCCTGCAACGAAGAATCAATCAAAATTAATGAGTGTGAATAACAAACAGAGCAGCCAGTTTAGCATTTTCTATATGAAATTGTCTGTGAACTTATATTAATATTTTATGGCAACTAGACTGTATAACTGCGTCTTAAGAGTTCTTTTCTAGTAAGTAGTTTGGGTTCAAAAGCCCTTGTGAGATGATGATTTTCTTAATATATAAGCTTTGAAAAATAACGTGAAAGTGCGTAAATACTTAACCAAAACATGAAAATGCTCTAAACATTTAAGACTGAGTTCATCAAACATGCAGGCAGTCTACATGATTGACGGAACTCAAAGAGCAGAAATCTCTGACTATCTTTCAAAGACATGACGAAACAGAAAGTGGTATAACATGTAAAATTAAGACATGAAATTACCCCTTTATCTCACCTATAAAAACCTGTCCCTTATGATTGACAACACCATTTTCCCCATCATCAGCCATAGGACATCCGCCCAAAGGATGAACAGTAATAAGCTGTTTGTCAAAAAGATTGCTCCACACTGGGTTGGCAAGAAACGTTCCACCAAGCTCCGTTGTTATTTGGTGCAAGCGCTCGTTTATTCTTTCAAATATCTTTTGATGCCCAACATCTTCCCAATGAACATACGCACCACCAGATTTTGGATCCAGCTTGACAATTCCAGCCGAGTCATCGTGACTCATGCACAGAAAAGATAGGGTTTTCTTGATTTCTTCGTCTTTTAATCTCTAAGAAAAATTTTGTTGATTTTAGAGCATGCAAAATTGTTGCCAGAGGAAGGATCACTGGCGACACTTTCTCTTTCTACTATTAAAGAAAGAATCCCTTTAATGTGCTATCGAATGCCAACATTTCAATTCCTGACATAAAATAACGCTATCTATGTTGACGACAAAAACATTGTATGAATGCTTCATTTTCATTTTCTGTTAAACATATGATTTTTAATGGCCTAAATAATAACTAAGCCGTGTAATAACTGGCATGTAAACGTTGGGGTTAATTCAAAAGAAATGGGCTTATACGAAGGGGCTCAATTTGAGGATATATGGTATCTTAACTAGCAATCTACTTTCAACTTTCTGTTATAGAAGTAGCTTTCTATCCAATAAATATTGAAAACACACTAATTGACAAATCTTACGTAATACCTCGTGCCGTAAGATCGAAATTACTTTGAAAAATAAAATATATTTATGTTTCTAGCATATTGAACTTGATATTTTACCCTGATAACATGACAATATGAGGAAGTCTCCAATGAGGGAAACAACTTCAGGGAAATCCAAAAAGCTCAGCTTATCAAAACATAAGAGTTCATAGCTTCTTCTCCGTCAATTACTTTCTTCATAAATAACATAGAGGAAGTTAAGATTTCTTAGAAACTCTCAAACATTACTTATGACTATATTTTTCTAACTGACACGCTATCAAATACTTAGACAGTTTAAAGAGTAAATGATGGAACTTTAGAAACATGTGATATTGCGGACCTTCTGCTGAGTATTTGCTTAAACGCAGGCACCTTAATATAATAGCTCCAAAGAAGTATTATTAAGGGTACTGATATCTAGCTTACAGGTAACATATAGGAAAAAGCAGAGCTAAAATACCTCAATAAATTTCTCAAACTTCTTCGAAGCAGGGAAAGTCTTAACACCAAGCGTCTTGCTAGCAAACGACAATGCTATCTTGAGAATAGTCTCTGACGCACCAGGTGGAGTTCCGTCTTCGATAATTATGCCATCTTTGCATGAAACTCCAGGAAGTGATCTGAAATCGATGACTGAGGTAATGGCTGGTCCGGGACATTCTTCAGTGAAATCATCAAAATCACCCGTTTCCAATCCAATCGAATTCACCTCTTCGTTGCCATGGTAAGAAAACCCAAGAGCGTCACCATTCCCTGTAAATCTTGAACCAACCTTTTCTGATATCTCTAGCCCCCGTTCTTTTGATTTCAGCAATATTTTGGTAGATCCAATGGAGCCTGCTCCAAGAATAACGTAGCTTGCACGGACAACTTGTTCCGCTTGGTTGAAGCCTTTATGATCAACTTGACGTTTATAAAAGACTTTCCAGAGTGAGGCATACGGGTCCCTTTCAACTGATACTACAGACACCTAAACCCAGAAAGAACAAAGTCTTTTACAGGAGTCTATTACAGAAGGAAAATAAGTTAATCATCTAAAGATGGACAATACAGCTATATATATCATTAAGAAATTACTTTGAATATCAGGCAGTACTCTTTTTAGAAAATGGGAGTGACGAGGAAGGCGAGAAGCAACCAAAATACAATCACAAGTACCAAAAAGCATTAACATATCACACAACAGCTATGCCAATATTCATGTAGACAAAATTTCAAATTGAAATTGTCAAACATTTTTACAACCCTCAAAATCACAAACACATATCAATGTTTGAAAACGTTCTGATAAAAATTATATCAAACCAAAAATATATAAACACCATTTGTGTGTTGTCACAAAAAATTTTCTATCTTTAGTTAATGCCAGAAGCAAAAATGTTATGTACATTTTGACAAAGAATTTCTACATGAATTGGAAAAGTATTGGAAAACTAGTTATTAAAACAGGTTGATAAGGGGAAAACAAAGTGACCTCAGTGAAAATCTCAGCACCATGTGCCCTGGCATCTGGCAAGTAATTCATATTCAGTGTGTTCTTCGCACCAGTATTGCACCCACTGCAGCAGTTTCCACAGCCGTTGCAAGCTGGCTGGTTGAACCTGTGCTGCCTTGCATTTGATTTTTCTTTTTCAAAGTTAACGAATCTGAACACAAAAACAAGGAAACGTTTAATTTTGGAAAGATAAATTGCATAACTGGATTTTAAAATAGACAATAAAAAGTCATGCAGTACTATCTTGACTTGCAAAGCTTGATAGTCTATGTGATAGCTCTGAGTTTCAACAGACAATTCAAAATTATCTTCCAATTCGATTTTTCTATGATGCAGGCTAAAATGGCTAAATACTGTAGATGTGTTGTCCGGTGATTTAACTAAAAGTGGAGCTTAACAGCTACAACGCAAAAATGTCTGGTTTCACCATTTAAGTTTCAAGTTAAATGAACCTGAACATACAGTGGTGTCTTTCTGAAAATCTTTCCAATATCTTCAATGTCAACAAGTCCAAGACTTTTAGCTGCTTTCTCCATTGCCTCAAACTTCTTTAGCTTTGGCAGACTATCAGGGTATTCAGTTGGCAACAGCATCTCATTTACATGTTTACGGTCAATATCCATCATGCCTTTCATATCATTTTTTATCTCCAGTGGCCACCTTTCATCCTCAAAAACCCTTGGATCAGCATCCAATGCAACATTTGCATTAATCAATGATGTCCCACCAAGACCACAACCCTGAACTACAGTAATATCCTTGCTGACAACCACCTCAAACAAATCTGTTGGATCACCTAGAAACAAAAAAACCAAATCACTCAGGGAAGTTGGAACAACGTGTGCATCAAAATGCTCCTTTCAAAAAGTCCTCTCTTTGAAAAAGTGTCCCTTACCCTAAAGCAGTGCCCCTTCTACCTGTGCCTGTCCAGCTTTGAAAGTCTTCCAGCCACCTTGAATTTAGTAAATGATTCTAACAAATACATGAAAATTGTAGCAGCAATCTTTATGGGGAAAACGCCTCAAAAGCAATATTATTGGTAATAGTTGCCAGATAAAGCCATTTTCAGTGGACGCTCTAGATTCCAGGAAGTCTTAAGTAAGGGACAGGGTAGAGTTGATGACACCTGCTGAAAAAAAAAGATTACAAGGTTTTAAAAAAGCTTGTCCAATTTTCTCAGGCCACGCCCTTGTTATCAAATCACGTTAACAACAAAAAGAGTGCACTGGAGCATTCTGGATATGTATACCATAAATCCTCGAAGAAGCCCCCTGGGGGCTTATTTATTTTTGTATATTTTTGGATGGGGGCTAATACGAGGGGGGCTTATAAAATTATTGTAGACAATAAGAAGACATTATTAAAAGACCTTATTTATTTTAGTAGGAATTTCTTTATGAGCATTTAATTAATTACTACCAAAAGTACGAATTCGTCATGGTAATTCAATAAAACACCATGGGCAACCTTAGATGGCAAAAACCGTCAAATTGAGGGGTCCAATTCAAGAATATACAATAGCAGTGGGGGCTTATTGGAGGGGGGGGGCTTACTGACAGTTTGTAGTTTTAGAGTGGGGGCTTATTCAAGGGGAGGGCTTTTTCAAGGGGGGGGGCCAAATCAAGGATTTACGGTACATGTACAATTAGAGATGTTGAGCCAGGTGTGGGCAAAGGGCAAATGACCTCCAACTTTTGAAAAAATCATTTTACTAGAAGTAACCTCTTTAAAAAAGTGTCCCTTTATTTGTGATGTGGTGCCCCTTCCTGTCTGTTCCCCTCCAACTTTGAAATGCTTCCAATATCTCTGTGTACATTGGAAGAGCCTTGAAATGCTTCCAAACAAGAAGAAACTTCCAAACAACAAGAATAAGTTACTTTTGAATACCCAAACCACATTTAAAGCTCTGAGTAATTAGCATTACATGAAATAAATTAAGCTATACTAGACTTTAGAGCTATGCTTAGATTTGCTAGAAGGGCAGTGAAAAATTTATAATTTCCAAATGAAATCTTAGCATGAAAACTTGACAAAGTCAAAATATCAAGCAAAATATCAAGCAAAATACCTATGACATGTGGTTTTCCTTCATGATTGATTTGAAAGTGTTTTCTTGCTTCATTAAATGTTTCTGGAAAATCTCCAGGTAGCCATTCTCGCCCTCGTTCCAAGACACAAACTCTTTGTCCAGCACGTGCACAACGGCTTGCTGCAATGGAAGCACCATACCCGGACCCCACAACTATGACATCATAAAGTGAGTCAATTTCACTGTGTATTGAGGAGATGCGTGGAAATGCAGTCTAAAGAAAACAATTTGACAATGATAAAAAACTGAAAACTATCAAGTTGCTCAATTTCTTATGAGAAAGCATGTTAAGATTAGCACTTATCATTCGCCAATGCCATAATAAGAACTATAAAACAAACATATTTCTAAATTACACCTAAGGCCACCTATTAAAGTTTAAGGGGGCAAATTATGGACTAAAAAGATTTTCAAGACAAAGTGTTTTGGGTATTAAAAAAGAAGAACAGGCAATATATCCTTTGTTAATAAAATTCTAAATGCATCCTTGGAGCAGCATTGTACAATTTTTAGGCATAATTTCATGTCTTATTAATTGCTTTTTTGAGCTGAAAACCTTGAGGCACCCCCTGAACCTTGAGGCCCTAGGGCAGTTGCCCCTATCTTTTGGTGGCATTCTTTGTGAGTTTGTAGTTTTGGGCTTTTGTTAAAGCAGATTGCACGGAAAAAATCTAAATCATCACCCAACAAAGTCACCCTTTCCCCCAACACTCTTTTTGCTCATTTTGTATAGCATCTAAGCATTCAAGGGTACTTTTTGGCCATGCAGTTGGCAAAAAGGACAGATTGGTAAGGTGCAAAAAGGGCATTTTACCTTGAGTTTTTAAAAAGTGAGGAGCACATGCCCCCTGTGCCAAGAAAACAGGGCAAAGCGACAGCAAAATAACAAGAAGTTGCTAAAGTTTACAAGGGTAAAGGGGCAACTGCCCCCTGTGCCCCAATAATCTTGCGTCCTTGTTCACTTTCTCAACGACAAAAAAAGCAGACTTTTATGGCTAATCAAGGAAAAATATGGTTGTCTATGAATAGTTTCCCAGCATTAATAAGCGTTTTAAAGGGGCCTAAAAAGAAAACTTGAAGTCTTAATCTCCGGAAGACTCCCAATTCAATTGTTACGGCTACAGTGTAAATAATTTATGCATAACTATGAGGCCCTATAAGGGGTGTTTGAAATATGAAATGATTGAGATCTTCAGAATGCAAATATAAATCTTTAGGTTTTTAAGTCTTGAAATATAAAATAACTTTGGTTCCCAGTATGAAACATGAAACAACAAAATAACTGAATAACTCTTTAAATGTTGTGTTAGAATTATATACTTGATAACAGCATTGACTTTTTATACATTCTAAAAAGTTACCTAACAAGTTACTGTAATACCTTAACTACACGCTACTTTACATACACTACAAAGACAATACCCCGGGGAGCATTAACTTTGTCTACCCCAGGGCCATAACATAGAGAGGAAAAGATGCACGTTTGTAATTACAAATACTTGAAGATATTTTATCTCAAGCATCGAGACTATTGATCTCAAGCATTGACTTAAGTGACTATTGATCTGTAGACCTGTTAAGATACCAACCATATTACACCAGGGTTGTTCTTTTAATCTTTTCAATCTTTCTAGGGGTTTAAAAGGCTTTTCATACTTTACGTATAGGAAAAATACCAATAGCATAAAATCTACCGCAAGTACTTTTTGCTTATATTATCTATCAAAATAGACGAGAACATCAAATAATATCATAAACATGTTTTTTATCTATTGCCACATATACTTACTAGGAATTCTTCTCAAGACCACTAAACCACTGTTTTGTAAGCCATTTAAGATGCAGGATTGATTTGCTTATAATAATATTCAGAAAGTTATTGTTCGTTCTTCAATTTTTTTATCTAGAGCGAACATGTTCACCGAAAAGTTATTCTTATCTTAAAAATGTTGTTTCTGACCATACCTTTTAATTCAGCATGGTGCCAATAGGTAATGCTAAAAGTGATTATAAGTTACGCAAAAAGATCAAATAATAAGGCAATATTATGAAAAGCCACAAACACGCAAGCGCAAAGGGAATTTGGTCCACTCCAACTGTTTTATTTTCAAACTCGTTTGAAGTTTAAATCATAGAAATAAAGGCCACCACTGATCATTTTAAGCCTTGCAAACATTTTGGTAATTGACCAGAAGTCGCTTTACTGAAAGCATGAAAAATGCACGGTCAGCAAAATTGCGACATTCGAATTTTTCAAATCAAATCAAATCTCATCAAAAAAGCTTGTAACGTGGACATGACTTCCGGTCTTCTGTCAGAAGGTTCCCAAGGCTTAATGATTTAAACCTTAAACATTTCGGTTAGGCTGGTTGGTAAATATATATTCTTTATAATCGTGTAGTCAATCTGCAGCATTTATTACGATTTCTTCTTGACAACATCGTAAGAGTTCATTTCACTTAGCTTTAGCTTCGCATTGACATTATTTTACATTATTTCTTTCTATTGAATGCACCCAAGACTGTAAGTGGCTAGAAATAACAGTATGACTGTAGTATGAAAAATCCATTAAACAACTGAATTTACTGGTTGTTAGGAATAAAATATGAAATAATTGCAAGATATCATGAAATATGAAATAATGTCATCCCCCCTTATAGGGCCTCGACTATAGAAGTGAATTCATCCCGTGAGGATGCGTGCAACTCATGACACAAACTGTGCAGTTTTGGAAGCTCCTATGTCTGGTACTTCTCTAGCACAGGAGCGGTTATTGGGCTTCCAACTTCACTAAAAACGCGTGGGCTGCTTCCGTCGATCGAAGGATCAAAGATGACAGACTCTCCAAACTTCAACTTCAACTTCAACTTCAACATTTCATTATCAGTATATTTTAAATAATTACAAGTGATACGATAGTGCTAACATAAACGATTAGAAGATTTAAAAAGCATATTTTACATGAAATTGTCAGCAAGGAAAAATTAAATACTGAAGGAAACGGTCTTCAAACAAACTTTACCAACAACAAGCATCTGCAGATACCCATTCAACAAAGAAATTTCAAGAGTTTTGTAAACAAGTTATGAATCAAGAGTTGTAAGGGCTATAGAATCGCTTAGTTTCCCGCGTAAACAAGTTGCTGGACAGGAGCGACGTTGTTATCATAAAAGTTTATACCATGATTGACAGTAAATATCGGATTTCACGGGATTTAGTCCTAACTTTCAAGCCCAGAGATGATTGATTTTGTGAAAATTCGTCAACATCTGACAATAGCCATTGCAGTTTCACCAAACCAGCAGTTTTTAAGTTTTAACCCCTCCGTTAAATGCAAGCCAGTTTGACTGAACGTATAAGTAAAATGTAAATTGTATATATCTGAGATAAAATGTATGGAATTAAAAAAGTTGATACATATATTATATACGACCAATATCTACGACCAATCCCCGCAAGTTTAAACACTGTTAAGTAAAAGAGAAAAAAACTCACATTATTTGCTGAATTTTTTCCTTTCGAACCCATGCTCATTCTAAAACTCTGGCATCGCTCAAATGCGGATGTCTTTCACGATACGGAATACTCACACTTCTTGGGACAGGAGCGTTGATAACCTGACAACAACCATACATTGTTTTCCTGATAATACAGTACATGTCGTCATGGCAATATAAGCAATAATGTAAACCACCTTCCATTGTACAAGGACAACAACGTCAAAAATAATTAAACAGGTGGGTTAAAGATTGTTCACGAAGCACTTAAAAGTTACAAAGATTTCTTTGTCATCAATACACACTATAAAAATACTTTTGTTTATTGCTGAACGTCAATAATCTATTAAATCAGTGGTGAGGAATCAAGGGGGTCAGGGAGGTCACTGACCCGGGGGCCCTTTGCTATAGGGGCCCATAAAAATAATTCAATTGAAAAAAATTGTAAGTGATAATCCAACTATTCCATTACCACAAATTGTCATTAGTAGAGACAATAGTGATAAAGTCTATGAATGAAATAAGGTAGAAGCAGTTTGAGACCCTGTTTACACGAGACCGGTTCCACAAAGATCTGTATCCACTTGAGTTCACCATGGGCTCCGACGCAGGTTGGAAAGTGGAGGGGCCAAAAGAAATATTACAATCATAACAAAAGTTTTTAAAAAAAGCTCTATTGTTTTGCAAAATGTGAGGGGGCAATGGCCCCCCCGGCCCCCCCTTCGTCGGAGGCCCTGTTCACTTCCTCCTGTTTACACGGGACCGTCTCCAAAAAAGTTCACTTACGCTTTCTGTTCACACGAGACCTGAACTCAAGATCGTTTGTGAAAAAAAGCTCAAAACACTCAAGTTGAAGGCCCCTATTACCGTGACAACAAACGTGAAAAGGTGCCAAATTCACTTCGCTTTCGCTTTATTTCTAAAGTTTCTCCACAAGGTTTCTGTTCTCCCAGGCCTCGTCCAGAAGGTTCTTCTCTTCTATTTCTTTTCAATTCTCAGCTTGTGCAAAACGATCATGTCATTTGGAGCTCTGCTCTGCTAACGCAAACAACCTGTTTTGTCGATATCGATGAACCTTTGACATTAGGGTTGCGAATAAGAAACCACAAAAGATCCAATTTCGAGTGTTTACACGAGACCAAATGAGACCGGCTCCAAATAAGTCATTTTCCGTAATAAGTCATAATTGAACATTTTCCATTTTCTAAGGCTTTCAAAATTTCTAAGAAATTTTTATTTTTATGCATTATTGTGTAAAGATATCATTTATGCTCAAATTATATCAAACAGCCAACAGAAGTAACAAATAGCCACTAGACAATGGCGTAGACAGGAATATTCGTAGGAGGGTGAGAAACTTAGATTTTCCGACAAAAATCTAACAATCATTTATATTTTTTCATAATTTTTAACATGACATGACGACTTCGGAACTGGAATAAATAAATATTTTGATATATTCAGATATTCTTAACATAGCAATTAGATAAACATAGACAACCATGTTAAATTTCCGACAAGACCAGAGATTTTCTGACAATATAGCAGTTAAGCTCTACAAGGGTTTTTGCCCCCTCTGACCCCCCTCTATCTACGTGTAACGTTTTAGGATTTGCATTCTTCAATGATGATTATTATTATGTTAAGCTAGATTCTTTGGTTGTTGCGTGTTGATGTCACATGTTTGTTTGTCGCTTTCCGGGAAATGTGCGTCACTGTCATCTTGTTATGTGATGTTTCACAGTGTTCCTTTGTTTGCTATCTATTCGGGGCTTTGGCTCGTTGGCCTAGCCTATTGGTTTGATTACAAAGACACCGTCTTAAGAAGAACCTATAATTGTTACATACGCCACTGCCATCAAAACAGTTTAGCCACCATAGCAATATTAGCAACCAAAATAGCCACCATCGCAATTTTCGAGAGCAATTTAAACAATCATCAATTTTGAAAATTCCAGGGGGAGCATTCCCCGTATCCCTTCGAAGCGTCTACATGTCCTGACCCGGGGCCCATGAATCCTCACTGCGGCCCTGTATAAAATCATTTAATTTGGGCTGTGAAGCAGTTGTGGCGCAGGCAACTGAAGAGTTGGAGGACAATGGGCGTGGCTGGTGAGATCACGCCCCTTTTGTCTCATTTCAGTGATTTACACTACCGGGTGAAATTTCCTTAGGCGAAAAATATGATCTAGAGCATTTTAATCAATTTCTAGAAGAAATATGTGGACAAAAATAGGGGGTCATTATTCTCCATACCTCCCTTGGCGCCGCCACTGCTAATTTTCGTTCCTTATTAAATCTAAAAAAGCTTGATTACGATTTACATTAAAAGGGTTATTCTAAAAGTTTGCAGCTACCACCTAAAGACTTATTCTCGTTCAGTTGCTGTAACCTTAAAAGACCTTTTTCAATGCTTGTACTGAACAGAGTTATCAGTATCACACAAACCCTAAAACACGTCATTGGTAGGAAATCATATTCTTGCTGATTTCCTACAAATCTTTGTAGTTGAATGAAAAACTAGCTCCAGATGCTATAAACCGTTTTTTCAAGATGCACACTTAAGTAAGTCATAAACGCACACTAACTGGCGATGATATCTTAAAGTTGAAGTTGTATACTGAGTCCATTTTATTTTAAAATAGCATGACAGAATAGCGATTGATTTTCCTCCGCATGTAATGAGGCTTCCTGTTCTAAAGTTTCTCAGTTCTTTCTTATGGTCCATTGATTACTCGATTCTTTTAAAGCAATTTTCTAATAAAAAAGAGTGCAATACACAAGGCTGGGATTGGGCATTCGCTTTTCGTTGAAATACATTTTTCTAATTCTGATGCTTCAATTTTAAATGCTTCCATTGGTATTTTATGCTGCACTTTATGAAAATGCACTTTTTGCAAATCCGCACTTTCTGCAATTACAGATCCACAATATTAAATTGTAACTCCAAAAAGTGAGTAAGTTCCACGCGTATTTTGGACCCTGAAATATACTATCGACCAGTGATTCTTTTAATTTATGCAACCATCAAATTTGCCGAGTAAGCACCAAAAATGCCAAATCTGCCGAGTAAAAAACCGATTCATAACTCTTGAGGGGAGTCACAATCAGGGAAGGATTTAAGCAACAATGATGAGGGGTGTTAGACACTAATTGGATTTTGGTGCCACACCCTTAAGGTCACTAGAAAATGATGGAAACATCAATTTTCAAAATTCAGCTTTTAACTTTAAGGTAAAGAAGAAAAGAAAATAAATAATATATAATTTTGGCGTTGTTTTGTTGCTATTGACTACCAAAAAATGATTTTTCCCAACTGGAAGCAAAATTTAGCGAGGAAACACAGAAATATTAGGGGTTGTCACACCCCTCTACACCCTCCGTTAAATCCGTCCCTGCAGACAATCGCCGACACTCTTACGATAGCAACCAGGCTTTAAAAAGAAGATAAAAAGGTATCAGTTCTTTGACTGGTATACGATAGTTAGGCGTTGCACCAATTTTTTCCCGCCTTAATTCAATAACATATTAGTTCCTCACCCTGTATTCCGCATGACCTTCTTGTTGCAAAACTTCATGCTTATGGTTTTGATGAATGTTCTCTAGTCCTTATTTACTCCTATTTAAAAAGGCGCTTACAAGCAGTTCGAGTAAATGATACTGACAGTGATTTTCAATCTGTTTTATCAGGGGTACCGCAAGGATCAGTCATTGGCTCTATTCTTTTCAATTTATACATCAATGACCTGTTTTATTTCATTAAAAAGGCTTCTCTTGTGAATTACGCAGATGACAACACTTTAACACATTTTTCAAAAGACCTGCCTCAATTAATTTACGTCTTGGAAAAAGAAGCAAGCATCGCCCTTGCCTGGCTCAATCAGAATGGAATGATTGCTAACCCAGAAAAATTTCATGTTCTTATCATCAGAATGGATAAAAAAAGTACCATTGGACATAGCATTTCTATTCGAGAGAAAACTATAAATTCTGAAGCTTCAGTAAAGTTGCTTGGCGTAACTATAGATCACAAACTTAATTTTGACATTCATATATCCAAACTTTGTAAAAAGGCAGCAAACCCAGCTGAATGTGTTCAAAAAACTTAAATCTTTCATTGGCTTTGATGAGAAAAAGGTATTGGTCCAAAACTTTGTTTTCTCTAACTTTAACTACTGCCCTTTAGTGTGGTTCTTCTCCTCGACTAGATCTATGGAGAAGATCGAAAAAATACAGGAATGAGCCCTACGATTCCTTTACGATGACCATGATTCATCTTATAGAGACCTGCTTTGCAAATCACAAAAATGCACAATGCCTGTAAGTCGGCAAAGGAACCTCTGTATTGAAATCTTCAAAACTGTAAAAAGGTTAAATCCTGATCGATCCTCAAGACTTGCAGCACTACAGGCCCAACAAAACAACTTTCGGTACAAACAGCCTCAGGTCTCTCGGACCACAAATTTGGAATGACTTACCACAGGAAATAAAATCTGCAGAAAATCTGATCCAATTCAAAAGATTAATTAAAAACTGGAACGGGGCAACCTGTCCTATAACGTATGCAAAACTTAATGATTTTATTGTAAATTTGTATTTAAAAACTATTAAAAATTGTTAATTAAATTTGTATATTTTGTAAATAATCGAATTAGAAAAGTTACGGTTGTGTAGCTTAAAATTACATATATTCGATTTAGAATAAGATTACAATTACAATTACAACAAGATCTTTTACAAGCATCTTGCCACACTAATTAATCGTCAAAAACCTAAACATACATAATATTAACAAATCTTTACCTAATCGCTCTTAACCATGAATTCAACTAACTCTGTAAAATAACACGCTCAAAATATAACCTAAAAAAGAACTAATTGAAATACTACATAGCTAGGCATTTACAAAATAATAGTGATTACAAAAGATACTACTCTCAAGATTAATTAGGTAAACTGAATAAAGATACAAAAATTCCAAATGAAATAATTAATGAACATAAAGGTGCAATAAGATAACAAAAGGAATTATAAATTATCGAATGTGCAAAAGGTATTGAATAACTAAGGTTACAAGTTGCAAAACAAACTAAATCCAAACTAGCACTATTACAATTTTTTTCCGGGCAAAAGAAACAGTTTTTTTTACTTACCCTGTTAAAGTATGTCATTAAAGTATGAACTCTGAAACAGAAACGCATAAAAGCAGCATATAACAGTACTTATCTTTTGACCACGCCAGCCACGTAGCTGCAGGGGGGCACGGGGGGCTGTGGCCCCCAAATGAAAATTTTTACAACAGCTTGCCCCCTCTGGCTACAGTTTTTCCAAATGATATTTTGAAAATTTGGCATATTCATAATTCCATGACCTTGATTTTGTCCAAATATATCTGTTTGTTATATATCTGTTTTCTTGTTTTATAGCCTGCCCCCCTGAGGTATGGTTCTTGCTCGAGTTTGCCCCCCCCCCTAGCCGACACCTACAGCTACGAGGTTGGACCACGCCCTTAAAGAGTGAGACACATCCTTTTTCGTCAGCAAAAGAATACTTCTTTACCCCTCCAAACATTTATTTTGCTTCGCCCCTAATTGCAGGCCAAATCACTCTTACAAAAAAAACAGCTGACAAATCACAAAATTATAAACAGCTACACAAACTTAAACTTCTTGGTTGCTGTTGTCTATACTTTTTTCAGTCTTTGGCTAGCCTTTCGTGTAAGAACAGAGGACATAAAATGTTCTTCACCTCCCTGAGAGGTATCCTTTGCCTTACGTGTTGTTTTATGTTATGAATATCAAACTGGGAAAGGTTGGATTACTTAATTTTCTCAAAATAAGGCAATACTAAATATAAAATTTGTTGACATTCAATAAACCTAAGACGGGCCGGGAATTTATATGAAAATATAGAATATAAAAGAATCAAGGCAGTGACAAAAATATGATAGGGGGATGATTATGATTCTGAAAATAATAATAATAATAATGTGAATCAGCCCTTGTGCATTCTGTTAATTTTTAAAATGGCAGCCTTTGGAAGGTTAGTACGGGTTTCAAGAGCTCTAGTCAATGCAGAAACAATTTGGAAAACAACGAAACAGCGGAAAGCTATAGAATGTTTAAAGACTTCAGGCCTTTCCATTCCACAATCAAAAAGATACTTCAGATCCTCTATGGCAGTTGCGAAGAAAACGTGAGATTTTCAGGCCTAAGGCCTGGTTAGTTAGACTAGTTCCTTGAAAAGATTTTTGCAAATACAGGATTGCTACAGGCATCATTCCGAGATCTTGCTTACTGAAGGCTTGTATTTGATTTTTTGATAGGTTTATATAGTTATTCTTTAGAAAGCATTTCTATTTCAAACTGGTTACGTAATAATACAGTGAGCTAGATAGGCAATAAACATTCAACGAATGAGGGAACTCTAGACAAAATATTTCTAATAAGCAACAATGAAAAGACTGAAAAATGTCAAGGACATTGTTACTAAGTGCCTGGCCAAAGATTGTGACCTTAGTGACCTGACTTAGAAAGCTGAGACTAATTACCATAAAAACATTACTATAGTGTAGTATAAGAGATCCTTGATATTTTGGGTCCCTAGTAATGTGAGGTGCGAGCACAAGAAGTCTAGCGTTGTTGCAAGAATATGCAAGTATTCTAGCCTGGCTGCTCATTGTAGCCCCCTTTTAACATTCAGCCAGATAAGATAAAATGAACCCCCCAGCTTACATCACTATAAAGTCAATCATAATTTTTCCTGGTTGAGGTAGTTACCTGAATTTTTGCAAAAAATGAAAATAAAAAAGAATAAAGATTTTGTGACACTTAAGTAGCTATGTGGTATGCCTTTTCTTGTCCTACAATTGGGGAAACATTACCATGTGTGCAGTAATTTCTGGCACACATTTGCACACACATGTTATGATATGTTGAGAAGTGCTGGTGTCTTGGAAGTCCTATGCTAAACATAGAAATCACTGAATGCAAGATTTTTTCAGTTCATAGACGGTTGATATAAAAGTACAGATTTTAGCAATTCTTTTAATTCTTTGACAGATGACGAGACAAGATTTATGGCAGGGTAAAGTGCTGTTAATATGAAATAGTGCAAATAATGTTTGATATATCAGCAAAATAATGGATAATGAGCATTTGGAATTTACAATAAGTAATTAGACAGCTTGTACCCTTAATTTTGACAATGCCTTCGCTGTTTTTGAGTAAGGTTTACATTTTGTCTTATTTTGTTGTTGTTTTTTAATTGATACCTTGAGGTTCTGTTGGATGTTTTTTTGCAGCTGTTAAATTTTATTTTGAACTATAACTATTACTATAACTGTGCTAAAGGCTAAGAGCCTGTCACAGATCTTTGGAGTGACTTCACTCTGGACAGACCATGACAGATCACTCATGTCAAGCCAAACTCGAAATGATAGCAAGTGTAACACCCAGTTGATAGATAATGGATTTCAGAAAAAATATTTTTAGAAACAATCATTGTTTCAGGGCTTCAAAAGCCAAGTTGGATTAATCTTCACATAGAGAATAAAAATTTTGGTTTTATTAGAATTTTTAGTTAGCCTAAACATTCCTTTGTCAGACTTTGGGGAAATATGTCTGATCATCATGCATCATGTATCATTTTTTCAAATATCAGTTTTTTGTTCTTTTATTTTCCCTGACAGCAAGATATTTTTAGTTAAACATTGAAGTTTTCATTTGATATGCATACTGCTATTTTTTCAGAGTGAGCATTACATTTATTGACCGGGATGGAGATAAAAATGTTGTCAAAGCCAATGTGGGGGATACATTACTCGATGTAGCTAAAGATAATGACATTGATCTAGAAGGTAACATTTATGCTGAATATACTCTTAAAATTTTGATATTGAAGTTTTTTTGTATAGCATTCCAAGTTTTAGAACAAATAAATTATCTGTCCACATAGGAATGGAACAATTACATACCAATTTTTTCTTCTGTTCACGTGGGAACACTTGCACTTTTTGTGTCAGTTTTCCAATGGGTATGCCCCTAATTCCATACAAACAATGCAAGCATTTAGCCAATTCAGCAATCATTTTGTTGTTTTGAAAAGTTTACCTGTTCACACGGGAACAAAATGAGTGCCTGCTATTTCACTATTTCACTATTTCACTTAAATCTACTATTTCACTTTTGAGATCATTCCACTTTTTAGAAGGGAACTATATGACTTGAAGTACCCCCATTTGAATGCAACTCCTAAGCATTCTACATTTTGGAACAGATCAATATGGATCGGCAGGCAATCATTCCTGTGTGAATGAGGCTTTAGAGAGCTGGTGACTCTTCTCACTTCTTAAGTGGAAATTCAGTCATGGCAGGGTCTAAAACTCCAGATCCTTTGAACTAGTGTAAGCCGCAACAAGGTCAAGTATAATTTCATGGAAGTTACAAAGCAATAATGTTTTAGCAATTAGCAATTAAAGACCTTGTTGCCTTGTTTGGTTTTGGTAGATACAAGTGTTGGTAAATGACAGTGGAATCAAATCTAGCAGAGATATGACAGCAGAGATACCTTGGGGACCACTATTGGCTAGAAAGGCTAAACCAAGTTCTATTGAGTAGAGCATTCACAGTTCAGTAGTATGAAAACTGACATATGTATGCAGCTAAAAATGGGCAAACCAACTGCCATCCTTAGAGCTTAAAAAAGAAACACTTATTGAAAGTTAACTTGTTGAATTTTCAGTGCGCTTGTGCTGGCCATGCCTTTTTTTATTATTTATCTTTGGTGAACAGAAGTTTAATGGCTATTGAAAAAAATAGACATTGGATATTGAATAATAAACATGAAAATTATGTTTAAAAAGCTATTTATTTTTAAGCAAGTTGTCTGTATTAAATTTAATTTTTCTGACAAGGCAGATAGCTTGGCGTTTTAAAAGTATCTTTAGAAAACTTCTTAGAAGACAACAGAGACAACAGATCGGTTTTTATACCTCCAGATAAGAAAAAATCTTCTATGTATGGCAGAAAGTCTAGTCTTACAGTTTGTAGTTAGGTTCTAATGTTCCTACACTGATAAATTGAGACTGGGGGGTTAACCAGCAAGTCATTACAAACTAAGTTCAATGTGGAGAAAGGAACAAAATTGAAGGTAAGCCATCTCAAGATGCAAAAAGCAACCCAAATTTTTAAAATGGGATGATTTTTTATTGACGGGAAGTTTTCATGGAATAATTTCTCTAGTCATTTGTTAATTCATTGCATTCTTTTATGTTTAAGGAGCTTGTGAAGGGACACTTGCTTGCTCAACTTGTCATCTTGTATTCCAACCAGAGCAATACGATAAAATTGATATAGATCCACCAACAGAAGAAGAGCTGGACATGCTTGATTTGGCTTATGGTTTAACTGACACGTGAGTTTTGATGCTTGAATTATAAACAGTATACTAATTAAAGATACTTTTTCCTGGACTGCTCAGATTTGTCATAAAAATAAAAATGTCTCAGATAAGAACTCCTTGAGGTAATAATGAAGACAAAATTCTGAGTATGTGAATCAAATCATTTCTAAACTAGATTTGGGAAAAATCTTAAATTTGGAATTCTAGAAGAGGCTGACTTTCCAATATATTCTTTATATTCAAGTAACTTGGTACCTTTATTGTGTTGAGAAAACATGATTAAAAAGACACATATATACATCATACACAATAAAAAGAACCAAGTTACCTAAATGTAGTTTGTTGTATAAGACACAGGATCTCCTCAGATCAGTGGCCCAAAATACCACATCGTTTTCCTGAATCTTATTCCAGGACAGGTACCATATTTTCAGAATTTTATTTTGTAGCAGGTATCATTTTTTCAGAATTTTATGCAAAGAGAGGGAAGGAAAATGTTTTCTGGTAGGCACATCTACATCATTTTTCCCCAAGGAAGATCCTGTAATCTCTAATGGAAATAGTGAAAAAGTATTATATGGCATATCTTAAAATTTTATTCAATAGTAAAAAGTTTAACAAGATGAAAGTTTTTATTTTGTTGACTTTATTACGATATTTTGTTAATTTGTTCATAGACATGTTGGTTTTTCTGTAGATCAAGACTGGGTTGTCAAATTGAAGTAACAGAGCAAATGGATGGACTTATATTGACTGTACCTGTATCAGTTGATGTTAGAAGTTAGTTTGTGTTATTTTGTGATAAATTTCAAGTATTTGCAAGTGAAGGTTTTAAGCTTTGTCAAACATAGTGCTAGAATTTTATGCTGTTATATAATTGAAATCGGATAGCAATGTAGTTTTGTACATTTTGAGGGATTTTATTAAGGCCTTACATCTTCAAATCATTCTTATTGCAAGCTGTATTAAGTACAATAAGCCATCCGTTTTCCGTAAACATTGTCATGCAAAAGTAACAAGCTTTTAAGTTGTTTTGCAAAATAGTAAAGCACTTCCATTACGCGTTGGATAACTGTGATTGCTTTAGTATGAATAACATATATATTAATAGCAATCCACATAATAAAATGGCTTAAGCCATCTGTCAATCAAATTTTGGCCAATCAATGAGCGTTTAGTGATATCACGCTTATTGATTGGTCAGTTGTTGATTGACAGCTGAGTTAGCCACCACATTATCTATCAGCTACCTTGAACATGTATCATAACGAGCACAAAATAGGATTAGAGACCAAAACGGTGTTAAAGGGCAGCGATATTTTTTATAGTTTATTGATGAAGGTAATAAAAATGAAAAGGCGGTGAATATATTTTTGTGGTCTTAGTTTGTTGCAAAAATGGTCCTGGTATGGCTGCTTGTCCAGAAAAGTTTCAATCAAAGTTCCGTAGGCTGAAAATGTAGGAAACTCTCACTAAATGCAAACAAAATCGAAATGGCATCTGGAAAGAGAATCTCCTTCGAATCGAAACTGATGACAGGATAACCTTAGTAGCCCAGATAAAGTATATTTTTTCCAAAAAAACCCAGCTGAAAAACGACCTGCCCAAGCCAAAGGCTACTATACATTTTGCAAAGAGTATATTGTCAAATTTGAACTATCACCTCATTACGATTAAATAACTTAGAACTGTCTGGGTCTATACACCATATCGTGTACAGCTCTGCCTTCACGGCATCAAGCACTATATAACAGACTGGTTAAAAGTAATTTCCATTACTTCTATTCATTTAGCTTGTTTCAGTAACAAAAACTTGCGCTTGGAGTCGTTTACAAGGATTATGAATCCCTCTTAGAGACACCTGCTCACTTCCTACTGCCAGTAATAGTTTTCATATACCCAATTATAATCTCCAAGACAAACGACAAATATAATGAAAATACGTTTCACCAAATTGTGTCTTACCTTTGGAATTTTTATAACACAGAAATCGAAACTTAAGTACCTCTGTGAGCAGCTAAGTGAATAAAAACCAAGGGAAGAACTAAGAGAGAAATCAAAATCAATATAAGTGGATTCAGGCCTTTGCTACGCTCCACTCTCAAAGGGCACTGACGCTGATATCTTGTTCAGATGACATGTTATATAATGCTATATAGCATTATTTTCGAGCAACCACGAAGCAAAAATAACAACACATTAACCTTAACAGATTGTTTCAAACGACAGTTCTCGCACAAAGAACAGGAACTTTATACATGCAAAACTGAATCTATAATCCTTAGTACATTTAATTGCCAACAATACGGAAGAATGGTCAGTTCAAGAACTGACCCGATCAACTTTTAAGGCTTCTAAATAATTCATTTTCTGTGGCCTCTGATAAGCTGAAATGATTAATTTTCCTATCAAAATCTTAACATGCTACATAAGATGTTCAAATCGAGCTGGCCTAATCTTGTACTACAAACAAGATCTACAAAGTATAGACGTTTATCCAAGTATGAATGCAAGAAGGGCATGAAAGTCGATGCGTGGAGGACATCCAGTGATCTTAGGTGCCCACATATTCATTTTATAACGCTATTGAACGTATTTGGTGGATACCGATGCGATAAAGCTGCAAACACTGTACATTATTGACATGAAAGAATGAGGAACATTCACAACGTAGAAAGGAACAGGAGGAATTTACTCTTCAAAGAGATCTAAGGAATATCAAATCGGACACAATTATCAACATAAGGATCTAAATCACAATTATATAAGCGTTATCTGTCAACTCATGCTCCTTTTATTTGAAACGTTGTTAGAGCAAGCTATTTCTGCATGCAGATGTTTTCTCAATATGAAGCAAGCAAGACCATCTAGTGCGCAGCTTGCCGGTGTTCACGAATTCTAAACAGTCTTATCATAAGAACCAAGGCCACGTTTTCATATGCTAATTTATGTCTTGTCCTTGCACAAGTGAAATGATAACGATTTCAGCAGATCAGAAAGGAAAGGTGTGCATTCACCTGCTATATTCGCAGAAAGCTAGCAGTTACTAAGCGAAAACAACAACAAGTTCCCTCAACAGATGTTTTTCATGGACTTTTCTCATTCAATCAACGGGAATTTCGGAATATGAAAGTATATTATTACATGTTACAAGAAGCTACAAAAACATTTATTAATGCTGGGCCACGGCAAGTCATTTATCAGGACCCAAAGGATGAATTTTCTTCGCAGAAGTTAGCATGCTATTTTGTAAGCTAGCTAGAATCACTAGCCATTATTCGATAGGATTTTTTCAAGGAGAGTTACCTTTCAAGGACAATCTGTGACAGCTCAAACAGCTTTGGGAAAGTGGCTTCGAGTTGTACCAAAATGAATAGTGGTTTGAGGCTTACCTGTGACGATGACCTGCTTTTGTCGAAAAGACTATCGACTTTGTCTATACAGGAACCCGAATACATCGCGCATGCAAGGAGGGATGGCACCAATATCTCTAGTAAAAGTGGCAGCAATCGTGAACGAAGCTCCAAATCAAGGAAAAGTGGGAAAATATTGAGCAGCAAAAAGAAGGGAAAGAGGTCAGAGAGCTGTCCACTATTAGATAAAAACCACGAGACAATTTCGTACAGGATTTATGGGAATCCAAACGGGGTGGGCTTTTTGATTGAGGCTAGAATGTTTAGATCAAAAGATGGACGACATGATAAAAGAAGAAGGCAAGCTGACACCAGAGAGGTTACTTATATTGAGTATGTAAACAAAGACGCTGCAAAGAAGTAGCTCAAGTGTGATGCTTTTAGAAAATCGCAATTGTGCTTGCGTTTGTGCTTACGTTTTTCTGATTGGCCTATTTCATTCCACAACTGGGTATATATTTTTCATGGTGTTCTTTCGGACCTTCATTCTGACGTTTTATGCTCTGAGGATTGTCAGACAAAAAAGCTTTTACTTAATATGTTGTAAAATGTTTGCTTTTATCAAAGCCATTTTCAAGTTCTGCACCGCCAAAAAAATGGCAATTGTGGAAATAATAATCGCAATTGTGGAAATAATAATTTACGATTCCATAAATAATTAACTTAATTAAGAATTGATAGATAAGATGATACCTAAAAATTGGGTATTCCTGATGTGATTAAAAAAGTTAGTATTCGGAATAGTATAACCCCTTTTTCTCTAAATAGCTGGGCGACAGGTATAGGAAACATAACCATGATACATAATATCTTTTCACACATTGATTTCGTAAGAGTTTTGAAATTATTGGAAATATTCATTAAATATTAAAGTTGTTTAGCAAACTGGTATCGACAACATGGATGTAAAGTATTTGTATTACAGTATTCCAGGCCTGACTGAGGTTAAGCGTTTAGTTCCATCTGAGAAAGTTTGAATTATCAACAATTTCAACAATGTTGTAAATTCTATCAATTCTTTTTGTAAAAATAAAGGTTTTGCTAACCAATAGCAAAATAGGAGGACATTATTTGATAGTTTTTGCCCCTTCAAATGTGCTATAATCGGTTATATCTCTTACAAACTGGCTAATATATAGCTGACGAAATTAAGTTTGTGTTGTTATTTTGGCTTGGTTATGAATTTTTGAACCAAGATCAATTTAAATTAATTTTATTGGATTGCATACATTTGGATGTCTTATTCAATTTTTGATAGTTTCAATTGTTTGATATTATTCTTTAATGCTTTTTAGACTTTATCGTCTCAGTTCAAAAATTCTAAAAATATTTGAAACGTTTAATTTAGCCATCGAGGAGTATCTTCACGAAAGTAACAATGAACGTTTTCAGCGATATATCAAAAGATGTAAGCTGATTACAATTTTCTTTTTTTTTAAATCGGCAAGGTTGATAATCAGTCGACATTGTTTTTGTATAAAGTGGCATAAAGCGAAGAGGAATTCAAGCTTGAATTTATGATAAGTAAAATGTACCTTTTAAATGAAAAAATCGGATACAGTCCATGTTCTGCATTTTGTAAAAATAAGTTTTGATAATACAATGATACCTCAAAAACGGTCACCTCCGTACAACGGCACCTCCAGATCTGCGACCAGTGGAGCAAGCCCCTGCCGAACTTATGGTCAAACTCTCATACAAAATCTCCACACAGCGACCACCTCCAATCAACGGTCGAGCAGGTAGCCTTTCCAAAGCAATGAAAATAAATTACAAAAAATTCGCTTATATTCAGAAAGTATGTATGTTTTCTAAAAAATCATCAGTTTTTCAATTTTCTGGCGAGGTCATCGATGTGGATTTTTTCAGGCACTGTGTAGCCCTTTCATGTCCCTTGTTTGATGCATTACAAGTATTTCAAAAACTAATTCACCCCTTTTGAATCAAGTCATGAAAAACTAGGTCTTGCTAATGAGCTAAAAACTGCCAAAATTTGAGAATAACTTACCACTGATGGCCACTACTTAACCAAAAAATACAAATTTTTTTTCAATCTCAGTCTGAGATCTTTGTTCAATATTTATTTACTTTTTCCTCTTCTTCTAAAAGAGTTTGACAAGTTTAACATATAATTCCTTAAGCATGCATTGAATTGGAAGTTTCAATGAAGAGAAAGAACACAGAAAATGTTACGTATGCATTTAGTGTAATAATGCTGTTCAAATATTTAATTGACAGGCGTTTATGGTCCAGTAAATGGCAAATGCCTTGATGAATGTAAACAGGCTTATTCCCTTTTTCTAGAGCACCAATGTATGAGAAACGAGCTCTATAGAGTCCTTTGGAAGATCTTCTAAAAATTAAGAAAATTTTGCCCTTAGACTTGAATTGCTTTGTTTGAAAACTCTTGTAAACGGAAAGCCGTAGAAAGTTATAAAAAAACTGCAACCTGCAAATTGTTAACAAATTTGCCGCTTGGAGAGTCGTTTTTGATGTCGCGTTATTTGTTTGCTATCTTTGTAAAATCGGTTTGAATGAGATCTAGTACCCTGTATTCATCGTAACCTGAACCACACTCTATTTTATAAGAACCAGTCAGACCTGTCAACCCTCCCGGTTTTGAATGCTTTCGCCCGCTCTCCCGGTTTTTAAAATATTTTCTCGGTTTCAAAGATGTCTAGCAGAATGTCTAGGAAGATTCTTTACCGAATGTTCGATTGAACTGCGCATCTTATGCTTCAAAGGCAGGTCCATTGTGTATGTTTTCTTTTTACAGAGGTATAATTAAGATATAATGGTCACTTTGACTTCCACATGACAACAATTTTTTGTTAGTGCCTACTGATTAACAAAAAGCACTAAAAGTTATTATGAAGATACTTCTCATGATCACTTTTGTCATAAACTGTTTGCCGAGCACAACATTTTATCAGGTATAATTATTATCTTAACAAATTACTGCGATCTTCCTGTTTTTGACCAAATCTCCCTGTTTTTCTTTAGGAAAAATCTAAAATCTCCAGGTTTTGAAAATTTAAGGTTGACAGGTCTGAACCAATAAATTGACGTTCAGGCTGGTTGTTTTTAATTTTTTCCAAAACTTTGAGGCATGATTGTTCTGAATTTATTCTTTAATTATAAGGGTGCAAGCAGTGCAGTTGATGGCTATTGTGCTTAATGAGAGTTTTCTGGTTCCTTTTCCAGACAAATGTTAGCGACATCCTTAATTTGCCGACAGGTTTTGGTAATTCGCTGTCAAAGAACCCTTAGATAAAGAAACTACTGAGGTTCATGCTCTTACACGTTTTTTTATAAGAAACTTTTTTTTAGGCCCAGCCCTCAGACTTTCTTAGCTATTTCCTATTTTCTAAAACTTTCTTAACGTAAAACTAGAATGTTTTACGTTACTAAGCATGCGCAGTGATGGAGAAGATGAAATTCTATAAATTTGCTATATTTCTCGAAAACCCTCAACGTCATACTGTATTCGTTGTTTTCTGTTCAGCACATTACTGTATTGTTGAAATATTTCACTCTTACACCACAATTCCCTTTGAAACTTTGAATATCTAAATTTGTTCAACTTTGTTTCAAAGATCCAGCCCTGAACTTTCTTAACTTTTTGAAGAACCGAGCACAACTTTCCTATAAAATATTTTCTTATAAAAAAAACGTTTATACAATTGTTATCATAAGAAATTGTTAAAGATTCTTTAGTTTATAAGAACTTTACAGTATCGTTGGGTGCTGCTTTTGAAGAAGAAGAAGGATGAATGCTCATTTCTGAAAGAATTATAATACTAACTTTCAGATTGCAGTTTCTACAGGAGCAAAGATCAAGTGGAAGGAATGAACCTGCTATGCTGTCGAGAAAACATATCAACGGCCTAAGTAAGGTCGATGACTTGCAACGATGAAAAAAGGATTTCATAATGAGCTATATGTGTGGTCTAACTATTCAAAAAAACATAAAAAACAACCTGCAAATTTGCCCAGGAAACGCGGAAAAGCGTGAAATAATCTCGTCAGAAAATTTTAGCGTGAGGTTTAATAGCAGCTGCTTTAAGAACCGTCCGGACCGGAACGAAACATTTGCGCGCAAAAATAGGTCATATTTTATCAACATCTGCTTCAGTGTGTGACCAGGCTGTTGTGTTTACATGTTGGACATTGTTGCTGTCACAAAACGCGTCTTGAACGAGGGCTTAGAACTGTGTCATATTGTAATAATTGAGTTGGATTTAAGAAGGTGCGCAATGTGAAATCGATTAAATGTGAATAAACATGGTAATTTTTGTTGTCATCGCTAGCTGTTTTACAAAACAAGCCGTTCCTTTTGGTAAATGATTGTGAATAGATGTATTATGAAAAGTCGGTCCACAGACGAAACCACGAGTATCTTTCAGAATAAAAACGGCCATTTAGGCTCCGTTGTCCTATATCTAAATTCCCAAAGTCTTTCGAGTTGTCAGATATATTTATAACCAAGCATCTTGGCTAATCAGAGGATTAAGAGTCGATTCAAAGACTTTCAAGTTGAGTTGAGTCTCTCCACCGGGCTATGGAGCATGCGAACAGTGAAGCAAGTAAAGGGAGGAAAAATAGCAAGAAACCTCGATTAAGGGATTCTTCAAATACGGAGGACATTACTTTCGTTGATAAGAACCACGATGTCAAGTCTTATAGAATTCATGGTAACCCAAATGGGTACGGGTTTGCAGTAGAAGAGGTTGTTTACAAAGCAGGCGAAAGGCGTACAGATGCCGAACGCCATGATATCAATGCTTACAACATAGTAAATATTGAGACGGATGGACATCAGCGAATTAAGCACAAGAAAATTGAAGCGAAAAGAAAAGCAAAGTAATAGCAACGGAAGTAATAGGCCGACTATTTGAGAAAAGATTTGCAACTTAAAGACTCGAGTTGCGCACTTCAGTTTCCCGGTGATAAAGGTGGCTTTTCTTTCCGAGAGAAGATTAAAAGGATCTCGATACAATGGTACATTCTTTATCCGTAAAGAAAAAAGACTTTTTTACGATCAGTGGATTAATAACAGAGATAACACATGGTTTTAAGAAGCTAAAACAACCGAACCATAATTGGTAACGTCACCAAGGCCTAAATCTGCAAAGAATGGCGAGAAAGCGTGTCTACAGTTTATTTGGAATAAATTTTCAAATAGAATAGAAAATTTGAAATAATTTATAAAAATATGAATCGCATAATTGATTTTGGACAGTTAAAGCATAGATGACCATCAATAGCTGTGCTATGTTAGATGGTTATGGATCGAATCTGCCAGCTATTCATGGGCACTAATTGATTGACTGTCTTTAACAGATGGTCCAAAGCCTATCGTAAGCTGAATACTCCTTTTGCAATGAAATATTTTAACAAGACGGGCTGGGTACCTCTCGTCTTGACGAAGACTCAGCAAGGATGGAAGAAACAGGAGCAGTTTCACTCAGTGCCTCAGTGCATTGCATTGTTGATTGTCCAAAGCTTAAGAGAGACATGGTTTCTAGCGCAGCGGAAGATAAATTTCCCATCTATATTGAGATGAGCACATTAACACTCATCGAGATTAAAGAGGATTCAAGAAAAAAACAAAGATTGTTGTTGTGTATTAATGAGTAGGATTTTATGACTAACATTAATGTCAACCAACAATGAGCTTTTCTTGCTTTGCAGAGTTCACATAATGCATCGTTCTATCTTGCACCATCTTCAGTCACTATAAATTTGAAAAATCGTTGTAAATTACTGTTGTATTATGTATTTTATATTTAGATTCTTATAATAATTATAATAAAATATCTTTGACTTGTTCACTAAAAAAGCAAATAGTATTGCTGATTGTCCTTGTTTCTACTTGCATTGCTATGAATGGTCTATTGAGTTGCAGTCACAGATAGCTAATCACTGGTGTACGCGTTTGACCTAGCAAAGCTCTGTTGCGTAGGGTTGCGTGGGGCTGCGTGAGGTTGCCTGGGGTTGCCTGGGGTTGCCTGGGGTTGCCTGGGGTTGCCTGGGGTTGCCTGGGGTTGCCTGGGGTTGCCTGGAGTTTCGTTGGATTGAACGGAAGGCAAGAGATAATATTCAAAAGTATAAGATTTGGCAGCTTTTGAAGAAGGAGATGGCCGTTTCTAAATTTCTAAAATATTTCTGAGCAGAAAATATCTTGTTCTCAAGGATGCCTGCGGTAATAAATTGCACCATTGTGCTCCCCTTCACCCCTTTTTCGCGTTACTGGCCTTCTACGAGTAATGAAAAACTTTTATTTAATAAGATAGGAGTTTGTTACTTAGAAAAATCAAAAACACAATGGGAGCGAGCAGGCCTACAATCTTTTGGTGGTATAAAACTTGAAAATGGCTTTGAAAAAAGCAAACATTTGAGTATACTAAAGCTTTTCGTCTGACACTCTTCAGAGTTTAAAACGTCTGAACATAGATCGAAAGCTGTACGCTAGGAAACATATATAGTTATCCAACTGTGGAGAAAAATAGACCAATCAGAAACGCGAGCACGTGACTGTTGAGGTTGCCCAGTTTACCCATGGAGTCCTAAGGTGAAAACGAACTCCTTTTGTCTACACAATAGCGGTTTTTTCGTGTATTTTCAAAGCCATTTATAGAATGTATTTATCAATCACGATAGGCCTCAATACGCAATTTTTGTGACTCGCCATTAAATATTAATCGCATGAAATACAGAGGAATATTGAATGGAAAGATAATAACGAAAATAGTTTTACTATTTCCGCACCAGTGCTGCCAAGGTAACGTCCTGCGTTAAATATCAATTTATTTAAAAGCTGAAATTCTGATTTGACATAACCGCAAAGTTTGATAAAAGAAAAATCTTATATTCATTAACAGCTGTCATAACTGGCTTTTGGTCAACAAAAAGTAGACATGTTAAGCTAGATGTGCACTGTATATTTTTTCAGAATTACAAACGTGGCCAGTAAAAACTGGAAATACTTGAATTTCTTTATTTTTGATGATAAAGAGAATCGAGCTTAAGTTTTGTTTTTTGTCAGCGATCGATAAAGAAATTGAGCAAAGCCTAGCCTAAGTTTAACTTGCTCAAGTAGAAAATCTCTCGTGTCGAAGAAGGTAGGTCCCAGACTGGGGCTCCTAGCTTTTACCTTTCTACAAGCTTCTTTAACGCCTGCATCGATTTCACCTAGGCCAAGGTATACTCGAATTATTAGTCTCGTGCAAATTCAACCTGCATCCAACCCTTTATTCTTTTAACTAAAATCACTTCAAAATAAGTGTTTATCAACTTCTCAATAATGATCTGACTCAGCTTTTGACTTTCTTTTCATTTGGAGGCCCTGGGCACTATTACACATGCTTAATACAATAGCTTTAACGAAACTGTAAGAAATGGCCTGTTTCTAACGTATTCAACCATGTCTTTATTAAAAGAGATATAGAAACGCCACACTACTTTTACTATTTCTAAATTGTAGCATCTTTTTGTAGTTTTGTGATATATTTCAAAAAGAGATCAATGCTGATGAAGTTAGAGACCATTGGTTGGGTGAGCTCACCTTTAACTATGTATTGAAATCCGTTAAGGAAAAACACAGGTAATTAGAAACATTTTAACTAAGATTCAAAAACATGACATTCATCTAAGTTCGTGTGTGTTTAAAAGTTCTAGTCGAACCTGGGAGGAGCTCTTTCTGCCCATATGGACAGAGACGGCTGGTCAACAAAGCATTTTTGCTCCAGGGTTTTCTTTGAAGTTTGCAAGCATTAAGCCTTAGTAATAAGGTTAAGAAAAAACAAATGAAATACCTTTAGCAACAACTTTAACCTCGCAAAGTGCCAAAACTTTCTCTGTTCCAAGAAGTCTAATGTTTACATAACGCCCCCGGAGCTGTTTCATGCAGACAAATGTTGCTTTTTCGCCTGCATACATCGAAAGGTTTTCCCTGCATACTGGGTTTTGGTTACCGTTGTCTTGTAGGTTGGAGCCTTAAAGAAATAGCGAGATGGATCAGTCGAAGTGTATTAAATCGAAGATCAAATCAGGATTGAACCTGGTGAAGCACAAAGTGATAGTAAAACTGCTGTGGATAGTAAAACAAAGTGATGTGAAATAATTAATGATAAGGCTAGAAAACCTTTTTGCTTACTCCTTCTAAATAGCGTATTAGATCCTTGAGCCCCAATTCAAAAACGACTTTTTAGAGGACTGGGTTGAGCTTAGGCTTGACGCAGATTACGTGATATCTTTGCATCATACAAAGTGTAGTAGTTAGACAGCTCTTCTAAAAGGTATGCAAAATTGTGCAAAATTTGATACAAGCATGTCAGCGTCGAGAAAGATACGGCGGAGGCCTTATTTTTGGCAAGGGTAGTAGACTCCAGATCCAAAAAGTGATCACTATATTATTTTTGCTGCAGCCAGTTAGCATTTTAAAATAAAAATTGGTAGAGAAAAGTGTAAAATTCCCCTAAAAGGGCTATTTTCCTGCAAGGAAGCACGTCGACCTTTAGAGCCAAATAAAACACAGCAATTCGAATTTTAAGTAAATTGAATTCCTCCTTATTGCAAAGTAAATAAAACTCCGAAGCAAAAGCAAATCCAGGTAGTTTACGTCACCACTCGCCCAGGCCTTTGTGAGGTGTTTGGTACTTGCATAAAAAAGAGTGAAGTACACATATTCGGGTATCAAATTACCCCTTTTAACTTCGATAAAAAACTAGAATGCATTCTATAATGTTTACGCCCCTTATTCTTGATCTATCAGCTGGTTAAGCTAAAATAGCAGGCTGGGTTTACCAGCATTTGAATTAATATATCATTGATAGGCAAGGGCGATTGTAATTAGTGCTTTTGCTAATATGACATCCAGGAGATCGTCCTTTTTTATCCAGATTCGTTATGATTCGTTATAGGCCAATCATTTAAATGCCAGTGACTATTTGAGGCACTTCATTTGGCAAAGAAAGCAGGCCTGTTGTCCCCTATCAACCGTTATCCATTCTCTTTAAGAATCAAAATAAACCTGCAGAATGTAAAATTAAATTACCAATTCGTATTTGCAAGCCAGTCGTTCTAAATACACAGCAGCCTGCTTTATTGTATATCTTTACTTCAAAGACTAGCCTCTCTTTTCCTAGGTCAACACGCCACCAAGGGTTACTCTCGTAATTCGTCCAAGCACATGATTTTCCAAAAATATTATTGTCTGTATTCCCATCAACAGCATAGGAGCTTGATCCATATGTGCTACTGGGTGTTGATGATTGTGTCGTGTTTTGTTTCAATGCTACGTTCACGAATTTCTCTGCAACAAAACAGGAATTTTAAGAAATCTAGACAAGGGCAAGAAATCAGCGAAAAAGATTAGTAACCTAATAAATTAGAAGAATTTCCTAAATTAAAGAAATTAAGAAAGTCTAACTCAAAGGGTGGGAAATTTTGCACAGAAAATAAGGAGAGAGACGACAAATTGAAACAGGAAACTACTTTCTACTTCATATCAAGGTTTTAAGTTCAGAAGGCAACAATTTCATTTTCAAGAATATAACAATTTTAATACGCTTACCACCGCATATAATTTCTGCAAAGCGGGTCGCAGTTACAGCTGGGTAGCTAAAGTCTGAAACGTTCAACGAATGCTCAAAAACTGGCGAGCTTACGACCGCATTGATCTCTGATTGCGGTACATTGCTACCCAAGGAAGCAGTAAAGATCTTGACGTCATGAGATCTCAGCTCAGCAGCAGGGACTATCACTGATTCATGCCAGTTGACAGTTGCGTCGATACCTGAGGAAAGATGATTCGATTCGATACTGGAGAAAGATGATCCAATACTGGGTAAATGTGATTCGATAATATGAGGAAGATGATGCGATACCAAAAAAAATGAGTTGATACTATGAGGAAGATGACTCGATACAGGTCAAATGTGATTCGATACTATGAGGAAAGATGACTCGATACTGAAGAAAGATGATTCGATACAGGAGAAAGATGATTCAATACTGTGTAAATGTAATTCGATAATACGAGGAAGATGACGCGATACCAAAAAGATGATTTGATACTACGAGGAAGATGACTCGATACAGGTCAAATGTGATTCGATACTATGAGGAAAGATGATTCGATACTGAAGAAAGATGATCCGATACTGAGAAAAGAAGATTTGATCGATATTAAGGAAAGATAATTCGATACTTGGCAAATTTGAGGAAGGATGACTTGCTCTGTATTCACTTTTTATATCAACTTGTAAAAACCCTATATCAACTTGATGCAAACATGGATGTCTTTCAAGTAAACTGTTTGTCAATTAATTCTTTTGTGAAAGCTTCTTTGAACGTCATAGTATGTTATCACTGGACAATTAAAAGTTTTGTTTTGATGCCTTGAACAAACCAAATCAACTGGAAATATTCCAATAAGGATATTATGGACTCTTACCGTTCGTCTCACCATCTGTGATTAGTACAAAGACTCTTTCACTGTCTTCTCTCATCCCAGAACTTGGTGTGAAAATGTCTCTTTTTGCATGTTCTAACAAAATGTCTGTTCTTGTAAAACCTTAAAAATTGACGGCTTTTATTTGACCAGCTCAGACCAGAATGAAAGTAGAATAGTATATTGTGTATAAAATCTTAAACATTGCAACATGCTATTAGGCCAGAATGATCTTCACAGGAAACTTTGTAAGCTAGCAGTGATTAATATGAAAGTAAGTAAAAAGGTTACTGCCAGTCGCCTCTTATCCCATCTCCCCCTTGCAATGCTTCACATTACTAATATGACGATACAGGGATGCACTTCTGCTATGTAGAAATAGTCACTAGATGATGCATAGAAAAAAAAGCCAACATGTAATCATTGACGATTCATAACCTTTTTGATTCATTGATATTTGAAATGTTTAGAATCGAAAATAATAATGTTGCATAATCGATAAGCCATACTAATAATAAGAAGAATAAGAATGTCTCAACAGGTATTTTGTTATAGTCTCTATTTTAGAAAAATTTGTTACTGAAGTATTTGGACAACCAACCAAAGCAGATTAGCCTATGTATGCAGAGAATTGTTTAGTAAAATCGCTTCTGCCTAGAGAAAGTCATAATAGCATGCATGAACTTGACTTTACCTCCTTTCAAGACGAGAGCATCAACCTTATTCTTCAGTTCATCGGCGTTGTCAATTTCATTGAAATAGTTTACCACCTTTGGTATGGTACTGAATGTCATGATTGACATTTTGACGTTGTCAGCACCAATCACCATCGAGTTTATCATCCCTTTGATAAGACTCTTTGAATACTCCCAATGAGCGGGGGCCACGCTAAATGACGCATCAATGGCAATGCCAACATCGAGCTTCTTACTGCATTTACCCTTAACTAGATGTTGAGAAAGATGAAAACTACAATAAAGTTGACACGGTTGTTATGCTACTTATTATTTTGCAGTTTGACATAAAGATAACAACTGTAAAGATACCTCAAACACAAACAGCAGTTTTGTTCTTACAGGTAACTTGTTTGCCTGTAAAGAAACTTTGTGAGCGCCTATTTTACTACAAAAGTCGATAACAGGTTCAAACCCTTAAGCAAAAATCCAGAAAAATACCTTTCTCTACCCCGGTTTGACATCTCAAATTTCCCTATAGCGGGCGTATCAATGTTTGATTTCCATTCCACGCCGAAGAAAGAGATTTGCAGGCTTCAAAATCTCTATGTAACACAGCTAATGTGCTCTTGAACTAATTCAGTATCACTAATTGTCTTATGACGAATGTATAAGAGTTATCATTATCTTTGCTGTATGAAATACACTACCTTTTTTAACCCCTTTGGTGGAAAAGGGAATGGGGTGAATAAGTTTCACGGAAATCTCCACACGGTCATTGATTGGTTAATGGTTGCTCGACAAATGGCTTAAACTCTTAAACTTCTATCCATGGCCGTTTATGGGGGAAAATAACCCTTTTATTTTTGACTAAAAAATGCTCTAAACATGTGAAACGATGTTCAAATCAAAATTTAATTATTCTTGAATTTCGGATCTTTCACTGCAGATCTAGTAATGATATCGAATAAGAACGACAGAAAGAGAGCTGACTAAGCTGATTTTAAATAAAATCTTTCTGGCTAGCATGATAAATGTTGGCCATAAAAAAGATTCCATAATACTTGTGATAGTTGTGATTCTATAAGTTGCTAAATTTAATAATCTGTACATAAGATGGCTTTGAAACAAACAAATATTTTGAGTCACACGTAAGCTTTTCGTCTGACATTCTTCAGAGTATAAAACGTCAGAACAAAGATCAAAACACTAAGCTAGGAAATATATATACCCAGTTGTGGATCGAAATAGGCCGATCAGAAACGCGAGCACATGACTGTTTCAGGTTGCCCAATCAGTGCCGCTTTGACTCACAATGTTTTCTTTTTTCAAAGCCATTTTTAACTTTTGTACCATGAAAAGATTGTTTGCAAATTGTACATACCTGCTTGGAATACAAGCACTGACGTCTGAAATCCAGTACACACTGAGTCCTCAGTTGAACAAAAACGATTGTCACCGATACATTTGTTTGAACTAGTTGCAGTCGTGGGTTGAAAATCGTGCACGGAGGAACATTTGCAAGTGCCATGAAGAGCGATGTATGAGATTCCTGCTAGGCTGGCCTTTTTGGAACATTCAGCAAGAATGCTACAATGAAATGCGAAATAGCTTACAAGTAAGTTGGTCTGAGCATTGTCTGAGCGAATCAGATCACAGAACAGCTTTACTCAGGTCAGCACTTCATCAGCTGCTTTACCCATCGTGTATGGAATGTACATAGATATTTTATTTTTAGCATACCAGATACTGAAACAACAAGGATACCAAGTTGCATTATACAACTCCATACTCCTTGCATGAAATAATATAAAGCATAATGGCAGGCTGGTTTCCTGTCTTTTTCAGCCGATGTCCGCTATCAATTCAAAATCCTTAAAAGAATCAAAGAAATCGTCACGAATGTGTGCAAAATGATCTTCCTCGTTGCTTTGCAAAGATTCTGTAGTATTTCAACTCCTCTCCAAGAAACCCCTTCCAAGAGAATATGAATAAATGCACGCACCCCATTATAATGCGTCATTAATCGAACTGGCTTGCCAGAGATAGAATTTTTTATGCTTGTTTGGCCATTTTTTGCTACGTCATTCTTAGGAAATAACACTAATTTCCATTTTCTAGTCACGGATCTAACCTTTAAAGAATGTCGGGTTTTCCTGTTTTTGTATGGATGCAAAGAAAAACTGATAGATATAACAACATGGGTTCTGTGAAACAAAATTTTGTTAAAAGATCGACAGAATATTTTAGAATACATGGATATATCAGCTCACAAAATATTTTTGCATATATTACAAATTAAGATGAACTGCTTCAATCTCTTTATTTCATGTTGAAGTAGCCACAATGATAAGACGCTAATTTGCTGATTTGAACCAAAAAAATGCCAAGTATCATATATGCATACCTTTTAACCGAATCTGCAAAGTTATTCCAGTCTAATTCGCAGTCAGAATGAAGCTCTTCTCCAAGAGCGACGCTTTCAAAGCATCCTACACGAGAATAGACGGTGCCTTCTATTGCCAAGATGCTCGTGAGGCACAAAAGCAGCCCTAGAAAAATAGAAGCATTAGTGAGCTTGGAATCTGTAATACTTTTGTTTGATTTCATGGCTAGAACAATTATACGAGTTTTGTAGTGGCCAACCTTGATTTGTGGCCGTTGCATCTTGTTGTCTATCTAGGCATGCCATGCACAAAAATAAAACGAGAGGACGCTACAGTTTTGCGGTTGATTACCCGCCTATGAATACAGACATAACACGAGGTGTAAATGTAGAGAACACCGTAATTGTCATTATTACAGGTACATGGTGGTAAAGTGACAATGAGATGTAGCGTATTGAATCAACCGTTGCCGATTGAATAGGCAAAAAAGGCTTATTGTGAAGTCCAACCTATGGGAATTTAAATGGCTGTCGAATTGCATCGGGACATTGTGCTGAATTTACAGCTCAATGTTGACTGCAATTTTAAAACATGCAATGGTAAAGAAGTACATATTCGAAATTTGACAATTTCCCGTTGTAACTATCCTTTTTGGTCAGATTTGATAATTCGAGATTGGCATTTTGCTTCCGAGTTTAAACTATGACACGTAGCTGTAGGTAGAATGATTAGGAAGGGGTGCACCATTGTCTTTTTAGAGTAGCTACCTCCCTGCGTTGAATGTAAAAGTATCGACCAGACTATTCTCGAAAGAAAAACTCATTATAGAAAAATCACCAAATTCTGAAGTGATTTGAAAAAGATGAAAAATACAACGTGCCTATGCGTAGAAAGAGTTAACATCAGTCGGACGAATTCGGAATTCCAGCAATTAATAAGAAAATAAGTTTTTGATAGCGTAAAGTTTGAAGATGGCACGAAATAGCGGAAACAGTGCATACTGAGCATTTTTCGTTCAACGCTCTGCGGATAATTACGGAAAGACGCAAGAACTTTTTCAAGGTGTGGATCGAAAGCAATTTGAGAGCAATAAAGATGCGTTTGATTGGGTTTTCTGTTTTTTTTCTCTGATTTACTCTTTACATTATCTGACTTCAACATTCTGTAGACTGTCGGAAAAAGTGCTGCAGTATGTTATGTTTCTGCTATTTCATGCCATCTTCAAAATGAGTAAGGAATGCCCAAGATATCTGATTCGCCTTACATCGGACACGGGACAACTCTTTTTCAAAGGATCTCACAAACAATCTAACTGGATAAATGAAACTCATTCCTCCTTATTTAATGGATTGTTGATCGTTATTCCGTTACAAGTTTCAAGTTTTAAGTTGCATATCAGACAACATTTGCCTGTGGCATAATGGCAGCTTTCACGTGGACCTGGTATATATTTCTCAATAGAACGCGAGTAGAACTTCTAACGATAATGCTCACATTGAAGAGAAACATTTTAAAAACGTGCATGTAGGTAAAGTAGCATTTGCTTACCAATACTGAACGTCTGCAACCCAGCCATTCTGTTAGCCCATTTGAAGGAAAACAATCGTTAATGATGTTCTCTGAGCTATATATTTATAATTCGAGGGCTGCCTTGGTGATAGGAAAAGGATCAGCCAATTTAAACTCCTATTTCTTTCGTATTGAATAAAACGAACAATCCAACCTTAATCAAAGTACAGGTGCGCGTTGCGAGTGATTCCACAGTAAACATATTTCAAGCCATTTTGGCTCTACTTTGTCAATACGAATTCCAATGAAAGACAATCATTGTTGAAATGATGTTACTTCTAGCACTTCTTTATGGTTATATTGGTAAAATACAGATTATCATATCTAGCAAACGAGATAAAACACCTCAATCAATAACTGCTCACCTGCATGAAAGAGACTTAATTTCAATTGCAACCAAAAAGATGCAGTTGATTTCTCATTCATAGGAAAATCAAATCAAGGACGAAGCCGACACCTGCATAATCAGGTTACCAAATATCATAGCAGAATATTTTGTCCATGAAATCAATCGAGTTTTTCAATCAGAAACTGGTGAAACTGGACCTACGGATGTATACCCCGATCTATGATCAAGAACATATGATAAAAATAGAAACTGATAGAATAAATTTTTATTCACGCGGTTTACTTGTCGACAAAAAAGGTTCTATGTATTCTGATATATCGTTAAATATATTTTTATCAAGCACCCGAAGGGATGTTAAGATGCAACGCTGAGAAACAGCACTTGTTTCCGAGCTTTGTAGGTCCATTTCCTTTCCTCCAAGACTGCTTAGAACACGTCATTTAAAAATCTAGACTTGCAGCGACTCTGCAACTCTGGGATTCATTGCCAAATGCCAAGTCCTTAATGCCTATGATTGGTACTGTACCACTTCCAGTAACCAGGCTATCCAGTAACCGTACAATCATACACACACACACCCCTCTCATCCTTCACACACACACACCCCTCTCATCCTTCACACACACCCCTCTCATCCTTTCACATGTAGACATATATACATTAGCTATAAATCTGGTTCGCTTTTTTTGAAAAGACCAGTTAAAAGACGCAAAGACTTCTAGCTCTCGAATACTGACTTAATTGCAAATGAGACCTTTTCTTGCTCTACATGAAGGCAGTACACCCAAAGATATCGACGATGATGAACAGACGATATTTTTACAGCTAAGAAAAAGTAGACGAATACAATATACAAATGACCTTCTTAATGTTAAACGACCCCTTTGGCTTGCCTTAAAAAGGCAGTATAAAGAACGCTATTCTGTAAACCAGCATACGTTGATTACGATAGTATTTCCACAATAAAGGGGCGAATGATACTTTATTTACAACTCTACAGCAATACATTGCTCTGATGTATAAATGTTCAAATGCTGCGGAGATAGAACACGATAAAGAGAGGATAGAGAAGAAGCGAAAATTCATAACAGAAAATGGATAGAGAAAAAAAGGACAGTACAAAGACAAAATCAATAATATGAAAAATACAAACAATTTTTTGTGGTAAAAAGATTTGAAATTGGCTTTGAAAAAAACAAACCTTTTGAATCATACTAAAGCTTTTCGTCTGACACGCTTCAGGCAAGCGGAACTGATTGGTCAACCTCAACAGTCATGTGTCGCGTTTCTGATTGGCCTATTCTGATCCACAACTGGGTACCTATATTTCCTAGCGTAGAGTTTTCGATCTATGTTCTGACGTTTTATATTCTTGAGAGTGTCAGACAAAAAGCTCTAGTATGATTCATAATGCTTGCTTTTTCCAAGCCATTTTTGAAGTAAAAAAAGGGGACAAGAGAGAAGGGAAGAAAAAAAAATGAATAAGAAACGAAATAGAGAAATTTGCATGAAAACGCATTTTAAAGACAAATTGAAAGGAAAAGTATATAAAAAAGGCGACCATGAAATGTTTTACGGAGAGGCAGAGCATAAAGCTTTCTGCACTCAAGAAGAAAGAAAACGGGTACGATTTAACGTGACATACAAAACGACACGACGCTTAGATGGAAGCTAAAGATATAAAATATAGCTCTGAAAGGTAAACGTCGATAGTTATCTACAAATATTGTAACCTGACGACAGGAAATGCAAACTGCGAACTACTTGATCAAACAAATCAAAACAGTGTCTTCTAAAACATCAATTTTAAGATCACAAACATTTTTTTATGATAAAAATCACTCACAAGAATACCTGAATTTTTGGGAAGGCTAAAATCACAACCTTAAAGGCTCTTGCGCAACCGTCATACTTAGCGGCAGCTGTCTTGAGAAATTGACCGTTTTGTATTTTGTTGCAGTAAGATATTAGGCCGGTTTTTGAATTATAGTCGCAAAGAGTGCAGGTTGCGCAAATTCCTTTGACGAAAGCTAGGCAAATTAAAAAAACCCCGAGAAGGAACGTTTGTAAACATAACAACCAAAGATGAAAGTGAAAGATATAAATTAGAAGATGTAATCACAAAGGGGGCAGAGAAACTGCAGTCACTGTTAACACATGACTTAATCTGGCTATTGATTTTCCAAAAAAGGTTTACTCTTGAAAACTAAATGATACTTTTAAAACTTTAAACAGTAACCTAAAATGAAATAATCTCGCTGTTATCGAGTAGAAACTTTGTTGATAAACTTTGACAATAGCGTTGGAAGCAAAGCGCGATTTTGTTGATTTGACGAACAATCTTCTTATGAGAGAGACAATCCTACTCTCTAAGATCACAGGGAACGCGCATTGTCTTTAATCATTATTACGCATGCTCTTTGCCCTAAAGATGAAGGGATGACCAAATCATCAGAAGACTTTGTCTTTATCATCTTCCCAAATAATATTGTGGAAAATTGAAAAGGAAACTTAAAAATCTTAATAAGTGAGATTTGTCGACACGAGAAAAAACGTGAGGCGTTTTGTTCGGGATTTAGAAATACCAGGTTTTATGTACGCGGATTCTGCTTTCTTTTAAAGCAGCTTATTATTCGACATATTCAAAAAGATTCAGACATTTTTCGAGTTGAAAAGACAGGTATTAGCCAAAGATAAAGAAAAATTGAACTTAGCCCGTAGAACTGGGTGTCTGTAAAAAGGACACTACTCTTTCTAGTGCTGTTATTATCCCACTACCTTCTTGACATTAAATTAATTGGATATCAAAATCCTCAAAGACATAGGGTCAGTACAAACATAAGCGTTGCTACCATGCATCGATTCTTTCTTTGCGAGAATCAAGCATCCAAATTCAAAAAATAGAAATCGCAGCTGCAAAATTGCACTCTCTTAGCCACATAAAAATACTTTACTATGTCATAAAGAGTCTCTATCAAAATCGATCCATTGCACGACGCGTGCCAAAAACAATGCTTGCATCACATTTATAAATGACGGATCTGACTAAAACATGTACGGCAGTCCTATAAGGGTAGTTAAATTGATCGACAAGTCAAATGAAAGTGAAGAGGAACTTGAAATTCTTTTTTTACTTTATTCGTATTGAATGCTTTTTCTTGGAAATAGACGGCAAAACTCGAGCTACTTGGAAGCAGTGGCAAATGGCAGCCTAAGCAGCAGCCCCTGTTGATCTGCTTTCAACAATGTACAAGCAAATTCAGCACTTGCAGTGGTGGGGCTTTGAGTTGAAAGGCCCTGTCTTACTATATTCTAAACGTGAAAAGTTGACCATTTATGAAAATTGATTATTGCTTTTGGTCGCCTTCGGCGGCCATATTTCTGTTGTTATACGTTCTTGTTTATAAAATGCTTGAAACGTGAGGTCGGTTATATTGTTCTTGAAGGGGCCTTGGCGATATTAGATTAATTTAAATTGCATGGTGGGATAGGATTGGGTCGCGAAGGATCAATGTTGATGTAAACTTCTTAAAATGGTTTTCTAACATACAGCCGCATATTACTATGTTCTGCAAAATTTACAAAACAACAAAGGAAACTCTGCTGATTTCAAGTTGATCCCCATACCATGACAATTTTTGAAAACTTTGTAAATACTCCGTGATCTTTCTTGCTGAAAATGTAAATAAGGAAGCAAAAAACATAGGCAATTCGTTAAAATGTACAATGCCAAACAACATCAGATTAATGGAGCGACTGGTTACTTCATCTGCTTCGTATCGAAATCCAATTATATCTACATTTTCTGTTAATTTATTCATGTTAAGAAAGAAGTTGCAAGGTATTAAGTCTGGTTTCCATTTGAGCCAAACACTAAGCGAATCCTTCAGTGAATTTGCCAAATCTTGGCAAATTCGCTTGGAAATTGAACTCATTTCAACTATCATATTTCACTAGCTAATTCGCCTATGTCCGGAATTCGGCCTTTACAGTAGACAATCTTCACTGGAATATGGAAAAGGTATACATAACAACAAACAAGATATCATATAGAAGATGAGCTTATCCCGCTCTGTTGGATAGTACTATATCCGTACAGATAGAGCTGTATACACACTGGTGAATAGAAAACGTCGGTTCTGAGTTGCTACTCGAGTTGCCACTCTAATTTTCACTTAATACCACCATTAGAGCACAACATCAAAATATCTTACCAGTAGAAATATCTGCAATTATCGAATATCCCATCATGCTTGCCATCTAGGAAAGAAAAATGTGGACTTAGAAGACTTGAAATACCCTTGCATTTCCCTGGAATTTATTTAATGCTCAAGAAACGTGGATATTTGAGGTGCGTGATTATTGTAAGATAAGGGAGCTGCAAGGTAAACAAGAGCGACAAGGCAGTGATATTAAGTTAAATCTAACCAATAAATGTTTTCCCATACTACTTTTAGAATTACATTCATTAAAATACTTTAGAATCTTGGTTCCTAACCACTTCTTGGAATGGTCGGCGCTAATTGGGCTAGGCGTATATTCCAATCCTTGCCAAAAAAAATTTGAAATAGAAAAAGAATATAAGAAGATCTCATGTAATAGAAAAGAATCACTGACTTGGAGCCTCCAGCTCAATTCCAATGAACTGTTCATTGTGTCCGGCGAGTCGTCCCTTCCACTTTACAACACCTTTGCCTATGCGTCCCGAGCTTGAACTTCGCGTTATCAAAACTTTCATTCCTATTAAGATATCGTCAATCGAATTCGGAGCAAAAGGCTTCAGATGTTGAGTTGAGTGATCTACAAGAGGAATTCGTTAGCGCGTTTACTTAGTAATCGGTATAACAAGCCCTTTGAAATTCGCATTACTAACAAAGAACAAGTTTTGCCATTAGGACTGCCTACTCAAGGCTCCAATATTGGGACTATTCTGTTTTATCCATTTCTTTGGTTCACAATAACCGTGAAACATTCACGAGCTGCCTTTAATTAAAATAGCACTATATTTGACGAAGAATAACGATGAACAAACACCTCATCCTAAGAACCAGATGAGCAGTCTGGGTCGTGCGAAAAATACTTGAAGTAATGCGAAGAGCAAAAAGACCAGTCTCGACCATACAAGCAAATGAATAAAAGAAAAAGCCCTTGCTATTTACAGATTTTATGTAAAAAAAGGTTGAATGCCGAGAAATTGGAAAAAGGTACCAAAAATATCAATTCAGTGAATTCATTATATCTGTAAAAATCTTTAACAGAAGCGTATTGAGTTCATCGATCGTTTACCATAGAATGCAAAAAGACATGTCACTACTTTAATTAGCCGATTTGATTTCGCACGGAGAATAAAAAATCCTGCTATGACAACAAGCTGAGTAAGGGTTACAACTGAGGGGGCCACTAAAATGCACTAACCCTGCTTGACCAATGTCGGGCTTAGTCTTGACCAGGTTTATACTAAATAGTGCAGGAAAATAAGACTGTTAGGACTCACCCTGGGGTGACGTCGTGTGTGCGTTGTGGCGACTGGGATATCCTTTGCTGACAGTGTAGATGTACGGGTCGTCTTGTTCGTGTTCAAACGGAGCCAAATTTCGGCTCATGTGTCTAGAATCACTCTCGCTGGCAGACACTGCAGAGAAAAAAATTAGCTTTGTCAAAAAGAATGAGCATCTAAACAAAGATGATACAACACAAAGTTTCTGTTCAGGCTACGACAGTAGCTAATTTTTCACTGCCTGAAAGCCTAGCTAAAATGCCCCGTGTAGCTTGTACTATAGAATAGCCATACAAAACTATGACAATCGCTAGCAGAGGAAATTCAGCAGAGATGTTTGTTTGAATCTTAAGGGATCGAAAAATTTCGAAGAGCCCATTGAGTTTCAACGAATTAACATTTCAGGTATTTTTGTAGGAATGATTGGAGACAGGCCAATCGAACTAAAAAACGGCATGAGCTTAGACCAGTCACAAGGATGGGAGGATGCAGATATTCTTAGGTAGGTAGGGTGGGGGGGGGGAGGGTGTTCAACTTGAAAAATGGTCGATAAAAGACATGTACTAGCCGGGTAAATAAATTACATCCTTGCAGACTAATCCTAACAGTGGCCAACCATGATTTATGCAGGTGTCTAAAGGCCGGTTTCTTTGGTCGCGCGACAAAGCGAATGCACTTTACTAACATATGCACAAATTGAGCTTCCTCATTTGCTGCGAATGCGCAACCATTCGATTAGTAGTTCAACTCAGCTGAACTACTGAGCGACTGGTCGCGTTCGCCGATTCACTGATTTGTTGATTCGATTTCGCCGAAGTCACGCGACCCGAGCAAATCAAGTGGAAACCCGCCTTAATGCCCCAGCCTTCTTAACCAGACGATTCTTTCTTAGATAACATATGTTTGAGACAAAGCCATGTTAAAGGCGAATAAAGATCAACACTTACTTCCATGGTAGGATCGTGGTCTTTCACGCCTCGGTCGTCTCTCTTTCCTCAGAAAGTCTTTGGTATCCACATTGTCTGGTTGATCCCAAGCTGAATTTCTTAAATTCTCATTATAATTATCCATATAATCGAAATGTGATGCTTTTAATGGACTTGTGCCTGAAGTCACAGGGGTGCCATGACGCTTTGAAAAGGAATCTCGAATCTGCCTTGCTGTCATATTGTCATCCAAGAGACTATTGTGATTTCTATCCGAGTATTCCTTTACGTGATGGCTCCTCTCCGGGACCTGCTTTGTTCTATTGTGTTCATGATACTCACTACGACTTCGCTGAAGCGTCAATGATTGAGGTTCTGCTTCGTAATTATCACTCGGACTATAGGATAAGGCTTTTCGATAAGATCTTCCCTTGTCAGCCTCAATTCTTGGTGATACATAACTGTCTGGCCGCTCCCTTGTCAAACCATATGAAGCTTCCCGTGAGTATATTTCGTCACCATCAGAAACGGTTTTTTCAGCTGAATTCACTTCCCTCTTTATCCTCGATAATTGTTTCTTCAATGTCTTATTTTCCTCATTCAGTTCTGCTACTTCTGATTGTAGCTCTCGGATTTTCCTCATCTCCTCGTATTGAAAAGATCGGGTTCCAACTTTTACGCTATCGAATTTGCTTTTCAAAGCTTCTACCTGAATCGCAATTAAAAGGAAACAGATTGAATTAAAATTTCTCCTTGAGAAAAGCACCTAAACAAGAAAAATTCAGTCTGTTTGAAATTGTTTGAGCGAGCCTGAATTGCTTCGCAATGTGACAAATAAAATGAATCTGATTGGTAACAATATAGCTGTCAATCGTCACATGACCAAGCCAGTAACCAGGTTTTTAGCATAAAACACGGAGGAACATTTCCAAATCCTACACGGAGAAATTCCACTTCACTAAAACGATAGGAAAAGTCTAGCCGTCTTAACAGAATGAAAGCTGAATACAATCTGATATGATATTGAGTGGACACGACCTACATTGATAAAAAAACACCCACCCCGCATATTAGGGTGCAGTATTGTGGCTTGATATTCAATTCTGCAGTTAGAAATTCAGAATTGGGGGGGGGGATATAAAAGAATTCAATGAAAAAACTCTAACCTCATCTTGGATAATTCGATCCATATCCTCTCTTTGCAGTTTGTTTGCAGTTTGAAGGCTTTCATTCTCTTCCTTAACTGTTTTGTTGTCTTGAAGGATTGATTCAAGTCTTGCTTCTAGCATAGCAACTTCCTCACGTTTCACCTCAATTTCCTGGATTATACATAAACAGAGGTAGAATATTGGTTCAATAGGTGGGCTTACACTGACCCGGGGTAAGCTTTTAAATTCAGATATATTATAAGCGTGCATTACATATCTACTGATAAAGCACACACAAATTTGAGAAATCGTTAGAAAGAAGTAGATAACAGAATCTGGAAAAGACCATTAAACGAACATCGACATCAAATATGTATTCAATACAATTCACAAACACCAGTTGCAAATACCGTAAGTATATACAGGTATGCTTGTATACGATAAGTATATACAGACATACACAAGAAGGTTTGCTGTTGTACTCTGCATACTAAAGTAACAGGAGATTAAAAAAGATTTCATAAAATAGTACACAGGCAGTAGCTCTTGCGGATCACGCTTATGAAATGACAGTTACATTGTGGACCTGTCTAGTTCTCCAACAATAGGTATAAGTGCGTGTTTAAATCTGTAGATCATATCATATAATGGCGGATATGTCAAGAAGGACGTCCCTCTGAAGAAATTATCATCCTAACTTTAAACTTGCTAGAGGGTTATTTTAGATCTGGCACTGGAACGTATCGACATTCCAGCTAAAATTGAAAACACTGCTTATATCGATTTTTAAGTGCGTAGTGAGGCTTCGAAAGAAACACTTAACTAGGGCAAATAAGTAAACATTGACAATTCTATTTCATTTTTCAACAAACCTATCATTCGAAATGAATAGCTGACTGATCTAGCCTGAGATCGAATCAAAGGATAAATGAATAGAAAGTGTCTATCTACCTTGATCATATGTGAAAGATTGAAAGAAAACAGTCGAATTGAGACTAGACACAAAGCTAAATCTCATATTGAATTTATACTTTCAAAAAATATTAAACTATCATTATAATTTCATAGGCGATCCTTTATTGGCAGGAAAATATCAAAATTGAACGCACCTCTTGCAATTTTCCAAAATCATTTGTGATATCTGAAATTTCATTCTTCATTCTCTCTAATTCTGTTTCATATGAATCGCATTTCGCTTGTAGCTCTTCAATTTTTTCATCTTTATTCTGCAGCTCCTCATCTTGATCCTGTGACTTCTAAAGGAACAAAAAAAGTACACATCTGTCAAAACAAAACAGATTTTAGTGAAGTTTGATTGCCGTTATTCATTTCCAGGTTGAAGCTTCTGTTTCAAAACGTACTGATTCTACCGAGGGCAGATAGCATTGCAGGTGCGGGGATGGCTCAGCGGTTAGGGTCGCTGACTACAGACCCAAGAGTCGCCAGCTCTCTCTAATTCCAGGCGTAGGAATCACGAAGTGTGGTCACATCGAGAGGAAGCACCAGGACACTTATCGAGAAGCATAGCTTTTCAGTGTCTTAAAAGTACCTTCAGAAGCTAGGTAGCAAACAATACAATGCATTGCTTCTCGTAACAACAGCACAGTTTGTGATCAGTCTGCACCCGTTTGGATTTGTACTAAAATATGTTAATTAAGGGATAAGCCCAAAGGCGTGTTGAAAAGTTGCTTCAAATTATAATGGATCCAACAGACCTAGTGCAGTAGAGACATCTACACTGTATTTGCGGGTCTGTGTAGAAAAAAGTGTAAAAACTTTGTTTGCTGTTCTAAGAATTTGAGACAGCACGAGAGGGCACACAGAAAAAACATTGGGAGAGGATAGCTTTTGAAACTTAAGAATTTGCAAGACTTATCGACGCCACGGGCAAGAAATCATCAATCCAGACAAAGTTAAAAATTCTTCGTTAAAAGGTTAAGGGACTTTTACAGCAATTGATAATACTTTTGATTCATTCTTGTTTTAAGGAACTTGATATCTCTATATCAGTATCTGCTGTTGCCTTCTTGGAAACCCAATTTACGCCTTTTACCAGAATAGCAAAACTGGACATCCAGGTTGTAGTCAAGCACTCTAACCTGAGGTCACATCTCCTTCAAAGTTGATAATGAAGAACAAATAAAGATGGCAATGAAAAGTAACAATCAGAAACAAACCGTTAACACAATATCATATCTAATTTGCGTATCCTCGTTGTCAGCCTTGGCTTTTTCTAGTTCGGCTTTGTATTCATCGCACTTCTTGATGAGGTCTGCAATCATTTCTTCAGAGGTTGGAGACACCCTCCGTTGATCCTCTTCTTGTTTCTGATTAAAGAAAAAAACTATATCCGTGAGTTAAAAACCTCAAATGATTTTGCATAAATGCTAAGAACTGAAACTGCAGTTATTTCAGAGGCGTGTAAATGTTAACACTTTAAGTAAATCAATATCATTTGGGATCATCACTTTGTTTGCTTCATCGACTTCATGACATTGTTTTTAAAAACAGTTTGTCGAGAAAATGCCAAATTGAGTTTAACCCTATAATACTCTAGTTGACTTGCCTTAAGTCTATTCCGTGCTTGAAACAGCAGTTAAGTTTTATTAGCCCCTCCCCCCTACCTCAGGAGCCGTGGGGCATATTACAGACCTCGTGGGGGGGGGGGGGTTAAATAGATATTTTGGGGAGACTAAACACACAAAACGCAAAATCAAGATTGCTTTGCTCTATTTTAAGTAGAGTTTCAAAAATAATTACGGGGGTTTAAACCCTCCTGTCCGCTCGCTTCCGCAGTCCCTGCTCCATCAGTACCGTTCTCAGAAATCCACAAAACAAAACAAAACAAACAACTTCTGCTCCAAGCACAAAACAGACTTGGGGCAAGTATAAAACAGACTTGGGGCAAGTATGAAACAGACTTGTTAGAGGATGGCTCAGTTGTTAGAGGCGCTGACTACAGACCCAAGGGTCCGTGGTTTGGGTTCCTGGCATGACCAAACTTTCACCCAGAGTGAGGAGATGGTTCTAGGCTCTCTGTAGTTCTAGGCATAGGAATCACGAGGTGTGGTCACATCGAGAGGATGGACCAGGACACTGCTCGATAAGCACGAGCATGAATGACTATGGCACAAGCTTCTCAGTATCCTAAAACTACTAGGTAGGATGCTAGGTAGAAACAAATACACTAGACCTAGGACAAGTATGAAACAGACTTGAGGCAAGTATGAAACAGACCTGGGGCAAGTATGAAAATTCCCCTCGGGGAATGTGTTTAGCGCGTGAAATTGCTTTCAAAACAGACACAGGTCCGAATTGTATTTCATTTGAATTATTTGAGTTTGAATTCCAATATTTGTAAACCTTTATTAATTGATCGATCAATTAATTTGTCAATCGAATCATTAAAACCATGCTCGTTTAGGACCTTGTGCAAGACTAGAAACTCAAGCATAAAAACATCGTGCCCTGCCAAATGAAAAGCGATTCATAATTTTGCAGACATGGCAGACTCGTGCTGCTTCCAATTAGATATTGGACCGAAAACTGTGACAGCAGTTCTAACTTTATTCAGATCACTAAAGATTATCAAAATAGTGAGAAACATGGTACGGGCTACTTGTAAACCGAAATATGTAACTGAACCACTAAGCAACAATCAGTACCACTGACTCACTTGTCATAAATCTGCTATCATTAAAAATACTAGTAGTAAATTGATTAGATATAAAAAATGAACCTACCTTATAGGTCATTAGTTTTCTTGAATAACTACTGTCACTTTGTTTATCGAGTCCACCAAAAGAATCTTCATTATCTCTGTAGACAGCAACAGCTCTTTTTTCTTCTGGTTCCTCGAATCCCCAAGAATATTTTTGTTTTTCGTCTAGTTGACTATCGTTGTCATTCCCTTCTGTTTGCTGCACTTTTCTCTCATTCAAACTATCAGTAACCGAGCCTTGATCTGAAAGAGAGTCAGCACTTATCTTTGACTTCGCTATCTTTGATAACGTTTTGTGCCTTCTGGTGCTATTCCTATACTTACTATCAGACGTAGTTTGAAAACCATTCGGCGGAGTTATCACACCATCCCTGCTTTCGTTTAGTCTTTCTGGAATCGAGCCTCTGCCATATCTTTCTGAACCGCGCAGCTTTAAATCATCATCTTCCTGTCTATAAGACTTTTGCGAGTTTCTGTCTTCAACATCATTTTCTCTGTTTGTATGAATCTGAACCTGATGAAGGCCACTCTTCGCAATTTCTGTTAAATTTTCCTTTTCAACTTTTGCTAACTCTTCAAGCTGTTTCTCTCTTCTCTTAACTCTCATCGTCTCACAGTTGGAATCGTGAGACAACATTGAAGTTCTTTCGTCCTCTGTTTCTGCAAATGCCTGATGCTTACTTTGAATTTCTTCTAAAAGCTTTCTTGCATGGCTAGGAGTAATTTCATCCTGAGCCCATGCACCCTTTTTTGTTGTCTGTATCGGTGGGGTCGACTCACTAGATTTGAAATAATGCGGAGGTGTTTGATTTGCTGCCTCGCCTCTAGCATCAGTTTCGTAGTCTAAAAAAAGGGGAAAAGTAACTAAACAAACTTACAAAAGAAATGCCAATAAACTAGAAATTATATTATCCATACTAGGCTACAATACAAAAAGCAAGAATGTTTGAAACAACTGTACACAGAAAAAACAAAAGCTCACTTTAAAGATGCCAAGATAAATAATTTCGAACTCTATTGTTATTTGAACAAGTAGCTTTCAAGGCTATAAATCATGCTAGATATGCAGGCTGAATCAAATTGTTTTTTGACAACAAACAACAAAGATATACCAATATCTCATAGATGATACTTCAAATGACAGAACAAAGTATGGAGTACCTTCTTGTAGAACAATATAAACAGTTTCTGAGGCAGGGTTGATATCAACATCAACAACAGCATAGCACTCCTCATCAACAACAAGTTGGCATGAATGCACACCACATGGGACAATCACTGTAGCTGACTTGTAAGACCCCTCATTGCGTGATCTTTTCATCTGTATCTGGCCAGCCTTAAATCAAAGTGTTGAAAATATTAGGATTCAAAAAGTGAATCAAACACAGTTTTTACTGACCACAAACAAATCACTGAGTGGAAAGAATTTCGCGTTTCAGGCAATAACTAGCAAACCTGTTGATAAAACTTTTAGGTTAAGAATAAAAGATTTCTTGAAAAAGATCTGAAAAATACCTCAAAATTTTTATCCTTTTGTAACATTTCAGTAATATCCTAAGCTTTGGAAAATTGATGATGGTAGAAGACATTTATACAGATTACTTAAAACAACAACCCATAAGCGCTCATCGTTTTACCCCCCCCCCCCCCACCCCAAACATTATAATGCATCACTTTTTCACCCTTATAAAGCTCTAAGCCTTAAAACTGACCAACAATGCAGAATATCATGTCAAGTTTGCTGTTTATAGATTAATGTAACTTAGATTAAATTTCTATTACACGCATTTCACAAATAAACATCAAAATCAAAAGGCTGAAACAAATGGAAAGCAGAAATTAGACAAGAACAGCACAGAACAGAAAGGAGAAATCACATATGCATACAGCGTAAATTGAATATTTTGCCCTGACATATAGCTTTATCAGAGTAAAGGTCAGAAACTAAATGGATTTTTTGGACAAAACAATTATTATATAATTGCTTACAAGCTTGCAGCCAAGAGCCAAACCAGGTTGCAATATGTAGGAAGAACAAATGTTTTAGGTGTCACGCCCTGTTCTAAAGATATTGCAAAAACAATGATGAAACAGTTTTTTGTCCTTAGCTTTATTGTCAACAAACATATAATATAAAAAAGACATATTCTTTATAGGCTTTTTAGCAAATTTTTTCAACAACCAGCTCTTTTAGATTTATCTACAATACAATGGAGTTCTGTTATCCCCACTGTACATGTCTAGACTGAATTGAATAAAGCAATTTTAAGGTAAGTATTGATTAAACAGAGGAAAGACAAAATTGCTTAACTTGCCCATCTCCAACATTGTTTGTTGTTTTTGGACGAAATAGAAAATTAATCATTGAAAATCGTGGGACAGACATGTCCATCCCAAGTCCACTCTTTGGCACTGCTCAAACATACATCTCTAGTAACTTTCTTTTAAAGAAGCAATTAACAAATGGCTTGCATTGTAAATGATGAATAATGCCAAGGTATAATATATATATATATCATTTCTATTGACTTCTCCAAAACATTTATTTACTGAATTGTATAAACTTAATGATATAATAATACATACAAGAGAAGTGATAAGGACAATGACTTGTTGAACTGTGTCTTTTGTATTGATCCACCTGAAAACAACTTCAACCAAGTCTTCAACTGGCTCAGCTCTTTCCATTTTCAGTCCGTCTATAACTAGAAAATTTTACATGTTGGCTACTGAATGATACACTTGTGTCTAGTTTTGACTAAACAAATTACTTCAATTAAATATTTATGTTATCAACAAAGACAACAAATAATGAGCTTAGTTTGTTGTAAAAATATGAGTGAACATCTTCAAACAACCGCAGCACAGCGGTGTGAATTTAGTCCTGAAGATTTATTAGAACCAGGCTTTTCATATCAAACTGGGATATATTTTTTCACTGCATGTTTTCTCCAAAAGCGACTTTAAAATTGAAACTTTGAAGATAATGCACTCTAATGATAATTATCTCACTGATCAGATATTCAAACTTCTGTCTTTGCTTATTGCCAAAAAGTGTTAAAAAATATATTGCTTTCTGATTAAAATATTTTGACCAGTCATGATCAGTATCATCAGTATTCAGTAGTGAAGGAATAGATGATATGGAAAAATCTTTGTAATTAAGTTTTAAGGTATATTCTGGATAAGCACAAAAGATCCTTGCTTTTCAACAAAGATTTGATTTTTGCATAGCCAATTCAGTTATAAGAATGATTCAGATCATGATTTTAAAATTTCCAACCCTTCATCTTATTAGTTTGAACAAAACTCTAAGTATGTCAGTGTGGATTGACCATTTGCTAGTAATTGTAACCAATTGAGCTGTTTACTCTAAATTATATTTTTAATTTTTTTTTCAATTTGCCTTTCTTTGAGTTTTTAAATTTCTTAATTTTTTGACTGGGCAGTACTTTGTTCTTTTGGCAAATTTGTTATAAAAAATGAACATGTCATAAGACTCTGCATCCTTATTATCCAGTCCAATGTATCAGCACATACTAATAATATGCCAGATTGAATCTTTGAAAGATGCATGTGGGATCTGTTTCATGTCCATGAAAGTTACACATTTGCAAATAGCACAGATAAACATTTTGTGTGGCTGAGACTAATTACCATAAAAATACAGTGTGTAACTTGTGGGTATAAGTTTAAAAAAAACATTAATAACATCATTAGTGATGATAAAAACAATATAGCAAAGATAAACATTTACAAACCAGCCTCGTGTGTACACAGGCAAAAAGTAATGACGGTCTAGAAGATCTGCAACTCTGAGGGTCTTCAAACTCAAATCTCATTTAAAGGGTCAATTATTAAGTATATACATACACGATACGTTTTACAGTTAAAAAAGAACCCTGTGCAGCTGGATGAATCATTTTAACAGAAATTGCGTGGCTGCAATCACGGCTGATACTTGGTGTGGACGGGGGATTTATCCCTTGCGCAAGGCAAAAATTCCAATCTGGATAATATGCAAGCAATTGTATGCAGCTTTTGAATTCATGGAAAACCATTAGAGGGTGAACGCAGATCAATATTTTGATAAGAAATATAGTCCGAATAGTCCTTCAGTGAATATATAGTTTATGGAAGAATTTTGGTGGGACATAGTTGTCTTATTGGAAGATACGTTCACTGAATATATTCACTGAAGCCTATTATTGATTTTTTTATTTAAAATTATTCAAAGCAAACTTTTCAATTATTGAAAGCACTACATATACAACTTACTTAGTGCTAGTACGCATAAGAGGCATCTAGCCTAGTAATAACTAAATGTAATATAATTGAACGCATACGTGGCAGCAACAAAAACTTTTGATACAGAAAACAGCAATATAACTGACATCGAAAGCGTTAGGATACAGCTAAATCGTAATATGAAGCGCCGAAAAGGGCCTAAAAAAGAAGCAAAGCAATTACCGTCACTTCGAGGATCAGGGCTTTCTTCGTTTCCAACTCCTTCACAGCTTTCTATATAATGAATTTGCAATGCATCTTCATTCTTAACTCTAGCGTTGCATATCGGACATCTCATGATTTGTTTTTGGTTGTAACGCCTACCGTTAAGCTTTGTAACCAACGATCTCCATCAGTAAACTTCACAAATAAGCACAGGGTCCTGAGAAATAAAAATAATTGTTTGAATTCAATAGGCTGTACCACCTTAGGTTTCAGTGTTCACCTTGAAATTTCCTGTTCGTGGAAATCACATGCGTACTGAGGATCGTTCGCGGGCGGTAGAAAAAACTTTTGTAAACAAGTCTTTCAAAAGTAATGGATGAATTTTCATCAAATTTTGTTGATGGAATAATTACACTCCAGGTTGGTCATTATTCTAACTTCATTGGAACTCACTGGTGGAACATACAGCATGCCACAAGGAAGCAGCAAGCAAGCAGGGATAAGGAAAGTCAAATCAAACACGAGCTATTTCTTCGAGAAGAATTTTCTAGACGTGAAGGAGCAACTACTACCCCCCGGCTACTCTGTATTGATTTAAAAGGAAGCTTAAAATCTTTAAAACAAGATGGAAATTTTTCAGACTCGACCAATTCAAATCAAACTGATGAAAATAGGAGTAAACATAATGAGGCATCTGACACTGTTGGGTTTTCTCTTGATTCTCCTAATCAAATATCGGTTCACTATACAGACCCTGCTGAACGACACGACAGTCTTGCACCAAAGTCACTAGCAGGAGATCTGACAAACAATCAACAAAGCAACAGTGGTGATATTGACAATTATTTCAACCTAGATGATGTTGTAGAAGTTTGGTCTGATTTTCTTGGGAATGAATATAATCAAAATTCTGTATTGCTTGTTGAGGATTACTGGCACAGTGGTGATGGCCGAACATTTTCTTCTTTTGGACAAGGCTATTCAACAAGTTCAAATGAAAATTTCTGGGAATCTTGGGAGGACAAAATGCACTTTTTTGTTGAGGAATGTGACTCTCTTCAGGGCTTTCAGGTTGATATGAATTATTCAATTATTGATATTGCTAGTGTGGAGTCCATGTAGCTTTTGCCGGAGATAATCGGCGTAGACTAACAGTTTCCCATTGTCTCTTTGATTGTTTATTGGTGTATGTCTGGCGTGAGCTTTACATTGGATTCCACCATGGTGATATTGTGGGTCATATGCAAGTGCAAGAAATCAAACATGGCTATGAGCATAGTTTTCAGCCTGGGAAAGGAAAAATAGTCACTCCTTCTCCCAATGATCTTGAACACAATTTTCCACATAAAATTTCCTCATTTGACCAGGAACATCAAGGACAGTGAGGGAACAGTTAAGACTGACATTATGTACAACAAAATGTTTGTGAAGAATTCATTGTCTTCCCTTGATTCCTCTAATTCATTTGTATGTTCTACTAAACATATTTTCAAATCTACAAAAGGAATTGAATTGCAAACAAGTTGCATTTATTTCCCAATGAATGAGTAAAATCCATTGCAGAATATTAGAAATTATCATGTTTTCAGGTACAAAAGTATTATTTGATTTGTACAAAGATTAGATTGAGCCCCCAGATTCTCAACAGAAAAAAATTCTTACATGTAGGATTCAACTGTGTAGCATCAGCTCATATATTTTCAAATGTTGAATAAAAAAGGCATCCCTAGCAACTGAAATCAGCTTAAAGCTTTTGCCATTTAAACAGGTTCTAACAGATTTAGCTGATGGTTTTGGAGGCTTAACAACAAGGATGCTACACCATATTCAAGACTGTTTTGGATCAAAAGCTATTGCTGTTTATGGAAGCTGGCCAGGAATACCTGATAAACATATTGACGAAAGCATCCAAGTTATCAATTCTGCCCTTGCTCTGGCTCGCATTTCACAGAACTGCTCATTTTTCACCCCATTATCTCTTCAAAAGAATTACTATGGAAAGGAATGGTTACCAAGACAATTTCCTCATCTGTCATACAAGGTATGGCTATTAATCAACTAAAGCAAAATTCTTATGTTGTTTATTAATACCACATGTGCTATTCAAATCCAGAAAGTTCATATTCTGTTTAATTTGTCATGGTTACAATTGCTAACGTTTGGAGGGGGAGTAGTTGATTGGGTTTTGAGCAGTCTTCAGGCAAATTTCCTTGGAACATGCACTTTTTCAGGAAGTTCTCCCACTTTTTCTTAATGAATTCCCTTCTTTACACAATGTTGTATCAACAGATTTAGATTTGTTTGCAACTGCTGGGTTTTGAGTAGTCTTTAGGAAAATTTCCTCAGGAACATGCATTTATTTTTCCAAGTGCTCCTTCTTCTGAAGAAGAAATTTTCTTCTTTACACTATGTTGTATGAGCTTATAATGATAGATAGGTGCAGTTTTGATATCAACCAAACCTTTTCGCAATATAGACTTGTTAACTAAACACAAATCTTAAATCACAAAGTACAGTTTCTTTTTCAGTTTGATCAAAACTATTGATGTATCAAATTCTCTAGCATATTTTTTCCCCTTTCAAAATTGTAATTTTTTTCTAAAACTCACTGATGGGTCTAATGGCAATATTTTTTTTAAGTTAAAATGCAAAAAACTCAGTTAAAATTACAGGGTTTTATATAAAGTTTCTTGAACTGAAATGGATACTGAGCTCTTCTTAGAAAAATTTCTTAATTTTGATAGAGAGCAGTAGTGACAGATTAAGCAAGAAGGATGGGGGGTGTCTAATAATGGCTGGATATTGGTGCCACACCTTTCAGGTGACTGGAAAATGATGGAAACACCCATTTTTGAAATTCAGTTTTTAGCTTTAAGATAAAGAAGATGAATAAAAGTAATTTTTTGCATCATCTCATTACTACTGACAACCAAGAAATTTACTAAATCAAAGCAAAATTTACTGAAGGACACAATGGGGGTGTCACATCCCCACACCAGCCCCATGTAAATCCATCTCTGATAGAGAGGGTACACAGAGTGGCTTGTAAATAATTGGTTTTTATGTAAAAGCTTTACCAGGAATATATTTCATGTTTGACACTATACATTTTGATGGCTGCATGAAAGTTTGTATTGGGTGGGAGCAAAAATTGTGCAACATGTACCCTGTCCCTCAGCATCAATTTTCTCATCTATTTTGCTTGCATCTCAAGGAGAACATTTCTGAAAATCTTGAGGGACTAGTATATAATCATCCATCTTTTATAACTGCCTTTTTTTCTTAACAGGCCAACTCACATTACCATACAAGTGCCATCATAGCATCTCTGCTGGATACTGTATCATTACAATACAGACTAGAGCAATCCTCATTTGGTCATTTCTGTAACAACTTAACAAGAACAGGACACAAAATTGCAGCTTCAAGTCTGTCACTCCCATTACCACTAAACTCAAACTCATTGAAAACATTATTCAAAGATTCATCCTTGTATGGAAATGGCTTGCTGTGTTGTCTAACACCGTCACACAGCAGTGAGTTGTCTACTCTATACTCTAATCAAGTGGTACTGCGTGGGGTACCAAACTATTGCAAAGAATATGACCTTAAAAATCGAGCTAGTTTAGGTATGACATCAAACAAAAATACATTTGAAGCTTTTGTATATGAAAAACATGAAGCTCTTGTAACTGGGACTACATTTTGCACAGAGCCACTCAAGACATCATCTTGTTATCCCCAATACTTCTTACAGAGTAGTACAGGGAAGAATACACAAGTTAATGAATGTCCTGTGCTAGCAGGGTTGTTCACATCAAGTGGTATGTTTGACCTGATGTATGACATGTTGCTGTCAGTAAAACGAGTGAAGAAATCCAAATTGGTGTTAATGGAACAAACAGGTTTAGAGCAAGATGAGTTTGAAGAGAATATGGAAAGTTTGGCTCAAATGGCATATCTTTATGATGAAAGAAGAGCTATAGATCTACTGTAACTATAACCAGTGTAGCCACTGTATATATAACAATACAGTTATTTAAAAAAATGACAAGTTTCAAGGAAAATAGTATCCATTTACAAGATGTCTTCCCAGTTTTCTTCCATAGATGGGGGAGAATTTAAACCCTGAAATTTTTCAAATTCAAAGAAAAAAAGAGATACATGTATATTATGACCAGATAAGATAATGCATTGTTTGAGAAAAGCTTTTGGATATTCTACAGAATTGGACAACAAGATTTAAGCTGTAAAAACACGAACTTACTGATAAAAATATCTGCTTTGTACAAGTGAATGATGGAAACATTATTTTGATATCTTTTTACAATTTTCTTTAACAGATCAATTTATTAGTACGTCCATATTCTTTATAAAATGAGTCCAACTTCTTATCTATCCATGGTTCACTGCATTCCACTGCACATACAAATACAAGTAGTTTGTATCCAGATCTGTGTGTTCTCAGTGTGAGAGAGTTTAGTTGCCCAACTTTTGGGAAAAGGAAATACATTGAGCGGTTGCCCTACAATTAAAGGAAACATATTTTAACACACTCTATTTGCATGTATTTATAGACGGGTCACTATTTAGATACATTGTCATAATTAAGAGCAGTAATAGATAATTTTATTTGGACACTGAGACTAGCAATGTTGGAAAAAAGAGCCAGCAATGGGGGAAATTCGGGTTTTCATTCAAAGGGGGGAGGGCTTAGACCCACATTTTCATAGCAAAGAGACAGCACTAACAGGATATTAAGAAAAGAAGCCAAAATTTCTGATGAGAAATTTGAGACCTCAAGACAGCAAGTTTGCAGATTGGTCTGAACATTCACATGGAAATATCAATCGATGTTGATAAAGTTTCTGTTAGATATGTTTTACTATGCAACCTTCCAGACATATGCAAAAACAGTTCAAAAAATGAACATCTCTAATGATTTGCAAAAATCAGCATGCCTAAATTGAATAAGATTCTGCAATAGGTCAATAATTACACAAGAATCCATCTGTAGCCATTGTGTAAACATTTAATGTCAAAAATTTTAAAATCGTCCGGCAAACAAGGTCATCTTTCTATTTCGGTGGTTTCGAATGTGTCTACAACAAAGGATGGCAAACAAGGTCATCTTTCAATCGTCGGCCAAACAAGGTCATCTTTCTATTTTGGTGGTTTCAAATGTGTCTACAACAAGGGAAAGGATCCCGAACTATGTAGATAGAAAGTGTTCATCTTCTCTCTAAACTTTTTTATAATAAATAAAACTAAACAGAATCAAAACTGAAATTTTATTTCTGTTGATCCCAAGCCAAAAACACGGCTTTATCAAGCTGCCTCCACACCCAGCCTTACAATTCCCCACTTAATTTGAAACTTTCTTCTGGAAATATATTTTCTGCTTTCCTTTGATCATGAAAGTTCTCATGAAAGTGAACATTTATACCCTCAGGAAAGTTCTACTAAAAGTACCAAGTATGCTATGTTGCTACTTGTCCGTGATCATGATACATGTCAATTGTGCAAAAAAGAAAACTTGCTGAGTATAATTTCTTCAGTATATCTGAACTAAAGATTGATTCAATAAACGATTTTTATTTGTGAGACGGATAAGAGAAAGTCTTTTGGTGAATGAGACAATCCTCTGTCCTGTCCTCAGAGGGCATGCGCATGGAACGAAACCATCCCTGCGCATGCACCTTGACGACAGGACAGAGGACTGCCTTACACATTTGAAGATTTTGCTCGCTCGTCTCCCTCAACAAATTTAATAGGAAAATTACAGCCGCCCATAATATCTTTATAAGCCTGTGCCGTCACGTTAAACAATGCTGGAAACATTTGAATACCCAAAAAAATTGTTAAAATATTTACTGTTTTTTTAAAAGGATTATGCAAAATAAATACCTCTACAACAGGAATTTGGTGTTCTTTATTCAGTATCACAGTTTCAACTCCATTATCCTTCTGGCGATCCATGTGCAAAAATATATGTCCGGACTGAGTGAACTGAGCACAAGCACATAGCAGTATCACTGTTATCCCTAATGATCAAAATGTTAATATTATTCACAATTTAATTACATCAAATAACAATGTTAGACGCACAATTGAACTTATCATACTAAAAAGAATCTCTAACCCGATGTGTACTATCGGATACGATACTGTTTGGATCCGATCCTGTGTGAACAGGGCTTTAATCTCAATATCAAGAATTATACAAATATCAATTTACAATACGATACGATACGATACGATACGATACGATACGATACGATACGATACGATACGATACGATACGATACGATACGATACGATACGATACGATACGATACGATACGATACGATACGATACTGTTTGGATCCGATCCTGTGTGAACAGGGCTTTAATCTCAATATCAAGAATTATACAAATATCAATTTACAATACGATACGATACGATACGATACTGTTTGGATCCGATCCTGTGTAAACAGGGCTTTAATCTCAATATCAAGAATTATACTAATATCAATTTATAAGATATGATATTTATTTATGAGTGAATATACGTCAAAGTTGCGTCGTAAGAGACAATTGAAATATTAGTATTAGTATTAGCAAATTGAGTATTATGTACAATTCAAGAAAATGTATAACTTTATCACTGTGTCATTAAATGAAATTGATTATATCCACTTTTGCTTGCCTCTAAATAAAAGCTCTTATGGCCAGGGCAAAAGTTACGATTGGTTACAAAAATATCATTTTTCCTGCAACGAAATCCACTTAATATGTATATTTAAAGTTAAAATATTGTTAAGCGATTTATCTGTTTAAGTTTATATCGTTGCTCTTATACCCACGTCTCTTGGGCTCCAAGTTCTACGTCCCTTACTGCATTCTTATATATTTGTCTTTTATCGATTCAAACTGTTGATCAGCTAAATTCAAAAGGTACTCAGCACCTGCATGATGACGCAGAGTCGCAACCCCAATTAGAGATGCTCAAAGTGGGGGTATTTAAAAACAATAAATTCCCAAACAAGTTATAGATATTCTGATAGAAGTTACCCCCTAACAACATAATGTAAACAATTAAAATGCAAAAAAGACACCTTAAAAGAACCTGTAAAATACCGTCCTGTTCATTACTTAATAAAGGCAAACAAATAAAAAGAGCGGCAACGTCAAAATTTTATTTCTTCTCATTCCAAAAGCTCAGACCGCAGCGGCAGTTGCAGGATCGAAGGCAGGGTGTCATTAGTGCTTCAAATTGCTTTTGTTATTTCAATCAATTTTGCTGACCTTAATTTTCTACATTATTATTGCCCACAAAGGCATGCCAGCAAAAACTGTATTAACCAATTGATTTTACCAAGTTAGAAGATCAAAAGATTCCATTAATACACTAAGAGTGGAAGGTTTCCTCTTGTCCGTTTGTCATCTGATGACAGAAATGTTACTCCCAACTCCAAAATACTTATCGACTGGAAATCAGTCGATGCAGGTATCTGTCCGTACTGTAGTGGTCAAAACAAGTACACACATCATTATGCAGTTGAAAAGTCAAACCTGTGTCAATGCACTGATCTATAAAAAAGACTGGATCGAGCTTCTAATGTGACCAGAGTGCCGCCATCCGAAAAGAGGGCCCTAGAACAGCCTATGCGAGGAGACGGCCTTCTATGTCACCCCTAGCAATGTTTTCAAATACTCTGGCCTTGTTCTTTCTCAGCAATCATACGCACAGCATTAGAGCTCTCGCGTATCCATATCGTTGAAGTATTGGTTTTGAGGAATGGCTTCCCGCTATCGATTGGGGCCCTCTTCCTTTTGAAATTGAACGGGCTCCAAACTTTGGTGTTTCAAGACAATAGGAAGCTCGATCCAGTCTTTTTATAGATCAGTGTGTCAATGATGTATAATTGCTATCAGAAACTGCCCAGCTGAAAAAAGCGGGGTTCTAATAGCTGTTACTAAACCCACTTCAACTGTGAATTAAACTTGTATATAAGTTATATAACAATGTCCCAAATCGTGACATTAAGAAAGAGCCAATAATCTGTTGCTTTAAATCGTGTCAACCTCAGTCACATTTGACAAAACCCTTAACCTCACCCTGGTGCACGTCGTTTATGGGAATCCCCTTACATAATCCTGATGACATCTAGTATTGTAAAATAGTTAAGTCTCAATTTTACTAAGCGAGACAATACAATAAAATCACAAACCTTTTTCTCCAGCATTCTGTTGGCAGTTAAAATACAGCTCTGTGATGGTTTTTTCTCCAGGTGAAATAATTCTACACAATTGGTGTGGGTGCAGTTGTGCACCATTTGTCTCCAAAGTTAGTTTCAGCATAGTCTCTGCGGTGCTCACCAACAGCCGGTTATATTTTTCAATCATTTTCTTTATCGAAATATGTTTATAGTCCGGAGAAAATTCATAAACGTCTTTTGGGTTCGACTTCGGAATCAATTTTGCATCAGCACCATAGCTTAACAAAATGCTTATTATGTCTTCATGTCCTTTCCGACAGGCCTGGCAAAAAAGGAAAATAAGTTTTGCCTATATCATGAATGATCGATTTCATGAGTGCATATTACACAAAATATGTTAGATAAAAGCTGTACTGAGGTGAGATTTAATACTTTCTAATGTCTGAGAAACAAGGAACTGCCTCAAGTTAACCTTTTATTGCAACTGGTAAAGAACCAATAAAGAATCATATAATTTTTACTTTCTTAAAAAGATGGTATGGAAGGGTAGTGGAACAGCATACTTCTCTGTAAACAATATATTTTAAGTCCAACTAAATATAAAAAAACCCTGAAATATAAATAGATAGGAATAGCATAAACGCTATAGAGACAGCAGTCTATTCATTATTATACAAGAATGAAGAGTAAATAGTAGTATCTTTGATGATTGAATCTTAAATTGTTGCAGAGCTTTATACTTCAATTCCAACCATATCAGAAATCCCACATCTACAATAAGTGCAGTCTCTGCTTACCAAAATAAGCGCAGTTTCTTCATTGTGCTGTTGAGCGTTGATATTGGCTCCTGCTCTCAAAAGTATGATTACAAAGCCAGCTTTTCCCTGTAAATATAAAAAAGCGAATGGCAAGATAAGAGACCGTAAGAAAGAAAGGAGTGACAGACCTTTTCTACGCTGATTAATGCCAAAAAGGTATATCAAAACCATTTAATTAGGTGGAAAACACATCTGAAAATAACAGGTATATGAAAATTTTCAAAGAATGCAGAGTTCTTATTTGTATCAATTGTCATCGCAATGAAAATTTTATATAGAGTATAAGTAGCTCAGTCTTAACCAATCAACGTACAAGGTGCTTTGTCTGACCAATCAATGTCTGGATTCTTGTCCGCATTGCAGGAGCAGTTTTGGCATTCCAGCACGCAGCTGCAATGTTTATGGACAAAGTGCCTTTAAGAGATTTTTGGGAACAAAGTGCCTGCAGATTTAAAGTGGGTTCACTTTTGAAATATACAGTGCAAGTGCCACTGGTATATGCCACCAAATATAAATGCCACCGGTAAGAAGGGGTATACAGAGTGACTGCCATTCAGACACCGTTGAATAGCTTGCTGAGATCCAAGCAAAGCACAGCAAACCAACTACTTACATGTTCAACGGCTAACATCAGCGCCGTTTTTCCATTCTCTGCCTTGTAGTTAACACTGGCTCCAAGAGCAAGCAATTTTGTAGCTACATCGTATTCGTCACTTTCGATGGCTTTCCACAATAGTGTTCCTTTGGTTTCTATATCCCAGTAATCAGCATCCATTCCCCAAGCTACAGCACCGAGAATTTGCTCCCAGTCACCGGCACGTACAGCTTTCACAAAAGTGTCTTAAAAAAGAAAACTTTATTCAAACACATTGAAAAAGATTCTGAGGGAAAAATCTGAAATTTGAAAAGTTTGCGCCAAAAGTTAAATACCACGATGAAAAGCAAAGAAAACAATGCAGGACTAGGGCGTGGTTCTTTAATTCATTTTTCCTAATTGCCATCATTAAGGTCTTAGACCATATAACTATGTTTTCAGGGTTCTGTCGCTTTAGAAGTACAGTAAGGATAAGGCCTAAGAATATTTGGATCAAAATATGGCCTGCTGTCAATACTTTATTGTATGACCACTTAGTTAGGATGTCTTCTCTGCAAAACTACAAAGCAAACTATGGCAATGATTTTTGGTAAAGAATTCTTGTGACAAAGAAATGACTATGCAACATGTTTGCAACACGGATCCGTTCACTCAAAAGGAATATTACATAATTAACGTTTCTCGATTCTTTGCTAAAGTATATACATCAAGAAGGCTTTGGGAATTAAATCCCACTGAGAGACTACATTCCTGTGACTTGACCTAACTTCGTAGGCAAAAAGCTATGCAAAATTTAAAATTTTTATCTTTAGCATTCTGTATTTCTATTTCCCTGAAAATGGTGCAAAGATTAAAAGTACAATGTTTATCTGATACAAAATGTCCCTTGCACTGCCATATACAATTTTTTTCAGTCATTCAATGCTGTAGGATTGAACAATATCAGCACTGAATAATACTTAAAAATCTGTCGATTATATTTACGTAATGCAGTGGACTGGTTCCACAAACTGCAGGCCAACCTCAAGTAAAGCAATAAATGTGCTACAAATAATTGTATAAAACCCTTTGGATCTAGGTATCAACATGGTATCAACGGTTTTCGTTTACAAACATACATTCCAATGTGAGAAAACAAAATGTCTGTCAAAGATAACATCAATAAACGTAGATCTTAAGTTCAGTAAGACAAGAGGAGTTCTATATACATAGAGGAGTCCTAAGAGAAGCCCTATGAATATTGGAAACATGTATGTTACTGGGGACGTGTGTACGAGCGAACAACACGATAGGTTGGTTGGTTAGTTTCTCCTATGTGGCTTCAACTTCCCCAATGATCTTTACTCAAAGAACATTTGTGTAAAGTTGCTTCGTAGCTCTTATTCTACGCAGCACCATCTTGCATTCTCCCCATGCCCCCGAATTATAACACGTTTAAACAAAGCGTGGTTTTAACCACATAAAAAAAGAAGTTTGAACAATTTTATAGCGGTACAAAATTTGAAAATGGCTATGAAAAAGCACTCATTTTACAACATACTAAAAGCATTTTATTCAGACACTCCTCAGAGCATAGAACGTCAGAATAAGGGTCCGAAAGTAGAAGATGGAAAATATATACCCAGTTGTGGATATATCCAAAATTGGCCTATTTCGATACAGGCCACGCTTTAAAGTACCAATTTTAAAGCCATTGATAAAAAACGGACTCGAATAAACACCCTTCACAACTTTACTGAAGCATTCTAATCACTAGGCCTCCTCTAGGATGTGTTGTATTTAACTTTAAACATAATCAGCTAAACTCACAAAAAGCTGTTACCTTGGCTCGTCTGAACAGGATAAACGTCATTAGCAGAGATTGACTGGAAAAATTCATTGTCATCGTCATTGTCACTTGGAAACTACAAAAATAAAAGCAACCAAACTTTTCCTTCTTAAAGTTCTCGCAACAATATACCCTCAAAATCAATTTATCAGATCTTCTATGCAAATTTTGGTAAAAACACATATTATTGTTATCAAATTAGATATAATGACCAAGATCTAAAGATATTTCTGTTAGTCTAATCAGGAAAAAAACTCTAGAATTTCAATATACATAAAAACCAGTTTCATTCTTCACTTTGTTATAAATTTTCAATGCCTCATAACTGTTATATAAAAATTTACTCTTCCAATAATAACTTTCAGTCTTACAACTAACAACTAAAACTTATTTGCTAAAATATAGGCGGTCTAGTGATTAAGCAGTTAAGGCTACGATACTCTGCATAAAAACATCTTTATGCCAAAAACCCTTTTAGAATCAATTTCAAAACTTTTATCAGATATCTACAGAGAGATTTAATCACATACCAGTCCTCGCTCATCAACATGGAATTCATCAAAATCAAAGATATCGTTTGCTTCACCCAATTTCTTTGTGTTTTCATTTTCGATTGCCTGCAGTAAACAAATCAAGTAACATCAACTAAATTCACAGCCTTAAGCATCTATTCCAAGCAAAAAGGACCAAAAAGGAGTCAAAAAGGACCAAAAAGGAGTCAAAAAGGAGGAAAAAAGGAGGAAAAAAGGAGGAAAAAAGGAGGAAAAAAGGAGGAAAAAAGGAGGAAAAAAGGAGGAAAAAGAAGTAAAAAAAAGTAAAAAAGGAGGAAAAAAGGAGGAAAAAAGGAGGAAAAAAGGAGGAAAAAGGAGGAAAAAAGGAGGAAAAAGAAGTAAAAAGGAGGAAAAAAGGAGCAAAAAGGAGGAAAAAAAGAGGAAAAAGGAGGAAAAAAGGAGGAAAAAAGGGGGAAAAAAGGAGGAAAAAAGGAGGAAAAAAGGATGAAAAAGGAGGAAAAAAGGAGGAAAAAGAAGTAAAAAAAAGTAAAAAAGGAGGAAAAAAGGAGCAAAAAGGAGGAAAAAAGGAGGAAAAAGGAGGAAAAAAGGAGGGAAAAAGGAGGAAAAAAGGAGCAAAAAGGAGGAAAAAAGGAGGAAAAAGGGAGGAAAAAAGGAGGAAAAAGAAGTAAAAAGGAGCAAAAAGAAGCAAAGAGGAACAAAAGCTACAATATGCTTCATCAAGAAAAGTAATTATTAAACTTAACTTGACAAAAATCGGACTGTTAGATAACATTTTGGTTGATATATAATAAACATACTTTCTATGGTTGTTGGCAGTTGCAACCGAGGGCTTTCGGAAGATTTAAGTTAGCATTGACTAAAGTTCATACGTAATTAGTAAAAAGGTTATACTAACTATATAGTACATAAAATATATTATATACTGTATAATATAATAATGGTATATTGTCATATACTGTCTTTTATATAAGCAATTATTTAAAACAGCTTCATAATTTTAAACAACAAACGTCGCTCTTTTAGCTTTCCAGAGGATTATATAGAACATCTTTTAAAATAAATGAAAAGACACGGTCTTCAGTGAACTTTTCTGAAAATTTCTGCAAAATCTTTAACAACAAGCAAGTTCAATATTCTCACCTTTTTCTGTTCCAGATTTTCTTTGGCCTCCTCTCTTTTGTCACTTTTGTCATCAATTGACTTCATCATTTCACTACGTCCGAGGATACCACCAAGAATATCATCCTTAGTTGGAACAAACGCTTCTTTATTAGGCTGCTTTTGGTACGCATATCTCGCCTTTTTAGACGGATCAATTGAAACCTTCTTCTTTTGATCAGCGTCATCTATTCCTTTTTTAGATCCAATTTTCGGTTTTATACTTTGCTCATTTGATGCAACTGACTTAACTTTTGTAAATTCAAACAAATTTCCCTCATTCATAGATGGACTCTTTACCTTCGTCATCGTTCCCTTAACTTCACCTTTCTTCTCAGGGCGTAAAGACTTCTCTTTATTCACTGTTAAACTACTGTTTCTTTTACCACCTTTCCCTGAATTTTCGTAATCATTAGTTTTGTTTTTCTCACCAGTTTCGTTTTGTGACTGCTGCTTATTCTTATCTGTTTTGCTTTCCTTTGAATCTACACACATGCGTGCTTCTTCCTCTTTTTGTTCCTTGGGCAACTGTGGCTTCTTATCAGCAATACCATCTAGAGGGGAAGTTCCTTTTCCAGCAACATCATTATTAAGGTCAACATTTTCACTTATATTTGTAGGCGCAGCTTCGGGTTTATTGTTTGTCGCAGCATCGGCAATACCTCGATTCCTGTCTTCAGCATTTGCAGGAATTCCACCCGGATTTGTCAAATCAGTGTTTCCATTAAACCTTTCCCCCATGTCCTCGCCTTGCGACTCACCACAACTTTTCTCATCTTCTACTAGGCTTTGATTCGTTTCAGTTTTAAGGTGTTCTTCTTTATAAAAAGGTGCTTTCTCATCTCTAAGATTGTCAACTTTTCCAGTAGATGTATGCTCAGAACTATCACTGTCCGATGCTGCAGCGTGTACTTTGCTTCGAGGTTTTTCTTCTCTTCCAAATTTTGCTTCAAAGATAACCTTAATTTTTCCCAAGTCAAGATTCAATTTATCAAGCGAAAGGTTCATCCTATTTTTCTGCTCTTTTTTTTCTATTGAAGACGTAACCGTAGAACTGCTTGCATCCACGATACTACTGGTGATACCGGATTCTTTATTTTCTCGTTTCTGTTCTTTTTCATTACTAGCAGTTGCTGAATTATCACTTTCTTTATTTTCACCATCTTTCATATCCTGTTTTGTAAAAGTTTCATTCAATTTCAAGTCAGATTTCTCAATTGTTTCATCCGGAGCTGTTTTTTTACTTTGAGCATTCAGATTACTTGGCTCCGGTTTACTTTTGGGAGCAAATGCTTTGCTCTCGGTTTTCATTTGTTTTATATTAACGTCCAGGTTCTTAATTCGCTTCATAAGATCTGATTCAACGAATAAATTCTGACCAGAAGGTATACTATCTTTTTTCGGTTCAATCTGATTTTGTTTCGAACCAACCTGATTTTCTTTCAAAAGATCTGAATCAACAAATAAAGTCCGACCAGAAGTTATAATATCTTTTTTCGGTCCAACCTGATCTTTTTTTGGATCAACCTGAGTTTCTTTCAGTCCGACTTGATCCTGTTTCGTTCCCCCCTGATCATGATCAGACAAAACCGGCTCTAGATTTGATGCCGACAATAACCTTTTTTCTGCCTCGACTCCCTTATGATTTTGACGTGGTTCTTGATCTAATGTTACTCCTCCTTTCTTCTGCAAAGTGCTATCTTGAGCATTTAATTCTTTCTTGGGACTGCTTGTACCCACTTGGTCCATTCTAGGATACAAATTTACCTTTGCAAAAGGATTGCTAACTGGCTTAAGAACTGGCTTTGATGACGTCACTTCGAGGCTGGTAAGCGGTGAACTTTCGACAGACCTTTTGGCGGGAGAAATCCCCTTCGTAGTGTCCTTAACTTTCTCTGGAGTTAGCCTAAGCTTCTCATCCCACTCCCTAATATCTTCTTGTAAGATATTAGAGATTGTATTGAAAGATGCAGGCCGATGCTTTTCTGGTAGAAGAAATTTACTCTGACCATGAACATTGGTGCCGTCAACGACAGGCTTGCTCTCTGCTTCTTTGTGGCTTACTTTGGCCATAACATCAGACAGCTTACCACCTCTCCTTGCCAATGATTCCTTGGCAGAATTTTCAAGGCCATAATGCCTTTGAGGTGTCTTCCCTCTTTTCAACTTATCTTTAGGACTTGGCGTATATTTATTTTTACTTCCAGGAGACTTACCTTTGGAATTAAGTCGCATCTCTTGCCATTTTGCAATGAGCTGACGTGCTCTCCTATCTTTTTCGTCCTCTTCACTTTCAGAGCTACTCGATGAAGGAAATGTTGAAAAAACAGATGTGTCATCTTTAGCTCTACCCTTTGCTACATCATCGTTATCTGAATCACCAATAATGAATTCTGTTTTAACCTGCATACCACCACTGGTCTCACTCTTATTTGAGTGCCCTAATGACTTGATAGACCATGCATCAGCTTGTGGCTTTGTGTTTTTTCGTGCCTCTATTGATGATTGTAACTGTGTAGATTTCTGTGAGGATGAAGGTTGCGAATTGTCTACCATATCATGTCTGGTTGCACCAAGTAATGGTGGTCTTTCACTTGATCTATTCTGCAACCATTGTTCACTTTGAGAGGCCACCTTTTCTTTAGTCTGTTGTTAGGAAGCAAAACTATTAGATGCAGGGAATTATTTAGATGCTTGAGTTTCATGACCACCAAAGATAAGTATGATGGCATGAAATAGCAGAAACATTGCATACTGAAGCACTTTTCGCCCGAAACTCTTCTCAGAGCATAAACGTCAGGAAATGACCAAACGTAAGCAGAAATGTTTATTCAGGTGTATCCAATTACTTATATCTACCCCTGGATATAAAAGATCTGCTTATTTCATGCCATCTTCAGATTTTGCTCTACCAAAAAAGATAAGTACCTCTTTGAGCTGAGAGTATCGAAGCATAAAGCAAGAAAAGAAAAATTGTACAAGATGTGGCCTGGCAAATTTACAAAAAGTGATTTACTTCACCATGAGAGAAGCGACATATAATAAAGGTATAGAGCAAAAAAGACTTTGTTTTTGGTAATGGCATAATTGGTTCAGGCTGAAGATTCCATGAAAAGCAGATGAAATGTACATTAATGAAAACCTTCTATCTTCCTTGATTACACATTCAACTTTATAGCAACAATTTAAGATCTACGCGTATATAATCTTCACTTTGAATGAATACTACCTGTACCTGACACAGAAAGGATAACGAAAAAGACAACACACAACAAAAACTTTCTCTCTTCCTAACAGTCTGTTATAGACTTATCGATTCAAATTAATGAAAATGAATCAATTTGTTACAAGGTAAAATACATCTCCATAAGCAAGCTTTTTCTCACCAGAAGAGGTGGCTCCTTAACATAATATTCCCAAATACTTTGGTATATATAAAAACAATCAAACCTCTTTTGCCTCAGCCAACTGTCGCTTTCTCTCCTTTCTCAATGCTTTCCTATGTTCACTTCTCTCATCCCGCTCCTTCCAATAATTATCTACAAGCTCTTGACATGTTAATAAGTTTTCGCTTGGTTCCCAAGTATCATCTGCAGAGGTGTACCCTTTCCAGTGAACCAAATAATATAAATAGTTGTCCTAAATTGACGAGAAAACACATGCTTTAATGTTGTCTTCAAGACGAAGTTTTGTTATTCAATGAATGAAAAAGAAGCAGACAAAGTTATCATCAGTGCCAGAGGTACAATACACATCACCTATTCATACATGTTTTGTTAAAGTCATACACAAAAATTCATATCAAACCATGCAATGAACATGGAGCAGCTTAGAGTTGACACCATCGTCTAGACAAGAAATTTCACCCTTAAAAATCTAGAATTGGTTTTTGAGCTACTGAGTGCCTACCAACTTTCAAAAATAGCTTTAATTTGCATTATACAGTAAAAGTACTATAATATTAATCTTTACACAACTAACATCACCACTGTGATAAAGCCAACACTATTTAACAACTGATGTGTGATTGTCAATTTATAATTATATCTTCCAATTGTAGCACCTAGGGCAGTCATTAGTTATTGTGCTCAAACAGGGGGCTCAGACCCCATTTGCTGACAAAGTAGGTGAGGCAACCTTTATTTGTCAACAAGTTTGAAAATTTGCCTACAAAACTCTCCAGATGGCAAAAAACTCCTCTTTTTTGGAGCAGAATTTTTTAAAAGGGAGGGGGTCACATCTTCAAGTGCCTGCCAAAGCAACACCCATGTTTTAGCGTAAAAACACTTTACTGTCTTTGTTTCCATATTAACAAGAACAGACCACCCAAATTGGTATCATTCAATTGCAAAAATCATTCAGTAAAGCAATTAAAATTTTGTGCTATAAAGTCTCTAAACTGATTCACTATGTTTTGCATGGTGAATAACTAAAAATAATGTGAATACTTCACAAAGTTCATATAAGATTGTAATTATTGTCTCTAATTTGTATGTAAATCTCATTTTCAAGGGGTCCAAGATTAAAATTTCATGGTGATTTCTTTATGGATATCAGGTTTATGCTTTTATGTGTATTTTTTATGCTATTTATTTATGCACATCTTGAAAGAATTCATTATAAACATTCTTTCTTGGCATACAAAGTATTTGAAGGTGATCCAATGAAGTGGAAATACTGACCTGGCTTCTAGCATCTAGAATTCTTTCAACCTCAAAAATATCTTCTGGCTGTTCATAAAGAGATCTTTCAGCCATTCTTGATTTCAATTTTGTTCTAAAGAGATCAAGTTGATCATTGATTAAAAGACTGTTGAGTAGGAAGAGAAAGGTATCAGATGACTCTCGTGGTTTTAAGCTTGACAAACTATTGAAAAAAATGAGCATGACAAATGTTTGCATAAAAAGAGCTTAAAGGTAACATTTCCAAATTTCAGCTTCATGTTTTTCCAAAATTTTCAAACCATTTGAAAGGTACAATCATTAGTTGCTAGAGAAAAAAGTCAGCTTATGTCTATATGTCACTGTATGGCTGTGTTAGGTTTTATATACTAATCAACGATTACCTAAACCCTGAAAAAGTGTGCCTGAATGGAACATGACCAAATAGAATTTAAGTCTGCACTTTTTAGAACTTATGTCATCATCAATCATGCAGAGACAGGAATGTGACAGTTGCTAAAAGTAATGTGTGATAGCTTCAAGAGCTGCTATAAACAGCTAAGTCTGGATATAGGTACAGTCGATGTAAAACAGCATAGAAGCTAGCAATAAACTGGTCTGCAGTGTAAAACCATATTAACATTCCTTTCAGCCATATAAACCTCTTTTTGTCTCAAATTAGCAAAGTTCAAAGAATTCAAATTTGAGTCACACCTAAATGCTACCTGTATTTATATCAGTACGGTATTTACCTATAGGATTCTACAGTTTTTTCAAAATGTTGCTTATCAATCCAACAAAATCATTTCTGCTTTGAAGATTTTTTCTGTGTGATTTTTCCTTAGGAAGTTGCTTCAACCTTGTGTACCTTGACAACCTTGTCAGGCTACCAATAAAACTAGTTTCTCTGGCTGGCAAATATCTCACAATATTGTCTCAGGACTTGGAGCCAAATGCTGGAAAAACATGCCAATGACTATATAAATTTCACTATATAGCCTTTTGTCAAAATTACAAAACTTTTCTCCTTTGAATATAATTGCAGGCCTTAATAGGTTATAGACATGAACATAAACATTCATCTGAACTTCAAAACCTTCGTCACCAACTACAGGTAAACCTTATCAAAACTCTGAATGGATAAGCCAATAATATCAGAAATCTTAAAACAAAGAGCACCTCTCCTTGACCTTGGCCTAGCCAGCAAGAGCCCTTTAAAAAAATTACTTTAATAAGTTTAATATTATTGCATTGAATATCGAGCCTCTGTAATTTTTATAATTTTATGTAGTAGAATTTTTAATATATTGACTGAACTTAACTGAAACTGACACAGGAAATGGTTTTTGCCGATAAGGCAATATAACTACACACCACACACAGTAACGAAAGTTGGCGCTTATATCCAAGAAAGCTGATTGATATGCTGTTACGTGTCCACACTTCAAATATTTCTAATACTTCATATTTCCGTCTACTTTTCCTTACTTCCTACTTCAATGACTTTGTAGCTTTTGAGTCTGTTTTTAACTCACGTTCTCCATATCGATTGCCATTTTAAATTTGTCAGATTTCTTGAGATCGAGGCTGAAAGAGGCGATGTTATGATGTGTTGTTTTTCTGGGGCAGAGCAAGTTCTCTTGAGGATCTGGATAGAAACAGTTCTTAAGATAAAAGTAAACCTTGCTGAGATTCTACATTTTCTAGGAGACTTCTTACTTCGGAATCTCAAAACAACTTTTTGATTTGAAATCGCCCTATATTATTATTGACAGGTATACAAAAAAGGCCAATGAATATTAAGTTGAAATTTGACACACGACTGTTGACAAATCACAAGATTCACAATGAACTACAGTTTAATTTCCAAATAAATCAAAAACCTTTATGCAGCTTTTTGTAATACATTGCTTGGGAAAGCTCTTCTGTCCCGCTTATAAAGCTCCAAAAAGAAGACAGGAATAAAATATTTGTTGGAAGGGCAAAGTATCAGCTCAGTTTTTTTTCGAATATGTAAAGAAATTTTGCACAACGAGTAATTCAACCGATCAGTCCTTCGTGCTTTATAAATTCATGTTGTTCTTGCCTTCTTTATTGCTATATACATCACAAGATTCAAAGTTTCCAGAAAAAAAGCTCTTTTCTTCTGGCACTGCAGACAGAAGCTCTTTGGGGGCTACAACTCTACCAGGTCGGGCGAAATGTGATTGAAAATGGGAAGAGACGCAACGTTATCATTGTTCAGGGGTTTCATGCAGGTCATCAAGCATTTTGAAAGTACAACATTATTGGGACTGCTGGAAACTGCATCTAAAATTATTTCAATAAATTGTTGAGATTGAAAAAAGATTCTAGGCAGTATTCATAAATTTTCTTTTATCATTATGCCATTATGTTTTGATTGTACATGGGTTTAATGAAGGGCGCCACCATGTTTACCAGCAAGAAAATTTTTACAAATATGACGTTCTTGAAACTCTAAAATCTCAACTTAAGCATTTACATCATTTACATCACATCATATCATAGATCTGGAAACCAGGACGATCCATGGAAATGTTCATAAATTTTTCGCTATCATTACGAAAAAATTTTAAGAATTCTAAAGGGTTTAGAAAAAGCCGTCACCATTGTTGGCGGCAAGAAAAATTTTGGAAGTATAACTTACTAGGGATGACCAGAAACTGCACTCGAAATATCTACAACATGCGTCCTAAAAAATATTCATTAGGTTATTTTTATCATTATTACCATAGTTTTATTTGTCTTGCATTCGAAAAGACCGCGACATGAAGACGATAAAGGTATTGCAAAATTTCAGGAACACGTTTAGCAATAAAACAAAGGCAAGTATCTTCGTAAAGTTGAAGCATTATTTTTCGGAACTTTCGACGCGTTTTGTGAACGAATCGTATCATTGACATGAAGAAGATTATATGAACCCCTGTATTGAGATCCAATTCAAATCCTGTACCATGTCTGGGAAAATTGTGGGTATTGCACAAGGCCGTAAATCTGTCATGTGAATTGGGGGGGTCAGCAGAGCGAATGAATATAAAGTATGCAGTGGGTCATGGCACCACAAGGGATTTATGGTGTGTGTTATGGAAACAGTTGAGGGGCAAATTACTTTAAAAACAAAAGTCAATATTTTTGGATTTCTCAAGACTTTTTGCTCTATAGAAGGTATTTACAGATATTCCTTAGTACATTGACTGGTGTGTATGATTGGATGGATAACATTTTTCAGAGACGGCCCCAAGAAATTGAACCTTGGGAGCTAAGAATCAAGTTTACTCTCGTATGAGGACCCACCATGGTTGGGTCCGACGCGGAAGAAAACTTTTGAAATTTTACCTTCTAGAAAGGCTAAAAAAGCATCCCCCAGACTAAATTTAATAAAATACTAGAATCGCTCAGGATAGAAAGTTTGGCGTTTCTCAGAAGAACACAGATTATTGTTTATTGGGTGAAATTTTAGAGGGGAAGAGTCATGCTTAAACCTTAGAGACAGACTTTGGGGAAATATGGGACACTGTTGTATTGATTGGTAGAAATTTACTTTCTGAACAGAAATGTGCGTCTTCCTTATTTTGACTGATTTCAGTAGGCCATGTTTACACATCAAACTGAAAACATATTAAAATTATTTACGTACATACAAAAAGTGATTTACTAAATAAAAGTAAATAATAGACAAATAAAAGAAATGTACGTAAATAAGTTAGTAAATAGGTCAAATAAAATGACAGATTGCTCTCTTTTTATTTCATACTCTGTTTTCAAAAATAAAACGGTAGAAAACAGTAGAAAACGGTAAAAAACGGTAAAAAACGGTAGAAAACGGTAAGTTTTTATATTGTAAAAATTATAAAAACCACTCTGCTTACAAAAATAACCTTAGTGGCTGAGGTTTGTTGCAATAACACAGAAAACGTTGTTTGGTTCTAACCCGGCTACCAGGGATTTCTTTCTTCCAAGAAAAATAATGGTAATTTCTCCAAAAAAATCGTTTTGCTCCAGATTTTTGGGGGGTCCAGTCCCCACCGTCCCCCCGGGATTTACGGCCCTGGTATTGCATACTGATGTCCTTTGAAAATGAACTTTGCTTCAGGAATAAACCCTTCTGGACCTGCATAAAACCAAAAACTTCAAAGGAAGCTTCAGGGGGGGGGGAGTACCTTAAAATGTTTGAAGGTACGAGGACGTGCCTTTATTTAGGGGTACCTTTTTTCTGAAAAGTGCGAAATTATTGGTATCAGTTTTTGAAATATGTGCAGAACCATTTAAAGAAACATGCAGAATTATGGGTACCATTTTGGAAAATTTTGCAAAATTACTAGAAGGGAAATTTAGCATTGACAAAGTGAATGTCCAGCTAGAAATAAAAGTATGAAATATGTGTAATTTTGGGGCAAAGGACATTTATACAAAATTTATTCGATGATTTTTATGTGCTTTAAAAATTTTATTGGCTCTGCAGAAATATGTTTATAGTTTCGTGTTTGCGGAATTATGGCTCACATTTTTCAGACATTTGCGTAATAATGGGTCCAAAATTTTAATCAAAATGGCACGTCCCAGTCCAAAATAAGACTTAGTTTACCCCCCGAAAAGGAAGCTCATGAAAGTTATGCAAACTAGGGGCATAGAAAAGCAAGGGGCAAATTACCCTGGGTGCCAGAGCCTAAGCAACACTTTTTTGGGCTCCATTCGGGCTGTTCTATCTCAATGAAGCAATAATATTTAGGCAAGACCCCTACTAAGCCCCTTAAACGTTTTGCATCTACTGCGCCAATGACTTTATCTTCCATATAACCGGAAAACGTACCTCTATGAGTTTCGAAACCTTGCACTTTTATCTGTCATTGAAAGTAAAAATGTTCATTTTCATCTGATTTACTTGGTAAAGAAAAATCCATGGAAGCTTTTAAAGATTCGAAGAAGAAAAAAATAGGTCCAAAGATAACTATGAAATTACCGCATTATCTGAAAGAGCCACTAATAAAATAATTTCTATGTTTATATATGGGAATAGCACTGCTTGGACGAAATCACTGAAAGCATTCTAAAAAAGATTTCAGTAACAAATACAAGGGTTCTGATCGCAATCAGGGCCATCGTGAACCCCTTACCCCCAGTTGTGAAGATGAAATAGGCTTTACTTCCAGTGTAAAGTTCTTTCCTTCCCCTTTTTTTGTATAAATAGAATTTATTAAAGCATCTAAATTCATCAAACAATTTTGAAAATCATTTTGTTCTTAACTGCAAGCGACTGCTTGACCATACCTGTAAAATGACAGTAGTGGTTAACTACGAAATTTGCGGTAGAAAGGCTGCTTTGATTGGCAACTTTTGTCGTGTAATGAAAATATTCGGGCTTTTGCAGTAACAGTCTTATAGTTTCGTTCGTTCAGAAAGAACTTAAAAGAAATTGCTAGAATGCTTTGTCGTGATCCTATCCAGAATCTAGATTTTCTTGCAATCTCGCCAAGAAGCAAACAAATTTTAAAAACTTTCCTACAAATTGTTCTTTAGAAGGTTACAGAGTTGCAACCACGTAGTTGTAGGTGTCGGCTAGGGGGGGGGGGGCAAACTCGAGCAAGAACCATACCTGAGGGGGGCAGGCTAACAGATATATAACAAACAGATATATTTGGACAAAATCAAGGTCATGGAATTATAAATATGCCAAATTTTCAAATTATCATTTGGAAAAACTGTAGCCAGAGGGGGCAAGCTACTGTCAACATTTTCATTTGGGGGCACAGCCCCCCGTGCCTCCCTGCAGCTACGTGGCTGCAGTTGTTGCAATTTGCTCCTCATCACTGTTCTCTTGGATATAACTGTTAGTCAATTAGTGAAACTCTTTGATCCAAGAGTCCAGGCTTGATGATGCAGTAGACTCCCGTTATGGTAACATCAAATGTTGCTTGAAAAGCTGTGATAGTTCGCGACAGTAAGTGGGGAATGACTGTAAATGCCGCACATCAAAAAATTTGGCGACTTTTAAACTAAAATTTGTGTTTCTGTAACTGGTAATATGACCTTAGGCAAGAAGACTTTGACTGGAGTCGACTGTTTCACCACGAATTTAATTTTTAACCTGGGGCAAAGTAAGTTTTCTTGACGATTGGGATAGAAACAGTTCTTAAGATGAAGGTAAACATTGACAAAAGTATTGAGTAGAAATTAACTTATGAAATAGAGGTCTCCATTTACAAATTCTGCCTATATTTTACATTTTCTAGTAGACTCCTTCTTTCGAACTTTCAAAACATTTTTTTATTTGAAATCGCCCCGAAAAATCTCCACGAACCACAGGAAGTATTCTATGCAATCTCGGAATTACACGAAAAAAGGAATATTCGGACATATCAAATATTTTGATGTATTGAAATATTAATGTTTTTAACAAATTTCAAGGACTTTTCAGAAAAGGCATTACCAGAAAAAAACACCACAAGTTGTTACATAATAATCTTATTTACAATAAAAATTATTTACAATACAATTAATCCGCAATAAAACATAAAAATTTACGATTGAATTTGAATCAAATTGAAATTAATTGCAAAAATTACTGACGTAAATAGTCGGTGTCTTCCCTACGTCAGAGATACAGCGAAATGTCCCGAAAGGACGATAAGGTGTCAAGAGTTAACAGCTTATGTAACAGCGATTCTTTGAATTATAAATGATAAACGAATGATTATTAATAATAAATTCAACAAATCATGTGAGAAAAGTCAAGCTCATTAATAACAAATTAGGTTGTAGATACTGGTTCTAAAACGACTTTACTACCAGACCTGCTTAAAATCTTTACATCCTCCAAACGGCATTTTGCATTGTTTTTTCGTTTAACAAGTGTCACAATACCTTGCAATTTCAGTGAAATTTGTTTATCGAGTTTATCATTGCAGTTCTCATTAGTCATTAGGCATTCGAACTCAACCTTGACTCTTTTTCGCAACTCTTTATCGATTATAACCGAATCAATTATCTCCTGGTTCAGCCCGACACGCGTCACAGTGGCAACGCCAATCTCAGTTTTTCCAATTTTGGCTGCGAATCTGTCCCCAACTGAAATTGCCTCAATCGTGAAAATGTACCCTCCACGATTGCTGTCTGTCCAAAAGAAGTTATCATTTTCAAGAACATCCTCTGTCTCAAATGTGAGTCTTCTCCCGTAGCCTTGGCCAATGCGTTCAAGATATTTAGCCTGTCCACCTAACAGGAGTTTATTTGTTCCATTTTCTTTTACCATGTAGCGGAATCCTGGTGCTATATCGTCATGTATAAAACTCTCACAAACCAGTAACTCATGTTTTTCTAATGCCTTTAAATGTGAGAATTCTTCGTAATTTGCTAATATCAGCTCCGCATGTTCCTTCGAATAAGAAGTGTATGTAGCCGAACACGATGCTTTTATTCCAGTTTGTGCTCGATGCAAGCGTTGCGAAACTTCGTTTTGGATGTGTAAAAGCTCTTCCATAACTTGACCTTGCTGATTGAGTTCTAATTCATAAATCGCTGTTTGTTTTGATTCTAACCTTGTGCTGTTATCGTACCCCTATTTATATGCTGGTGGGCATTCCAAAGTTCATTTCTCATGGGAAAACGTGACCAGTTTTAGCTTCCTCGTGTTTTCACTGAAGAAGCCTTCGAGGTTATAGGCTTTGATTGGCTAAGCCAGTGCAGGTAGCAGTGGGAATTCACTAGCGATTCATATAATATCCCGAGGTATCAAATAGCATGTGCTCAATAAGATCAATGGAGCCTGCATGATTGACATATAAACACAACCTTTTAAGCCAATCATCATAAAGAGCTCTCGAAACAACCAATAATAGATGAGTATTGTCTACAAAGAATGATCTATTCATCCAATCAATGGCCACTTGCCAATTTGACATATGGCGGGATTCACGATGGGGATTCCTCGGTAAACTTTAGTTCCCGTGATGAGCACTCGACAGGCGGACTGGAAAAACACTGAGCATAGGAGATAGGCCATTGCAATCGAAGCTTCGCAGGGAACTTGGTAGTTGAACGACTCCAAAATGGCTCTTACTGGGGAGCATGATGACTACTCTCCGCTGCTTAAAGAGCGTGATGCATGTGGTGTTGGCTTTGTTGTCGATATCAAGGGCAATGCGTCTCACCAGGTAAAATTTTAAACCAAAATAAATGCATGTTAATGTAGTATTTTGAAATGAAATACGGCAAGTCAGCTTTGTAACGATAGCATCTGAACGATAATTTCTCTCCTAGGCTTCAATTTTCTCGTAAGATTTTGTTCATGGTTTTGTTTTGTAATGCTTGGTTGCTTTGTGCTCACTTTTCTCTGCAAAAGGTGTGAACCCTGTCAACCGTATCGTTCGGTGTGAAATGTTCGTATTCCATAGAAGAGGGGTCTCTCCCGAAAATGTCTCAAACAGCAAGATAGCAGTTTGGCATTAACCATTGGCCCGAGTCCCCCTAGTTTGGCCCCCGGGTTCCCTTAGTTTGGCCCCCGGTTCCTTCTAGTTTGGCCCTTTTGCCCCCTCTAGTTAGGCCCCCGCCCGTTTTACCTAGATCGGCCCCAAAAGCCCTGCTTTAAATGTTTGATTTCCTTTGTGTAGATCCTCAGAGAATCGCAAAGAATGCTTGTTCATATGAACCATCGTGGTGGATGCCAATGTGATGACACCGGGGATGGGGCAGGGGTAATGACAGCATTGCCCCATAAATTGTACAGGAAATACCTGGCTGAAACATTGTAAGTGCTATTACCTGCAGCTTTCATATCACTATTAAGGAAGCAATCATTTTAAAGAAGAACGTTTTGGTTGTAGGGAAAGACTTTCTTGTACCTGTCCAAAATTGTCCCATAAAATGTTTATTCATATCAAAACACAATACATTACTGAAGACAATAAATTTGGACCCACGCCCACATTCGGTTTCTTGTTACTCAGCCCGGGCTTGAGCATGTTCCAAATAATGTTCCACTATTTTTTGCAATTCAATTTGAAATTGTAAATTTAATAAAATAAAAATCATGATGATAATATGAATGTCATTACAAATAAATGACACATGATGACCAGATGACACTAAAAAGTGCTGGCTTGTTTGGGTTGATATTTTTGCGTTTCCGGACCAAATTTCGCATGCCAGTGCGGACCGAAAGTGCCCTTGAGGAAAATAGCACGCTGTATTGATTATGTGAAACATTCGTTGCAAAAGCCACGAGCTAATTTTGGCACCACTTCATGAAGCAAATGGCACCAGGAAGCAGGGGGCGGGGGACATTAGCCCCCTACATTTTGCGAAAAATGCGAAATATTGAGAAGTGAACCACCAATAAAGTCTGTTTTTTATTCGGTTTTAGCCCCCGGACTTTTTTAGACCCCCCCCCCCAATTTTCTCAACGCTTAGCGGTGCCTGAACCGGAGTTAGAATGAGCTTAGAATTAGACAAAAAAACAACCAGGATTTTAAAAAAGAGATTTCGCTTTTATCTACTAGACCGAAAGAAACGATTTTACCCCAAAACAGGGTATTACGATTTGCAAACGGTCACAATTAACTTTCACTTGTCCTATCAAGCAAGACTAGGAGTTGAGCCTTGATCTCACGCCCCTTTTTTCAAAGACCCTTCATTCATCTGTTTTGGAATATAGTACTTTGTCTGACAATACTGGGATCAAAAGTCTGATTGGCAGAAAATGGCCGAGGATGGTTGACTGCCCATTTTGGGTAGCATGTCTCCATGATCCTTTTGTTCGAAAACAGGTGGCAAAAGCTAAAATAAGCATGCTAATGGACATTCTTGATTAAAAAAAGCATCTATTGTCTATTTAATCAAACTGTATGTAATTTCCATGTATTAACGGGTAGCGTACAAAGTGACTTCAAGCAGCAAATTGATAAATCATTTATTTAGACTTGCTGGAGGCCATCTTTGTTGAAGAAAAGACGCCTAGGTCAAACTATCGTTTCACAATTTGCTTACCACATGAGTACCGCAAAGTGGTATCCAGGGGTTGTGAACTTCAAATGATGGTATACAGCCATATGATGTTGTGAACTTGGCTGGGCCTGGGCAAGAGTATGACATATAATAAGAGTAACTGAAAGGTTATAGTCTGTCTCATGAACATGTAGAAAACTGAATACTAATCGTTAATAGAATGAGTGTACATCTCACCCTGCCTAGCGTTATGAACTCTTTGCTCAATATTTGCAATCATGATAAAATAGCGGGCCTAGCATGAAGGAAAAGGGCATGTATTGCTAAATATGAAGATAAGTATCGATAAGTGCCCCACAGCTCTGGACCTTGATCGTGTTTATGTTGCATCCTTCAAAGGTAACCTCGCAACACCATGGGTACTCACATATAACACTTCCTATCGTTTCAATTTTTTAATTTGGTTGCATGATTAGGGTGATGCCTCCCATCAGTCCTTGAGCGACACAACCATAATGGGACCTGCCAAAAGTAACGCGTCTTCTCCTTATACTCCTCCCTCTATGCAGCTGTTGCTGTTGTAGATTGTGATGTAGCATACGAAGCCAGAGCTACTGTCTGTTATGACGAGCTGTCCTTTTTGGGGGTTACACTGCACAAGGATTGACTGCAGAGAAAATGCTCGGATAAAATTGGCCGTTGTTTGTTGATGTCCGTTATTTCTCGGTGTCCGCCAAAGGAAAATTCGTTATCCGTTTTCAACTGAAGGGGATGCCTCTCATTTTGTACCTGCTGAACGGTTTTAATCGTAACATATGAATTGGATTACCTTCCTAAAAGAGCTGAAATCTAAAGCCTGAGATTTCATATTAAATATTTAATCTGTATCAGCTGATGTTTCTGTCATCAAATTTTCAAGAAATTTTATCTTGCTTAGCGTGGGACCAAATTATGGAAAATTTAGACAAAGAATTTCAATTGTAGGAATCGTTGAGAAATAATTTAGTTTGAGGCAAAATCATGTAGCAAATACTGCGATGAATGGTTGAAGATAAAGAGAGCTTATAAGTTGTTAGGCTTTTAAGTACAGGAAAAATGCATCAACAGCATCCATAGATGGTAAATTCTTTGATATGTAAATAGGTACTGTGGCTTTACAACAGCTAAGTTTAACTTATGGGCGCTGTTGTAACTTTTCAAACTCCACAGAAATGCTACAGAGGCTGTTATTTCTCACAGGATTTTAATACAACCACTAGAAATATTTGTGACTTACCTAGGTTACTTATACAACCAAAGTTAATCTTGCTGAAATAAGAGTTGAGATTATATAACAGAGGGCATTAATTTTCTGACTCAGGGCAGAATTAACAATGCAAGGTGTATGGCAAAAATGCCCCCTCAGAAAGACATGGAAGTCAGTCGTGAGGCTACCTTCCTACGTCATCGAGAGCGAGTTAGGCCGTTGGTGCATCGGCGCAAATCGCTCAACCAACCGTAAAGCTAGAGTAGAGGTTACTAGGGGAGGTTACAGACAAACCTAAAGCATAAACGATATTTGGGAGGGAATGGACAAGAAAAGTATTTTTTCCCCAATATTAGCAGATGCATCAGTCCTATCCTACATAAATGCATCAAAATGACAAAAGCATAAGAGATACACAAAAGTATGAGAAGTTTTTATCATCCTGGAAAAAATACTAAAACTGTCAAAGTTATACCGAAAGAAGCAAGTTTTAAAATAAAGAGTGTGTGGGTTGCGAAAGAGCGAACGACACTCTTGTAATGAGGCATCGCCAAGCAATGTGAGACACACTTGGGTTATTCTAAGGGGTACGCCAAACAATATGAGACACACTTCGGGTATTCTAAACTTGAAAACCCCAGGAGGACAAAAGACTCGACAGTATTGCGCATGTTCTTGTAGAACGGGTACGTGAAGAAGTACGCCACAAGAGACCAGAACGAATCGGAAATAAATATCAACTTAGGCCGCATTATTTGAAAGACGAATTCCCCTCGTGAAACTCATTTTGATTAAATTTCATTCAATCACCATTTTACTTAATAACCAAATTGCTTAAAAATCTTCCATAGCTTTCAATTCATAGTATTATTAAAAATAAAGCAGAAAATTCCTACACGCTTCTTTTATTTGTTATGCCTATATTGATTGAAGTATCAGAAGAAATCCTAAACTGGTTTTGTCACCTTAATACATAATATCTTTTACGGGTTGAATTTAGCGATTTAATCTGGTTCGTCCACGACTTTTAGTTATGGAGCGACACTTCAAAGTAGGCGATAACAAAACCTTTTTTGTTCCTTTATTTACTTCGGTATGAAAAAAACCCATATCCATCTTTTATAAGTTCTTGTAAGAAGGTTGCTATATTTCCAGTTTTCGTTATAGTCTTGTTATTGGTAGATAATTTGTTTTTCATCTTTAAAAGGTACAATGGAGATGAAGATCAAGTTCCAAAAATTGGATCTTACGCAACTGGCATTCTGTTTTTGGATCTGGACCCAAAAAAGGTTTCTTTATATTACCAATAAGTAAAAATCATTGTGAATTTTCGGATTCAGGATATCGAAACTAACTACAGAATTGCTACCTCGAAAACAGGCATTTTACGAAACGAAACCATGTACCGCACAAAGAAAACACATCTGTACTAGAAACAGGAAAACGTATTGAGTTAGTAAGCAACGGAATTACAGGAATTACAATAGAAAAGAATGAAGAAAATACATACCGTATTCAAATGTAAACATCCCCGTCCCATCCCCCCGTCCCTATTTTTACCAGGTTTTTAAAAGTATTTATTGGCTTTGTTTGTAGTTTGCTTTTGTTCTTTATTATTAGCTTGAGTTAGTTACCCCCTTAGTTCTCTATAAGGCTGTGCATGGCTCTAAAGTCTAGGAATAACGTGATGCTAAGAAAGAAGCTCTTCGGTTCTGTATAATTGCAATTACTTCACTACTTCACTACTAGGTGCCTGAGCCATATGGACAGAAAAAATGTGGAAGGCAATAAGAGGAGAAAGAGGAAAGACCTCCTTTCTCCTCTCTCCATTAACGGCTACACCCTGTTACACCCACTAATTCAATAAGGCTCTATCATTGCTTTATCCTTTATTTCACTGTGGCTCTGGTACCCAGGGTATTACTTTACATATGCCAGTCGTCTTAACGTACATACCAGATAGACATTGCATTGGTGTAACAGACCGTAGCTACTGAACTGTTTTGACATGTACTGATTTTGTTACTTTTTATTTTCTTAAAATACAGGCCTCACATTGTATGTGTGAAATGGAGAAGATTGCTCATGAATGCTCCCTTCAGGTATTTTTTGTAAACCCTATCAACCTTTCTTGTATGCCTTAAACACTGCCTTACTAGTGGTATAAATTAGGATGCTGGCCAAGGTGAGTTTGAATTACTTGTGTTGTCTAAGTGTAGGCGATCTTTTGCAATTCTTGGTCCCAAGTAAGCATATTTTTTTTACACAATTCTACATACCGTAATGCCTCGAATAAGCGCCCGGGCGCTTATTTAATTTCTGAGGCTCGAGGGTGGGCGCTTTTTCGAAAAAAGCGCTTAATCGACGGGGGCGCTTATTTAAAAAAAAATTTGGAAGTGACTAAAAAAATGAATGTGTTTACAATTGAAGCATGTTATTACGATGCAAAGGCAAAAAATGAGAATGAAACTAAAACAAACTGTGTTGGTCATTCAATCTTTCTTGGTGAATTGCCTTCCAATTACGTTTTAGTCGAAAATTCGAATAAGCGCCCGTTTCTGAAGGTTGAAGGATAGGCGCTTATTCGAGGGGTGGGCACTTATTCGAGGGGGAGGGCTTATTCAATAATTTCACCTCTAGAGTGGGCGCTTATTTGAGGGGGCGCTTATTTGAGGGAGGCGCTTGTTCGAGGCATTACGGTATTATATTTTTCAATGTTTACTAAATGCTGAGGAGAACTTCACATTTCCCTAAGCTTTAGACGCTTGAAATCACCCTAGTGTTATTAAAATGTAAACATGGCAGTAATTATCTTGGCTAAATAAATGTGCCCTCTAAAGATCCATTTATCCGAGCTACCAAAAATTTGCGTTCACTGCAATGCCACACAGTGTCAACTGTTTCCACAAATGGAGCAAATCTTTTGTTATTGCAATATTTTTTCAAAGCATTAGGTAAGAGTTTGAACAGAGCTGCAGGGTTTTATCTCTATGTATAGACAAGAAAGAGCTATTATAGTTAATTCTTTATGTTTTACCATAAAAAACCAATAACAATAGCACCGTTCAGAAATTTACCCCCATCAACGTTTTTTATTTCGATAATATCAGAAAACTATAAAAAACAATCAAAGTAACAACAGGAGACCACAGTTGCTACTGCGGTAGAGATAAGTAATTCAGATGTAGCCATCGTTACCATTAAATACCCTGCCTAATTATTGTCCTAGTAGCTTCAATAACACAATAAGACGTCTCCGAGGCATTAGAACATGTCGTTCTTTTCAAGATGCTGGAAATTTCACGTGTCCAGTTTCACGTGATCATGAGCCTTGGCATCCCCTTTAATCAATAATGCCTGTCCAGGATCTTTTTATAGACGTCCCAGAACTGACAATGTTAAAGTGTATGTGAAATTGTAAAACCAGGTGGCAGGTGTAGATCAAGCGAATTATCCAATGGCAGAGCCGGGTAATCAAAACTCAATCTAATCTAAGGAGGTAAAAACAACATAATCAAACGAATTGTCTCTTTCAAGCTTACAAAAGTGGAAAAATTGTCAACTCATTGACGAAAAATAGGCCAATGCCTAAACGCCTACCTTACACTTTAAGGCCCTGTTTACACGGGATCAGATCCAAACATTATCGGATCCATTTGGACTCATTTTTAAGGGGGTGTTTACAGGGGATCGGATCTGAAAATATTTGCGTTTACACGGGATCGGATTCTTATGGATAAAAAATGCGCAGATTTGTGTGCTCATTCCAATAACTTCACCAGTTGGTTGAGATCCTCAATCTCCTGTTTAGTGTACCTCTGCTTGAAAATTGTGAACAATTTTTTTAGCGTTACAGAATTTGAAAATGGCTTTGAGAAAAGCAAACATTTTACGACATACTAGAAGCTTTTTCGTCTGACACTTCTCTGAGCATAAAACGTCAGAATAAGATTCCGAAAGAACACGATGAAAAATATATACTCAGTTGTGCATCGAAATAGGTCAATCAGAAAAACGCAAGCACAAGACCGGTATAGTTGACCAATCAGTACCGCGAGCCTTAAGAAAAATTACCAATGGAGTCCAAGAGAGAAAACGAACTCCTTTTGTCTACACAATGGCGGCTTTTTCGTTTTTATGTGGATTGACTCAAAACTGCTAGATGGAAGGACGACCGGGCTCTGCCAATTATCAAAAACATGTCGTCATTATAGAGATTTGCACAATCTGGGTTGTCTAAAAGATGTTGACCGATGGCAGAATCACTTGTTTTAACAGTGTTTCTAGACCTACAAGATCGAGGAGGCTGTTCTCTTTGGGGGGCAGTTTTGTTTCTTATGTTGGAAGGAACATGCTGTTTTATCCTATATTCCAATCTTTGGGTTGTGCGTCCTACGTAGCCAGAATCACACTGGCACGTAAATTCATAAATGACGGAACTTTTTTGGTTGGTAGGAATGAAATCCTTTTGAATGGATGGAAGGGCTCTCCTAGTGCTGTGAACAATCCGAGGATTGACAGCAAAGAAACATTTAGTTATGGCTTGCCTAATCTGACTCTCGAATCGCAAGGAAGTGTTACCAATCCAAGGTAGTTTCAAATAAACTGGGCACTTTTGCGGATCAAACTTTTAAACAGCCGAAAAACTTGCAATCTTCTCCTTAGTATAAGATAAAATTACGTCTTCTGGATAGGCGTTGTCCAGAAAGATCGTTTTAAGTTTTTCCAGTTCAGCGTGTAGTTTAGATTTCGAGCAGATCATAAGTGCCCTATGTACTAATGTTTTGACAAGGTTGACTTTGCGTTGCTTTGGGCAAAATGAATTTCAACGTATGTACTGACCGGTAAAAGTAGGCAGTGGTGTAGTGCTATCAAAATAACAAGGGGGCCCTTGCACAAAATTTTCCAAAAAACAATAGCAAAAGTAGGAAATTGCCAATTTTATGCATAAACAAGGGGGGCTCAGCCCCTCTGAGCCCCCCCCTAGCTCTACAACCCTGAAAGTAGGATATACACTGGTAAGAAATCCAGTGTTAGACTTTTCGACCAAAACATCTAATAATGGCAAGGAATCATTTTCTTCCTTTACAGACGTAAACTGGAGGGCTGGGTGTAGGCTATTAAGGTGTTTTAGAAAAATATCACACTCAGCCTCTGTTTTGAAAATGGTATATGTGTCATCCACATACCGAAAATAGACACCTGGCTTTTGGTCGTAGTCGAACAAACGCTCTTCATGAAAGCCAACAAAGATATTGGCCAAGGCCGGTCTCAGAGGGCTACCCATAGCGACACCATCCCTTTGTTGGTACATTTCATTGTTAAAACTGAATTCAACTGAACGTGTTGCAGTTTCCATCAGTTCAATGAATACTTCCTCTGGGAATGGTGGGCTATTAAGCTCGCTCCGGTACAAAGCGTCGGCGCATATTTTGATGGTCTCACTTTGGCGGCAATTATTCAACCTCAGAAGGGAGAAAATAATTGATCCTTTATAGCGATTGAAAGTTATTGTATTTGCCTTTTGTTATTTCTCAATAAGTTGCCCCTTGGATTCTGTTTACTTTATTTTCCAGCAAAACTTTCAGCAGTAGAGCCGTCTCCTTATCAGTCCAACCAAAAAAATTGCTCTTTGGTCCTTTATCAACCTCTATATTCGTTTTTATAAAGCAGACATTTTGACCTTTTTGGGATCGGATCCAAACGGGACCATCTCCAAAAGCGATCCCAAACGGGTACGGATAGCAGATCCAAATAGGATCGGATCCGCCAGGTCCCGTGTAAAAGCAGAACCTATCCGTACCACTTCGGATACGGATCCATTTGCATCCGATCCCGTTTAAACAGGCTCTAAGAATAAGCATAGTTTGACTTTGCAAGAGACTCTCCCAATGTAGCGAAAGTGTTGAAATAAAGCTATTTTAAAATAGTAAGAAGTGTATAGCTCCAACAGGGCATGTAGCAGCAATCACGATAATGTTTCTGATTTTGTTGTTAGCACAATAAGATATATGTCCAGCAATTGTATCTCTTTACATCAGTATCATACCGTAGAAGTATAATGCTATTTTGGCATTTTTCAATGAATCTCCTCCTATTAATATAATGGAAATAAATTTTAGTTCTTTCGGTCTTTTTCTTCAGGTAATAGCATGGAGAGACGTGCCATACAATAACGAGTGCATAGGAGACTGGGCACGAAATTTGAAACCGATAATAAAGCAGGTATGCTTACTCTTCTCCAACAAACATTTTGAAATAAATCTGGCCGGCTTCAAAAATGCGATACCTTCTAGCCATAAGGCAATCTGTTGCAAACCTGACACGTTCAGCTAAATCTTGTTATAACAATGCGAAATTAGACTACTTTTAGTGGCCAATTTTAATGTTTATTGATATGTTCCGCCAGGAAATGTCCTCTGGACGTCCAGCCTTTGATTCAAAACAGAGCTGTTGAATTACTTTGAAAGTAAGAACAGAAATCGTTGTAAAGGTGAATAAGAAACATGTATGGAGAGCTTTGGGTTTATGACCGTAGGAATCAAGGGGTCACTATAGGCAAATGCTTCTACACATTTTCAGAAAATCACGTAGTCCCGTTTGGTTTAAATTTACTTTTTTTGAATATTTGCCAATTTCGATTTTTTGGCTTTAAAGTGTTTTTAGGTGACAATCGTTTTTTTACAACCCTTGTCTTTCAAATTTCTTTCATTTAATAAATGATTTTTTACAAAAGTATACTTTCCTTCACATAGGTAGCATTTAACTGTTTGAATCTATTAAGCTAGGGCCTCTCTATGGCTTGCTGCAACGATCATTTTCTTTAGCATCAAAACGAAATATGATGCCGTACATGCCACATATCTCAATCGATCAATACAATGTTGAATACGACCTAGTAATACCATACAAAAATTAGAAAATAATGAAATTTTTCGTCCTGATAAAAGCACTGCATAGCTTTTACGATCGTCGAACAATATTTTACAGAACAATATTTGACTAGTTAGTTAGTGCCATCTGGAGAAGCCTTGATAACATAAATGGGCATTGAAAAATACGACTGGTTTGAATGCAAGATTGGAATACGCCTTTACATTGCTATTCTCCTCTACTTTTTAAATACTTCCCCATTGTAATAACGCTACTGCAACTTGGGGACCCTTCATAAACCTACTTTAAATAAGAAACTTGAAAGTCTTTCACTGACTTCATTTTTGACTGCATCTGTAACTTTGGTTTTTTTCAGATTTTTGTAAGCAGTAATTTGCCACAGGATGAGTTCAAAAAACAGGTTAGATAAACTATATCATATTTACTTACCACTTCAGATTTAAAGTTTGTTGATCTGAACCTCTCTGCAGTACATAACCTAAAACGTTATTGCCTACTTCCAGGTTTACTTAATGAGAAAAACAGCAACCCACAAAATACCACAGCACGACCGAAGATTCTACTTGTGCAGTTTATCGTCTGAGACTGTTGTATACAAGGTTTGTTTTTTATATTTTTGTCTCTATTTATATAAGAGGTAGCGCCAAAGTTTTTCTTTTTCATATGGACGGTATGGTTGACACATTCAGCTTTTAATTCACTATAATTGTGAACATTCCTTTTAATACAGTTACTTGATTAAGATGATGTGCAAAACATATTTACTAAAATAATTGTGCCAAAGCTAATTGAAAAATTCTCAAACTATAAATTAATCGCAGAGTTTTGCATGTATAGATAGGTGAATTCATCAGAGCCAAAAAGCAATAGAACAAAAACCAGAGAATCTAAAGTGTCAGCTCATGTCCAGGGGCGTGCCTTAGAAGGGGGGGGGGGTTGGGGAGGTGGATAGTTTGTCGGTAAACTTTAAGGGATGGTCGGTAAATGTTATGGATTGTCTATCTTGTAAATGCGTATAGTGTATATGTAAATGCGTATCTTGACTTTATATAGTAGATTATTATATAGTATTGAATTTTGGTCGGTAAATTCACCCGTTTACACCCCCTACTCCAAATCGTCAAGGTACGCCCCTGCTCATGTCCCACCTGTTTTCTGAGTAACGTTATCAGAACTTGAGGATATTGTCCCAAGGAAGGGTTAATAGCTTTCTTGATTCTGGCATCTACCTAACATTGAACCAAATGGAATATTTCAAGTTTGGTATATGCTAGTTTTTATCAAATTATCTTTTTAATACCTGCCTAGTATTAATGTCTCCATATGTCATTTAGGGGCTTCTAACTCCAAAACAGTTGCCGCAGTTCTATCTGGATTTGCAGGATGAAGACTTTGAGTAAGGATATTATATTCTTACTTTGTTCTTTTTTATAATATGCTTTTCAAGATTTTCAATCTATATATTGAAAGTGCGGGGATGGTTCGCTGACTACAGACCAATGGGTCGTGGTTCGAGCCCCGGACAAGACCGAGTTCTCACCGAGTGAGGAGAGCCGGGTCGTTGTAATTCCATGCGTAGGAATCACGAAATGAGGTCACATCGTGAGGAATGACCAGGAAATGGCTCCACCAGCATAGCATCTCGTTCTCAGTGTCCTAAAACTACCTTCGGATGCTAAGAAGTAAATGCAAAAAAAGACTTTAAATGTGTATTGAAATTTAAGAGCCAATTGCTCGACGCCTTTGCACAGTTTCACCTATATATCAATTTTTTCGGTTTATCATACCGTATGCTTACCGTGGTTTCACTTCCTTTTCCTTTATCATTCCTATAACTCTTTCTCAAATTTGCTCTCGAAATTCTTTCAGAATATTTTTTGACATGAAAAGTCATTCACAAGTTTTTGTGTGCTGCTTTTAATCCAAGATTATATCAATCTACATTTTTGGATTTTATTGACTAAATTTGGTTGGTTTCTACCACAGGACTCACTTCTCTCTGGTACATAGCCGATTCTCAACCAACACCAACCCTAGCTGGGAAAGGGCACACCCTCAAAGGTAGCATAAATTCATTCAATGAAGTTTATTGGCCCATACCTTGGCCAATAATTTGTTTTTCAATCCTTACAAGTCTGTTGATTATCTTGCTGGAGCAGATCGGTTTGCTTTTTTGCCCATTGTCCTAAAAGAATCGCAAGTGACCTCAACAACTGCAAAGTACTATGCCTGATTATTTGCATTCACGTATATATATACAACTATACAACGTACACGAGTACACGTAGACGTATGCACAAACACTCAAATACACGTAGAATCTATTACATCTACAGGTTGCAAAAAACATGTTTAATCCATAGTTTTGAGTCCCTTAATTGATAACTATATTTTCTTTGAAGTTAGTTTATGCCAATTATTTGCCTCAATTTTGTTCCTTCTCGTTTATTGCACGAGTTTTTCTTAATAATCCTAACACTGAATGCTACTTTTTTTCTCTTGAAGAACTCCTTATAATTGAGAAAATTGTTCTGCATTTTATTGTTCTAAAACCTTCTATCTGTATACAATCAATTATTTTTTAGACTTCTTGCTCATAATGGTGAAATAAACACAATTCAAGGAAATATAAAGAACATGATAGCGAGAGAAGGAAACATGCAAAGCAAATATTATGGAAATAATTTACAGAGGCAAGAATTTTTTATATAAACAAATTTTGTTCGAGAAAGTTGACTTTACAGTCATCGATTTTATAAGTTCTGTTGACCTTATATTTACCTCTTCTCTTGTCGTAGGTAAATAAAAGATAGCAAGATAAAATAATTTCTTATTTTATCTTGAAGATAGATATTCTCTTTTCTGTAGAGGCTTAAAGAAATTTCTTGTACTCTTGAAAATGACAATTAAATGCTATACCCGTACATATTCAAGAAAACTGTCCACTGGTAGGCCTCTTGTTTGTATTGATTGACAAGTACGGTAGTCATCGTTTTGAGGAAATGCCTTTTTGGGCTTTTTTGATCTTCACATGTAATTGCATAAGCAAATCTGTTATTATTGGCCTAGTTCTGGATCCAAGCAACTTCTCTCGTAAGTAATTGAATCTAAAATTGCGTGTCGAGCTATTGTCACTTCATCGCCTTGTTTTTTAGATTGTTTCCAGTCATTGAAGCTGAGCAATCGGATTCTGGTTGTGTCGATAATGTAATCGAATTTCTTGTGATGGCAGGAAACCGATCCCTACCGGAGGTAAGGTGGTACTCATAGCCCGAGTCAGCCGCTTGCCTTTCTGTGACGTCACAAAATTGTATTGTATATTGTAAATTGTATATTGTATTACACCACAGGACTGAAAGTCAGCCATTTACTTTGCGAGGAAAATATCAATATGCAATAGCAAATTATTTTCTTCCATGTTATAATCTCGTCCAGCCTAGCGCTACTACCTTATCTTACCATTATTAAGCTTTATTATTCTTGCTCTCATTTGTTTGCTTTTCTGCATCCTTTTAGGCGGTGATGACTTTAGTACCAGAAGCATGGCAGAACGACATTCATATGGGTAGTGAGAAGAAGAATTTTTACAAATGGGCATCATGTTCCATGGAAGCATGGGATGGACCAGGTAATAGACTGTGATAGACTCACCCATCAGAAACCTCTTATATAATTATTCAGAGTTAAAGTTTTGTTCTTTGTATGATATACATCAAGAGGTTCTCTATCATTTTCACACATTCATCAAACTATTTCGACCCTTTTGAAATTCCTGTGTTTCTCCATCTTTTCTCATTAGCTTACTTATTTGATAACGCTCCAATTTCATTAGCTTTCGAGAAGCATTCTTGTTTTACGTCTAAACGGATATTCTTTGAATCCCTTTCATTCTCTTCGAAAGCCCTGTTCACTTTTTCTGATGGGCAATATGTTGGCGCGGTGCTTGACAGAAATGGCCTACGACCTTCCCGCTATTACCTCACAAAAGATGGTCTTATGATCATGGCTAGTGAAGTTGGTGTTTCTTCAGTTGTCCCGGAGCAAGTGATATACAAGGTGAACTTGATCTGTGCTTTTTGATACAATTCTTTGCAGCATTGTAAAGGAGGTATCAATACTCATTAAATGTGAATGCCTGGAAAAGTTTTTTTCTGTAAATGATATGCCTGTAAACATTAGACTGGAAAATTAAGAGGCACCATAGTTGAAAATAATCTCGTGGACTACGAGCTGCTTTCCCAGTTTTAATTTATAAAGAGAAAACCATTAGAATTTTGGACTGCTTACTGCAAACTACAAAAATTTAATTTATAAGAAGTTGCTTTTATGGCTTACAGAAAGTTGCCAATGAGCTTTTTTGAATCCTGTAACAACTACTGTCGAGGAAGGCAAAAATAAAATGGTAGGGGTAGCAAACATGATTAAGGGTCAACTGTATGGGTCTTTTTTGTAATAAGAGCTTTGATACAATCATAGGTGTTCTATGCAAGGGCATGATAATTTAGGTTAACAACAGTTTTCTTTTGAACCAAACTGTAGGAAATGTCGATGCAGAGAATTTTTTCAGTGATTTTTATTAAGTTCTCATACACGTAATCAATTAAAAAACCAATGAAATTTTTTATCAAGGGTCGCCTAATGCCCGGTAGAATGCTGCTAGTGGACACTAAGCTCGGATCCATTATAAAAGACGATGAACTAAAGCATATCATTTCAACTGCACGACCTGTAAAGCACTGGATCGAAGAAAATTTGTTAACACTTCAACATTTTCGTGACGCATATATGAAGAAGCATGCAAGAGAGCCTGATGAGATTCCACCAGAACGAGAATCGTCTACAATGGGAGGCAGATCAGTTGAAACAGATCGAAGAATGCCCCTGTTTGGTTACTCCGTGGAGGATTTGAATATGCTTCTGTTGCCGATGATAATCAACTCGTAAGCTGTTTTCAAAAGATTTGATTTTTTATAGTGCCTGTTCCAGTTTTCATACGACCTTCTCAAATGGTAGCAGTGATCATAAAGGTTTTTGCGATACTCACCTATTAAGCATAAGTGATAAAGACCTTTTAATAGAAACCGGTAGGTTACCCTTAAAAGTGAAATCCTCCAATTGGAAAGTCTTATTAACATAGAAAAGGTGCCTGGCGGCTGTTACCTAATATCATCTGCATTGTGACATTCAGTTTCCTGTTTCCCTTGCTCTAAACGGTTATATCGCACAACCAAGGGCTCTCTCGTATTGATTTTATGTAAAAGAAAAGCAGGAAAGGCAAAATACATTTTTGGGGGTGGGGGGCGGTGCCAGAGGAATTCCGAGAAAAACTCTCGTTAAATTCTCTCGTCATAAAGTTGGTATTTTTTCAAATACAAAGCATTACAATTTCAACTTTATAAGCTTTTGGTACTGCAAGATTTGAAGATAGCAAGAACAAGGGAAACAAAACCTACTAAGATACAGATTTTAATACAATTAATGTTATTTTGTCAAGCAATGTGTCTGTGGGTGATTTTCCTATTCACGTTTATGTCTTTGACTTTAGAAAAGAAGCTTTGGGGTCAATGGGAAACGACACGCCCCTGGCTTGCATGACCATGTACCCACAACTTGTCTTCGATTATTTCAAACAGCTTTTTGCACAGGTATGTGTCATCTCAATCACTTAATATTGAACATTTGTAGCGTGTTATCGAAATGTTGGTTTTGATGTATAGAGAATTTTTTATTCACAGCCGTTTTCCCATTTGCCTAAGGTAAACTGCTATTGTACTTGGTGTACAACTTTTATTCCTCTTGAAATATTATAACATATACAGTAGATTGTGTAAACATTAGTGTTTGTAGAAGCTGATAAGTTCATGTCTTTAGGTTTATTAAAATCAATATATCCTTGGCCACAACAGGGGGTGTGCTTTTCGCAGTTTAGACCTGTCACTCTTTTGGACCTATACCGGTTTCTCCACTGGCTCTAATAAAGGGCAATTTTGGGGTGCTTTGAAATTGGACCACTTATTAATGATTCCGTGGGAATCTTCTGTATAAGTACGAGACTGACTAGGGGAGTTAGGAGTAACCTTTCACTGCACAGATGCCTCTAATTGATTCTTTACGTAGATTGCCTGCGTTTCCTGTGTTTACTTAGTATGCATTATTACATATTGTATGTTTTGTTTCCATGCTAGTTTTATATGTTGACTCTAACGAAACCTGCCTTAACGTAAGGAAATGCTTTCTGTAAAGAAGTAACATCACAAACATGTCTGCCTTTTTATGACATTTGAAATCTGTTTTGAATTCTCATTAATTACTCCGAGCGTGGAACAAGTCCTGACAATCTTTGTTTTTCCATGTAAATGAGGTCTGAATGGTTCCCAGTTCTTCCACTCAAAAATTAGGTTCCGATATTCCTTTTAAGTCTATTGAGTTGAGATATATCGTAACTTTAAAAGAGGACATTTTTAATCATAGTTTTTCAAAGACCAAATTATTAATCGGAAGCTTTATATAGAATATAAAGGAAGTAGTTGCAATCACATTTAAGTTAACCTAGAAACACTGTGGATGCTGTGTTCATGATCATTGAAGAAAAGAATATTACATCAAACGTGATTAGAACCTTCTTGAATACATGATAGGCTTTGATTGATGATTCTGCTTTCTTCTTTTCTCATTTTTCTTTTACTTATCTCTGTCTAGGTGACCAACCCCCCGATTGATCCATTCAGGGAAAAAATAGTTATGTCATTGGTAAGTAGAATGGGAACTAGTTTGATCGTCATGACCTATAGGCCATCCCCGAAGTGTCATGTTAAGAAGACAAGTGTTCATTCTTAAGGTGGTCCTCGACCCTGAAGATGATTTTAGCTATGTTTTTGAAAATCATTGAATATTTTTTAAGTCTATTGTTCAAATCACACCAAATTTTCACACAAACAACAATAGCAATTACTGCAGATTTTTTCATAACAATAAGATGATCACGTGGTTATGGTGTATTTTACAGACCAGGAAACCTGGACCATAAAAAATGCTTGAGAAACGATTTTAGAGAAGTGTAAGCTTACATTAAGATAATATCTATTTCAAATTACTAAACATAAAGAAAGCATTGAAATGAGTTGAGAAAATTATTGTCATAGCAACCGTTGCTATGGAAACTGGAAAAACCATTTTTCTTGGATAACTATCAACAGAGTAGACAGATTAAAATTTTGTCAACTCATATCAAAGACACCATAAGTACGATTCCTCCTACCAAATTTGATTGAATAATATTGCATGCTTCTTTTTTTATCCTTTCTTAAAGTATTAAAATGCGCATTTGAGAAAACGAGCTTTAAAGTTCTGGTTGCGTATATTTACAAACTCGACATCAATGCTTCAAAATAATTAACCAAAAGAGGTTAAATTTGGGTCTTAATGGTCCAAGACCAATTGGTTTTAGATTATTCCCTTATATAATTAGGAAATAAGGTTATATGAATTGTCTTTTTAGTTATTGAATTTTTCTTCTTTTTGCTGATTTCTCAACATAAACCATTTCAAGGCTCTTTTCATCAATAAACACTACATCCATGTTATCCTTGTCATCAACTTTGCATAGGTCTTTGTCTGGCACTTTATGGATAGAAAAACCTCCAGAGGCATAAGCTGCTCCTGCTTTTGTATTTTGTTTTCTCATCTTCCTTAAAATTTGCCGTCTTCTCTGATAATCTGTTTTGCATTTGGCCTCCGCTTTCTTTACCCTTTTCTCATTTGCAGATTTGTAACCTTTGATGGTGTTTGATCCCAAAGACAAAACACCTAGTCTTTTCAGCACATTCCCAGCACTGCCTGCTCCTGCATTCCATTGCAAAACAGATGACGCAACACAACATTCCAAGCGCTGCTTACCACAGAAGACTCGTTTGGGGCATTTTGACCAAAGGACATTGTTGAGGGCTTCATTTTGATTCTGTGTGAGACCTTTTTGACATCTGCTCAGGAGTTCATCACCAGATAGCCTTTCAAATATAGGTTTTAACTCCTTCCTGAAAACTGATGGCAAGCACTTTCTCTGATCATAGGTTGCTGTATGGGAAGCTCTGTCTCTCTGGAACCTACACCATGAATTCTCTCCTTCAGGACAAAACTGATGTTGAACCTCATCCGGCTCATTTTCACCTTGAATGCAATGATAAAATATTGCCCAAATTGCTTTTTTCATCCCCTCAATATTATTAGTGTGATTTCGAATGGCATAACCATAATAATTTTGCAGTGAGTCTATTATTGCATCAGTTAGTCTACCACGTCCTCCAATCGTTCCACCATCTGCTAACTTTCTACCTTTGTTTTTGTTTTTAAAATTGCGCAAATTAGAGCCCATTCGCTTTTGGATATGCCCTATACAATCCTCTTTCAAAACCAAGTATCCATTTCCAAATTTTTTGAAACAGGCATCTGCAACTTCAGCAAATGACGATGAATCACCATCACCAACATAAGTTGTATATACAAGCTGATGTTTCTCCATTGATCTTAGAAACATTTTTACAGCAGCCTCTTTTTCCATTGCCTCTGAGGAGCCTTTGTGGTTAACTTCACAATGCTCTTCATGATTAGAATACCAATTCTTGTACTTTTCTGACTCTTTTTCCCACTTCTCTCTAAATTTACACTCAAAACAAATTTTGGACTGTACTTCATAATCCAATACTTCACCAGTCTCAACTGATAAAATAAACACAACACCAAGCAAAGAACTATAGCCATAACGTTTTTGCCATGTACCATCTACTGACACACTAACAGGGACATATGAAGAAACAACTTCATCATTAATGTCAGTGTTTATTTGCATAAGGTCTTTTAAATTTTTTGCTGCTTTACAAAGAGACTCTTGGGCTTCCTTCTGGTATGATGTGGTGATTTTTTTCAGGATTGCACTGAAGGCATTTGTTGTAACTGGTGGAGGGACATCTAATGCACAACATATTTTTGACAAACCTGCCAATCCATTTCCACTTTCCACACCTCCCTGCGTAAGACGTATGTTTATTTCTGAAACATCCATTTTATCATTGTTTACGAAAGGGCTGGTGCTGAAAGAATCTGTTTCTTTGTCACAATTGCTACATTTCCAGAATAAAACCTCATGAAGACCTCTTCTTTTAGAATTGTCTTGCCATAGCTGCAAGGTTCCTTTTGGGTCCTTACAGAGACGGCAGACGGCTGCTTTACTCAAACTGGTTAGCAGATTGCTAGTGTTCATCACCTTGAAGCCATGTGCAAGTTCTCTTCCACTAGCTAGGCCAAGTGAGTCTTTACTGTACAAATCCAGACATTTCCTTCTTTCATTTATGTACTCAGACTGTTCTTCGGCAAATAAAGGACAATTCCTTTTCAATTTTTCTAATGATTTGTTGATCAATTTCCCAGATGGACTCTTGAAATTTTTTGGAATCGTAGAGGGGGAAGATGGGCCTGGTTCTTGTGATAGTACCACATCTTCGTCGTCATCAACTGTAGCGCTATCGTTTCTGGAAGCCTCTTGTTCTACAAATTGTTTTTGCACTCCGTAAAAACCACGTTTTCTCTTTTGACGGTAAAGGCTTCTTTGCTTTCGTCCAGGCATTCTAACTCTGACAAACGTAAAACAGTATTTCGAGGTGCACCGTGGTGAAAATTTACAGAATATACTTCATGTAAAGCACACTAAAACAAATTCAACTCAATAAAAAAATTGTAATCGTGTTCCAAGGTAGATTTCGTCTTACCTGTGGCCAAAAAAGGGTAAAAAAGATTTGAGAAGTTACCCTAGCAACCAGCTTTTCTCGTTGCTAAGAAGAATATTTGTGACTGCTCTTTGAAAAACCTTGATTTATGACCCGTTTTCGGTCCGTATGTGCACAGGGGCATTTAACAAAGAAAGAACAACACCTAAGGCATTATAAAATTGAAAAAAGCAAAAAAGTTGGAAAAAATTTTTTGATGATGAAATCTAGGGTCGAGGACCACCTTAAGGCTGTTTGCATGAATAATCTGCACAGAGTCTGCCTTCTAGGGTCACGCGTACAAACAATTTTCTGCATAAAAGATATTTGTTGATAGTGCTATTTTTTCTGTGTACGGAAGAATCTGTTATGGAGGTTTACAGCGTTAATGAGTGTTTTGACATTTCCTGGCCCCAATGTTCCTTTTTTGTGCCATGAGCTGAATGACTTGTATGTAATTGATTATCGACAGCAGAAACTTTTGGTGGTAGCTTTGTTATCAATATTTGAAATGAAAATGGGGCATTTTGTATGCAAGCTGATTCAAAAAGGTGTCAGGCAAGATAAGATAATTATATTTTTCTATTATAAAGATACTGGTAGGTTAATGTTTAACTATCAAAAAATCACAAAAACCCGCTTTAATGTTGTGTTAAATGGCTTAGTTCGATTACATTTCTTGGCAGGAATGTCCAATCGGTCCAGAGGCAAACATTTTGGAACCTTCAGAGGACCAATGCAAAAGAATCATTCTTGACAGTCCAATCTTGTCGTCAGGAGATCTGGTGCTTCTAACGAGCTCTTCGCTTCCAAAATGGGAGGTAATTCTTCTTGAAACTTACAATTTAAGCATAAAATTTATATCAGTTTTGTATTCAGTTTGTATACTGGTAACCAGGCTACGGCATGTCAGTAAGAATCTCAATCCGAATGGGCTTGTTACTCTGGTTTGTGGTAAGTAGCTCCCTATTCACTCTATTGTCTATGGATGTCGACTTTTAATTTTCACTGGGATGGCTCGAGATTGAAAATGAGAATAACTTTTATTGAAGGATTCATATAATTTCCAAAATGTTTGTAATGCAATCTTATCTCAACAATAGAAAAAGCAGTAAAAGACTTCATTGATCGAAATTGTCGATTATTGTCCCCCCTGTAGATTTGCCGTTTTCAAGTGACGAAAATAAACTACTTTTTTGCTGTCCTTGGGCAGTGTTCTCTTCCAAAGATTCCCGGATGGGTATGAGTCCCTAAGCCCCTTACGTAGTTGGCGCCAAATGGGTTCCATGCCAGGGTTCTACAACAGAATTTCTTGGCATGTTTCCGTGATTTTTCATACTTTAATTATTCAATATATTTTCAATTCTAAGCATGAAAGTTAACTTGTTTTTAATATTTAACGTCTTGTCAGACCATCATTGCGGATGGTTATAGAATTTTGCATCCAATATGTTAGCAAAGCCTGCTACATGGACAATGGCAATGCCTGCTTGCTGAGTAGCTAGAGCATAGAACTTTTATTCAAAGGCCTATACATTGCTAATTAAATCTCATTTCAGACAGAAATAATCGACATTGTTTACCCAGTTGAAGAAGGACTTGATGGCTTAGTGCCTGCCTTGGACGGAATTTGCGACAAGGCTTTCCAATCTGTTAAGAATGGAAAACCCTTGATTTTACTGACCGACAGAAAAGCTGGACCAAATTTTGTACCAATAAGGTGAAAATTAAACAATTTTGCTTACCCCTTTACATCATTTGGTAAATATTTTTCTTAATTGTTTGGTTAAAGTTGTTTCTATTATGAATAGAATATTAATTAGGTACTTATACTCTTGAAGTGAATTTAATCTTTAATAAGTCGTAACATTTCAATCAGACAAGTTATAAGCATTTGGGTTAGAGATAAAAGGAAAACATCTCCAACGTATTGGTAATTAGAAGGTTTTTTTTTCGAAATATAGCCTCTGAACAGTGATTCAGATAAGTATTTTACCAATGAAAAAGCCTACATTGGGACTGTTATAGTATTTAAGCCTGCAGAGGATTCCTATAACCTTATTCGAATTTAATCTAAACATAGTTTACCTAAGAATAAGGCCTAATATCTTTTACGATGCAAGTTGGTGATTTCTTTGCAGCTCCCTTTTGGCAACCGGCGCCGTTCACCAGTACTTAGTAAAGATGAAGTCAAGGCGACTTGTGAGCATTCTCGTAGAGACTGGAGAAGCAAGGTAACAACTATCACATCTGTTTGTTTCTCGTTTTTTATCAAGAGAAAGTATTATTTTCTGAAGCACTGAAACCGACAGACATTCCTTTCACGAACTTTAAATATTTTTACAGTGTCATAAATCCCAAACTTAACCAAGATCACCCTTTATTCTGAAAGGGCCTGAGAATACTGTCAATCCACTCCACCCCCAATTTCTTCTCTTGGTGTTTCTTTATTTTTTCATTAAGCTTTTTCTTAATTTTTGCTTTTCCTCTCTTGATATAAAGCTTACATTACTGTATAAATATTTCTTAGGTGTGGACCCTACTCATTTTCAGTATAACTTTTGCATTTTCACATGACAAGTCAAGAAAACCATTACAAATTTTAGTGGACAGGGACTCTTTTAGAGAAAGTGAGCGTCTTCTTCTGTCACTTAATGTCTTCTATCTGCAATTTTTGTTGGTGTACATATGGAGGGTACATTGCCACCTTACAAGTAAACCTAAACAAAATATTGAATCCTGGCTTGTTAATTAATTTTATAGGGAAATTCACCACATGTGTCTTCTTCTTGGTTACGGCGCGGATGCAGTTTGCCCCTACTTGGTTTTTGAGACTTTCAGCAAACTTAGGGAAGAAGGTAATGTTTATGAAAAAATTTGGCTGAAAACTCTCCACTGTATATAACATCCATTGAATTTTATACGAATTGAAATTTTTGGAATCTTGTTTACTCAACAACCTATCTTGGTCTAGAGTTTCTGACCAATTAGCAAATGTTTATTGGCTAGTCGCTTTTTATGTTATTTAACTTCTCATTCACTGACATTCATAATTGTTTTGTTTGCAGTTGTTTGCCTTATTTAAGAGCTATGCATATGATTCCAATATCCAGTCTATTTATACGATGCATCGTCTGCGTTATCTGAAACAATTCTACTCTAGCTATTTTTGTCTCCAATGCTTTGAAACTTTTAGGTCCTATTGAAGAAGCAGCTAACACACTCCTTTCAGAAGTTTATAAATATGATTATTCATTCTTTATTTCGTAATCACTTTTTCATCAATTGGCGTCAAGCATGGCCTTAAATGATAATACCACGTTTCAAATTTTTTGCAGTTATGTCGAAACCTGTAAAATATGATTTTTGATAACTTTTTTTTGATTTGAAGGTTTTAGTAAAAATATTAACAATAGCATTTAAACTTAGTTTTATCGTTATAGTAGGTATTCCTTCCTTCCTTGCTAATTACCATTTCTTAGAAGAATAAATATTATGTCTTCTGATTTTACATGAAAACGCCAGTTATGAAGTTAAATGCTTTTGGTTTTATTTAGGTCTGATGGAGCCTCCTTTGACAGATCACCAAATAATTGAAAACTACAAAACTGCAGCTCATACAGGCATCCGGAAAGTTATGGCCAAAATGGGAATATCCACTCTTCATAGTTACAAGGTGCATATTTTTTAGTCAAACCAATACAGAACCTGACGCATTCGTTAACTTTATTTTTTTATACCTTTCCTTGTTATTTTCCGATGTTTGATGCTCCGAGGAAGTTTTGTCAAAAAGTTTTTTGATATATTGCGTTACTTTTTCCGCTTCCTCAAGAAAAACTCCTCAGCTTATGCTAGCAGATATTTAACCGATTTTCAATATAATTTGTTGCAGGGATCCCAAATATTCGAAGCAGTTGGGCTGGCAAAGGAGGTAGGATTTTTTACTATTTTGCATTTAATTAAGTATTCCTTGTCTCTAGCTTTCATTGCTATACGCCATTTATGCACATGCAATTTTTTTTTGCAAAACCTGTTATTTCTATAAAGAGGTATCTCGTTTATGCGAGACCACTGTTTACCATTTTTACATTTATCAACACTACATGCAATAAAAGAAAAGATGCTATAAGACAGAGGCTTGAATTCAGTTTAACTCATCTCATAATATAAGCTCTACTTTTACAAAATAAAATATATCTATTATACCAATTACAACTTGTCATCTACAATTAATCTACTCAATATCTAATTGCAATTTATCATATTTACATTCTAATTCTTCTCAAGACAAGTCCGATTTTATTAGCCCATTTGTAAATGTCGTTAAAATACTTTCGGATGCATTCCCAGCATCCAAATAGCTCTAAATCAAAAAGGTAAATTGAATGGTTCTCGAAACAATAGAGTTTGTCTTCCATAGTGGGGTACCATGACCTATGTCTCAAAACAGCCATTTTTATGTCACTGGGTATTGAAAACTGGCAATGACTGTCATTTGCAGGGGAGCATGACCTATTCTTAACATCCCATGGCAAAATGCCCAGTTTGATGTAAATCTGTACATCAGCTGGCATTGTTGGCCTAGCCAGTTTTGATCTTCGAGAGGGTTTCTGTGTATGAGCTAGTTTTGTCTTCCTTGACATTTTCTTAGCCCAAACCTCTTCCTGTTGAAGATATTGTGCAACTCTTGATGCTGCTTGAAAAACCTCCTCTTTTGTTTTAGGGTAGAGTTGTTTCAAGTAAAAACCCATTTGCTCTTCATATGTCATGACATTATTCTTCCCTTTTGCCGTTTTGTTTTCATAAGGTGTTCGCTTATGATTTGGCCTTAACAGGGAAGTTTTGTCATTGACCATTGGGCTGTTGCCATTGTTATCATACTCTATTTGACAGTAATTTACGGTCATATTATTATCAATTTTAGGCTCATTTTTGTTTTGTGAGCTTTTTATTTGCAATGGGCGTAACTGGTCACTGTTATCGACAACAAGCAAAGAATTTTCACTCGTATCTGGAGTGATGGGTGTGCTAGGCGTATTCTCTAAGCAACTAATAAGAAAATCCATTATATCGTTGGATTCCCTCTGGCTAATACTTTCTTCTGAGAGAAAGTCTTCAGCCCTTTTGCTTATGTTGTCATTCGTTGCCATTGCAACATCATTTTCTCCTGGCTGGCATTCTTGTTGAACGCCGCCCAAAATATCATACGAGTCAACATTAAAAAAACTAATGTCATTAATGCTGGCGAAACCATTGTCAATAAAGTTCAAGTCGCCAGCCAGAAGAGCTTCAGGTGACTCTTTATCGTTTTCATTACAACACTCTTGGACAGGGGGACACAGCTCTGCATCACTGATTTCGTTATCTTCACGCTTTCCTTCTAATTGGTCAATGCGTGCTTCCAGCATACGCGAGAACAGCGCATCAACAACGGTCAGGAATTTGTTGCTAAGGTATATTGTCGAGGTCATCTCGTCTGTGATTTCGTCAATACCAGCAACACCTTCTTCTGTGAAGTTCTGGAATTGAGATAACATTTATTCGTATAAATACCTTCATATATCTTTGATATACATTATTATCATTATTTTTTAACAACAATATTAGTGGGGGACCATGCTGGCCAACCGTGATCAATTTAGTGCCGTGAATATTTTTGCACTTAAGTCTTTTTTAAAATACATCTAAATGGTTTAGTAAACAATTATTTTGATAACATGTTTTTGAGCTAGAACCAAAACAAAAGCATGGTGCGATTTCTAGTACATAACTGAGAATACGGGAGTTCATTTTCTCTTACTTTTTGAAATTCGTAGTAACAGCTTTCCCAAGTTGACTGCAAAAGTTTCAGCTTTGCTTTCAGCAAACTGACTTCACTTTGGATTGTTGTTGTAAGCTGTAGAGATACATGAAAATTACCATCTTTAAAATTTGGATTCCAAAACGAAGTAGACACCATGTGTCATTTTATTTTAATTTTCGAAATATGGTAGCAAACTTGATAAATTTGTTTTATCTAATATTGATGTTAATAAATAATTAATGAATTGAAATAGAGTAATATTAATGATTTCAATTCGCAAAGTTTGCAGGGTTTAAAATTAGCTGCAAAACGGTTTTGATTGCAGTAGATCTCAGTTTCTGTTCTATGAGCAGATATTAATTGATGATGTTGACAATAACATCTATTATTGATAAATAATATATCTAATGAATAATGACATTTAATTAAAGTTTTCTTTTCCTTTTTTTACTGTTGTAAAATAACTGGATAGATTTTTAATACTAAGAATAACAATTTTTAAGTTACCTGACTCTGTACTGCGTTTAAGATTTGAATGCAATGGTCGATGGATTCACTCAACTGAAAAATCAAAAATTCAACTTTTCAGAAAAGTCACTACTTCTCAAATTTTTATTTATTTTTATAAATATATATTTCAAGATATTGTATAAAATTTCCGTCGTTCCAAGCTACTGTATATTCATTGAACTTTCAAATTAAATTTTCACTTTCAAATCTTTTCTATTAAAAATGTTTTACTCTGAAGCTTTCAGAAATTAATTAACTTCGCTCATTCAATCTCATGTTTCTAACTGACCAGATATGAAACATTTTCGAAAAAGATAACAAAATAAGTTGATAGTATAAGGTATTTTAATAATATGTTGAATTAGCTAGTATGTTGAATTGATACAAAGCAAAAAGTTTCTTAAGTCGTATAAGTGGCCTACCATCATTCCTACGAGTTTTTCACTTTTGATAAAAGGCATCAAGAGTTGATTATTTTTATCAAAACTAAGTTTAAAGCATGAAATGTAATGAAGATTCCCTGTTTTAAAATTGAATTAATAAAAACTGTAGTTACTGTAGATACAAAAGTAGCACAAATGTAGTTACCTGAATTCGAAACATTGAGTTGTGCAGTTCATTTACAATATCTTTCTTGACTGATTTTATAAAAGTATTCGGCAATTTCTCGACCGATTCCACAATCAGACCTAAAATTACAGATCTGAGCAGTTAAACAAGAATTTATCATTCACATACTTGAAAGCTTTTCGATAGTTTTCAATAATGTGACAACTTGCTAGGATAATGAAATTTAAAGATGTTACTCACCAAGTTTGTAGCTGAACTGTACAAAAAGATCTTCCACCGTTTTTCCTTCGGTGGTTAAGTGTTTAGGCTACGAAAAAATTATCATTTTAGATGCTTTTCTTAAACAGGAGCACCAACATTATGTGAACTATAACTAAATCCAAAAGTTTTTGTTTCACAAAAGATTAATGTTTCTATCATAAAGTTAGGCCTGTTTGGATTTTAATTCGCTAACTTAACCGTTATAAATAACAATATTTCTATTTTTCTGTTTTCTATTCTTTCTTTCTCAGTTCTTTATCATTGTTAGATCTAGCAGTTGCTTAGTTATAATTAAAAGAAATTATTTGTATATTTTAGAAAGCCGAGCATTTGTTTCTATGCATGATTTTTTCGATCGATAGTTTGGGCCCTTACAGCGTCGAAAGATTTGAATGCTTGAAACAATTTAAACATTGTTTCGTTTCCGAAACAATGATATTATAACACCTTTTTATTTAAGTTAGGTCTTTAGATAATTGTCAAGATAAAAGTTTTTTTGGAACTATGTCAGTTAACTAGTCACTTAGGGCAAGCAAACTTTATCAAATTTTCCAACACTCTGTTATCCTTACGGATCATGTTCTCAGAAATTTTTCGTCGATCATTGGAATCGAAAATAATCAAAAGAATCAAGAAGAAGTTGACTTATTTTATTGTTGTAATTAAAGAACTATTGTTCTCTCAAACTCTCGTAAAATCCAAAGAAAAAGTGTAATTTGGTACTTCACATTTATATCTAAGTTAGGCCCAACAATGAAACAAAGTTTATGCTGAAATTTAACTGATATTTGTTACTTACTTGCGACAAAAACATCTCTAGCATGTTCGCCATGTTTGTTAATGAAGTTTATAGCTTTGTCTGCAGTGAAAACACAATTTTTTCTGATATTCTCCAACTCGAAGAAAAGCTCCTGCGATCTCAATAACTGTGAAACTCAGGAACGGTCAACCGTCGTTTTTTCTCTTTTTAAAACGCCAGTTGTGATCATAGCAACAACATAGTTACGTTTATGACATCAAATTGATTTGAAATTTGTTTATCACGTAACTTGATTGATTTGCCAACCCTGTACCAAGTAGCGTTTCTCTGATCTTTAGTTTATCCCGAACATTTCTTCCTAGAATATAGTTTCTCTTCTATTTGCTTTTTGATCTTTAGTCAAGCTCCGCCCTAGTCCTTTGATTCAGCAGTTAGTTATTTGGAATTCTATATCAACTATTTTTGTATTAAATTTGGGCTTATTCAATTATTTAGCCCTAACCAGCATCTCTGTTGCTTTTTTTACAATTTTTATCCATTAGCTCTAACTAATGAATATTTTTTATAAAATTCTGTTTGATATTTCAAGCAGCACCTGTTAACTGTATCTTTTTAAAGCCCTCTTTCAGAAGTTCGGAAAAACTGACCAAGGGTTTCTTCAATGTTTATGTTCGGTGTGATACACCAGTATTCAAATTTTGATGAACTGAAAGTTGCTTTAGTAAACCCAAGATAATTTCCACTTTCCCAAGTTTCATTTTAACGACTTTTATGCTTCAGATTTAATTCTTATGCTTGTGGCATCCTCTTTTAATTTTCAAGCCAGTTATACTAGTTTCTCTCATTTTGAAAATTTTTCTTATCTTATCTTTGTTGTTCTAATCTTTTTCCCCAAAGAAACCTCTAATAGAACAAGAAAAATGTAAGAAGGCAAATTTATTTTCATTTTTGATCTATCTTTAGGTGATGGACAAATGCTTTACTGGCACAGCGTCGAGAATAGCTGGCACCAATTTCAAAATTCTTGCACAAGAAGTAAGATTATAAGCATCTGATTGAAATTTTATTTTTTTAATAATTAAAAATCAATAAACTCCAATTTATTTCTTTGCGAGCAAAGGTTACTTTATCTTGCTATTTTAGCTGTAGGCCCGTGTCATTTCTGTACAACGCGACCCTCAACCTTGATCATAAGGTGATGTATGCATATCCAGGGGTGGTGCTAGAAAAAAGTCATGTTTATATCCAATATAAATGTTTATAAAGGATGTACAAAGCTACAAACTATAATATAGAAGGGGATTGCATACATCTAAAAAGGGTTCTGATACCCCCAAAGTTAGAATGCGTTTCCCCTTTGCCTTGCCAAAAAAGAACAGCAAAAGGTTCTATAGAGAAACCCAGAAAGTGCCGACTAACATGTGTTGAGGTGGAATAGCTGTCGACGGGGGGCTAGCTAGTCCTTTTTTTGGGGAGGGAGGGTAAGTCATGCTACCACTTAATGGATGATCGGAAATGGCTTCGTTGACTTAAAGTACTTTAAATAACATATATCTTGAAATTGTAAAAAACCTTAGAATTTCACGACTTTAAGATGCCAATAAGATTTATAAAAAACTAAGTTGTGAGATTTATTTGCAGCCAAATTGTTTTTTTAACGAAACAAAGATAGATTGAGTTTCATAGGAAAGAAAATATCTATTCATTGTTCAAAATTGCATTATTTTTTATATTTCATTTTCTATCTTCTCTTTTGTTCCCCAGGCACATGATCGACACCGTCTGGCATTTTCTGAGCGCGAATGCGACAATCTTCTCATGAATAACAAGGTTTGGAAATTGAAGACATCATCATTAAAACGAACAGTCCTTTTTTGCTAAACATTACAATATTACTTTCAAATGTTTCTAAAATATACTTTGATAGACTAAAACAAAGCTTAAAAACCAACTATGTACATGAAAAAATAAACATTGTTACTGACGTACGTGCATCTAAAAATTTCGACATACTAATATACATCTAATATATCTCAAAATATAGATTTAATGTCCAAGTTTGATTAAACGTAGACCACGCTGACCTAGAGACCGCAGAAGCGGCGGGGTTGGGAGTATAATTTGCAAGATGTACTTAAAACCATACAAAAAATTGTCTTCCTTATGCTTTAGCACCCCCAATCTGTAACATGCTCCGCGGTCTTTGTGCGGACATACATGGTTATCGATTGCCTTTTATATTATCGTTATTGTGTTTCAATAACAGTCATACAAATTATATTTGCTGCTTTTGTGATATCCAAGACTTTCTTATTTCCTACGACCTGTATGCGTGCGATTGGTGTTTGCATGACTTGCTTGCCTAAGTAAAGCTTGGATACACCCTAAGTTTTCAAAAAAGCTGTTTTTGCAATTTCTCAGGGAGATTATCATTGGCGTGATGGTGGAGAAATGCATGTAAATGATCCAAGAAGTATTGCCCATCTGCAAGTAAGTATATTTTTTAAGTATTAAACCTTTTATTTTTTGATATATTAAATTGATACTATACCGGGACTCACTACTCAACTACTCACTTTAGATGTACTTGCCTTAAGTTATCGTAAATGTCTTTTGAAACGTATTATCCCCACTGTCCTCTACGCCTTCATTGTTCAACAAAATATTCATATGTTAATGCAATAATAGATAAATTGCTAACTTCGAAAGTTTTGTATCTCCTCGATTCTTTCATTGTTTTAAAAATCTTTCTTTTTCTTTTCTTTTGCATCGTTTCCTTTTCACTATCTCTCCTTTTTCAATTTTCTCTTTCATTTCATTCTCTTTTACTTTATTCTCAAGATCCTCTTCATCTTTTTTAACTTCCTCTTCCTTTCCTGTCTCTTTCTCTTTTTATGCTCACAGAAATTTACAACACACTGCTACAAACTACGGTACAATAACGATACCAAAGGGGGCATGAATTTTAATAACAACCCTGTTATGCAATTCACAATTATCTCAAAGTCTGTTTCAAAAAATAATGCTAGGCCACCCAGGGAGGGTAAATATATACCAGGCGAGACATCCAAAAGGGTTTGCATGTTTGTTTACTGTTCTCCTTCTTCTAATTAATCCTCTTCTTCAATCCGTACTTACTCAGTCTTCTTCATCTCTCTTTCCATTTCTCACCAATCGTTTCCGCAGTTTGCAAGCAATGATTTCTCCTAGACATTCATTGACTTAAGAATTAATTGTTTAACAATTTCATATTTCTTCAGAATGCAACTCGAAACAACAACACTATTGCCTATGAGAAATATGTGAAGTCGACAATGCTAACGGTAAATTTCTTACTTTTTTGCTTCTATTTTTTTGCATTTTTTATATACACTAGCCTTTTCCACTTAGTTGGAACTAAAATTGAAAGTTTTACCTGAAATGCTGATCAATGGCCTTGAATGGATATTGATTTCGAATCAAAACCTAACTAGAAATATAATTGCTGTAGATAAATTATTTGGTTTTTGTCAAAAACAACAATGCTGATAATGAGCTGACAGCTTCGGTGGAAAATTCAATTTATTGTACACAAGCTTTGAGTACAAGTTATTTTTTAAAAGAGAAGGGTTGGTAATAATTCCACTTGGTGTTATTATTTTTATGTATATGTTAGTATTTAGCATTTTTTGTATTCCTTTCTAGATAGAGGCATGTACCCTGCGAGGGCAATTTGATTTTAGGTATAGTAAAGAGGCAGTTCCACTTGAAGAGGTTGAAGATGCTGCAAGCATTGTAAAACGCTTTTGCACAGGTCAGTATTTTTGTTTTTTGTGATAATCCAACTTAGACTAATACTTCCAGGTGTAGGGATCACGAGATGGGGTCACATCGAGAGGAAGGACCAGGACACTGCTCGATAAGCACAGCTTCTCAGTGTCCTAAAAAGTACCTTCAGATGCCAAGTAGCAGATACAAACACATACTAATACTTTATTGAGTTCATGTTTACAAATAACGATCTATCGTGTTTTTAGTAGTATACATTATCAAAGTAAAACTTATAATATAGAACAATATGAGTCATAAAGAACTTTTGCTTCTTGGTATTCCGTGTCAACAATGTCTCAAACCAAAAGCTATTTTTAACCATAGCAGATATTGTAACTAAAACAAGACAATTGAAGAGACATGCCATTTTACATTCGTTTTTAGGAGCTATGAGCTTTGGATCAATTTCCGAAGAGACACACACCACGTTGGCCATTGCTATGAACAGGTATCCCCTTATGCAACAGTTCGATTTAGCTTCTAGTTTATTTCTTAATCTAATGCAAACAACTTAATCTGACTGTCATATCTCTCGCTAACCCTGCCCTATAAAAAAGGCCCTGAAGCTTGGCCTTCGAAATTTTTTTGGAACCAAACGATTTAGAAAATATATCAGTTGTTATAATTCATTTATGTAGGAACATTCAAATCTGCAAATTTTGCAGTCTAGGTGAACAAAAGGCCTAAAAATTTGAGTAAGCCACAACCGCGTGCTATTCTGTTTTCTCCTATGGAAAATGATATACCCCTTTCAGTGAAATCAAGTTATTAAATTTCCTACAATATCTATCTCACCAAATACTCTAGCCTTTTTGTTATTGATTATGATACAGGATTGGTGGCAAGAGCAACAGCGGAGAAGGGGGTGAAGATCCTTCCCGTTACAAGGTCTACGATTTGAATAACAGCAAGCGTTCTTCTATCAAGCAAATTGCTTCTGGTAGATTTGGAGTTACCAGTGCATATTTAGCTAATGCAGATGATCTTCAGATTAAGATGGCACAGGTATTAAAGAATGTTCCTTTGTATGAGTTAGTGAGCAAACTAAGAAAACATTTTATGCTTTATTTTGTTTTTCTTCTGATCTTGGCATCCTCTAGGTTACCTGAATGTTTTAAATTATTAAAACTGTAAAAACCAGGGAAAGTTACCGATCAATATCGCACATTATTTTAATGTCATTGTTTCTTGTCTCAAGAATCTCAAAAGATCAACAAAGCTAAGCCAGTCTTCGTATTTTCTTATTGCAGGGAGCAAAGCCTGGTGAGGGTGGTGAGCTTCCAGGCCATAAAGTCACTGAAATGATCGCCAAAACGAGGCATTCTGTTCCTGGTGTTGGCTTAATTAGCCCTCCTCCGCATCATGATATCTACTCCATCGAGGATCTTGCTCAGGTAAGAGGTTATATAAAATCGCACCAGGCACTAGTAAAGTTTGATAAATGCACTTTTATTATAAGCACTTTTTAGTCATGCTTTTTGTGGTAAAATATATTTTTTTTGTAAATTTTGTTTCTTTTCAGCTTATTTATGATTTGAAATGCGCTAACCCTACCGCAAGGATAAGCGTGAAACTCGTTTCAGAAGTTGGTGTTGGGGTTATTGCATCTGGTGTGGCCAAGGTATGCATTTATGTATTGTCAAGATATGTTTTTAACAACTTATTTCATTTCCGTTAGGCTCTCCTTTTCTCTGATTGAAATTGAAACCAACATAGAAGGTATTTTCATGGATCGTAAACCATTGTGGTTTGCAAATGTAGGCGTAATTTTGAATTAATAATTGTTTGAAACTGTTTGCTAAAATCTCTTGCCCGTTACAAAGATGCTTATGGAATTCAACTTTTTATTCGGTGCTTCTTTGTCTATTTTGGAATCAAAACCTCCAAAACTTTCTCAGGTAATTTCTAGAAGCAAGAAAAATGATCTAAATACAAGATCCACTGAATACATTCAAACAGAGAATTGAAGTCTATAAAATTGTATTTTAATTTTTTTATCGACTTTTTTACAACAAAGGGGCTGGCAGAGCACATTGTCATATCTGGACACGATGGAGGGACTGGAGCGAGCAGTTGGACTGGAGTTAAGCACGCAGGGTTGCCATGGGAACTTGGTCTTTCAGAGACTCATCAGACGCTGGTGCAAAATAAGTTAAGAGACAGGATTATTTTACAAACAGATGGTCAGATGAGGACAGGTGAGCTTAATCGTTTTATGTACCCTAATAAATTTTATGACGCAATGGTGGAGCCTACTTTGTTAGTTATACTAAGCATACTCCTTTCATCTGGGCCACATTGAAAAAGTGGACCTTTCTGAAGAAAAGAGGAATTTCAAATGGATTCTAACTCACTGAAATCTTTATTGAATTGTCTTAACGTAAAACCTTCTTATAATGGACTTCTGTGGCTCTAAGGAGACGGTTACTGTAAGGAGGCGACAAGTGTCCTTTGGTAACTTAAACAAGGCTTTGATCTTTATAGAAAAATGTCGATGCGAAATCGATTGTTATTTATTCGGACGTGTTTGCTATATAGGATTCTGTTCTAGGGTTGTCTAGTTTTATTTAAAGTGTGTTTTTGCTCGTGTGTTATAATTGTAAAGAAACATCACTCTGATTCCATGCTTGTAGATCGTTCGACCTAGAAAATATTACCAAGAAAACTCCTTCTGTTTTCTCAGATCAATTTATCCTAGCAAACCATGGATCATAGCCAATTTATTTCCAGGTCGCGATGTTCTTGTGGCAGCCTTGCTGGGGGCTGACGAGTTTGGATTTTCCACTGCCCCTTTGATTGCACTTGGATGCACGATGATGCGAAAATGCCATCTTAATACATGTCCAGTAGGAGTTGCAACTCAGGTAAGATCAAAAGGAAACGTCTTTGTCACTTTGTCTATAACAAAATTACGTCATTATGTCATAATACATACTACAAGTTTGTCCAAGCTATTCTGTAATTGTAAAATCGTGGTTTCTCTATGATTTACTTGAAATTATTTGATCATTAGTTTTTAGACCATTAAATGAAATTAGCAAACAACATAATTTTCTTTACTCTTTATTTCTTGCTCATAATATACTTTTATTGGAGCTTGCCAACAGATATGAAAGCCTATTTAGTTATTTCTTGTTTTTTTGTTTATTGCAATAATATTGCTGTAATCTGTAATTTTTATTCTGTAATTTTGCAGGATCCTGTTTTAAGAGAAAAGTTTGACGGAAAACCAGAATACGTAATCAATTATTTCTTCATGGTTGCTGAAGAGGTAAGCTTGATAGCCTAAGTTGTTAGCCTAAATTGTTTTGGCTCTATAAGACACACCATAGTTGGAAATACTACGATTTGTTATTGCAGCTACTGATCGATCAGTAGATATTTCCAGCATGGAACATTTCAATACTTGTTGCAGCAGTTGATATCCAGTAGTTAATATGCTTTGAAAAATTTTCAAAACAGAAAAATTTTAATGTAAATCCCTACGAGATTCTACTTTATCATTATATCAACCATCTGAGCAGCAATATAATCTCTTCTTCGTCATCCCCTTATACTATCAATTTCTTCTAAGGGTTTCTCCCGCTTTGTGTTGCATTCCCCGTTATTGGATAATTTTGCCCACAGAAAATAATTAAGATAGGACATTGGATTTTTATACAGTAAAATTTAAGGAACGGAGACCCGTGGAAACGAGGTAGCTTTTCGCTGCTTTCACCCTGGTAAAACACAAACCCAAAAGGCCTATTGAGCCTGTTTTGTTGATAATGAGAAGAATATTCAGAAGTCTTTAATTAACTTATCTCCTTTTTATCTGCAGCCTTATGTAAATTTGACGTAATTCGTTTTCAGGTCCGCTTGCTCTTGTCCCAAATGGGAGTCAGAAGCATGCAGGAAGTTATTGGCCAGTCACATCTTTTGAAACCATTGGATACTGCATATAACGAGAAGACCGCCGTATGTATTAAGTATTAGATTATAGTAAATTATCATTTATAGTTTTAATGAACATATTAATGACACCATTTCATTAATTTCTCCCAGTTTTTAATCTTTTTTGTTGTTGGATGAAACAGTTTTCCTGTGTCAAATTATCTGTCGAAATTATTTATAGATTATTCTAACATTTGCTTACATTGTTCTCTTAAAAAGCGTGTGTTATTCGTATGTCGAACGCTCCATTACAATCAAATCTGTTAGGAATAAGGTGCAAAATTTTAGGCTTTTGGGAGGAAGGTCCCTTCTGGTGGGAACAAGTAACTCTGAGACACAGATATATTCACATAATCCTCTTTAACCTCAACTCCCATTGCTGGCTCTTCGAACATTTTGCGTTGATGGCTACCTGTACACTCCCGAGCTGCTATAAATTGGATTTTGCCTTCTTACTTTCATAAAGCTATATCAAGCTTATAAAATTTTTAATAAAAGTATTACTGATTTTTTCATTATTCCTCAGCTTTTGGATTTTGGCACAATATTGAGAAACCCAGAACAATCCAGTCCAGTAAAACAGATCGGAGGAACTGTGGAACAAGACTTTAACTTGGCTTCGCGCAAGGTAGTTTAATATCCATTAGTTGCTGATATGCCATCTTATAGAAAATTTATATATGAGTTGTTTAGTTTGTTGAAGTGTTTAAAGAATACCTAGGCTGATATCCGAGCCTTTTGATCATCGTTACCATTTTATTGGGTTTTCTAAGAAAAATATTGACAGAAAAAGGTATTTACAGATGAACTACATGAATTGAATGCGTATAATCAAAGGCATTAGTTTGTTTAAATATCATTTATTCTTTATATGTTGATCATGATACTATGAAAAATTTTATAGGATTGGATACTGATTCAAAAGGCTCAAGATGTAATCGATGGAAAGTTAGAGAAAGTTAAACTTGAAATGGAGGTGGAGAATATTGATAGGACCTTTGCATCAACTCTCAGCTATGAAATATCCAGGTAACTCTCTATTACTAGATTGTTACTAGCATCCATACCGAGATTTTAGGACACAAATTTAAGTATGCACGTGTTGCATTTGTGTATTCTTTTAACTTTATGAATAGGAATGGCAAATTTGGGTTCAGAAAACAATGTTAGCTCAACACATGATAATTCAGTTAAAGCATTGAAAAAACTATTTTTTGTGAATAACAAGAAAGAATCAGAGACGAAAAAGTAAATAAAAGGACATTCATCAAACTAAAAGATCTGAATATTCTGAGGGTTCACTTGACCTTTCAAGGCCTTAACGTTCCTGCTCTTTATTCAAGGAATATGAGAGTTGTGAAAATACTGACTGATACTTTTTTTACTTTTGTTCTTATATTAAAATTTCATTCTAAAGGCCATTTTTCTATGTACCTTGAAGATCTCTAGACTGTTGCATTTTATTTTCTAGACGCCATCTTGAAAATGGTTTACCTGAAGATAGTATCCACATAAAATTGAATGGATGTGGAGGTCGGTGTAATAAACCTATTTTCACCAATGCATTGATCGTGCGTAACCTATATTGCGATCAAAAGAAAAAAATAAGGGTGTAAAAATATGACATGAAATTGTATAAAATGGTTATCACATGATGAAATTATCGATGTCTACTTTTATTATCTATTACAAAATATATTGTGATAATTCAAGGATTTAATTCAAATTAGTCTTTAATGTCTAAAGTGTCTTGATATTCCATTAGTGATAAATATTTGAATTTCTCAACTTGTACTAATTCGGCTCAAAAGTGGATTGGAAATTATCTGAAGCAACCGTTGGTCAATAAAAGCTTAACGAATGAACACTTCGAAACTACGTCCCTTATGACCAACAAAATATATTTCAATTAGTTACGGTCTTTATATTTAAAAATAATTCTTAATACATTGGTTTTTCTAGGACAGAGTTTTGGAGCGTTTTTGGCCCCTGGTGTCACTTTGGAACTTGAAGGAGATGCCAATGACTATATTGGTAAAGTATGTATCGCAAATAAATTGTGATTATTTTAAATAGTCTGATTTCTGCGTCTTTATTTCTCACATCATATCGGCACAGACAGTTGAAAATGATCGATAGCAACTCTTATCTCAAAATTTAATTCAATGAATATGTAATGCAATGATTTTTGAGTGTAGCCTGAGATGCTATGCATATGGCGCAAAACGTAGATGCTGTTCTTAAACGTTACAATTTTTGTAATCTAAGATATTTCTATGATGCAATCCTTCATTCTCGTCTTAAAGGGCTTATCTGGTGGCAAGATAATAATTTATCCTAGCAAGAAACACGACGAAAGCTTCAAAGCTGAGGATAATATTATTGTAGGCAATGTTTGTCTGTACGGTGCAACATCAGGGAAGGTATGAATCATTTAATGTCTTTCGTAATAACTTTTTTTCATCATAACATTACGTATCACATATGCCTTTCTTATTAGCCCAAATAGGTGTTCATGATATTACCTTCGCAAAATTTTGTAAATCTTTTTATTTCAATTCCTCTTTTGGAAAGAAATTTGAATCCAGTTGCTTGAGTTTTGTGGATGGTTTTAATCTCACCGTTCAATTGCCTTCTAGGCATTTTTCAGAGGAATTGCAGCTGAAAGATTCTGTGTTAGAAACTCAGGTGCCATTGCAGTTGTTGAGGTAAACAGATACGATAAAACAGTGACATATTCTATGCTTCATTTCCCATTGTAATATCATTAACAGTCATTAAAACATGCGTTATTAATGTATATTGTGTTATTAATATTGCGTAATGTAAAGCATTTTTGAGACGGAAACAACATTCTCTCAATTTATTTAGAGCTACAAACTGAAACTTTTCTTGAAAGGTCAATTTGGAACATTGATTTGAAATGTCTGATTTATCATCTTTGTATTTTTGTAAATAGATTTTTTTCCATTAGCCAATTTTGTAGCCACTAATAACCAGAATTCAGCTTTTAGGAGTCTTTTTAGCCCTCTAAAGTTGAGCTGGCTATTATTAATAGAAAACAGTCGCTATCAAAAATGCAGCTATGAGACCTGTTTCTATATAAAGATTCCAAAGTGTAGTGATATTTTCAGAAATTTGAATTGCAAAAAGACCTTGAAGCACAGTTATGCTGTTCCTTGAGGGAATATAGAACATATATGATGTAGCAAGCCAATTTCACCAAGGTAGGAATGAAATACGCCTAAAGTAAAGAGTTTACTTTAGATAACCTTCGTCATAATAAACCTTAAGTCCGCTGTTTTATGCTCAGGGATGTGGTGACCATGGCTGTGAATACATGACAGGAGGGTTATCAGTCATTCTTGGGGAAACAGGACGAAATTTTGCTGCCGGAATGAGTGGCGGTATTGCTTATGTTCTTGATAGGTAATTTTTACACCATTACTGCTATGACTTTGTCCAGTGTCATGAAAGACTTTGAAGTAGTAGACTTATTCAAAGTTTCCATGCAGATATATTGAATGTGGATTCATGTATGAACATATTTGTAGTAATCTTAACCACATCTTTAACTTAATGCGCTTGGAATTTCAGTCACCGCCGAGGAAGCAGGTAGTCTAGATTTCTTGCAGAGCAACCCCTCTAGATGCAAAGTTTCAGCAGGTTAAGCCAAAAGCGCGCCTGGGGCAAGTTACATGATGGAGTAAAAAGATAATGCGTTTAGGGTGGGCCATGCTTGGCATTTCCTCCATGAAACATCGATAAATTGTGGAAAGTTATTCTAAAAAGCTTTGTACCAAAGCATTGCATGATGCTGCCCCCAGAATAAGAGCAAATTTTTGTTTACACTGGTCTTTAAGGCCATTCCTACAAATTCACCGACGAAGCACTTCAGGAAAGATCTCTGCTTAGAAAATGGAAGAGACTGCTCCTCTTTTCATCTTTACAATTATTGATATCAATTTTAAATTCAAATTCGTTTTATATTCTACTACAAAATTACGTGATGATAAACTGTTAAACAAAAAAAAGGGTAATTCTACATGATCCGTGTCATCAGCTTTGCAGCAAAATATCACCGGGAGGAACCGAAAAAGTTTTCGAGCCCAGGGCCCTTTGATTAATCGTGACTTTTCTCCAACAGCCCCAAAAACTTTAGTGGTGTAATGGTCTCCTGATTCGTAGCAAACCGAGCTTATGGTGTACTTGTGTAGTCTCATAGCTTCTTACCTATCTGTTTCCTTTTAGGAAAAAGACATTTGCATCTTTTTGCAATACAGAGAGAGTCGCTCTGGATCCGCTAGATGATGATGATGTCGCAAAGCTGTACAATGTCATTAAAGAGCATTACTTTTACACGAAATCAGCTGTTGCCAAGGATGTTTTGGAAAACTGGAGCCATGTGACAAGTCTATTTGTAAAGGTAAGACAGGGCTGTCGTTGATTATCAATTGAATAATCTTTTTTTACCAATTAAGCAAAGGATAACGAAAGGGAGAGTTTAGTTTATCATCATCTTTTTGAGATTTGCTCTCTTTGTATTCAGTCTTGTGCAAGCAAAGAAATGTTATTACTTTTTTAGTTTTAGTTTTGACTTCAAAACTTTGTTCATTTATAAATAAAAGTCTTCTATTAGAACGGGCCATATCGTTTCGTTTAGGTATTTCCCCATGAATATCGGCGTGCATTGCAGCAACTCAAAGAGCAGAAAGAGGTAGCATTTATTTTATTGTTTCTTTGTCTTGTTAATAAAACAATACAAAAATTCATATAACGATCAATGTAAGTAAATTGTACCTTCGTCGAATTCCATATTCCTTTAACGTTTTTTAGTTCTATCATCGCTTTTCTATCTCACTTGATAACGGGCTATGCTCGAAACGTCGTTAATTTTTTTAAAAAAATTTTTCCTGGTACAATTTACTTACATTGATCGTTATTTAAATTCATCATATTGTACCGCACGCATTTTAGTATATTTACAAAATCCTACATTGACATGATTACATTTTCCTTCTGTAAACAGTTGCAAGCATATTATTTGGTATTCGCCCTGAAATCTTCTTTTCAACCGAGTCGAATTGTATTAAATGAAAATACTCTACATATTATGTTAGTATTTTCTTATATACTATCTGGTATTCATGTTAGTTTTTGTATGTTAGTTAGTTTATGGCAGTCCAATAGGGAGTCTTTATCAAATGCAAGAAATTTGCCATTGTACATAACATCTCCATTACTTCGCCTTAAAGATAAGTGCTTGGTGTTTTCTGTAAAATCGTTCTGGGGCAGTACAGTAATGACTTGTATTTATCAGTATCTAAATTCCTTTTTCTAGGTTCAAGAAAAGACCAAAGAAGTTCCAAAGCCAGTTCCGGTTAATGATGTGCCAAATGCCAAGGATGATTTACTTGACATCGAGGACACAGTAAGCAACCAAGTCCACGAAGAAAACATAATAAACAAAGTTCTTGATAAACAGAGGTAGGCCAAACACAGTCTGTTAGCGCAAAGCTGAACAAAACCCTGATGGGGATCTATTAGACAGTCATTGAATGCAACAAATATAATTTTTTAACTATTTTCTTCATAGTTATTGCATTATCTTTCGTCTCCATTATCAATATGAATTGCTTAGAAACTTCTAGCTGAATTGAGTAATGTGATCGTTTAGGCAACTTTTCATTATCTAATAAATATTTCTGAACAAGTTCAAGCGAATTGCATCGAATCATGTGATGACGTGGTGCATAATGTATGATTGCAAACCAAGGCTGTTTTTATAAGTATGCTTTATTCCGCAGTCAAATTTTTCTTGTACAAGACACTTTTGTGTTCAACACGCATTGTGCTACCCATCACTCTAAAACCTATCTGGAAGATGTTGTTTCTTTCAAATAGAATTCCGGTAATATTCTGTTTGCTTAAACATAAAGCCTTTTTCAGTGGATTCATCAAGTATGAAAGAAGTTCCAACATGTATCGTCCAGCTGGACAAAGAGTCAAAGATTGGGAGGAGATTTATAGCAGAAAAAAGAAAAAGGAACTGAAGGTACAAGCTGCCAGGTAAATGATTGTTGATACATCCATTGATATATTAGGCTGATAATTCTTGCTTTAAATTGGAACTTTCCAGGACTACGACGTCATAAAAGCTATTGTGTAGGACGTACATTTATGTTCTGGAAACAATATCTTAACCTCGACAATTTATTGAATTTTTCCTGCACCATGTATTCTTCGATATACAATTATTCTGTACTTTCAGATGTATGGATTGTGGAGTCCCTTTCTGTCAGTCTCACACTGGGTGCCCGCTTGGCAATGTTATCCCCAAATGGAATGATTTGGTTTTCCAGGTAATGAATATCACTGTTTAACCGTTCTGCTCTATAGTGCTCGATGCCCGGTAGATCTGCCCATGTTTTGGTGTAAAGAACAGTTCTAGGTTGCCACCGCGTGTTTCACCATTAATGCGATCATCAAGTTTGTTTGAAGTGTGAATTGCACCAAAGTAGATTTGTATGCCACAGCGGAAAATTCGTAACTTACCCGTACCTTGTTTATCAAGATATTTGCTCTAGTTTCAATGCAACAAGCTGAAGTTAAAAGACTAGAAGCTCAGTGTACGGATTCTTATTGTCTTTCAATAATGAGATAATGTTCCACTAAAATACGTTCATTTATCTGGTTCACCCGCGTACGTTTACACCTGGTAGTAAAAAAGAATTTCTTTCATTTTATTGACATATCCAAATGTGTTAATCTGATTTATGTTTCATTTCACAAGGAAGTTTTCTCCATAGGATTTGCTTTTCATTCTCCACATTTTCATGTACCTTGGGTGATGCTCATGATTCAAAATATACCTAATGCTGATATGTTTTCTATTGATGATAGAACAAGTGGAAAGAAGCCCTTGATCGTCTTCTTCAAACAAACAATTTTCCCGAGTTTACTGGTCGTGTTTGTCCAGCTCCATGTGAGGTAAGAGTTAAATTCCTATATTGATTGAAGCATCTTTCATATTTTTCTCAGCTAAACTTTAGAGATTAATGGGAAGAAAGATTTTGTTCTTAGGGCCTGAATTCAACGTGTGAAGCAATATATGTAAGCTTGTTTGCGCCTAGATCTTTTCTGGAACTAAGCTCATGAATTATTTCTTGTTGGTGGAGGAAGTTATTGGTGAAGCATATAATATAGTTTGTTAAAGATCCACCAGTTATGTTCTTAAAATGGTACAATAATAAATCAACTCATTTAGTACAAATATCAAATATACCTTTTTTGATAGCGTGGGATTTTTCTTATAGGGAGCTTGTGTCTTAAGCATAAATGCCAAACCTGTGACTATCAAGTCCATTGAGTGTGCAATCATTGACTATGGATTTGAAAATGGATTGATGCAGCCCCAGGTAAACCAGAAAAATCTTTGAGCAATGAGATCCTATGCAATTGGCTATGGGACATTTGCATTGCGCGTTTTATCCTGAAAAAACTGGTAACCTCATACACATTCCCTCCAAATATGTACGGAACACATAGATAAATGATTTCATTTGTCTACAAGCCTGGACAGACAGTATTGAGACTCTTTTTCTCATTTTCAATACTGTTCATTGTGATGTTAAAATATAGCTTTGAATGGAGGTATGGGTGTAGATGTTGGGCACTACAAGAATTCTAGCTACCTGGAGTTGAGCGTTTTTCTCATTAACTGCTTCTAGGATGGTATAAGGTGGAAGATAGGCTAAATTTATTTGAACCCATACTCTAGGTTGGATATGACGACGGCAAACGAAGTTGTAAAACGCACGGGGGCTCCTGCTAACTTTTGTCCCTCCCCCAATATTTATTGACCATTTCTTCATATTGCTGACAGCTGGTAGTCTTCGTTGCTAACTTCGACGACAGAATTATTTTGAAGGCCTTAAGAGACAGATTTCTTCATGTGCACAGAATATGATCTTCTGCTTCTAGACGCAGCAAAATTATGTTTAGACAAGCAACAATGCTCAACAGTGTCGAAATATGTAACGCCTTATTCAAAACATAGATTCTGTACCCATGGTTAACATGTTTTGAACATATCATTTAGCTCACGACCAACAAAAGAGCTTTTAACATATTTATTGCAAGATATTCTCTTTCTTCGATAGATCCCTGCAATGAGGACAGGAAAAAAGGTTGCTATCATAGGCAGTGGTCCTTCAGGCTTAGCTGCCGCTGCGCAGCTCAACAAGGTGCGAGCTTGACTCTCGATTAAGGCAATGTTTACGAAACCTTTGGCTAGAAGGAGACATATCTTATTTTGAGCCTAATAATCTTAGTTTGAGACTGAAATTTTTATGACTGGGTTTTCCTTGATTTTCTTTGGTTCACTATTGTTCGTTTTATGCTCTTAGAGCTTAGGTTTGATTTGTAGTTCTTTTCAAAGGCAAGGCACAAGTTAAATCTTGGGTTAAATGAATAGAAACTTTTGTATACTCTCGTACCAAGACACAATGGATGCTGATATGATTGTTACAGCAATGTTGTCCCTACCATACGAGAGGGGTACATTAATGTTACGTTCAAAGTTTAGGTAGGTTAAGGGATCTTTCCAAAAACACCCAAAAGTAACAAAAGGCAAAATACAAGCGAATGATAATGGCCGTACTTAGCATCTTGTTTTCAAAGTCTCATTTCTCAAAAGTCTCATTTTTCTGACGACCAGGCTGGGCATCTTGTGACCGTCTATGAGAAGAAAGATCGTTGTGGTGGCCTGTTGATGTATGGAATCCCGAGTATGAAACTAAGCAAACAGGTATTTTCATTTGATTTGAAAAAAGATTTTGAAAAAACATTTGATTTTTCTTTAAGATTCCAAGGAGTCGTGCTTCTCGTACTCCAGTTTCTTAAATCGGTCTAGAAAAGTGATGTGGCTTGTAATACTCACAAATCGTAGACAAATATCACAATAATTAACGTATGAGTCAGCTTATGATTTGGCTTATTTATTTGTCTTGAAAAATGTTGTTGTTTTAGATTGTCTCTTCAATACTTTTTGTGGGGAAATATCCTAATATAAAAAGGAATAGAATCATTTAATGCCATTATCGTAGTTCTAACGATTAAAGAATCAATAAATGTTCCAAGGAATGACGTAAGCATGATTTACTATGTTTTAAGAAACGAAATTGATATAAACATTGTCATCGTATTCTAACAACTATAACCAATCTTTGTATTATCATTGTATGTTCAATCTATTCATAATAAACTGGAAAGATAAATTTGTATGGCAAAAAGTTTGGAAAAGAACTGAATTTTCCTTTTAGATTGTTCAGCGAAGAATAACGTTAATGGAGGCCGAGGGAATAACTTTCAAGACAAATTGTGAAATTGGGCAGAATGTTGCTACAAATGAAATTATGGATGGATACGATGCTGTTTTGCTTGCTGTTGGCTCGATATGTCCAAGAGATCTTCGACTGCCAGGTAAAAAATTTTCTACAGAATTTTCGATGGTTTCTATGAAACACTGGTGAGGAGAAAATTACAGCAACCTTGTGATTTTGAAGTGTTCGCTTGTGATTGGCTTATTTAAAATAGCGTAAAGGACAGAGACTAGCCAATAGGAAACCGGATCTACACGAGTAGCTGTCGTTCGACCAATCGGTGTTCTATGTAAACCCTTTAATTCCAAAAGTTACATCACCTTTGACTGGGAAAACTGTTGGTTATCTTATAATTACTGCAGGATACTATGGATAAGGTCAAAGGTCCAAACCTGATGCATCCTAGCTCTAAAGTACAATTTTCGAGACCCTGTTTAAATCACTAAAGATCAACCAAGAACCTGGTTTTTTATGCTATGTGAGAACATTTGGCAGATTTTATCTCGTCTATTTAACACCAGATATAAATATCTTGAACTCAATTATAAAGATTACTTCAGAATTTCAGCATTGTAATAATTATTCCTAGGGAGAAATCTGAAAGGCATACACTTTGCCATGGAGTTCTTAGAACTATCCCAGAAGCATCGGCTTGGCCAATACAATCTGCCAAAATTAGATGCAAAAGGCAAAGACGTGATCATCATTGGAGGTGGTGACACAGGAGTTGATTGCATTGGCACTGCAATTAGACAGGTAAGCGATTAGTTATAATCACTATATTAGAATCTAGTTTATCCTCAAACAAGCCAAAAGTTTTTAGGGTGTTCATTGAAATGTGTCCGTAAAGATTGGGATCAGAACATTATTACCGTAGCATAGTAAGTCGTATTACTCAAGTGCTATGAATTTCAAGATGTATTGTGTTATTACACTCATTTAGTTTTATAAGAAGCTAAGCTCGCGATAAGCACTCAGGTTTTGTTGATTTCAGAGCAAGAAGTTTTTTTAAGCTTTCTTTAACACCAAATGCTAGAGAGCTGCTTTTTAGAAGCACAGAACGTGACATGAGATAGAATGAATAGAACACCGCATGAGTTACGAGGGGCTCTTCCTTTCATTAATATATGTCAGTGAAACAGGAAATGGGTGCCTTATCATCAAAAAGTATCATTTCCATCCTATCTCTCAATGTAGAATTTTCAAGCAGTTTTTTAAAATCTAGGAGATCAGTGTCATGGTTTCTTGCTTTTTTGGTAACCTTAGGACTCTGTTTCTTATTAAAAACGAGTGCATTCCGTGCACAGTCGTTTTGTTAGCATCTCCTCTATACTGTAATTGCGAGTTATGAAAATTTCTGAACGCTAGCGTAAATGAAATTATTGTTCTTGAAAAACGCATATTCTACTGTTTTTATTTTCGATGTTCTATATCTAGGAAGCTGCATCTGTCATAACATTTGAAATTCTAAGCGAGCCTTCGCGGACAAGAGGACCGAATAACCCATGGCCAACGTGGCCTAGAATCTTCAGGGTTGAGTATGGGCACGAAGAGGTTTGTTTTTCAATCGTCTTGCTAATCATTATATTAATCTTGCTCAATTCTCGTTAATGCGAGGAATAAATCTGTATATCTGAAAAGCAGCTTTAGATTGAGTCTGTATCTAAACTTGTAATGCTTTGGAACAGAGCAAGAACTTTGAGCAAGGGTATCATGATGCATTTGGTAGCAATTCAATGTAATTTATTTCCAACACGAAGGGGGATTTAGCTGTATAATTCTGAGTTCTCAGTTGATTTCTGAGTTTGGGGATTACCTAATTTATCCCGCTACAGTCTAATTGTAATACTTTGCTCTTAAAACCTTCACAGGCTTCCTTGAAATATGGGAAAGACCCAAGATTCTACAATATTATGTCTAAAGAATTCGTTGGTGATGATCTTGGCAATGTAACTGGAGTGAGAGCAGTGGAAATTTCATGGGTCAAGGTAGGGATACTTGCCATTTCTTGCTTTACCCATGATGTATACTCGATTATCAGTACCATATGATCGATACAAGTTTAAATTTTTCTGAGAACAAAACATAGCAAAAATCACAACTAAAATGATTTATATTATAAGGATCAGTGATTCGAAAGGAAGCGAAATTTTCATGTGGCAACTCCTTTTTCAGATCGTAGTTTGTATTAACTTCGAACAAAACATCCCTGAGAAGCCATTTTTTTCTTTTTCACTTCATAGTTGGTTATTGTAACCTTTAAGATTGTTTTTAGAATTTCTTAAGACACCTAAATTAATCAAGCTGTTTCTTTTCTCTTTTCTGATATATTGGAAATTGATACAGCTTTTGAATTTCAAGTTCGATAAAAAAATCATGTAATGAAACTGTCCCTCTTTAATGTCTCAGGATGCCAGTGGCCGTTGGGTTGCAGAGGAGCTGAAGGACACTGAACAGATCTTTTCTGCGGATATTGTTCTCATTGCACTTGGTTTTATTGGCCCCGAGAAATGCCTCTCAAATTCACTTGGAGTTGAAACAGTAAGCAATTTTTTTCTTGTTTAAGGTATAGATACTTAGTGAGTATTAGTATAACATAGAGCTTCCTTCATATAAGGGAGAGGATCAGCTGAAAGTATTTTCGAAGGGCATGCACCATGACTCAATTTAGATATTATTTTCTTCATTCATCTCCCAGGGAAATGTGGAGTTTCATAAATTCTTAAAGAAAAGCTTTCAAGACCTAACAATATTTTTAGGCTAACTTTAGATTCCTTTTCATAGGTTTGTTCTTGTTAGAACGAAGAGTTACAAGTTTGAAGATATTTTTCCCCAGTATTTCTAATATCCGTGCAATGTTCTATTCATGTCCCTCTTTCTCACAACTGTCATTTTCTTGATTGAAAAAAATTCTCCACACTGGACAATTTGTCGTGAATATTGCTTTGATGTAATCAGTGCCACTTTAATGACATAAACTCAACTTGCAGAATATTCGTTCCAATTTTGCAACGCCCTCTGGAAAATACAATACAAATGTAGAAAAGGTTTATGCAGCTGGAGGTAAGTCAGTTTTAGTCAAGCCAGTTCTTACATGGCTAGATAAAACAGTTCCCTTAACTTCTTAATGCATGCAAGCATTTTTTCTTCAAACAAAGTAACAACAATGTGATTTTGATGGATTCACAGCTTTACCCAAACTTTTCCTGTTTCTTACCATCTGACAAGTTAATATCTGCAGTATTTTTATAAGTCATATTATATTTTGTATCCAGTTGGGTTGATTTCATATTTAGATACCAGGAACCAGTTGATTCCAGGAAGCTTTGCAATAGAACTTATATGCTTCTTTGTCCTTGTATACATCATTTCATACAATATTCCTTCAGTTCACCAAAACTCACTTATCCTTCACGTATACTATATAAACTGTTTAAAGCAAAAAGCAAGCAAAACATTTCTAGTCATTCGTTTTCAGATGCCTGTTGTTTACATACTTGACTCTTTCAGCATTCAAACCTTAGGCCTTTTTCCTCTTATTTTCTTCTATAGACTGTCACTATGGACAATCTTTAATTGTCACTGCCATTGCGGAAGGACGCCAGGCTGCAAGACAGATTGATTTGGACTTGATGGGAACCACGTTTTTAGCTGGTCCCGGCGGAGAGGTAATCATACCCAGGCCTCCACCGCGTCATGATGATTCTTGAACTAACCAGCTTAAAGCAGTTTAGTGGACTGTGTCGAATGTTTAGAATTTTAGGATCATAACATGATTGAAATAAATGGTTGGTGGTTTGTTCATGAATAGAATTTTGCCGTGATCATGGTCAAGAATCACAATCATCAATAAGGTTGCAGCTAGCTTCGAATAATGATAATCTGTAACTAAAATCCGTATTGAGTAAGAAAATGACAAGTGTTAGTGCTCGCGAAGATATGGAAATAAATTGCAGTGTCCCGAGTTAATGAATAATATGTCTAATTCTATTAAGTACTTCGTGTTTATAAAATGAGAAACTGTTTCTTGTAATTGGTATGAAATGGACTGTAACAATAGCTTCTGTGCTGCTTGATATTTTCTTATCAACATAAATTAATTTTCTTGTTTCTTGATGTAGAATATGTAGATAATTATTTTACGTTTTAAAAAGCTGAATTTTATCGAAAAATTTGGACACAAAACATCTGATAGTTGTACCTTGTTAAAATACCATTTGGATACAAAACATTTGATAGTTGTACCTTGTTAAAATACCATTTGGATACAAAACATTTGATAGTTGTACCTTGTTAAAATACCATTTGGATACAAAACATTTGATAGTTGTACCTTGTTAAAATACCATTTGGATACAAAACATTTGATAGTTGTACCTTGTTAAAATACCATTTGGATACAAAACATTTGATAGTTGTACCTTGTTAAAATACCATTTGGATACAAAACATTTGATAGTTGGACCTTGTTAAAATACCATTTGGATACAAAACATTTGATAGTTGTACCTTGTTAAAATACAATTAGTTACATCTATGGTTATTAAGAAAATTCTTCATTTAAATGTAACGAATAAATAATCAGATTAATCTAAAACATTGTATCAGATGTTGTCTGGAGCTTCCAATTCCCTTTTTATGAATTAAGATTATGTATCTATTCTTATCTCAAACAACAGGTTTTATAACTTAAAACGAAATAAACATGTAATTTTATGTTGGCTGGTAGTTTAATTGTTTTTTAGTGGTTTTGTGTCTTATTGTTTATCATGCAACGTTTAATGTTAACAATCGTCCAGCAAACTTGGAGTCTTTTTTGTTGTAACTTTGCTCAAGAGTTCCAATTAAGGAATTAAATTCCTTTTTGTACAGATATCATAACCGGAAATTTTATACCCTTGGTATGAGAGCCTCATATATTCGGGGATAAAATATTGTAGAAAGCTCAAAAAAAATTTCTGTGAATAGTTTCTAACTATATTTCTGATTCTAAATAATGGAGACGGGTCGCCAGGGTAGGAATTTTTCACCCATCCCTGTTTATCTATAATCTCTATTTGGAGTGAAGCCTCGATTTGGGATTTTTGTAAAAATGGCTGACAAACTTGTCCACATGGTATACGTGCCGGAAAGATGATTTTTAAATTTTATGTCATCTGCATGCTCCGATGATGGAAAAGTCAGAATCTTTACACGAGTTCAAGTTTGATCTTTCTGAAGCTTGTTTAGAGGTAACAAGAACTGTTCCTTTGCCAGATGGCCATCCTCTTGTTTCGTTGAAGGTGAGCAAAACTGTTTTAAATAGTACATTTTGAGGCATGATAGTGCTAATAAAATATTCCAAGATGATATTACACACACCATTCCAAGATTGATGTTGTGAAACTCTATGTTAGTTCAAATAGACCAATACTGAATTACCTTCAGAAATTTCTTGTTTAGCTCCCTTTTGGAAAGAATACGATGCATTCTGTGTTGAAACCTGCAATATTTCAAAGGGTCTTGTCTGGTGTTTTCTTACTACTATCGATTTCGATCTGCATTGCATGGAATGATGGATATCGATAGCATAATCATAGAATAAACAAAATCTTTTGATGGGCTTTTCTTTCAAACTTACTGTGCATCAAATGTTCCATTTCTTTGAAGTGACACTAGGCAGACACTTAGTAGCCTGATACCTTAGTGTTGCTCACAACACACTACCAATATAGTCATACCACATATGATCGTCTTTGCTCACTGGTAAGCCAAATTTGCTTTTGTTGCTGTGCATAGCAAAACTCATACATACTTTCAACCTGAAAGTCATTGAAATTTTGAATTTTGTGGTCATGGTGCATTCTTAATGAATTCATAAGACCTCTTCATTAGTAAAACAACATCAAATTAGTTTGAAATCATTAAATTGCAAATACTCTTGATGTTATGTATCATCTGTAACTGAAGGACTGTTTTCTACTCCATTTTCTATGCCAGGGCCTGTTTTCTACTGGTGCATAGCTAGTTAGAATACCAGGATGGAAATCTTTTATTTATATTAGAGATCTCTGATGCAGACTTGTACTACAGACTTGCTTACTGGTTAAGACTAACACTGTTTTGATTTCTTGGCTTTGTTTTGATTATTTGTTCTCACTGGGTTTTATTTCTTGATGTAAGAGCATTTATCAGGCCTTTTCATAAGAAAAAGCCCATGCGAGTGGCCCAGCACTCTTGTGATTTTCCTTGTGTGAGCAATCAAAAAATGATAATAATAATCAATCAACAAAGCTTGAAGCATCTGTAATGATTACAAAAACCATGATGATCCTGTTATAGGGTGCTTTTGTGTAAGGTAAAATCAAATGAAGTCAAATGGTTACAGTAATCTTTAATGAACTCCAAGAAAGATCAAATACCAAATGATCACAAAATGTTGTACCAAACCTGCTTAAAAACACTTTAGCTACCCAGGTGATGTTCCAAGGTCTAATGTAGTTCGAATACTGGGTGGCTATTGTATTTCTAAACATTTACAATGAAATTGCTTAATTTTCTTTTGAGATGTGTTTAATTCGGCTTGCTTGTGTTTCCTGTGTTTTGATATACTGGCTTTGTTTCATCTATGACACTTGCTTGGTTCACAAAAGATGACTGAAAATGTGTTAACTGATAAAATATTTATTCCTTACAATTTACTGTTTTACATGAGCGATCAAATTCTTGAGTGATTGGGTTTGCCTGAGTGGTGACATGATCACAAGTGAACGCTCACAACAAATGAAAAGGCCTGATTAATGCAACACAAGGAAATCCACTTAATTCATGCCATAATTTTTCTAGAATGTACCTCTAAATATTGCAGGATGTATCGAAAAAAATTTAGATTTTCTTATGGGAAAACATTTTGGTTATCATCCTTTCAGGTATTTATTTTGTAACAGGTAGCATTTTTATTAAAACCTATTCATTTCATCAACAGAAGCCTCCAAAGAAGTCAAGAATCTTTGCAGTATTGACAGATCTTATATGCAAGCCGGAAACATGTAAACAAGTGGCAGCTTGCTGTAGGCCAATTCTAGCAGAAATTGTTAAAAGATCAGTCTTGGATGCAATAAAAAAGAATGAGAAAAATCCAGGGTTTGCATATGCTATCAGCATTCTTACTGTTGAGTACCCTTTCCTCTCAGACATAACGGAAGAATATTTCTCATTTCTTATCAATTTAGAATATGGCAAAGATATTGATGACAATCAAGTCTGTGTTTTTGTCAAAGCTTATGCAAATCTTCTTGCTCTTAACTCAAATAGATTTTTTGAGTTTGTTGATTGGAGGTTGATTATAAAATCATTAGAAAGCTCAAATCATAACTTTGATGCTGTCAGATGTGTCTCTCTTGCCGCAAAATATTGTGATCTAAGTAAATTGATGCCACCTGAACTCCTGGAACAATGTTTAAACGTGAAATATAATTCTGGTAATGGAGAAAAGAATGAGAAACCGTCATTGCAACAGATAGATGTTTGCATGCAAAATGGAGATAACTATTGTTTTGGAGATATTGTGTTTACAACCGATGACATCAAGACAAATCTCATTCCAGTAGCTGGGGTCTTGTTACCTAGAAAAAGGAAGCTTTCTCTTATTGACCCAAAACTGAAAGAGTTTGTTGTAACTGCAGGGTCCTTTGAGAGTTTGCAATCTTTGGCTTTTGCAATAATGACAAAGACACCAGTCCTTCTTGAAGGAGAACTTGGGGCTGGAAAGACATCTTTACTTGACCATTTTGCACTAATGATGGGGAAGGTTGAAGCACCAGATATTCTTAAGTTGCAGCTTGGTGATCAGACTGATAGCAAGGTTACCCACATTTTGTTATTTTTGAATCATTTATTGGTGATAATTTTGGAAGTTTTGTTTGACTTGTTAATCAATTCTATCATTCTATACTTGAGCATTAATTCTGTGATAAGTTTGGTTTTGGCTTCCAATAGTAAAATTATCCTTTCGTAAGTCCTAGTTTATTTGTCCAATCAGCTATATAATTGATGTCTATAGTAATCTGATTGATCATAATTTAAGTGTTTGATTACTGATGTTTGTTAACCAATAAATCACCTTAATAGATAAATTCAGTATGTTTTTGCACTATAAGTTTACCGAAAACTGATGCGTTTCAGCAGGCTACATTATGAACGGAAATATTCCTATTTTTTAATTTTTATACTTTTGTTTCAGTCCATGCTTGGGATATATGTTTGCACTGAAACCCCTGGAGAATTCAAGTGGCAGCCTGGAACTTTGACAAAAGCCGTTAAGAGTGGCAGTTGGCTGATTCTTGAAGATATCGACTCTGCACCCCTTGATGTCATCTCAGTGCTGATTCCTCTTTTGGAAGGTAAACCTTTATCTATTCCAGGACAAAGCAGAGAAATTATACCAGCACCAGGATTTCAGATTTTTATGACGAGAAGGTATGATGACATCTTTACCAATGATTTTCATCAGCAAAGTTAGTTTGTAGAAAGAAATGTGGATCAGTACTAATGAAAATTACTCCTTACCCACCTGTCATAATGAGCCTGATGCTATATAGGTAGAGCTGTACATGCTTTTAGTGTGTGAAAAAGGATGGCTTAAAGTTGCTTCTCCAGCTACTCAAAGACGTTGCACAGACTACAAACTATTTTTTAGGTTTTAAATTATTTTAGTGAATGGGTCATTGCCTTGTCTATGAACTCTGCATAGCAAGTCTGTAGTGTGTAGTTCTTCATACAGTTTAAGGACAGTGTTTCCGATGGAAAAAGGTAAACATTTTCTGGAAAGGACCCTTATTGTAAAATAAGTCTGGACACTTCTGCTTGCATTTTTCATGGCTCTGCTTGAATCAATACAGACCAATAGAGATTATTACAGAGGTGTGAAAATGTCCACTCACGGTCTGCCGTCAAAGATCTATTTAAAAAGTGTTCTTTTTTAACTTGTTTTGTTAAATGACTGTTGATAACACAGCTTTTATTTATGCATGTAAACTGAAAAAGAAACATCCATTCTTAGAATTCATAAGGGATTTGGAGGCAGTTTTCATCAAAATGCACCAAGCAAATCAATTGAGCATCTTTGCTGCAAAATTCACTTGGAATCTCTATCTAAGGAAGAGTTACTTGAGGTAAAAATTTTCAATGCTAAAAATTTGGTAAAATAGCACAATATATCAAATAAAGAGTTTTTGTATTGAATGTTTTTTTGTTAGTTTCAAGGTACTCATGTCTTCCTTGCCCATACGTATTTTTTCTTTCTTTTATGAGGTCAAAACAGTGAGCTTGACCCTGTGCATGTCTGCTCACTGTGGGGACAGGCAACAGTGTTGTCTACGTTTTTTAGCAGTTTTCAACAAGTTACCATTTTCATTAGAACAAATTTAAGATATTTTCTGTTTTCTTTTTGTTGTTCTAATTGAAGTTACCCCATTATGTTTCACGCAACTCGTTTTTAGACATATTTTTTATTTTCATTGGTTTTTTAATTGACCTTACAGTGAAATATTTAATTACTTTTATCAAGCATTTGTTGATTAAAGCATTTTAATTTCTTTGAAATCCAAACATTTATGAGTTCATATTCTTCACAGATTTTACTTAAAAAACATCCGCATTTGGAATCAGTTGCAGCCAAACTTATAGATGTATACTGTATGGTTTCAACGGATCTCAAACTAGAATCTGCAAACGACACTGTTCTTTCTAATTTACCTGCATTGCAAAGAAATTCAACTTCCAGAGATTTCTTCAAATGGTGCCAGAGGCTTGCAGAAAGATTTCAAACCAGTGCTTTGATCTCAGTAAATCATGATGTATTTCAAGAAGCATTCTCTTGCTTTTGCATTCCAGTTGGAAATGTTGAAGATAGGCTAACATTGGCCCACGCTATTGGTGCAAAACTTGGCATCACAAAAGACAAAGTTGAGTTCTACGTTCTCAGGAATAAAGGAAGCGTACAGCAGACACAGCTTACTTTTTCAGTTGGAAGAGCAGCTCTTCCAAAAACGGAAATGTCAAGCTTTGTTAGAAAAAACATGGTTTCCAAAAACTATGCTTTTACAAGGCATTCGTTGAATCTTTTGGAACAGATTGCAATTTGTGTTTTTAATAACGAGCCAGTTTTACTTGTTGGAGAAACTGGTTGTGGAAAGACATCAACTATACAATATCTTGCTTCACAGTGTGGGCATAGGTTTGATGCCATCAACATGAGCCAACAGAGTGACGTCACTGATCTTCTTGGAGGGTTTAAGCCTGTTGACTTTAGGCAGATAGTCCTTCCACTCAGGAGGTCATTTGAAGATTTGTTCGTGAAGACATTTTCTCAAAAGCAGAACATCAAGTTTTTAGGGCATATACAGCAGTGTTTTGCAGAGAAAAAGTGGGAGATATTGCTAAAACTAATGAGTCATTGTAAGAAAGCTGCACTGAAACGAAAGGGTCTCAAGAAAGGTTTGGTTTTTATTTTTATTTTTTAAACAAAGTAAAATGATTTTAATAATAATAAAAACGAACACGATAGAAACATCTACATCTAAAATTTTACAACATTTCTGTTATCAATGTTTGTCCTATAACAAGAAATATGTTTTTATAGAAAATATAATAACATCACATTTACAGGTCTACAAAGCAGTTCAATAATTTTGACTCATTAAAATCGTATAAATAGATGTTGTTTAAAATCCTTTCAAAAGCAAATACATTGTCAGACGTAACAAATGTAATGCGATTTATTTATCTCAGTTGTAGCTATAAGTTTTAGGTTTTGTCCTTTAGGTTAAATGTAGCTTGTGTACAGTCAATAGTAACAAACTATTTTTTTCTTTTTTTTATCAAGATATGGATGACTTAGAAGAGCTGATAGTCCAATGGCAAGCGTTTGGCCTAGATCTAAAGAAAGTTTTGAAGCAACTTCACGAAGGACATTCCCTGGCATTTGCGTTCATAGAGGGAACGCTAATCAAGGCTGTAAAGAATGGAGACTGGATTCTTTTGGATGAAATTAATCTTGCTACAGCTGAAACCCTTGAATGTCTTAGCGGTTTGCTTGAAAGTAGATCTGGATCAGTTGTGCTCGTTGAGCGAGGGTAAGATTTCTTTGGGACACTTCCGGCACTAGTCATAAGGCTCACGCCCGATTAATTGGGAGAAGACGACCTTCTACCAATGAGCTTATATCTCAAAGCATCTCGAAACTGGTTTTCTGCCTTCCAGATATATGTATTAATCAACTGGTCTTAAAGCTTCAATCTTTACGATTCACAGCGTGCTTTCAGGCCTTCGCCAACATTCTCGATAAATGATATCCTTTTCCATCTCCATCTTCTCGATTCAAATTGAATATAACTTTTTTATTTTCTAGTGATGCAGAGCCAGTTCGAAGGCACGAAAATTTCCGCTTGTTTGCTTGCATGAATCCTGCAACAGACATTGGCAAAAAAGACCTGCCATTTGGCATCAGAAATAGGTTTATGATTTAGATTGTTGTGTATCTACTTGTTTGCATGATTGCTGGGTAGATGTATTTAAGGATGTGACTTGTATGTAAGGTATGTAAGGGTGATTTAATGTATGTAAGGGAACCGTTTTTACAGAAAATATGTGTTTATTTTTGGAAATTAAATTGTTATGTCAAAATATTTCGAAGTAAACAAGGGCATCTAACCAGGAAAAGCTGATATTAGAAATACCACCATGATTTGGAATTTTAAGAATGTACATTATTGAGACTAGCATCGTTTATCCCTATAGCTTTTTATTTATAACAGAAGCAAGTTATTAATTCATTACTAGAGGGACTTTAGTCCAGTATGACATTGACAGTCTTGTTGGCTGCTTACATTGGTTCTATTAGTCAATTTTCTATTACTTGAATATTCAGAAAGATCTTTTTCTTGCTTGATGTTAATCGTTCTGCTTTGAAATATTAGATTTACGGAAATCTATGTGGACGAGTTGAATGACATTGCCGACTTGAAAGTCTTGGTCTCTCACTACTTGCAGCATGGTGAAATCACTTCGAAGCTTGTCGATGGAATTGTAAGGTAAGGTTGTTGATGTTGAGGTCCTTTGCCATGTTGTTTATAGTGAGTCTGTTTGTGACGTATTGCTGATGTCATTCCATGTCTGTGATTGTTTATGAAGGCTGCTTATTTGCAAAATGATACAAATGTAATAAATTTAAGCATTTTTTTAAAAAGTGTCTCGTCATGATTAGACAGTCAATTTATCACACTTTTCAGGATAAATGGAGCCATCAGATTGGTTATCTGATTTATCTGAATAGGCCCTATAATAAACCCTTATATTTGTGCGATCAGTGTCGAATTCAGGTCAATTTTGACTTAATATGACCCTGATCGAACAAATACAAGCTTGATCAAATTTAATTTAAAGAGCAAACCTTAAGTTGAACTGTTGAGGGCAAATTTTTTGCAAACCTACCCGATTGACGCACCAACAGCCCAAAAATAGATGGTCCAATGATGAGAGAATACTACCTCCAGTCCTGTGACTTGAATCTGGTCAATGGTCTGAGGACCATCTTGCACTTATTGAGTTGATTAAATACGGTAAATACAGTATTTAGAACTAAAAAAAAGCTCTGATCTATGAACACTAAAACCTTGAGTTATAATGACACGATAGATAATTCTAAACTTTGGCAAGTTTTCAGAAATTCCCAAATAATTATGAATCATTCAGAAAATTATACGATAGGTTTTGATTGCTCACAATTACTACATCAATACTTTTTCTAGTCACTTCCTTCTTATGATTTGGTTATTGGAGTTATTACTTATATTTCGAAGGTTTTACCAGCTTATTCAGCAAGAAGCAAAAGACAAACTTACAGATGGCACAGGGCATCGACCCCACTACAGGTTTGCAACATCAAATATGTAAAATCGGCTGAATTTAGCGATTATTGCATTCTCATTTTTATCAAACAAGGTCTGCATTTTAATAAAGTTTATATTACCTGTAGACGGAACTGTAGTGCTTTGTCTCAATTGAAAACCACCGTTTTTTACATCGGATTTGAAGTACATTTTTCACACAATTTTCTCTTTCATTATAGCTTGAGAACATTGTGTAGAGCTCTAGAATTTGTTGCCCGGAGTACTAACATGGCGCTACCAAGAGCTATCTACGAGGTACTGTAATTTGATGTTATTCACTAGAATAGCTTCAGTTCAGTAAATATCAGATTTTGACAGATAACTTTATATATTGTAATGATCCTTGTCTGACCGTATTAATATCATCCATTGTATAACTGTCATTTACAACTTACATTATCTTTTTATCCAAAGTAGCGAAATCAACAGCTTGATTGATATAGGATAACGAATATCATCTAGCATTCCTATAGCATATTATTCAAAGTTTCGTCGAAGCGAAACCATGTGTGATCGTAGCAGAATTCTCATTCCTGTTTGTTGTATAACGTACCTTTGGTTATACCAGCTATTATGAACTTTAATGCATATTTGACCTTTAATATTAACACACTTCTGGATTTACGCGCCCTTTGATTTGATCATCACAACAACACTCTAGAATGTTACGGTTTGTCTTTAGTTAACAAGACAAATTTCCGGTTTATTTCAACTTTGCCATCTTTTGGCTATGGTGTACCAAACCCAAAAAGAGCTTTAAAATTCAATCTTTCGGGCCATAATTCATATACAGTTACAGTCAGGTCCATTATTTTGCTTTTCGTCAGTTTAGCAAACCTTAACCCCAAGTCAAGTGAGACTTATCCAGTCCTTGCCGTTTAAAGAACATTCAACAAACCACATTTCCACAGTACTTAACAGTTAATGCATTTTCTCTACTGTGAAGTTGCATATTGTTTTTTAAACTCTGTAGTGCTATAGGGTTTCTTTTTATTTTTTAGGGCTTTTGTCTAAGTTTTCTAACTCAGCTAGATCGGTCTTCCCACCCAACCGTTGAAGTGATGATTCGAGTGAACATCCTTGGCCACCTCACTAACATCAACAGTTTGTTATCTCAACCAATTTCATGTCCAGGAAAGCCTTCTTTATTTTGCCAAGTCGAAGGGTATTGGATAGAAAAGGGAGAGACTGTGGTCGCTACCCCTCAAGAATATGTCTTAACAGCTTCTGTTCGCGAGAATCTGCGGGACCTTGCGCGGGTTGTGTCTGGAAGGTAAGAGTAGCGATTTTTGCAGGCTCTGTAAACTGCATTGACTTTGAACATTTTATAATTTCTTCTCTAGTGTTGTAATCTGATTATCTTCAGTTACAACCTCCTTCAATACGATATTTTGATATCTTTGGGAATGTTTGATATTGTTATTGTTACAATATCAAAGAGTTAGCCTTTTTAGAGATTGTAGCTTGAGGAAGCGTTTGTTGATCTCTTTGAACGAATGAGCGAACCAGTATCGAACATTGATCCTTTTCAATTTCCATAATCTACCTGGCTCGCTAGAATTCGAATGTTAGAAAAGATATGAAGAATAAACAGCATATCACATTGTTTCGTAACATGTCTAGATTTTACACGAAGCGGTTTCCTCTTCTTCTTAGAAATTACCCGGTTTTGCTGCAAGGTGAAACTTCCGTTGGAAAGACAAGTTTGATTACATACTTGGCCAAAAGCACAGGGAACCAATGCGTTCGAATCAACAATCACGAGCACACTGACATACAAGAATACATCGGCTGTTACTCTGCCGATGAGAACGGGAGACTGGTCTTCAAGGATGGTAAGGGGGATTTACGTTATTGTAGATTACTTAATTGTACTCTTTTCTTGCAGTTCGCTTGCAAAGAAGGAATCAAAAATTTACTGCAGATTTAAATGAAAGAACCCTAGATAATAAGTACTTGTGTTAGGTTTGATCTGAATCAATCTGTTTTTCTTTCTTTGTTTCTGTATAAATTCAACACTCTTCGTTCATAAAGGTCTCTTGGTTGATGCTATGCGAAAGGGCTACTGGATTATCTTAGATGAACTGAATCTTGCTCCTACAGATGTCCTAGAGGCGCTCAACCGAGTAGGTTTCACATATTTAGAAATTCCATGTTTATTTTTTTCTGCCAGTTTTCAACGAAAAGTAATTTTCATCTTACAAAATCTTCCTGTGATTTTCTGTAAGCCTTTTATATTTGATTGATTTGTAAATCTTTTGAAAGTAAGATTTGCTAAAATCATTATGCACTCTTTATGCTAATTTACACACACATAGTTAGGATTGGTTTTTATTAGTTATCTTATAGTCCTTGTTGCTATAAAGTGACAAGTGGATGGTAAGAGCTTTTGAAGACGTTTGAAAAGGAAATCAGAAACCCAGAGGGGGGTTACCCTCTGGGTTTCTGAATTTTTTGGTATATTTTAGGAATTGTTCAGAATTTTTGTAGCGAAAGTACCTGACAGCTGTTTCCTTAATTAATATTTTTTAGCTGTTTCTCAGTACAATCTTTTGTGCCCTATAGCTACTTGATGATAACAGAGAATTATTCATAGCTGAAACTCAAGAAACGATCAAAGCCCACCCTAAGTTTATGCTGTTTGCAACTCAAAACCCACCTGGACAGTATGGCGGACGAAAGGTACTTCCAACAACGACTTGTCTTTTTGCGTAATGTCTGATATGCTTGACAGGGCTGTGCAGACATCTGCCAAGAAAATATTTTATAAACTTTCTTTTAAAGTGATCATCTGCCTTCCAACTTTAATAAGTTCTTTTCTTAACGTTAATGGGCTTTTAAACTTGCAAAATGGTGGCATAGACTCAGAAGAGAACACATTGAAGATGGTTTGATATTATCCCTTTTATTCAAATTCTAAGAAGCGGTTCTAATGCCATTAAATAAAGCTGCTTCAAAGGAAACATTTCATGCCGATATGGAAATGCGTTGCTTGAGTATTTATTTGTTGACACTGAAGACTAAAAAAAATTTGCCTTCAACGTAACAGCTGACACTTTACAACTTATAGTCCCTCTTCTTTTACAATTTCAAACAACAAAAAAGCTAACATAATTGTTTCCGTTTCTAGATTTTATCAAGAGCTTTCAGAAATCGATTTGTTGAGCTGCATTTTGACGAAATCCCAAGCGATGAGCTGCAAACTATTCTCCATAAAAGATGTCATCTTCCTCGGTCATATTGTGGCAAATTCGTTGCTGTGATGCAAGATCTTCAGGTTTTTACTTCTACAATCTGTTCAGCGACACATTTTTAAGAAAATATTTTACTACTCTTCACTACATCTAGCTCTTCTATCGTAAATTTTTCATTTAGATTTTTGATTTAGTTCATTTTTATGTTTTATGCTCATTTTAAAGCTTTTTTGGTAGTCGTTTTGTGTAGACGTTTTTTGTGATTAATTCATATGTTCATTGATTATTGTGTTGTAGAAAATCATTTTTCTTTCAATGAAGTAACAACAATTATTGAAAAAAATAATTAAATGTAAATGAATGCAATCGATTTTGGAAGACTTCATGAAGACCTAGAGAATTTCAAACTCTTCGGACAGGGGAACATGGATTCGTAAATAAATGTATCGTTGTGATTTCTGTATCAGATTTTGAAGCATTTAACGTAGATTTCACAAAATGTTCAAATGGAAATTCAATTTATCAAGCTGGAGATTGTTAAATGTTTTAAGATACAAGAAGGTGCTCATTGCATTTACGCTAAAAATAATCATGACCCCGTTTGCGCTTTTGATTTCAGCAGTGGTATACTTCTTGTTTAAGGCCTGAGTTTCAAAATTGTTTTAGGTCGGTTTGCGATGTTGAATGTCTCTTTTCTATAGACTCGAAGGAAATCGTCTGGAATATTCGCAGGAAAGCATGGATTTATCACCCTGAGAGATTTGTTCAGATGGGCTGAGAGATATCGACAAACGCCAATCGAGAGCCTGAAAACAAGGTTTTATGACTGGGATCAGCACATTGCTGAAGATGGTTAGTAAAGCATTTTTGTACAATTAACGCACAATTGCCACAAAGTTGAATGAAAATTGGTTATTGCTTATGCATTAAATGGGGCTGAGAGCAGAATGTGGTCATTACAGATTTGAGATCCAATGTTTGCGTAGGCAATGAAGCCTTTGGCAAGTTCTTTACGGAGCTTTTTGCCTCTCTCTTCTTTGGATAAAGATAGCGAGAAAAATTCAATAATTAATGTCATGGTCTATTGATCCAAGGGTCTGTCGTCCGTGGCTCAAATGACTGACATAATCCAACCCTTACTTAGATTCGCTAGCTCCATGCTATTTCAGGCCTAGGAATCACGAGGTGTAGCGAGAGGATGGCTGGTAATGAACATCACAATGCTAAGATTGCCTTGTTTATCGTGTATAATGATTTCTTGCATTTAAAGGCTACATGCTGTTAGCGGGAAGATGCAGAAAACCTGACGAGGCTACTGTAATCCAAGAAACGATAGAAAGAATCATGAAGAGGAAGATTAATCTAGAGACCTTGTATGGAACTGGCTCACTGATAACCTCGGAAATTTTACAGCAGGTAAAGACTTTGCAGTAACGTTCAGATTGATTTCATTTAAACCCGTCTTGCTATTTTTTATATGCAGTGCTTTTTTGACCTCTGTTTTGCTTTTTGTCATGTTCTTCCAGTTTTGTACTAAACTGTTTTTCGTATACTGAAAGTCACACACTGTATCGTCCGTATGAGTCATGATATGGTAGGTTTATGATCAGCAGTTTTCTTGATTTAGTATTTTATAAGAATCAAGAATCGCTTCCCCTGCATCGCTACATCGACTTTACTGATGATTGCTCAGTAAATGGGCACCTCGCCTCAGTGCTTCACGGTAGGAATAGGAAATAAATGTTTCAATATGTCGAAGCTGCAACTATACTAAACATCTGGTAATATACAATTTGTCTTTACACGGGGAACAATGTAGATCAGTTCTTGCAACGATGAAATTAAGCCTTCACAATAGCGACGCAAACCTTATTTTTTGGGGAAACCCTTTACTGATAATCCTTGTATCCTCCTCTATTGCCTCTTGTGATATTTTCAAAGTTAAACTGTTTTTCGTTTTTCTGTACAGGGTTTTTGTTACTGCAATCTAGCATTGCTGTTAATTTGAATTCTGTCCTTTTTTTAAGAAACCTGATTTCATACATTTGTTGCTTCTTCTCAGCCATTTCTTTACAACCGCGTTCTTTTCCAGGTTGGTTCGGCAAAATTTGACAACTTCGAGCATCTTGTTTGGACCAGCAATTTGCAACGTATGGCTGTTCTAGTTGGACGAGCAATTCAGTTCAATGAACCTGTTTTACTTGTTGGTGAAACCGGGTATGGTGCATTGATTGAATTTAAAGCATTTTTATGATTTTTTGATATTTAATTACAAAAAGTATGAAAATTTAAAAGGGGGAACTTTACCATTCTGTAACTTAAGTAAGATGATATATTAGGTGATATGTTTTGTCTTGATCATCCACTGTCAAAAAAGGCTTCTCTAAATATTGTTTCAATATAACAGTTGACAACGACTTTTTTTTGGTTCAAGGCAAAGCTTTCAAATTTTCTTTAGCTTCGCTGAGGAAACATACGTTCCCAAACGTCTTTCCTTTTTTAACTGAATTTTTGTTTCATTCATTTCAGTTGCGGAAAAACAACGATTTGTCAACTATTCTCAAACATTCGCAACACAAAACTATTTTCAGTGAACTGTCACATGCACACCGAATCCTCTGATTTCATTGGTGGATTGCGACCCGTTAGGCAAAGAGATCAAGATGTAAGTGAATTTGACCGATAGCCTCTGTTAAGGAACTCTTGTATAAAACATTGTTTGTGTTTACTGCTCACTGTAACAAATCCCATATTGCCAAAGCACTGGTTGCTTAGGCACTACAGCTAGTTACACAATACGCATTTTCATTAATAAGCGTCATTGTTGTTTTATTCCTTTCTATCAATCTTAAAAAATAACTGGTTATCATATCGTGTAATTGTTAGGGATGATTCACTTCTCGAACATGTGACCCAGAGAAGCCAGAGGCTTGATTGCTCATTTTAACGTTGAGTTTGATATGGTTCCTGTATTTTGGTGGCTGCGTTAAGGATTTTCTGGGGAGCTAGTTAAGTTCTAAGCCATGTCTCAATAGCTGCTACAAACATTAAGTGTTTGCTTGTATATCACTGAATAACGACTTTCTGCGTGGAGTAAGTGAATATTTTCTTGAAATCTATCGACAGAGGACCGCAGAACTGCATTGTTTTTCTATTTTATATTCAAATTTCAAATAATATTTCTATTTCTGCTTATGTTCCCAGAGTGAAGAAATGAGGCTGTTTGAATGGAGTGATGGGCCTTTAGTAACTGCACTCAAGGAAGGCTCTTCATTTTTGATCGATGAGATATCACTGGCCGATGACTCGGTATTAGAGAGACTAAACAGCGTTCTTGAAACAGATAAAACTTTGGTCATAGCGGAGAAGGGTGGAACTAGCAACTCGACGGAAGACGATATTGAAATGATTGTTGCAGATCCAAACTTTAGATTATTAGCAACTATGAACCCAGGTGGAGATTTTGGCAAAAAAGAGGTTTGTTTCTAAGTGAACCATAATGGGCCTAACATTTGTGTTTGTTATAGAATTTTGTCAAAATGTTTAGGTTTTTGTGTTTTCATGTGATTCACCCGGCTAAACTGAGCAATGCGAAGTTGAAAAGCAAACTGGATCGCAAATCAGCCAAGGTGATTTCCCATCTAGAAATTTAAGAATCGTTAGATATAAGCGAAATAGCTTGGAAGCTGTATACATATATAACAGTTCCATTTTCATCCAATTTGGAATATTCAGTTAAGTCAGAAGCTAAATAAGATTGATCTGGTGTCATGTTAAAGCCAATCGAAAGATACAAAAGTGGCTTAAGCCATCTTTCAATCAACTATTGGCTCGTCAATAAGCTTGTGAGTGCTGAATGATATTAGCTTATTGATTTGTCAGTTTTGATTGACAGATGACTTAAGCCACTCTATAGTTCCTAGATTTTTTCGAGTTGTAAAGTTTACTATGTTTGCTGTCTGTGGTAGGATAGCGCATATTCTAGTATTTCAGTCATTCGAGGAATATACACGTGCCTGCCATAAAATCTTGACTTTGCTGCTAACAACAATTTTAAACGAACGAGTTTTGAAAATTTCTCACTTTTATTATTCCAGCTTTCACCAGCACTGAGAAATCGTTTCACTGAAATCTGGTGCCCACAATCTGAGGATCGAGAAGATTTCATCAAGATCATTGAACACAATATCAATGTAGCGCCTGACACCCAGGGGCAAATAAATGGTATTTGGTTCATTTTTACGCGTTTTAAGTTTGTTTGCCAATTTAAATGCAGATCGAATGTAGTTATTCCTTGTGCTACCTCTTTGATCGTTTGATACCTTCAGAAATTAGAGAAATAGGTCGCAAGGTGCAGCAACATGAACACCTTGTACACAAGTGCAGAATCAAACAACCCACTTTGCACTTTGCAACAAAGCTCATCAAACGATGCAACATGTTGCACCAAATGTTGCACCATTCTTTGCATTATTTAGTGCAATATTGTGTGTGACTTTGCATTACTTCTAATATATGTTCTTTTTAATGGAACAGGACGGAAGTTGGGTGAAATGATGGTTGACTTTGTTCAGTGGTTTCAGAAAACAGAACCAGGCCAGAGGTTTGTTTCCAGTGTAGTTGTTTACGTACCTGTACTGTTACATAAATATACTAGAACGTTCTTGAAACAGATTCTGTTACACTTTCATACATTTTGTTTCCAGTGTAGTGATTTCCTACCTGTACTGTTACACTTTCATACAGTTTGTTTCCAGTGTAGTGATTTCCTACCTGTACTGTTACACTTTCATACATTTTGTTTCCAGTGTAGTGATTTCCTACCTGTGCTGTTACACTTTAATGCAAATATGAAAAATACTGAAACGTTTGCCACATAACATAATTTAAAGAATTCAGGAGATTTTGATAGGCTTTTCACAAGCCTGAAGTACAAGTACTAAAATTTTTTAAAAAATAGGAATAATATTGTTATTGTTTGCCACTTTTTTATATCACTTTGAAGTAAGTTTGATCTTGGAAATTACCAATATGAATGCTGCCACTTTTTTTGTCTTCTTTATGAAAAATCAATATGAAGCATTTTATCCTAGTGAGTAGTGACCATTGTTTTTTAATATTTTATTCATTTTGTTCATTTATTAATTTGTTTTTTTATAAAATGTATTTTCATGACATCCAGATTTCAAATTCGCCATTTAATCGCTTTTCGTATTAATTTCGGTGGTGTAATCAATGAAATTTCCATTTATTGCCTATGCTAAGTGATTGATAAATCGTTATTTCTTTTACAGAGTTACAATCAGCATTCGAGATTTTCTGTCCTGGACTGAATTTGTGAATAAAACTTGTATGACGTATGCTGACGAAGATCAATCTGCAATGACTCTTTCGCCCCAAGTTGCGTACATTCATGGCGCATTCCTTGTGTTTATTGATGCGATTGGGTCAGGTAGCAGTTGGTCTGGTCCGAATTTTTCCCTGGAGGTTGCACGCAAAGCTTGCCTGTCTTTCTTGAAATCCCAAGTGGAAATCCAGGCTGATTTGTTGCGCTACGAATTTCTGCTAAACCACCAGTTTTTATTTGGGATTTCCCCGTTTGTGATCAGCCGAGGTATGTTAATTAACCTTTTAAATTCAGGCCAGTATGACAGCTCTTTTCCACGATTGGCGTTAATATGGTGCTCTTGTTATTCTTTAAACAACATCCTTCAGGAATTCTCTGCTATACGATGATTTCTGAACACTCTGCTGTTGATTTAGCAATACTTTGCCGTATACATTTAAAACAATTTATATGCACTGTAATATTTTTATAAATCCTCCTTTTTCAAACAAGCCATTTTGAGAAAACAACAGCCAGTTGTTTAATGCTTTCTATATGCAATTTAATATATTTTAGTTTAAAAGCTTTCTTATCCGGTTCACTTTTCACGTAGTTTTTTTAGGTCACAAATCTTGTTCTCTTTGAATATATTCTGTGTATCAATATTGCTGATATTAATGTTTTATGTTTGATAATCTAAACATTAACTTTCAGCATACAAGTTTCGATAAGCCTTGCTGATGTAAAAATCTTAGGAATGTAATTTTTTATTTTGCATTCATGTTTCTCTGTAAACATACTTAGGAATGTTGTTCTTCGAAGTTTTTGCTTATCTTATCTTTCTGCTGTTAGGTCCTCTTCCTCCGGTTCCAGTGACTGGTTCATATTCTTTGACAACCAAAACGACATCAGAGAACACGCTCAGACTTCTGCGTGGCCTGCAGTTGGCTCGTCCCATTCTCCTCGAGGGTTCTCCGGGAGTTGGAAAAACAAGCCTCGTCACTGCTCTTGCAAGGCATTCTGGAAATGAACTGACTAGAATCAATCTTTCAGAACAAACGGTAAAATAAATGAATAATTCTAAAATACACAAAATTCACGATTCCTTTTACTTGATTTTAACAGCGTCGAAAATTGCCCTAGCAACCACACAAGTAGCAATCAAACCAATTCTTTTGTCAAGGGAAAAAATCCGCTTTTAACGCGTATATCAAGCTTCGTCTGTTAGTAATAATCAACTGCCTTGGCCTATCCATTTAAAATATTTTAAGGACCTTATTTTTACTCTTAAAGCTTTAAACACATTCAAGCACATTGAATTATCATACTATAAGGCAGGAAGTTGCAGAAGATAGGACAATATATTTTCATTTCTAATGTGATATTTTTTAGGATGTTACTGATTTGTTTGGTGCTGACCTACCTCTTGAGGGTGGGAAAGGAGGACAATTTGCTTGGAGGGATGGACCATTTCTTAAAGCACTGAAGCAAGGCCATTGGATTGTGCTAGACGAGGTACTAAAGGAACTTTTAAAGTTGATTGATTAATGTCGCATTTGATTTTTCCAGATATCGAACCGACTATTCCATTCGACTTTTAAAAGTGACTTCTGTGACGTTAAATAAACCTTTTCATTTTACATTCATCTCCCTCTGCCGAGGAAATATTTTGAAGCTCATGGTTGTTTTTCCCGGTCATTGTTCAGTGACAACATATCACTCCCTTGTGCAAACTCATTGCATCCTGTGAAGGTCATTTGATCTTTATCGAGCATATGAAATTAGGTAGTCTTTAACGTCGTATGAACACGGTTGTTTTAGCAGTAATGCTTCTAAAGGTACCATTTTGTAAGGGTAAATTGACAAATAAACAGATGCGAAAAATGAGTGGGGATCAAATTGATGTGGTGCTGAATAGATTTATATTTTCTTGTCCAGTTATGTAGGGGCATTTACTCCTGTGTGTATAGGTAATAATCTGTCTTTGGAATAAGAATTTCAGACTTTTTTAAGTATATACTGTATGTTTATTTAGTCAACCCTCTCCACCAATCTGCTGAAATTACTTATCTCTGATCAAATGAAGCTGACAAAATTTAATTTGACTGTTATTATTGCGAGACTCTGCTACTTTGATATTATCACGAGTTTTTATTTGTACATACTACAGCTATCTCTTTTGTTTTAATGTTTTGAACTTAAACTCCAATCCCCAATATGCTTGTTGTTTTATTGTAGCTGAATCTTGCTTCGCAATCTGTTTTGGAAGGTCTAAATGCTTGTTTCGATCACAGAGGAGAGGTGCGTTGTTGTTTTTGACTGATTTTATAGAAAATTTCTGTTTATTCATTAGAGAAGTCAAGTTACCTCATTAGAATTTATCCTGAAATGCCGATTTCCTTCTCTAGATTTTTGTCCCTGAGCTTGGCAAAAGTTTTAAAGTTCAACACAAAACAACACGGATTTTCGCTTGTCAAAATCCACTCAGTCAAGGGGGAGGAAGGAAAGGATTGCCCAAATCATTTCTGAATCGATTTACCAAGGTAATATTAAAATTATTTATTTTTTGTACACATTCCGAGTAGAGTTGCTTCACCCCTTCAGCTAGAGTCTTTTTTTAAATGAAGATATGAAATTTTATTTTTATGTCAATGTGGTTTTACTGGAATAGGGCCTGCGTCAGAAAGGGGTCGGGTTGTTATTGCCCCCGTTTTTTGCTGAGTTTAAGATTTGAGTTTGCCCAAAATTTTCATATAGATGAGCTTGTAGATTAACACAAATTCATCAAACCAAGGTCCACAAATGAGAATTTTCAGCAAGAATCCGGCCACAACGGGGGCCAGGGGGCTAGAGGACAATATATTTACATTGCTGCCCAGCAGGTTTGACGAGGGCTTAGGACGAAATGGTGACCTGTTTAGTTCGAAATAGCCAATTCTTTTACTCAAAATGACTTCAACTTAGGCAATCTTATACGTAATTTTATTTTTGTAGGTCTACATTGAGCCATTAAAAGAAGAAGATTTACTTTTCATTATAAACGCCGCACATCCCAACCTCGATACGGGTATAATAACGAAAATGATTCAATTTAACGCCGAGGTAAGCTTAAAAGGAAATAATTCACACCATTCATACTACATTTTGTTTTAAATTTGTTCTTTTTACGCATTTTTCATGCTCTTTTGACGCATCCTTTCCATGAAGCTGTTTGAACTGAAGTGCTCCTTCCTCTGTTAAGGCGGGTTTCAACTTTATTCGCTCTGGTCGCGCGACTGAGCGAATGCACACTGGGGCATGCGCAAATTGAACTGCCTTATTCGCTGCGAATGCGCGACCATTCGCTGAGGAGTTGAACTCTGGGCGACTGGTCGCGTTCGCCGATTTACTGAATTGTTGATTCGATTTCGCCAAGTCGCGCGACCAAAGTGAATCAAGTGGAAACCGGCCTTTAGTTTACTTCTTTTGAATTATGCTACAACCTATGATGGATTTATATGTTACAAAGTGAAATATCTTTCTTGCAATAATGCTCCTCGATAAAAAGGTTTCTCTAAATCTTTATATAGATCACGTTTGTTTTGACTTCTTACACAATGTGAAAGAATTTTCAAATTTGCCTTATTCAATGTAGGTTGCAAGCTGTTGAAAAATCTCTTTAAGCAAAATTTATACGTACAATCTCTGCCAAAACTCCTTGGAACACCTACATATTTTGCTAATTTTTTGCTTTTTCCCGTGTTTCTAGTAGACAAACCCCCCTCCCCTTCCCCCCTAAAACAATGTTGCTTACAATGCAGTATATCACAGTGATCGGTGGAAAAAGGTTTGCCACAAAAGTCTTAACTTTGCTGTGAGTCTTAACTTTGAAGGGGGGGAGGGGAACGGATGCATGCAAACGTTGAAAATATTACAAGTGTTCAAAGAGTTTTGGCTGTGATTGTACTTTGAGGTTATAATTGGAAATCGGCTGTGTTCACGCACGAAGAATGAGGCTTTGATTTTTTTCATTTTAAGATGCAAAAGAAAACGATGATTACCGGTGAATGGGGCAGAAAAGGAAGCCCTTGGGAATTCAACGTGCGAGATATTCTGCGTTGGTGCGAGTTGATTGTCCGGTATCAGGTAGGGAATTAAACGGCATTTCTTAATTGGTAAATTGCATGGTAAATTTATATGGCAGGCATCAATGATAAAACCTTATTTACTCATCGTATTTTAGGCCGGGCTTGTAATAATCGATGTGAAGCTGTTTTTCCCTTTAGGGGTAAATTATGATTTTAATGAGCACAGATGTTAAGAAAATTTGAATGGTCCTACTCGATAAAGACCATGCCACCTTTCCTGGAATGTTTACATGTGCAAAGACGTTACATAAATCTTACGGTTTCATCTGTTATGTGAAGGCTGATACTGGGCCAGTCCTTATGATCCAGAGCATGGCTAGCAATTTTGTGTCATTTTTCAACTGTTTTAACACTGAGACTATTAATTACGAAAGAATACGATAATTGAAATATGATTAATAAAGAACGAAAGTTACCGTTTGCCGGTCTGTCATTTAGCGTTCGATGCCTTATATGCGAAGCAGTACACTCTTGTGTATAGAACAGGGATGAAATTGTAACTCTGTTGTCTGATGATCGCAATAAGCGTGAAACTCTCGCATTAAGTTAAGACTAAGAGCCAAGCTATTCTCTACACCAAGTCGTGATTTGTTAAGAACGTATTGCTTTCTTTTCAGGACTCTTCCCAATGTGACCCGTCTGAGTTTCTCGATCTTGTGTATGCAGATCGCATGCGAACAATCGACGATAAACAAAAGGTATTTATCAGACAATGCATCAAAACGAAGCGTATCATTCAGTATCGAAGATCTCAGGCACTTTCCATCAACGGACACCTCACAATTGCGGACAACTCCCAGTAACGGGCGGCGCATTCCTATGACTAGCACCTTTCATAATCGGACACCTGTCAATAGCGGACAACTCCCAGTAACGGGAACTTTCCAATAATGGACACCTCCCAACCACAGACAACCCCCAGTAACGGGCACATTCCAAAAATTGACACCATCCAGTATCGGACACCTGCCAATATTAGACACCTCTTATGGCGGACACGCCCTAATGATACATACCCTTCGAGAACGTATACATCCAAATTTTCATTTCATTTTCATTTCAATTTTTTAGGCATGGTAGCCCTTCATTTAGAGAAAAACCGATTTACAGGGGGGCAATGCATTTAAAAAATATTAAAGTTGAAGTGAATATAATAAATAAAATATAATACAATAAGATTAAAGGATTATTAGCTCTTTGTGAATCATGGCATCAGCATCAGTAACCCAGTTTATAGCTTCCCGCATCAACTCGCCTATCGTTACCTATCTTATTATCTAATGCCGTCATTTTCCATCTTTTCAATCTTCCTCAAATCCATGATTCGCTTGCCCTAAACTGGCACATGCTAGCGCCTGCCAAGTGAAATGGTGCCATGTTTCACAAATTGTTCCTTTTATAAGGTTATTGTTAAGAAATTTTCCGTTCATAGCCAGAACCAGATCATGTGATGTCTATTTCTGCTGTGGACGGCAAAGAATATCGTCTTTTGTTGTTGTGTTTTTAACAGTGATATAAAGAAGATTTATCACTGAAAATTTAGTCCAGAGTGAGATGAAAATTAATCGGCAATAGGTAAAAAGCAAAAAAAACAATCAACGTGCCAATCTTCCCCTCATAGTACTTTCTATCCTTTTCTGGGTATTAATTTTCGACTTGCCTTTGGTCATTAACCGACGTTATGTTATGAAAATTGTAGAGACAAAAAGTATTTCAGTATGCTATGTTTCCACTATTTCGTTCCATCTTCACCTTTACCGGTACCAAAGGCCTAACGAGGGACATATTCGAGCTAGATCAGTTGAATGTACTGACAGGTACATTACTTGTCTATGTATTGATCTATGTCTCCCTGTCATTGTCATGAATACAAGCAAAAGATCAAGTAATTGGCTTATCTTGGCAAATCTGTCTGGCTCAAAGCTAAGTCAAGTGCTTTCCCTTACCGTTGACCCAATTCCAAAATTTTTCTTGGTAACTTTTCTTCAAAAAGACAGCTTTGAAATACATCTAATTTTATTGTGGACATTTCTGATGTTTTCGAAAATCATTTGATTTATGTTTTTCGTCGTTAAACATGAATTTTACCAACATCAGTTAAAATTTTTGTTGCAGTAGCTACATTCTAGGACCATGCAATTTTTTCCTGACTAGTCCAGACACAAATTTCTTCCTTGGTTATCCTGATATTTCCACGGTTATCCTGATATCCCAAATAGAATTAAATCTCACAACGTTGCAGTATTTAGATCATGATTTAAATTTACAAAAATTCTCAATTTTTTCGCCAGGTTTTTGAATGCTACTCACAAGCCTTTCAAGATTTTGACATTTGGAAGAAAGCTATGACAAGAAAAACACAATTCTCGATTGGACCTTCGCACGTGCAGGTTTGTTTCAAATACTACAGTTGATTCTCGTTACATCGTACGCTGGATAAATTTAATCGGCTCTTATTTGCGTATATAGAATGCAAATGCTACAATAATGATTAATCTAAAAGTCTAAGGTCGCTTTAAGTAATTAAGGAAAGTAGTTGATAATGTGTATTCTGTACTTCAAAACCAATCCAATTTCTCCTTTACTTTGTTTTATTTGAAGACATTTAAAGACGGCATATTAGATCTTCCGTGGAATTGTCTTTGTGACTTTAACAGCAATTCATATCTTCTTTCATAGGTTGGGAATTCGATCCTAACAAGAAATTGCGAAAATGTTGCTCTCCCTCAGCAATCGACTCCTTGTTCTCGCTTACTTCGAAAACAGCTGCCTTACATCGAATCAGTCATGAAATGTGTTGAGATGAATTGGATGACAATACTTGTGAGTATTGTTTCAGAAAACTTCGCAGTCGCTCATAATTTTTATCTCCATTTTTGCAATCTTTCATAATGGCATTATCTGAGGCTATTCAACGGATAGTAGAGCTGGGGTAGAACTGGGGTAGCATTTGGAGTATTGTCCACCCTTTCGTGGCTCTTCTTATTAAGCCCCAGTATCTTCTACGCGCCACCTCTGTAACAAAACTGGGTGTCGATAGGTGCTTCTATCTTCAATTTTTCAAAACTTTGCTAGAAAATTTGAAGGTCACTTTATAGGTCAACATATTGTTTTTTACAGACGGTGTTTTGTCTTTTGAAGCAATAGAGCCTCAGACGTGTTTTTTGGCAAACAATGATCAGTATAGTCGAATACAGCAGTGCTTTTACCAAACATGACTTTATACTTTGATTACGCTTTTGATTTCCGTCATGTTTTGTAGCCATTTTGCAGGCGATTCCTAAATTGTCTTTCAGGTTGGGCCAAAAGCCTGTGGTAAGACAAGGATTGTAGAAACAATAGCAGAACTCACAGGCAACACACTGAATACCCTGGCAATGAACAGCAATATGGATACGACTGAACTGCTAGGAGGATTTGAGCAGGTATCTAATCTCGAATCCTTTGACACATTTCGTAAAAACTGATTTAGATCGCAGAAAAAACCGCTTATAAGTCACAGTTCACGAAGATGCGAAAACTCAGAACTGATTAGAAAGCTCAGATCTCTTCTAATGATATGTCATTGAAAATACTAAGTCACCCATGCAACTTTCTCGCCGCTTAGAATATGCACCGCCGTAAGCGAAATAGCATGCAATGTCCTATTTGCTCCTCATCAAACACTAAAACTACATGCACAGCCTGAACAGAGTCGTGCTTAGTGCTTTTTGCAACATTGGCATGACCAAATGACGGCAATTGAATAAACATTTTTTACAATTGTTTAAATTGGATACCTTGATACCATTCGAAAATTTACAAAGGTAGTGGTAGGAAGACGCAAGTATGCCCGTCATGAGAAAAATGTCCAAGTTGGTCAAGGCGACGATTTATATCTGCTAGTTTTGAAAGTTTTTACATTCATGTTTGCCTCTTCAACAGCAACTTATTCGTTGCTCGCCAAATGCTTGAACCTACAACCACCACCTCGCTGAAAAAAGTTTTGTCTACTGTTTGCCATAGGGATTCTTTTGAACTCTATCAATGACCTGAAAAAAACCTGACATGCCCATCTATTATTTGCGTGTAAACAGAACACATCTCTTTTAGTGACATCTCTTTAAGTATTACAATTCCCACAAAAATGTAGTAGCCAGAGCTGTCGCAAAGCTATTGCAGAGCTGTCGCAAAGCTATTGCAGAGCTGTCGCAAAGCTATTGCAGAGCTGTCGCAAAGCTATTGCAGAGCTGTCGCAAAGCTATTGCAGAGCTGTCGCAAAGCTATTGCAGAGCTGTCGCAAAGCTATTGCAGAGCTGTCGCAAAGCTATTGCAGAGCTGTCGCAAAGATCTACTGCCTCTCAGTTGTAGAGATGGAACATCGTAATGTCTCATTACGATGTTCCTCTTTTTACAAGCATTTTAAGTCCTTAATAGTACTTTGCTTTGTTTTTGTTTCTTAGGTTAATCTCAGTCGTCATTTAGATGACGTCATTGTCAGTACTGATGATTTAATAAGCGACTTACTGAGGTGTGAAATTGGTGAATTGGCAGATTCTTCAAATATGCAATCCTTCACAGCCCACGTTGAGAGTCTAATTGACATGAAGAAAAGGCTAAGAGCGCTTGAAAATGAAAGTAAGAATCCTGAATTTACACATCTTTAATGTGCATTCACGTCTTTAGCCTAAGAGCCTTTCTGGCGTGCAAAGTATATTGTAAGGCGAATTCCTTTTCTTCGGACTATTAACCAAAATATATCCTTACATTGCAATGACACTGTTATATTTCTAAACACACCAGAAAAGGTAATGACAGCATTGTGAAGGTCGTCATTTTGTCAATGAACTAGAAGTCTATCTCGCTTTTTTTCTGTATATCAACAAATATTCTCACTATTGTCCGTTATTTCTCTTAAATTTAGAAATCGCTCAAAGTGGAAAGGAATTAAGTGATTCAGTTGAAAAGGTGCTTGAGAAGTTTCAGATTTTGGACGAAGTCTTAGAAGGTGCAGGCAACATGGCCGACAAAAATGATTCATTGAAGATCAATATAGGTGAGAGTTCATACAATAGCTGAATTTGAAATCATTTAAAGCTGGATTCAGTTCAGTATTTTATCTCCAGTTAAAACGATCGTGCTTGTAACTTCAAGCTATATAGAGCCCTAAAGTGTAACGTCACCAAAAACTTATTTTCAGAACTTTTGAATTTTAACCACATAACATAAAGGAACGCCACGAAATACTTTCAAAAATGCAAAATTGGCCAGATATGTCTAAAATCGGTTGAGATATAGCTAATGAAAGATTTGAAGTTTGCTAACAAATCACTGTTATTTTCGCTGTGTTCATAAAGTTATGAACAGAGACCAAAATACAGAGGTCTGATGGGGAAAGAGCCAATACACATGTGGCCATATCTCTGCCATTTCGTAATACACTTGCCTGATTTTGCAAATTTAGCGGTATTTCTTGATGCTTTTTCAGGTTATGGATCTGAATTAAAAATTTCTAAAAATAGATTTTTGTGACGTCATCACTCTAGAACTCCATTGACTCTCTGCCTTTAATTATAAAACTTGCCATTTCAGATGCAGTAAAGCAATCATTTCATACATTGAAAGATCGATTTGAGAAAGAAGGACAAAGTTTTCATGCCAAAGGCCAGTTTGAATGGGTTGATGGTTTATTAGTTGAAGCGTTGAAAAGGGGGACTTGGCTCCTTATTGACAATGTGAATTTCTGCAGGTGCATGAATGTTTTTTCTTTTATATTAAGATCCTATATACTGTTCTGTTACAAATCGCTCGATGCCCTGTAAACGTGAGCTAGATTTGCTAGAGAAAGACAGTTGCAATTCCGAGTCTCTGAGTTTTAATATTAACATTTGCAGTTTCATGTTTGATAAGCTATATGATATTTGTCTTTGTTTTCGAAAAAGACCTCAACTAAGTATTGTCTGTTTATTTTTATGTAGTAAAATGCTTTTGAAACAGCCATATTCAATGCATGCACAGTTTTCAGTCTTATCGTAGTACACTACCATTAAAGCCTACATTTTAGAAAATTAAAGCGTTCCTAAGTGAGGTAGGATAACGGAGAAAGAAATTTGTTCAGCTTATCGTGCCATCCTTTTTTTACGAAATACCAAATGTTGTACGACTCTACATCCATGATATTTAGCAGATCAAGAAGAAACTCAGTTTTAAAAGAAATTATTTATGAAAAGTATGTTAGGGTAGTTATGTAGCATTTCGTGTTTCTATTTAATCGTGTAATATCTGTTTTTACTAGATCACCTCTTTGGCTTGTCTTTCAGAGCTATAGCATAATTAATCCTTTGTTTCTTTATCCAGCCCGTCTGTGCTTGATCGCCTCAACGGCCTTCTTGAGCCAAAAGGAGTATTGACAATTGATGAACGAGGCGTTCAGAACAACAGTATCCCAACTATAACACCGCATCCAAATTTCAGGTAAGTTTAGCATCTGCTTTATGAGGAAATTTTATCCGAGTAGAGATTTTACCCGAGTAGAAATTTTACAGTTTAAATGTCATTTTTGATATATATTTTTACTTATTTCATCGCCAAATAATCATTATTGATTCATATTTCAAACTTTTGTTGTTGTATTTTAAAAGAGGATTTGTGAAAACTTCATATTTCTAGATTGTTCCTTGCAATGGATCCAAAACATGGGGAAATTTCTCGTGCCATGAGAAACAGGGGCATTGAAATCTACGTGATTGGTGAAGTACGTTGCCTCTTTTATTTGATTTTCATGATGATTTTTTAATTCAAACTGTAAGAAGGATTTATGTAGCAATAAAAATACGAAAAAATTGTGTTGAATGTCTTTGCGTCAGTTTTTTACAGTCGTCAGGTCTCCAAAAGTTGATACAGAATTTACGTTGATACAGAAGAATAGCTCAATTTCCAATTGGGGGGGGGGGCTGTTTTCCCTTTTTTCAAGTAAGTTTCATTATTTCAAATCGGAGAACGACTACCTAAAAAAGGTAAATCTACTTTGCTATCTACTAAACTAAATCTATAATGTCATTTAAGCTATGAAGGTGATCATGCAATGCTTGAAGAAAGGCACAACATGTAGATCCTTGTTTATAAATTTATTGTGCTTATTCTCGTGCAGGAAGAGGGGATGCCATATTCTCCAGCAGATAAAGTAGAACTGGTTAGCTCCACTGGTATGAGCGAACAACCAACTACATCAAAGCTGATTTCTATCCACGATGAGATGACCAAGTTATTCCCACGTATGTTTCCTTTTTTGGACAGGTGTCCACAATTATTTAAAAAAAAATCTATTTTCGAGTAAAATCCTTTTGAAAAATCTTTATCTTCGAAAAATCTTTAATCCTTAATCTTATGATGAGCTATTTTTACAAAAAGTCATCTTTTGTAAATTCCTTACACAGAAAATTACTTTGTTGAATCATTCAGAAAAGAAATATGATATTGCAGAAATTCAAGTGATTTTTTTCAAATCGTGTGATTATTTACAAATGAACTAAGTCAGAAATTGTAGATGCTTCTTTTATGATAAGCTTACTTTTGAAATGTTTATGTGAAAGTGAATTTAGCTGTATGTCAAAGAAAATAGGAATATGCCTGCTTTAATCAATTGGTTCTATAGCTATTCTGTCAACTTTCTCCTAATTGACCTGTTGCGTTCTATTCTCATATGGCTTTCTTTAGCCTAAACAAAACCTAAACAAACACAGTTTGTCGATTGTTTTTAATGTTTTTCAATCGTTTTAGATTCTGTATGTGAGCTTGTACACGCTTCAAGACTTGCTAAACAGATAATTGGTCGTGGATTCTCTGCTGACGAAGCCGTGAAGCTATCTTGCCAGAATGTTTACCTAAGCACTCATAACGATGCCGATACCAAGGAGGTAATCTTTTCAAATCAAAGCTTCAGTCAAAGAATAATTAAATTACAATTTTGAAATACCAGAGGTAACTAAATAGCAGTATATGCCACAGATAACCTTGCTTAAATCCAAAGTCTTTTGTCAATGGGAAACAGGGTCTATTTTCTTAACCGTGTCACCTTCGTTGACGTAATTTTCAATTTTAAGTACACATTTGTAAGTAAGTTGTAAGTAATCTGGTATGAAAGTATTCCCTTTGTAGTTTTGTTTTAAAAGATTTTGATGTTTGCTGATAACTGATAGTGTTACAGAAGGTAATCTCTTCCTTTCAAGCTATTATTTATTTTATATTTTCAGTCATACTTTTTGTCTTGCTTGTTTGGGTTCACGTCAAAAATTGTCATTGATATCACAATTTCAAACTACCCACTCTCTAACTTTCAGAAAATTACGTCAGTAATCGATACCCTAACTGACTCAAATGATGACCAAACTGAGACTGGCAGTTGCCAAGACGAGGTTGAAGACAGTCAGCATGAACAAATGGACGCAGAATATATCGAGAATGAAGTTTCGTTGCCTTCAGTGGCTGAGCTATCCCAGTTATCAAAAGTATCTCGAATGATTCGAGATAAAATATGCCTGAAGTGGATCTCAAAGGACAGGAAAGGCGATCAGTCAATTCTTCTTATGCTGAAGATATTTTTGGAGAGAGCAACGGTTGATGATTACATGATGCGTCTGAAACTTTTGACGACAGAAATCGCGACCTTCGATCTCCATGCTGATCAAATCCGAGTTTTCCAATCGATAATTCTCTCGTTTCAAAAAATCTTTGAAGAGAGCGTCTTCCTGACTATCCGAAAAGATTTGCAGAAACTTATCAGTTATCTGTCACGTAAGGTTTTCATATATTTGACCAAGCCACAAGTCATACATGCTTTTTCTTAAGTCCAATTAACGTGTGTGACAATTTCAGTGAATCAGATGTAAATGCTAAATAAACTTTGGGATTTTGATCAGTTCACCAAATCGTTTGTGCATAGATCTCCATTTCGTTGATGTTAAAGAATACTACACCCCTCTGCTTGTAGATACATCAAGTTTGAGCTTTTGTCATCTTGTAAAGTCAAATTCTGATACGTTTGTTGCATACAGCAGACATTGATGTGACAGTATTTTTGGCGCCTACAGTATAAGTATGTTTCTGCCTGTAGGTGACCCAGCCATTTATGCTGAGATATCATATGATCTACGCTTGAACAAACGACTGATACAAGACCTCTTGCTCGCAGCAAACAAGGTTAGCTCCTTATTACGATATCGATCTATTCAAGATTGAATCTGTCTTTTCTTTTTATAAATTTCATATGTTTTTTCAATAGCTTTTCTGTCTTTCCCTTCGTGAAATTTTTTGTTCCCAGTTTAAGTGTGTGGTTGTGATTAATGCTACGTCCAAATAATGTCAAAGTACTTATTGGATGAATCGTTTTAGAACCCAGAAATGCAATCAATCGTTGAAGGCCTAAAGTCACTATACAATAGGTATGTTGATTTATATATGCAGAATTTGTTTAAACGGTTATGAATTTTCGTAGCTATATTTCAGTGCATGCCATCGAGTAGCTACAGACGTTTTGCTATGGCTAATTGGAAGCACTTGTGTTTTCATTATTGCTGTTTGGCAGTTGTTGTTGTTTTTGTTGTTCTGTTAATGTTGTTGCTGTTGTTATTACTTGATGTTATTATTGTTCAGATCAAATTTCATTTTCCATTCTTTACGGCTTGATCACTAGCTTTGGACTTTGGTATTTAGTTGCACAGCAAAAAAACCTTTTCCTTGGCCTAATAGTTTTAAAATTGACAAAACATATGGAGCTATTACAAAAGCAAATGTTAGAATAAAGGAGATTGCAAGACTCATTGTAATGAAACATTGCTTGAAGAGTCTAGATTGTATCATCCTTATTAAGTATAAAGCTTTCGTGACTGTCAGTTATTCGAGAAGAGCTGGCGAAAGCTATTTCTTTCGTGTATTTTTACTTAGTCTGCATTGCAAATCCTTTGTCATGAAGTTAATTCCCCAAATGAATCATTTATTTCCATACCGTTAGTTTGAATCAATATTTACCAAAGGATTGTCCCATTTGATTTTTTGAATTTGTCAACGTCGAAATTTCTTGGTATCAAGAAACATTATATTCTATTTCAAAATACAGACTTGAATTGCTGCAGAACCATGCATCCATTGCTGTAAAAGAAGAACTAGCTGTGAACAGCCACAAACAACCTGGCAAAAACTCAGTTTTGGATTTGTCAAAGAAATTTGTTAGCGGTAAGGAGTTGTTGATCACATTGTTTGTTTTTTTTCAAAGGCTATGGTTACTAATAGCATAATGTTCCATATGTTGTTGCATATGTTGTTTTCAGCATATTTTTAGCATGGAAGATCTTTGAAGCCTATTTTACTATAAGGCCGCCCCTTTTCAGGTTCTTTGCTTTATGAATTTAAGACGTACGACTAATTTAGTTTCATTAATATAATCCACAATATAAGATCATCATAAAACCTTAATGTCGTGTAACATTCAATCGATTATATGAAAATATTTTTGATATGTGTGTTATATTCCATTACGTAGTATTTTTCGGATTTCTAAATACTTACATAGGGTGTGTTCTACTTATACATGATGACATAATTGCATCATTTTATCAAGCCACTTTATTACATTAGGCTTGTTTGTCTCTGCTCTAATGGCTTTGTTATAACAATTTACAAAAGCTAGACATCTTCGATTCAATTAAAACTTACACTCATACTTATTTCATTTCATATATTTATGCTAATACATTTTTTCACTCGAGGTTGAAAAATAATTTTTAACTAGGCCAAATGGAATTAAGTGAAGTCATCAAAGTCTTGTCAAATTAATCATTGTTTAAACGTTCTCAATTTTGTTTCCCCTTTGTTTTAGGAACATTGCCGGCATCGAAACTTCCTCACAGTGTTATCGAGCTGTTTTACCCTTATTTCACTGTTCTTGGCAACCTTCTCAATGAGTCTCTACAGGATACCAGCTTCAAGCTATCGTGTGATCTCTTCCACAAGGTTTAGACTACTTTCTTAATCAGCTGAATTTCTTATGCTCATTTTGCAGCTTTCGTAAAACTGGAACAAACTTTCGAGTTACCAAACAAAAGGTCAAATAATGGCCAAAAGTGTTTCTTGTTGAGGTGTGCAATTCTGTAATGAAAGCAGGCATCCAATCTTAGGTTTCATAGTTAATTATTTTATAAGTCTTTCAATTAACTTTTTTAAAAGTGTAGTTACAGTTTATATCGGAAAAATTGTACTTGAGGGCAACCCTCGTTAACAATTAAATAAGAAATATAAGAAAGTTATGAAAAAATACAAATCTCGTGTTTGATTTATAGAAATAACTACATATAATTGATACGAATCCTTTTAGAGATTGTCTTCTGTAATTTGAAGAATTTTCATGTTGTATCGTAAAATTCTCTTTATGTAGACCGCGGAAGTCTGTACTAAAAACTTGTACTAGCAACAACTTTGAACTATTGTACTAACAAACTGTTATTAGAGAAAGTCTTTTTGTTTCAGCTCTTGTTTTCAATAAAGTGGAGAGACAGGTTCTGGCGCCTATGTTCAGAAAGGCAATCGCAGCATTCAGTTCAGTTCTTGAAAGCCTTGTTTGCAATTCATTGGAAATGGGTAGTTGAAGAGTTAAACCCAGTATTGGCAGAACTTTTCACTTGTGAAAGGTAAGCTCCGGGTTGCTTTTGCAGCTGATTCGCCTGATCTTAGAATAGACTTAATAATTAAGATTTGTTTTAACCTTATTTAATACTGGTTTTTCATATTATTATTTTATCTAGATATGTCTGTTTTGCTTTGAATCTTTTTAGTGGCCTAAATCTCACTCATATGGCGCTACTGGTGCGGACGTATATCCTCTTTGCTGTCTCATTTGTCATCATCCTCATCATGTCATCAAACTTTTACCACTGTTGCCTCCTCCCCTTTTCGCAATGTGCTTTTTATACACATTTCTGATTTCTTGATCAACCCTTCATATCATATGAGTTATACGTCTGTCTACCCAGACCTTCTACCCAGATAGTGTTTGTTCCCATCTTTCTACTAAACTCCTCCTTCGTCAAGTTTAAATATTTTCAATTCCTCACTTTTTCATCAAATAGTGCTACAAACACGGCTGATTTAGAAAGATTGGTCAATGGTATTTCATCAAGATTCAGTGAAGGCCTTCTAGCAAACTATGACGAAGTTGATGGGGATTTTTCGAGAAGACCGCCACCTTTCAATTCAGAAGACATCTTTGCTCTTTGGGTATGAAAACTTTTGGATAGAAATTGATAGTAATTTTACTGTTCCCTTCTCCGTTGTGTTGTTAAAGCCCCACTTGTCAATACACAGAATTCATTGTTAAAAGCAACTGCTGGCACAGCCTATTTGAGAGATTTGTAATTCCAACGATGGTAAAATACTAATGTAGCTGAAGTTCAGTTGATATGGGGTTATGTAAATATTGAATGCATGCACGTGCGTGTATAATAGATATGCACAAATACACTGGTAGGAATGAATATAATATTTATCCTTAAAATCTTGTGATAAGACGTTCTAGGCGTAGCCCTTCATCAGTTAACGAAGAAAGGTAGTATCTAATTATATAGCGGTTGCTCATTTTCTTCATGGAGTTTCATTTCATTCATTTTTCATTTTATCATATTTTTACACAGAAACCCTATCAGCTACTAAGTTAAAAAATAAAAAGGAAAGATTAACTTACATATAATGCTGGTCTTCCTAGGGATCGTGCTTCGGGAAAGGATCCTAATTTTGCAAGAATTCCTTTAATTTCTTTTTGAACGTGGTAATCGTGGAGCTCATTCTTATCTGTAATGGAATTTCGTTCCACGTCTGTGCACCACAATAGAAAAAACACCTTTTGGAGAATTCTAGGTTTTGCCTTGGGATATCTTGCTTAACAAAGCGAGCTATGCGCGATGAAAATATGCAAATTTAGCTCATGATAGTAGTGCATGGTTACTGATGCTACGTGAATACTTTTGTGAAGTAATTTTGATCAAGGGAACATTTTTCACCTTGTTTTCAATTTTTATTGTATGATGGCAGTGCCAAATCCAGATTGTTCGTATATTCACTACTTTTTTGGCTGAAACTCGGAGTTGCCACTTAAAACTGCCTTGTTCTATACAAAAAAGTAAAATTGTATTCAATACGTGTATATGCTGATTATTCCTGTATAGTTAAATGTTTAATATTCTTATGATGATTTTACTTTAGTCCATTCTCGATGCATTCCTACAAGAGCTAAGCATTGCTAAACAGCTGCAACTCCAAAAACCAGAAGCTGGTCTGTCAACGTTGTTTACAGCAGACGGTAGAATGAAGAGATTGAATTTGTTCCAATGCCTTATGCACTTTTTCAATTTGTTATTGAAAGAGGAAATAAGTGTCATGGATATAACAGGTAAGTCTTTATTCATTTTGTCATTCTGATAGTTGTTAGAAAATGAACATAGATAATATGATATGATCTCATATTGTTACTCAGTGAATTTATCATTGACCAGAATTATTTACTATAACATGATATTATATCAAACTATTTGGCATGTTTTAGAGAATGCAGTAAAGAATTATGTAAATTTTAGCTCTTATCTTTTGAATCCATTATACTATTTTGTTTTTGCTTAGCAGCTTTGTATTACTCTTATAAATCTATAAATGTTTTATTTGAACCTTATTTGAGTTCACATATAATCTTAAATCAGTTTTTACCCTATTTGCATGATTCAATTATTGTACATTTTGTGTATGCTATAAGTGACTAAAAATTCTTCCTTCTCGATTGTTTAACGATTCTCCTGTAAAAATCAGTACAAGTATTTAGATTGAGTTTTTTCTTAAAAGCCCTGCAGACAGCAATTATGATGTCTCTCGAAGCCCCTGCCTGCAACACAGAGGCACTTGATGTTGCCATGGAATCGGCAGATTCTGCAAATAGGATGATAACGCCGGAGCTCTTGTTGATTTATGGAAAAGTGAATCATCTTGCTTGGCTTAGGATCGTACAGAACATGGTTCATGTGGATAATGTTGCCAGCGGTCACTTGCAGCAAAATGAGAATCTCTTTAAATGGATTACCAAGATATCAGAATTCACAGAATTTCAAGAAACAGAGGATCTCAGAATCATTGCATTTATACGCTCTCTACTTGAGCATTTACAAGAGAATAGAGTGAGTTTCTGCTATTATTTGCTCTCATCATGATTAGTTTATTAGTTTTATATAGCATCTGAAAGTAACATTTCATACAACAGAAAGTCATACTCACTGACCAGTGTTCTCTGAATGTTATTCTTTCTATTTCATATTTTTTAATGGTAAAAGCTAGCGGCGTCTTCTCGTTCTCAGTTGGGATGGAGCTAAAATTTTGAATCAAGGCTAGTGTCTAGTGATTCAGTTCTCAGCTATTCCGCTAGATATATTGCCCTATTAATTGATTTAACTCCTTTTAGTTGATCTTAAGGTAACAAATCCATTCCCTGTATTCAGAATTTTTAGCTCTTTTAGTGCCACTCTTATTCCTTTAACGTCTTAAACGTTTTCGATCTCCTTGCTCGTTTATTACAGCGGATTCCTAACATATTCCTAACATATTATGTTTATATACATATTCCTAACATATTATGTTGCCTTGTTTCTATTTGCCTGCAAGCAAATAGCAAAGCAAGATAATTGTTGATAGCCCCCTTCCCCCTAGAAAAATGTTGATAGTTTAAAGAGAGTGTCATAAGAGAAATGCTAAAGAAATGGCTCCCTAAACTCCTAACCCGTTTCATAGAAAGCCAACATTGTTCCATGGGGGAGAGGGGGATGATTGGTTTTGACCTTCCAAACTGACTTGAAAATTACTTGTTTGCTCTTTTAAAGAAGTTTCGAACAAATTCTTTATCCATATTTCTAACTCTCTCTGTTTTATTAGGAATTGTGAAAATTTTTCACTTAAATTTTAGATTCAACAACTTCCAAGGCATACATTGCCTACGCTCAGATCTCATTTCCACGATCTCCTTACTTTCACATTGCAAAAGAGGCTGGCAGATGTCTTGAGCAAACCAACTGATGGTCGACTGGCTAAAACAGATGATTCCGTAAGTGGTCCAAGACTGCTATTTCTTATAGATAGAGATGATTGAACATTATTTCATCAAAGGACCATTCTTTCATTGTAGAGTTTTATATACATGTCTGAAAGGAGTACCAGGCCACCTTTTGAGAAGATGAGATGTTCCTTAATTGGAATACAAGTATTCGGGCATAGAAATTTTTTGTTCATGATGGAACACGTATTGTAAAATTCTGTAGAATAGTAAAGCATAAATAAAAATCGGACAAAATTTTTGGCTGAAGGATTGTATCGTTGATTTTATTTGTTATGTTTTAAAACTGATATTAAATTTGCTATTTTTAATGCATTACTCACTTTGGTTTTTTCAGTTAAGCATTTTCTCAAGTACAAATGCTACTGTTATTGCACCCTGGATACACAAAAGGCTTTCAGTTGCTTCAAGGATTAGTTTCGCAGATAACGAGACAGTTGATCCTTTTGAATGGAAGATCAGTGTAAAGGAGATTCAAGAAACTCAGGCACTTTTATCATCCTTGCTCAAGTTCAAATGGATTCATGGATCCATGTTGATGGTGTTGCCACACGAGCTTTTGTGAGTTATACATCAATAATAACCACTAGTTTGTGTAAATCCATTATTTAAAAAACGGCCCTTTTGTCGGTTTAGTTACCTAGGTAGAGAATTTTTCCTTCTTACATAATCGACCAATGTCTAAAATTCAAAGCAAATAATTGAAAGAAAAGCAAAATCCTTCCCGTGCTTTTATTTTCAAATATTTTAGTGATGTGGCTTCTGTTTTTTCATGCTATCTTCAAAGTTTATGTGATGCGAAAAGTCGTCTTTTTCTTGCCTGAGTTTAATTTTCTAATACATCTAACTAGGGTAATACCAAGTCTAACATGATTTTTTGTTTTTGTATAGTTTAAGATTGAAATAACAAGTTTTGAAATTATCGAACTTATAAATTTTGATGAATATCTATCGAAATATTATGGCTATTTGAATAGTTTGAGTATCTATATGACAAAATATTACTGAATACCCTTGCTGAATAACCCCTTGCATTTATTTCAATATTCAGCAGTACGGAGTGAATTTGAATCCACATTTCTCTGATCTTGTCAGATTGAATTCATACACTGTCTTTTGTTTTTAGAAATGGAGCATTTCAAGATACAATGAGAATACTAATGGACTTGGTAAAAGATCTTAGGCTAGATGATTTGGTTGGTGATGATATACAGAATATAATTTGTAAAGATATTTCACAGAATGCTATTTTGGAAACCTTAGCAACAAAGTTTAGCAAAGACGGCTTGAAAGATTCTAATCTCACGGTTAATATCAAGAATATTTTTGTCACAATTGGCGTATTTGCAGAGAAGGAGCTTGCTGTATTGCTGTCACAAAAACTAGGTAATTGCTTGTTGATACCTTTTTTCCGCTATAAGGGTCTTTTCATCAAGTTTAGCTCTGCTTGCAAAAGTTCCTGTTTATCTCCAGCCTAAAAGTCTTTATATTTATCTTCCAAATTATGAAACAATACCACAACTTGCGAGTTACCTCATGGAACTACAATGGCTGCCTATACTATGATGTGCTTACTTTTTGTCAACCTCCTTTCCCCAAATAATATGTTGAGATATTCATTAAATTCTGCATGTTTATGTATTTCTTAAAATCAATAGCGCCTATCTTATCCGTAGTTGAGCAAGACTTGTTTATGAGGAAAGTTCGATTCCTGGGCGAGTTGATGTCCTGTGTTGGAATGTGCAGATTTCTGCTAGCAATTCCAAGAAATCCTTACGACATTGCAGAAGAGGCTAGGTTAAAATGTCACTACTTTGAGGAAGAGGTAATCTTTTTTTGTGCGTATGGCAATAGTTTGAGCGATGTTTCATTCGTTAGTTTAAGCAGCGTTTTAAATTCTTCCATCAGTTTTGTTCAGTATTGCTCAAAGGGGAAGAATGGCTACTTGATTGAGCTTGGTTACCTTAAAGACAAATTTTAATATTTATACATCTTTGTAGGATTTGAAGTGACTTTTCTGGACCCTTTATAGAAGACTGTTACCTTTGAAACAAAATTGGTTTGAAGAACACAAGGGAAATATAATATTTTTGACACATCTGATGTCCTTTTTTCCGAATCTTGTACAATCAATACATCTTGTGCCTCAATAGCTTGACAATGTTGAATTAATTGTTTTCCTATAACTAAAATTGTTAAAATGAGTAAGACATCCTCTGTGTACGAAGTTCAATGCATACATTCTGACTCAGTTGATATATCTTATTTGCTGAAATACTGGCGCAATTCTATGTCGCATTTCCCCAAATTAAGCTTTGCCAACACATTTGTTAATCTTCTTGAATTCCTTGAAGCTAAAGTACGTTTCTCCTTTATCTGTCAGCTGAGAGAAATAGAGACAGAGTTATGTCTACGATATGATCTCGAAGAACAGTTATGTGGTGTGCCAAAGCCTAGCATATCAAGACACGAGAAAGCAGACGTACAGCATTACACGTCAAATGAGCCAAGAGTGACGCTACTTCTAGAGAGAAGAGAGTTTTTGGTAGAGCAGATAAGAGAATTGCAGACCAAGGTGGCGTTACGCCCAAACCCATCTCAGGTCAGTGTTGAATACGCCTGGCTTAACCGAATGGTGTTACGGTAAAACCCTTGTCTAACAGTTTAGGTTTTTTTATTATCAATTGTTGGCCAATTGTCAAAATGGTGGCTTTGATTCAATCTGCAGTGATTTCATACCAGTTTTTGCCAGCGTTTCCAACTGCTAAGAAGTATTCATTTAAGATTTTCACTGTTTGCAACCAAGAAAGAGCGCTTCAGTTTTCAGTCTCTTTGATGTCATAATTCAGCTCATTAGGAAAGCTATGTCTAAATGGTGAAGTTGAAAGTGCACCTTAATGCACCTTATGGTATTGCTTTAAAAATAAACAAGATAAAAAAGTTAGCTTCTTTGCAATGTGCATTAGAGATTTTTTTTACACTTAATTTTATTAGGTCAAAGAATATCAAGCATGTTGAGCACTCCAATTTAGCACAGTAATTTAAGCTCTGGATTTAAATAGGAACCCTTCACTTTTTATTTAGCCACCATTATAGCTATGTACGTATTCCTTCTAACCGGCCATTGTTATTTGCAAAGATTGTCAGTTGCAGCTTGATTTTTTACCTTCAGTGCTAGGGTTCTTAGTCTGTGAGCCACGCCTTTCCTTTGCCAGGCATGTGACCATGAACAAAAATATTTGATATTTACCACAACCAGAAAACCACAGACAGCCCTACTTCTATAGTGATTGGGTTTGTTAGTCTTTTGTCATTACTCTGTTAGTCCCACTTTGAATAAGCAGCAAAGTCTCACTTCCAATATCATTATTTTAGTATGACGTACTGGTAAAAGACCTCGTTCATTTTCATAACAATGTAACCAATCAAAGCGCAGTCTTTGGGCTGCTTCTCAATTCGAATGAGGCGCTTCAGTCGCGTGAGAGTGGGACAAAGTTTCCACGGAATTTTCCAAGGCGGATGAAGATCTGGATTTCGTCTGCAAAGCAATTCATGTTGCAGTTGGAGAAGAACTATCCAATGTACCAGGATATAGTTCTTCCAATCATATGGAGTTTGAAGCAGGTATTTTTTGCTACTAGCTTTTTGAGCTTCATGTTAACATCTGAACATTCGTAAGTTTTCAGGGGATGTTTTCTTTTCCTTTCTTTCATGAGCAGGCTTCTATTCTTGTAGGTGTGAAATGTCTATAGGCCGACAATTATTTGTTAAAAAGCTCGAAAATTTACAGGACCCTAGACGACAGGACTAGGTTTTATGAAAGTAAAATGCGTGAGTTCTCTAGTATGCAGTTTAGATGTACAAGTGATTCTTCAATGACATTGTATTTCCAGATGACAAGTGGTTTTTCTCTTAATTTGATTGGAATTGACTGGCATATGACCAGGTCCAAAGTCAACAAAACAATTTTAAAAGAAGAGGTTTGTCCTTATAAAACTTTTTTCCTTTTAACAATTTAACTTGCCAATTTTTCTCCTTAGTCATCTTTTAACCCTTATCAAAATTATCGAGACTTGAAACGCTTTCTGAATATCAGCAGGTTAAAGTCAAGCCAAGATTGGGTGTTTTAAAGTTCGGTATTGAAAGGCAAATTTTTAGAAGAGGTTATAAAAGTCGTAAAGTTATCGGAATATTTTCTTGCAGCTGTTTTTAAACCGTTCGTATTTCCCATAAAAAAGGTAAGAAATTGCCTTCAATGAGATTAAGTCTAAGGTATCATTTAAATGAGGTCTATATAATGGGTCTGAAAGGAAAAGCAGAGTCAGTTTGGAGACCTTTCTGAAGAAAAGATTGTATTTATATACAAAATATAGAATATTGCACTAGAGGTTACTACAATATGTTATAATAGAAAAACTTTTGGGGGATTTCCGAGGACGAATACAAGTAAATTGAAATTAAAGAACTTTGGGGCAAAAACACTGTTGTGAGTCTCTCGACAAAAGGATAGAGTTTTGACAGCCAAATTTTCGCGGTGCCTTGTGTTCTTCCTAGCTGTTATCAAATTACATTTTCTATGTATCCCCTATCCAGGTACTGGCATCAGCACAGGTTTGTTCAGCATTAGCAGCATTTCCTACTTCAAACTCAACTACTTTGACAATGCCATCAGAAGCAGCTGCAATTTTACTTTCGCCAGAATTTATGCATGGCATCAAAGGTAATTTAGCTGTAATCACATTTATAGGCTTTATCTGACATCTCTTGTCATTTTTTGTCTTTGTTTCACATTTAACGTTCGCTTTATGGGAACTTGCGAGTTAGCTTAACAAAGTATATATCTAAATCAAAAAAGAAAAAGCAAATATGGAAATTTTGACTGAGAATCGTTAATCTTAGAAATATTAGGGATATGGAAAATTCTTCTTCCTCTTCTTCTTCACCTTCTTCTCCTTCTTCTTCTCCTTCTCCTTCTTCTTCTCCTTCTCCTTCTTCTTCTCCTTCTCCTTCTTCTCCTTCTTCTCTTTCTTCTCCTTCTTCTCCTTCTTCTCCTTCTCCTTCTTCTTCTCCTTCTTCTCTTTCTTCTCTTTCTTCTCCTTCTTCTTCTCCTTCTTCTTCTCCTTCTTCTTCTCCTTCTTCTTCTCCTTCTTCTTCTCCTCCTTCTCCTCCTTCTTCTCCTTCTCCTCTGTCTTCTTCTTCCCCTTTTTCTTCTCCTTCTCCTTCTTCTCCTTCTTCTCCTTCTTCTTCTTCTTCTTCTCCTTCTTCTCCTTCTTCTCCTTCTTCTTCTCCTTCTTCTTCTCCTTCTTCTTCTCCTTCTTCTTCTCCTTCTCCTTCTTCTACTTCTTCTCCTTCCTCTTCTTCTCCTTCTTCTTTTCCTTTCATTTCGTGTTTTCCCTCTCTTTTTCTCCTTGATGACTTTTCCAATCTCTCACCCAGAGATCAGCATTCTTGAGTGCTTGTTTCTTCTGTTTCAAACGCCTTCCTATTTTTTCTAGACGGAGGCTAGTGTGATACCAAGGACCATATAGCGTCTTACCGTTGATTTTAAAAATTTAAACACCATGATTTGGATTGACGATAGATGGTTTTCATAGCACTGTTAAAGCGTGTATTTGTAATTAAAAATGAGGATTTATTTTTTCTGTAAATAATATTTCTTTAGGTGTGATCGCTTGCAGTTTTTTGTTTGATGGCTACTGACATTTATGATTCAACTCTGGCAAAGTTATAAGAAATGATTTTATCTCTCTTATTAAAAATGTAAAGCGTCGTTGCTATGCCTCATTGTTTAAACTTTTTTTTCAAAAGAACAAGTTCAGAATCGACAAAACAAAAATGCCTGTTTATGTAATGGCACTTCCAGCATGATTTGTTTTTGCAGACAGATGACATTCTGCTGTGGAAATATTTTCAGAAAATAGGTCCTCTCGTTGATTTAGCAGTATGTTATCTTTAAGATAAATCTCAAACATTTCAATTTCGTTTTAGCTTTGATGTTGAGTCATGAAAATCCTTCAAATGGATCCGTGGCAAGGTTAATCTTGATCGAAGTTTTTCTTCTTTTCGATGGTTGTTATTTTTAACTGTTTTGTCTCTAATCATGGATGAAACATTAAATATAAATGAAGCAATTACAGAAATTACAGAAACAGTGGGGCGTCTCCCTACTTGCTGCCTAATATTTTTCTAGTCATGGAAATGTAAAAATAACGAAGTCTGTGCCTTTTGTGCTACCGCGATAAAAATTACCCGTGCGCGTCAGTATCATTAAAATACCATTTAGCTTAAGGTTGATAAAATCTTATTCATTAACATGTAGTAAGGGGTAGACTTCATAATGTGTAAGAAGGAACAACCGCAGGAAAGGCTTTCCGCCGGATTCTGTGTATCTTGCAATGAGTAATAATACGAAAGATATTAAGGAACAAAGCAATACGACGAGGAGAATCCAATGTAACGAGATAGATTTTCAAAATAAATTAAATTTAAGGAATATACTAATATTTCGCCCCGGCATACAGGGCTTCATCAGAGTAAATGAAACGAACGAGTGGTACATTGGATTCTCGTCGTCGTATTGATTTATTCCTGAATATCTTTAGACTTCATTAGCCGCATATTGTATTGGGTGGATCTTCCCCCTGAAATTACTGGCTGAATATTAATCCATCTTTTTTAATCCTTTTATAGAATCCTGCATCTAGCTTTAGCCGTGCTCGGCCTTGATGTGCTCCTTCGCGGTCACCAGAATAAGGAAAACAAGTTTTCTGTGAAGAATGTTCTTGCCCGGTTCCAAAACATCTGGCTGGAATTCTCGGAACAGCAACGTAAACAGGAAGAGGAAGCAGATTCTATGTACAGATTCAAATCGAAGTCTCATTGTGCAGATAGTGATGAGGCTACGTTGAATGAGAAGTCATTTAAAGAGCTTTTCCCGTCGTTTAATCGAGATTTTAATGATCTAATACCTAAAGGAACGTTGGATGACGATGATGATATGGATAATGAGATTACTGAATACGAGAAAAAAGAGTTATCAGAAGATGATGCGATGTCAAGAGAAGGTTTATCGCATCACATGTCAAGTGTGAATATTGTTCAAATTTACAAGAATCTGAGCAATATAGTTAGAGTTGGTCAACAGTCCCTGCCAGAGATGGAGCAGAGCATAGAACAATTATTTCTCAATGGTTATAAAGAGTTTCTCTCCTTAGCTTCGTTGGATGCAGTGAGAAAAGGTAGGAAAGGTTTGGATAAATCTAAGAAGTAGTAGTCACTTAGCAAGTAGCGCTAAGCATAGGCTTACCTGAAGCCTTGAAGGACTGGGAGCTAGCTGTTTTGATGAAATCGAAGATTTCGCTCCTCTTATCCCATCCCTCCTGAAGCCTTTTCCTGTGACTGAATAATATCTTACTATATTTCCGTAAAAGTGACTTTGGTCAGTAATTTTGAAGACAAGAATGTTGTTGGCCTATTCTTTAATTTGAATATTTAGTTACACGCTTAAAATGTACAGAACAAGACGGTTCTAAGTTGCTACTCCGAGTTCCACTGTAAATGCGATCATCAGGCAACTGCTCTTGTAGTTATGTTTACTTTTCAAATAATAACGACAAGCCTGTTTCTTTTGCAAATATCTCTTGTCTTTCCACAGACCCTTTGGTTGATAGTCAGCTTGCAACATCGAACCTGCTTTTTACGTCACTCCTAAAAAAGAGCCTCGATTTCAAAGCAACTGCCGTTTCTGTTGAATTCGACATCTACCACGAGTGCAATGTTGCTGAAGTGCAGAAACTGCTTCCATTACTTGGAGACTTTTCTTCTCGCTTAACTGAGCTGCTGCTAGAGTTTCCAGAACATCCAGCTTTGCTGCAGGTACTATTTCAATGTTCTCTTTGATATTTTTTAGATAGTGTACTACTAAATATTAAGTACAATAACAGCATTTAATTTTTCACAAGTAAAACGATCAATCAAAACAACTTCAATATGCCCATCATGTTTTGCTTTTATGTTCCGTCATCTCTTTAAATTAAACATTCTTTTATCTTTATCACAATGAATTTATTTAGGCCTTAGTTGGTTGTTTTGGTAATTTATTTGTTGAAACGTCTAGTTTTTTATCAACTTATTACCATAATTTTTCACGGCATAACTGCCAGTACTGCAACTCAGATTCAAGACTCTTATTTTTCTAAATAATCTTCTCACACAGTTCGTCGTCTATTTAATTTTTTTATGTAAGATTTGTTTCTCCATTTGAAACAGATGTGTTTCCTAGGGTATCAGCATAGCATAAAAACACAAAGCGCTCCCATAAAAGTCATATGGACCACTAACAACACACCCCCACCCCCACCCTCTAAAAGAAAACACATCACAATGAAGTCAACCTTGACTCAATTATTTTCGTAAAGACCGTTTGATTCCTAAAAACGTCTGCACTCAGATTATTTACAACAATAGAAGAAGCATGATAAGTTATAAATGTCTTTCCATTTTAGATTCAACAAATAATTGACAGGATACTGTCCTTCCCTATCAATCAACCGCTCATGAAGTTTTTGACAGGCTTGGAGATCCTTCTTCGTCAATCCCAGGTAACATATTGCTCGTTTAATTGACTTATTCTTCCGTGCTTAATTCTAGGGGGCCGGAATAAGCAGGGGTGGTGGGTATTTTTCATAAATTTTGTAAAATGGGGGGGGGGGCAAAATAAAATGACCCGGTGGGAAGATTTATTGGATAACAGAATATGGGAATGGCAGCCCAAGAGCGCTCATTTGCTTTTTTTATTGTTGATGTTTAAGTTACTGTGGTTATCAGCTTACCATTGCATGGCTATTGTGCTTAAGGGGAGAGGTGGGGTGCTCAGGTCCCATTTGCCGCCAAACTTGGTGAGCCATCCTTTATTTGCCAAAGAAGTGTAAACATTTTCTGAAAAGATACCCCTGGCAAAAACCTTCTCGTTTTACAATAAATTTTTTTTCCAAGGGAGTGTAACACCCCCACGCCTTGCATACATGTACCTGTGACGTTTTTTGCAGATACTTTTTGCATGAATATTAGCAACCTGTTTCAATCTATTAACATTGATTGTTTTTCGCCTTTGCAGGACTGGGAATCGTATGCGAGCTCGAGAGTGTCACTCAAAACACAACTGCAAGCGGTTACGAATCAGATCGTTGAATGGCGAAAACTGGAACTAAGGTAAGATTGAATGCATTCGGTAAACAGAAAGCTTAATTATAGCAAAGAGGCATGTGCAGCACATTTCTAATGCTAAAGCATGTAAGCTATACTTGAAGAATGCATTTTTAACAAGGAAAAAAAGAAAATTTCAATTTATTTATTTTCTTAAGCGACTGGTGACCGCTCTCTTAATTCAAGCTGTCTTGCTTTAGATGCTGGCCTCGTCTTCTGCAAGTTGTTGAAAACAAATTTGAAAAGGAGGCCCAAGGATGGTTTTTGAAGATAAGCTCTGCCTTCGAAGATGCTTCGCAGCAGATAAAGAACAAAGAAGGTATTGTTATAATGTCCTGGTTGTCCTGGTTACATTGTTGTTATGTCCTGGTGACATTGTTATTATGTCCTGGTTGTCCTGGTTACATTGGTATTATGTCCTGGTTACATTGTTATAATGTCCTGGTTACATTGTTATTATGTCCTGGTTGCATTGTTATAACGTCCTGGCTGCTATTGTCTCCGAGCTTCTTCAGCACGGAAATGGCACCCAAGATATTAGTTTGTAGAAGGAGGAAGGGCATATATTAACCGTTTTTTTGTTATTTATTTTTTTGAACTCACTTTTTTCATCGTCGTTAAACTCAGCAAATTTCCTACTGTCAACCATTGCTATTTGAATTTGACTGTTTGATAATAACTCGAAATAAATGCATCGGATTTTATTACAATCAAACATCCGAAATCAAAACATCGTTATGAAACATTCCAAAGTCATGTCATATTCATAATCATGATTATAATAGGCAAATAACAATCGTTGATTAAAGAAGGCTAGATTGCCTGAAAAGCTATATTTTACGGAGCATTTTGCTTCTTATATAGTCAGTTTTATATTGTATGTCTTGGTGGCTCCTGTGGGCCCCTATTGTAGAGGCTCGTTGTGAACTTTGAATACTGATATTCTATTTTGTGTTCAGACTTGATTTCTGGTTTGATTGGCTTGTATTATTGAGACTATTATAATTATCATAAGTGTGGCTGACTCCGTTCATTATTCTTTCTTAATCAAGTGCTACTGTGAATATTCTACCTCCAAGAATTCATAACCTTTGGCAAACAGTCCATGTTTTGACTATATTTCTGTTCCCAGGTGATAATACAATGACAAGAAAAGAGTTTGCTAAACTTCTTCAAGGATTCATTGAGAGTTCGTGCATTGGTGAATTTGCCGCGAGACTAGAGCTCATCAGCATATTGTATAAGATGGCGAATGATGACGAACATGGTATATTTTCTATTGTTCAATTAGCATGTACTTTTCGTACAATCGATTTCATTTTTATGCTATATAAACTAAGAAACAATTGGGTTTTCCCAAAAATAGATCTTGAATCAATAGCATGAGGTAGAAGTAAGTCGAATTTGGCAAAAACAAGTTGATTAAAATTTCAGATAAGACTGGCAATGAAAAATCTGTTTTTAAAGCAATCTTTCTGCCAAGCATTTAGGCCTGAAATTGTGATATGCTAAAAATCACCCAACGCGCATAACATAGATTTCAGAGCAATTTTTCTTTTTATAATGGGCCATCGAGGTGTTTGGTACTTAATAGTATAATGGCATTATTAAAATTGGTCTGTATTAAGCTTTTTGTGAATAATAAAGGTTTTATACATTTTGTGGTTGTGAATAGAGTTTCTAACTATTGTTTAATGTTGTTTCTGTCATCTGCAGACTTCGCCCCAATGTTTTGGAATATCCACAACTATTACAGCCAGTTTATCTCCAGTGTGAATAACGTCATACAGACGTCGAAAACGCGTATTGAAAAGGACCTCAAGGTTAGTCAAGTAGTTTGATATTAATGTTTTGATATCGAATGTTAATATTTATCATGGTATTGTAGATTAATCAACGTTTTATTCAATATTTCGTCCTATTTTTATTCCGTTCTCAGTGTTTTTGAAATATCAAGTACAAATGAAAAGAAAATTTTGCTGTCTTAATTGTTCAAAAAATAAGCTCCTTTATCCCTGTTGGTAATATGTTGGCTGCACCCATTTTCAGCTTGGTTTTTCCTTATGTCGTGTCACGAAACATAATTTAGGGTAGAAAAAATGCTAAAAAGTATAACTGTAATAATTTATACTTATAAATATAGACTAGATTGTGCAAGTTCAGTATTTCTTATTCAAAATATAACATTTTACCAGGTTATGTTTTACATAATAGAAAATGTAAGCACCATGACAGTCGATGTCTTAATAACGATCCTTTTAAGACCCCAGTTTTGCACAGTTCTAGCTAGATTGCTCCTTATTATTCGAAGAAAAACTTGATTTGGTAAGCTTGGGTAGTATTAATTATTAATAATTAGAATTCCTGTTTGAAAACCACCGAAATCCACTTTCAGTATCAACGACTTAACTCGCTTTCAGCCGATTTCCAAAGCCATCTTCTTCTCAATCATTCTAATGCTTAATTCATTTTTCGTCCTGCCTGTATTATATCAATGCAATAAATTAGACTGAGGGCATAGAAAATGAATTACCCTTGAGCTATCGAATCATCTTAATTATTCAATGCACTAGGGTGTATGTGTGGAGTCTTCTGTTTCTCTCTAATCCACCTGATCAGAAAAATCGGGACCCCTGAGCTACATAATATTTTTAATCTGAAAACAATGTGATCATTTATGAGTTTGATGAATCAAATTGACAACCAATGCGCGTTAAAATGCAAGTTATGATTATGAGTAATTATAGCAAGGGTTATCCCCAAAACGTCTTAATATCCAATACCATAATATTATATTTATAATCACTATCTTTATATTTAAATATTCATTCCCATACATACACGTAGCTGATTATACGTAATAACAGTTCAGATATTTGGATAAAATCTTAAGATAGAGTTCAGATATCGAGAAAAAATATTTAGATATTTTGATGTTAAAGGCATTTGACATGCATAAGTACAGCGAATCCAAAAATAACTTAGGCCAAATTGATCAGAGCACGCGCACAAGAAAGGTATTGAAAACCGCTCACGTGAAACCACTGCACGCTGCTCTAGGATTTCATCAATTTCCAGAAAGGCGGAAGCTGTTCACATGTTTTTCTCTGTGCACAATTTGATTGGTCAACCACTCGTGGTCGAGTGGCTGTAAGCCACTTTTACCTGTGTCAAATGCCTTGAAAGCTCTGGTCAAACGATCCATGATGGGTGAAATGTTGGATCGTTTGACCACTATGTTGGGTCACATTCCAACATAAAAGAAAATGTTTGGCGAAATGTTGGGTGAAATGTTTGACCAGGGCTTAAGAAAAGACGTTTGACACATCCTGAAATTTGTCTAGCCAAGTTATTAAGGAAAAGATTTTTCACTTAATCTCTGTCTGCAATTAAGTGCAGACAGAAAAGAAGTGCAAAAATACACTGATAATGATTTTGTTTGCAGGATTTTGTTAAAATTGCGAAATGGAAAGATGTAAATTTTTATGCAATGAAACAAGCGGCAGACAAATCCCATCGCACTCTACACAAATTCATGCGGAAATTTGAGGTGAACACGAGTTTGTTTGTTTACTAATTACAAACCAACTTCTATGTAATTGCCATTTGTAGAATTTGTAAAATGACGAAGCCTCTGTTTAATTTACTACAAGAAACTTTACTTGGTGTTGTGCAAGGATCTTCTCTAGCTCTTGTTGTTCTGACAATTACAGTATTTCACTTTTACCGATGATTGTAACACCTGTTTTGCAGGAGTTCCTTGCATCTCCAGCAAGTCCATATCTGCAACTGAGCGATAAAGAACCTGGAGCTGCAGTCAGTCTGGACATTGGAAAGAAACTCGATGTCGATTCCTTCAAAAATTGGACCCGATTTTTGGTTGCGAAAGAGATTTTGGTAAGAAAAATTCTCAGCGCGTCATTCTTACTTTTTAATGAATAAAGGGACAATTGAGTTCTTTTATGTCTGCTTTTCCTCAAAAACTTCCTTGCAAAAAATGTTTTCCAAGAGACTTCTTAAACGTATTTTATTTCTTTAACTTCAAATCCAAGCTGGGACGGTCGTGTTAACAAGCTAATTCTGTTACATATAATATCATTAAGTTTCGTGGAGTTGTATAATGCAATATATTAACGCGCATTATCTTTCAAGATATGCGTTGAGCGATTAGCTGTCTACTGTCTTTTCCTAACCTAAATATTCAATGCCCAGTTTTCCTACCCCATGTGTAGGAATTCTCCTTCATCTTCTGCAGGATGAAATTTCTTTCAAAATTAAATGTCATCATTGAGGCGTTAATCGTTTTTAACTTATCGTATTTTGTCTAAATCATTAATTATGTCTATCTCTGATTCTGATGTTTGCATCAAACGGAAAACAGGCTCTTCTTGACGTAGCATGATCTAGTTAGTGGCCTTTCGTTGGTGTCTTCGCGATTTGCACTTTGGGTTGATTTTCACATTTATTGATTTAAAAGCATCTTACCGACTTAAAGATAAAACCAGTCAAAGTTTTAGAAATGCGACGGTCGCTTCCCCAAAAAATTTCATCTTACCAATCATTTTTTATAAATGGCCTTAATGTTAGCTGGACTGTAATTCTCGAAAAGATTTTAGAGACTTCTTCTAAACTTACTAACTTTGCGGAAAGTGTATGCTAGCACAAAAGTGTATTAAACTGTATTTTTAACAAAGAATGTGAAATTTTTTGATGGCCAAAAGAGGTTCTGATGAAACGATGGGAGACTTTTCAATGCTACAACGAATTGATGTTTCGATATTTTGTAGCAAGATGCAGGGCTTCATGAATATTCCTACATTGCACATTGCATCAGAATTCTTTCATTCTGTATTCCATATTTTCGCATAACTCATATCGGTATTTCTTTTAACAAAAGTCTGCACGTACAGGTGTTCCGCTCATCATCTGTATTTTCAAAACAGATTTCTTTGCGCAATGCGAGTCCCTGAAAAGCTGCAGCAACCGGAGTCGCTAATAGCAAGCCACCCAGCCGTGTTTTCAAACAGATTAAGAAATCTTCCAATTAACACTCTGTTATAGAATTTATCATAATTGTGTTCGTCTTGTCTGTGAATGGACCTGGTTTTTGTAATTATGCTGCGTAATTAGCCTGTTTAAATTCAATCGCTCCATCTGCTATCACCCTACTTTGCATTATCGATGCCTTGTCGATGTTTAAGTGACATTTTGTCTTGCACTCACGTAATATTTGCCTGTTAACATGATCTCCGTTTGAGCCTTTTTGGCAAATGTAAAGGATACGATTAAGGTATAAGCACTTGGCGAATTCATTGGAGTTTTGCGCCCATATCAAACACACCAAGTTTTGATGTGTACATTTCACTCTGACCTAAGACCAATTCTTTGATATTGAATATCGTTCTTGAAGCTGCCACAACGGAAGTTGGACCGATTCAAGTTGGTTTAGAGCAGTAGATTTGTTCTCCCAGATATGTGGAGGCAGTTATATTTTTCACCAGAACCGCTCATTAAGTCGCTCCGGTTTTGTATTGATCGAGAAATTTGAAGAGACCAGTGACACCTTTTTTGGGAAGCGTATCAAGAAGTCCTGCGCAACTTTCAAGTGAGATTTCGAACTATCTGCATAATTATCACACGGATTTCAATTAATATAGTCTGGAATTAAAAGCCCATCCATTACTGACACTTTGCGGTGTTGTCCTAAATGCAAGAATTCTTAAACTGAATTATAGAAACCAAACGATTTGTTCAGCAGGTCGATCTTTTTGTATTGCGCTGAATCTAACATCGTTTTGGCGGTAAAACGCCGTCTGGAATTCTGTTTCCATCCCGGCTGGATATACCTTAATTAGATCTACGTGTCGATGCATGAATATGGATGGAAACACCGAAAGAAAGAGTAGTACGTTTGGTCTTTACTAGGCTCAGGCACCTACACATCGTACTCCTGCTAGACAATTGAACAAAGAGCCTATCAAAGGTTTTATCTTGTAAATGGAAATAAGGACATTTATTTCGATTTTATGAGAGTGTGTTCCATTATGCCTCTCATTGCAGCTGCGTTTGGATCAAAAATGGTAGTGCGGTAACAAAGGAAGATAGATCATTGTACGATATGAACTGGTAAAATCGCCTTTAATCGGACGTCATTGTAGATACATTGAAAGGTCATAAAAGACATGGGCAAGCTTGAGAAATGAAGCGAAGGGAGAGAAGGGTATCGGAAGAGAGGAATAACAGGCGGATGCGTAAAAAACTACGGATAAAAATACGAATCGGGAATGAACTGTTTGAGACTTTCGCTGCAACGCTGGAGAGATTCCCGGAAACGCTACTCGGGTGTCATGATAAGCGGACCCGTTACTACGATCTTCAATCGGATACCTTCATTTTCAGCGAGCATGTCCGAACTTTTGATGCCATTCTCTACTATTATCAGTCGTATGGCTCGCTCATCAGGCCCCCGTTTGTCTCGTTGCAAGACTTTGAGAATGATTGTCGGTATTTTGAGATCGATGAGAAAACGATATTAAGAATGAAAAAGAGGGATGGATTTTTAGGTCTTGATATCCTAAACAATAGATGCGATGAGATTCTGAGGGATCAAAAGTCTTGGCGAAGAAGAATCTGGTGTTTTCTGGAATACCCTGAGACATCACTGGCCGCCAGATTATTTGCTTGTTTTAGCTTTGTACTTATTGCTTTCTCTGTTCTGTTTGCCTGCCTTACTACGCTGCCGTCGATACAAATCAACCAAAATGATCTTTTTCATGATCCATACTTTCTCACTGAACTTGGATTAAATGTTTATTTTCTGGTGGAGTACATCTGCCGATTTTTCACTGCTCCAAGAATTTTTCAATTTTTGACGACACCGTTAAGTATCATTGATTTTGTAGCCGTAATTCCATATTTCGTGGTCCTCTCGATCAATGCGAAACAAGTTCAAAATTTGGCATTCTTGAAGATCATGAGGACACTACGTGTTTTACGGTTGTTTCGACTTACTAAGCACTCTAAAACATTCCAGACAGTCATGCTTATCATGTCGCAATGCGTTAAAGATATTTTCATGCTCTTTATCTGTTTCTTCATTGCCTGCATCATCTCTGCCAGTATGCAATATTATGTCGAGCTCACGGTTCCCGGTAGTATGTTTACAAGCATCCCCCAATCGATGTGGTGGTCAATACAGACATTGGTTTGTCTAGGCTATGGTGACATGATACCTCTATCAATCATGGGGAAAATCACTGCATCGGCAGTGGCGATATTCGGTGCTATCACTTTAAGTGTCCCATTGTTGTCAGTCGGTGGAAAATATCTTACACTGTATGCACAAAAATTCTGTGTACCGATCGGTGAAGATATGGACGTCAAGGAAAGCAAAACTGAACCTGCAATTCCAAGAAAAATGACAGAGCTATCAGTAGTTGATGACTATGATATTATGTAGCCATTTTTGTTATGTTGCCATGCAAAGTTCTTTATAATGAGAGGGAGAATTTTCGTAGTTTTAGCAAATTTTCGTAGTTCACACTGGCAATCGGTTGGAGATATAAAACTGATCTTCAATTTTAATTCTAACTAAGCGAGAATGCCAAGGCTAAAAATTTGTTCCTAGCAAGGTATTGGTATAAGAAAACCAAAATAGAACATTTAGGAGTAAATTTTCTGTACCCAATGCATAAGGTGTCGTTTAGATATACGATTTGCAAAATGCGATGTATCATTGGTCATTTATAAGTGGGGAAGGACTATCTGTTATCTAGTTTGGTAAATTAAAGTGTATTGTAGTTCCGCAAAGGCAAATGAATAGTTATTAAGTTGGTTCTTGTGTATTGGTCTATTTTAATATTTATTCATGTAACAAGTGTTGACATTAGCCGTGTCAAAGCCTCATCGCAATTAATTTTTTATTTTGACCTTAGCTGGTTTTACATTTTTCGTAAGAACATTAAGTGATGTAAATTAATTGCCTTAGTCAAGATATGTTCAATTTAATTTTAATTAGTTTGTTGGGAAATTTCAAAACATTGACACGCAGTAGTTGTATTGAGAAAAACTTCCTTTCCCTTATATCTTAACATATCTAATGAAAATAATACCAAGGTTTAAGTGATCTTCAATGATTGTAAAGATGCATTATAAAGATGCATTATAAAGGGCATTCTCATGGAAAAGCAACTGTAAAACTGGAGCGGTACTTGTTCCTGTCATCTTATCCACTGGGCATCGCGAGAGCAGCCTTTTTTCAATCAGCAATAACAAACCTACCAAGTTACATTTTCTTTAATAGTAGGGTTCCTGTAGGACCCAGTTTTTGAAATTAGGACAGTTGTTTCGAAAATTCCTTGAAAAAAGCAAACATCGATGTAAATAATTGCTTTTTTCAACGCCATTTTCAAGTTCTGCACCGCCATAAAAACTTTCACTGTTATTTTGCTGAAACTAAATGACGATTTTTATATTAATTGTCTACTCGTGTTTTCCTGCAGCCAAGAATGTTGGCTCAAAACGATTTGATTTGTCTCTTTTCTTGTTCACTTAACTTAACTTCAATTTGTTTGTCACTTCTCAGACAATGTCAATGTGAATATCTTGATCGCATTGATCCTCTGGGCAGCATACATCTCCAGTTACCTCTTCCTCATACATATTCTTAATCACATGTTTCTTAGAAAATTGATGTAGAGAAAAAGATCCTGTGTAAGTTGGACAAACAAATATACTTTTTCTTGAGTTTTTTTTATTCCTGACATTTACATTCGAGTTTCCTTTTTAGAATGGTGTTGAAGGTATTTCGGTTAAGAATGAGTGGCTGAATTGTTCTGTGTCGCTGAGCCGAAGGTTCCAGAAGAAATGTGGAAGGTACTTAAAAGATGCCAAACATCAGTTAATGATCGAATTGCTGGATGAATTTACGGGTAAAATATTTTTTTGTCACCGACAATTCTTACATATTTTGCCTATAAGATTATTAGACGGGGATTTAATCGCTAGGATGCTATGAATCGAGGATCTAACACTAGGTTTTTCATAAGAGCACGATTTATATTGGATTTTTCTTAATCTCTCATACCCATCGTTGATTTTGGCAATCGTTCCAACCGATCTCACTTTCAATGCAAACATGTTAAAAAGCTACCTTGGCAAATGCATGTATCATACCTCCCAAACAGCGTATGAGAAACTTTTATAAAAACAGTTTTTTAAGGATTTTTCTCGAAATTTGAAGGATATTTGTCAAAAGCGAACAAGATTTTCCTGGAATATAATAAAGACTATTTTTTAAGGACGCGCTTTAGATGGTAGATCCTTTCATTTAGGCGTATTTGATCAAAAAAGAAAAGAAAACCTAACAGAGGTCATCCGTAGTCTCTTTTCTGATAACATCTTATAGATTTGTTTGGTAAATTATCTGCAAAGTTGTTATGCCCTTCGTGTTAGATGCCTAATACATTTTGTTTTTAACTGCCAGTGCTTTGAAGGAAATTGTGAGTTATTAAACATTGCTAAAACATTGTTTGGTTTTAAATACATTCTCAGAATTAGCAGGGGGCACTGGGAAGCTAAGATTCTTAATCTCCGAACACCGGCTTCCGTGGTTCTGAGTACCGTAGTTTATCTAAGATGAAAACTTTTCTTTTACAAACATTCTGTTTATGAACACCATTGACCCTTCTAAAAAGGCTCCTCTTGTGAAGTAAAATGAAGCCAAATTGTTAATTCGTTAAGCGCAAGTTCATTATCTTCTTTAAAGCTATCAATAATGTCATGAGCAGAATATTGGTATCTAGCGCCATCGGTCGTTTCTAGGACTTACACGACTGAGAGGCTGTTAAACGACGCCTTCAGTTGGAACGCGCTGTTTTAATTCTCCAGTGCCTTTTGATGTTTCTCATCTCGTTAGAAGTAGCATCTGCTCTTTTTAGATATCTTGAATTTTTAAGGCTGTTACATGATTAACAGTCTCTTAGCAATTTATAGAAACAATGGAATTCTATTCTAAGCTTTATATAACATTAAACAAAGTTCGAAACTGTCTCGCTCTTTCTCAAATGCATTATAGTTCAAGACTCTCTTAAATGTATTATAGTTTAATTATAAGACTTGTTGCTACCTTTTTTTAAATGTTTTGTCGTCCGACTTTTCTTTGTCAGGGGATGTCATCACAAATGTCAAAGAACTGCAGTCCATCGAAATTCTAAGCTTGGCAAGTGATTTCGTTTAATATTTTCCCTTAATGCGTTAATTGCACCAGTTATATTGGTAGTACGAGGTAGGGGATTGGATTTACAGATGTTTTTAGAGGGTGAAGGGCCAGAAAATTCAAACAGACAGCAAGTCAATTGTGATTTTTAAAATTTAGTCTTTACTTACAGAACCTAGACTTTGGTCATTTTCTTTGTGAATTTCCATTCTCAATATCAGCATTGTGCTATACATTTCTCAGACGTAAGTGAGCTTTAAGATTTATGACTTAGATTTTCTGATCACTCTCAATTTCCGACTTGTTCCAGGAACTTCAAAAATTTGGGGGTGTGACACCCCAAACCTCCAACCCTCTCCCTCCAATTTACGTTCCTGGTATGAGGGTTTATGTTAATATCATTTCGAATACTGTCTTAGCCTGCAGAAAAACGTGCAGCTGCAAGGAAACATTTGGACCTAAGGAAACGAAAAGCTCTGGCAACACTTTTCAAGATACTGACCAACATGGGTAACTAGCTTTCAATGCTCTTTGTTTTTTTCTCACATCATTTTGTTTCCATACCCTGGTGGCTAGTATTCATATCCTTTCAATATTTTTCCATCGTAATTTTCAAATTTGGTTTTTTCAAGGACTATCTTACCGCAAAGGCCTAGCCATCGCATCGAATGAAGACTCAGAGCTCCATATAATGTCACCTGTTTTGGATTTCGATAACCAAAACATGCAAAGGTATTTCTTATGCAGAAACACAAAATGCTTTCTTTTTAGATGTTCCGCGATTCATGTGTTTACTGGTTAGTTGAAGTAAAGCAAATCTGTCATTCGTATTTGCTTATTTCTAGCAAAATGTTGGTCTGCAATCGTACTTTATTCTGCTTTTAGCGTTTCCTACCTTGGGGTGTAACTAGCAAGCTTTCAAAAATTTCTCTTTACTTTTCAAAAATTCACTTCGTAACAGATTATCTTCAGTTTAAAAATAGAGTATGGAAGTAGCAAAAGGAACCGCCAGTCTCATGTAGAGATTGTATTTATTTTTGGGAAAGTTTTACCCGCGTTTCCTATTAATAATTATCATGGGGAGATCTCATATTTGGATATCCATCTCTTACAAAGTATATACCAAAATTAGCCCTTTGATAACTAAGTTGTATTTGCTATAGAAAGCAACTGACAATGCACGTATCGTAATATTTTGCTTGTTTATGAATTATCTCTATCAATCGGCTTTGTTTATGATTGGCACATAATTTATATTAGGTTTTTGCTATATGTTTGTACGTAGGTGTTGAAATGACGTCACAATTTATTTCCACATGTTTCCTAGCCTGCCTGCAGACTCTTGAATTGAATTGCAAATGTTAATCCTCCTGTAGATTAACATTTGCAATTCAATTCAAGAGTCTGCAGGCAGGCTACATGTTTCCTGGTACCCTTCTGACACTTAATACCAAAAAATGAACTTATTCCTAAATACTTTCTTATAATTATTTATTCATCATTCTTTATTATACGCTTCTTTTAAATATCTTGCAGCGAGCATCTGTCTAGCCTCAATCGATCTTGCTATGACTACTACTTTAGATGCCTTGCTCGGCAATCAGCTCTTTCTCAAGCACTAAGAACACCGTCAAAGGTATTTGGAAAAGATCTGTTCAATTTTGACTTCCTTCAAAACACCTTATTTTGGAATAGCGTTCATAATGCTCGTAGTGGTTTTGTTGTGTTTGGAATTTGGCCATACCTCAAAGAACAGGCTCCTTAAAAGTAATATTCGTTGGTTGAGGTTTAAAACCAAAACCAATCATATGTCAATTTTCAAATCCCGAGAATAAAGATTTGAGCTATCGTTAGAATGAAATTGTGGTATTGTATGCCACGTTTTAGACGTATTCTAAGATGTAGCAATGCTTTTTAACACCATGTCGTAAATTTTCTGAGATTTTATTGCCCTTTTGATTAGCCAGCTTTTTGTTTAAAAGAAGAATCACATATAACTTATTTATGTGACCTGTCTTGCTTTTTTCCTGTTTGACAGAATCTTTTCAGAAGCGGACAAACCCGTTCTTTTAAACTGGCCTAGCAATAAAATAATGTTTTCGTTCTTTGTATAGCAGCAATAAAACTGCTCAAAAGATACCAGAGAATTAAGTAACTGGCAATAAAATAAATTACTAAGGAATCTGGTAATTTCACCATCGTCTGCTTTGGATCTGCAATGTGTCAAGGATCAGGAGTCAAGGATATATGTGAGAAGAGATAGTAAACCTTAGAGCTTGCAAATAAGCAGCTTAACCTCTGTTTGTAGCGTCAAGATTTGTCTTATTCACTAAGTGTCGTTCATAGTCTCCTGCAAGGGAAAATGGCAACAAAACAATGAGCCAATAAACCTGCTGAGTGTAAAGTATTCAGGTAGTCTTGTACAGAGCCTCTAAATTATCAGGTTTTGGGGCTTTTGAATTGCATTTATATAGTGGCACAATTCAAATAATTCTGGTTTGGGTATTTTTTAACCTTTTTGTGCATTGCTGAATTGCAACGCCCTTTTTTCAGTCTTTGACGTTTTTCGTACATTTTAAAAAAACATTAACACTTTGAAGCATTGTTACTTTTCATGCATTAAAAAACCTTTTAGGAACTCAATGCTCAAGACATCGCAAGATGCAGAGGATTTGCAGATCATTTGCACGCAGTTGTCCAGAATCAAAGACAAAATCTAGCCTCTCTGATAAAGAATTATAAGATTATAAGGTAAGGGGTTTCACAGCTCTCATTCCCAGGGTACCCTATACCAAAGTAAACGTTTTTGGTGTATTTCACACCTACAGCCTACTTTCTCCTGAACCCTGATACAACAAGTATGTTTTGAATTGGCACCTTAGAGATTTTTAGGACCGTTAGAAAATGTTAAAGTTCGATATTTTGATGCATATTTTGTTTTCATATTTTAAGTGTCCTTGAATGTCACTGGTGAACAAATTTTGATTTCCAACTCCAAACCTCTAGTTAAAAAGTCGAGTTTTTCATTTATGATCTCTTTAATTGACAGATGTAAATCAAATAATTTAGACGAGCTCTTGAACGCAAATGTTGAGAACACAAGCTTGAGTGCAAAGTCTGTTCCACCACAGACCGTTGCTTTCTGCTCTCTGGTGAGTGTTTTTTCTGCATTGTTCTGCAAATTCTTACGTTCTGCTAAGACATTTCGCTAAATTGAAGACAGAACAATTGATTCATTGACGGTATTTTAGAATCGTTTTTCTACTTAAAATGTGCCAAAGGCTCATTTTGGGCCTCTAACTTTGTTTTATAATTCTTATTTAGCTTAATCTTCAAAAGCGTTTAGACATCTATTTGAGTTGAATTGAGTCTAGTTTCCTGCAACATACAATGAACTGATCTTGAAGCACAAGTTCTTATGATTTCATTGCCTTTGTTAATAGATGAAGCTGAAAGATCTTCTTGACTTAACAATTTATGTGATGAAACAGTTCAGTTTGCTTGTCAAGTGTTGTCCAAGTGACAACGCGTATGAGGCTGTTTGCCTTCTTCCTGAAGATGAACTGGCGCCCATCAGCAAACCCACCCTTTGTGTTGAGAAAAGATCTGAAGTGCTTCAGGCCATTGAGGTATTGTCTCGTTTTGTTTACATGTTATGAATGGTAACAAATCACTGAAAATTTTTCTTAAAGCAACAAACCTCTATGGTGTTTTGACAGTTTGTTACTGCACATCATGATTCTGATGCAGGTTTCTTTAAGCAATGGCTGACATATAAAAACGGCAAAGGTGGGGGGGGGGGAGAACCTGGGTTGTCTCAAAACAGGTTTTATTCTATATAAGTTATAGATGTATGTAATTGATATCATATCCAGCTTATAGGCCTAAACGCTCACTGGAATATAATCAAAGAAAAATCTGTGTATTGTCCGCTTTTATTCTTCGATCCACGAGCAATTGCTGTTTATAGCTTGTAGTTTTTTGCATAGTCTGAACTGGATTTTGTATAAAATATTTCCTGCAGTTATTGTCTCTGGTGGGTTTTCTGCGTCGAACATCGTCTTTTATGAATCACTGATATTATTGTTGTCTTAAAATGAATATGCCCATTATGCCAATCCACATACATCCTCTACATCACAGCTCTTTACAGCTCCTGATGTACAGCTCTGCATGAACAGCTCTGCAGTATGGCATCGAGTACTATATTACGGATGCCAGCATTAGTTTTTTAAATATAGTTTATGTGGTATTCGAAAAATATGCCCTAAAAGCGTATATATAGCATTTTGAAATAATTCCAACCTGGGTATGATTATATTGATTTCATCAAAAGGGTCATTAGAAAGTAGAGATAAATTCGTAAAGTAAAGATCAAGTAGAGTATATCTCTAAGGACTTACAATACAGAGAACAATATCTTGATGATATCATTTAAAAGGACTTATTGCGACCCACCTGTGTTTTAGTGACTTATTATTTAGATCGAATTTTCCTAGTTGAAGACAATACGATAATAACCAAAATTTTCGTTTCTGCTTGATCAATTCTTATTCATGACAGTTCCTGTTGAACTAGGCCGTACATTGATGTTTTTGTGTCATATACTAGTTAGATTTGATTTTGCTGTGTATGGATGTTTCCTCTGCTATGACGATTGTTACAGATCAAAGATTAAAATCTTGATTGCAGATTACTAGGTATTATGGATATCCTACCCTCTTTTATGCTATGCTGACTTGTTTTCGGGTGGCTTAAGAAACCATCTTTATTGTTTCCGCAGCGAATCTTGGAAAGCAGTCTGTCAAAAAAATCAGACATCGATGAAATCTTTAACAAGATTCTAGAAGATAATTCCTCGTATCTCTTTTCCCGGTAAGCTGTTTTTTAAACGCAACTTTTTGATGGTCCAAACTGCCTAACAAGATTGTTGACTTCAGAGTTAATTATGCAATAGTGAATCCGGACAGCAAATCAGGCAAAATGGATTAGTAAATCCAATGTTTGAGGGACTTCTCTTTACCCTTGTAAAACCGCTCCCGATCTCTGCGCTTTTCAGTAATCCAGTACTTTCACATCTCTGTTATTTATATTTTGCCCAAAATAAAACCTTTGGATCAAAATTTAGCACCTGTTGTCTAGGCTTAAACTTAGTAGTTGTTTATAAATAGCTGACATTCGATCGCTGCCCCTTCCCAGTGCAGAGTTGAAAATATTTTTTGGGTGGTAAGACGTGACTGTGTTGCAACGGAGCAGAGAGGATAAGAAGTGTGACCACTGCGATCTTGCAATGCTTCGCTTGCTAGAAGTTTTTTGGGTCGATTACTCCGATACACTGTTGGAATTATCCCAAGATTTCATTTTTACGTGACTTTGTTTTAATATTATCATCAAAACTTAAGGAGAAGACTTTTAGACTTTCTGTTATTTCCTGCTGTAGAAAGTTCAATGAAAGATTTGAAGTTCAAAATAACATTGATTTAATACCCGACGTACTAAATTTGTATTAAGGTTTTAATGCTTCTAAAGAAATACGATTAGCCCTCTAACTCTAGCGTATAAATAGCACATTGCAGATATCAAAACATGTAGATGTATGTGAAACCGTCATAAGGTATTTATGGTGATCTGCATTTGACCTAGGAATTCCCAAATCCTTGGTGATCGAATGGCTTAATGATTGTGTTTGTAGACATCTTTTTGATCGGAAGGTACAGCAAAATCATGCAACAAAATGTTTGTCTGATGCGTGTTAAATGTAGTATGGTTCCATTCTACCGTGCACCCTACAGTTTTTATTCTGCTAAAGTTTGTTTCACATTGTACAGTCAACGCCCTATACCTCTGCTGTACCCTTATGTAAAGTGCCTCTCGTCTGTTGGTAGATGTTACTTTTTTATCTAGGAATAACTTTATGCATTGCGTAAATTCAGCATTTTATGGTGCATCGATTAATTGATTCTTTTAATTGCAAATTGTTATTTTCATTCAGCCAACAATACAATCTTCTTGAGAATACAATAGAGATGTTATGGAAGAATTGTGACCACTTCGCTGAGATCGAACAGGCATTCTTGGCACCAAGGTTGCAATTTATTCTCCGTATTTCACTTTTGCAATCTTTGACAAGAAAAAATTATATCTCACGTTTCTAAACATTTACAGTTATGTCAATGCAGCCTTATTATCAGATTATGTTATCCTCATACTTTGTGTGAAGGTTTCAAATAATTTTTGCTCACCTGTTGTGTCAATTTATTATGCAATGTTTACGTTGCAATCGGGCACTTTTATGTCGATAATAATTAGTCCAAAAAGTAGCCATTTATGTTTATATTATTTGGTTAAGTTAAGGCCCATGATACTCAGTGTCTCTTTATTCGCTTGTGTTATGTCTTCTGTGTTGCCAATATCTGCTTTTCGATAAAAGATAATTTTAATCTTGCTTAGTATTCAAAGGCTGTGAAGAGGTGGAGTCCAGGTGAAAATTTGGGCACGCAAAACTAGGAGCATGAAAAAAATTTAACCAATATAAATGACTCATTTCTGTACACAAAGCACAAAACTATACGTAGACCTTCTGTTTGGCTGCCAGAAGAAAGTCACCCTACGACTTGTGGGAAAAGGAATTTTTTATATGCATAATATGTACGGGATTGCATTTAATGTTACCAGATTTATTTTTAACGCCGTTTCTTTAGATATTGATACTTGCCACACATTGATGCAACGCTTTTACTTATGCAGGGAGGATCCAGAGACAAGTATGGCACGCAGTGTATACTTGTTGCGAGTCAAAACGCATTCCATTCTGCAAGAATGCAAAACGGATCTCTCTTCTGTCTATCGTACTGAAGCTGAACCACCTTCAAACATTCCAGGTAAAGAATAAAACTTAATAGTTGCAAGTCCAATACTAGAGTATTTTTCTTCTAAGAACTTTATGTTTGATTTTTACAGATATTTGATTTCTACCACTGACAAAGAAATCTTTAATTTGGAATAGTTATAAGCATGAATTGATCATAGAAGAAAGGCAACTCACAATTCCTTTGATAAGTTGGTATAGAGAAGAATGAAAAAAGGAATAGATCCTTGAGGAGGTCCGCATTTAGATGTTGCGTTTTTGTTTCTTTTCCCATTGGTCAAGACAGCAAAAAATCGTGTTTAATCTTGAAGTATTAAATAGTGTTCTGTAAAGAATCAAAATACTACTTTTTGTTTTTTTCTTGGATCCAGGATTTGAGAAGCAAAGAATTTGTATTTATTTCTCTTATGAAATGTAAATGTGAAATTATGTCTTGAATTTTTCCCGATGTATTTCATATTTGAATTTTCTTGAATTTTCTTAATACATATCATTTTTACAGACCTTGGCCAATCGGTTGAGCATCTTTTCAAGGGCATCTTGACATGCGTCCAGGAGTTATTAACTCTCGAAAAGCCCGTCAACAATAAAGAGGAAAATGAAGAAAATATAAAAGGTTGGTTGAGATATTTTCTCTTTGAGTTGATGTTATGGTCTGTGTCTTTATGTGTTACTGGTTCCTTTGCTGTATTTCATTACGGTCTCACGATTGAAGTGGCATTGGAACACAATTAATGTTTGCATTGTTTTACTTTGTTTGAGAGTGATAGGATGACGTCACATATACAAAGTGAAAGCATACAATACAAAAAGTAAAATCCAGCACGGTATTTGATGCAACGATGAATTAATTTGAAGATTAAGCCATGTTTTAACAGGCAGATTATAAATGTGACTTGGCAATGCTTTTTCCCAATTTCACCTCACGGAATTTTTCCTTTTTGAAATGAAACTCCTGATGTTTTTCCTATCAGTCTTTACATTTTAGTTTCTACTAAAGCTGTGCTTCTCAACTATTGTTACAAAGCAAATAAAAGAAAAAGCGAAATTCAATTATTACATGATAGAACACAAAAATGCTTTGCTGGTCAAACAACACAGCAACTTTACCCTTCTAAGCCAGTTCTATCGATTGAATTTTTTTGCTCCAAAATTTCCCTTTCTTTTCCGTGTAAACGTTTGCAAAGTATTTTGAAGATTAGAAACCAATTCAATAGAGAATTTAGATAAATTCAAAATATTGAGAAATGCTAGAAGAAAAGTAGGCAGAATGCAATATTCAAATTTTGTCACGAAAAAAATGAGGTGAAAATTGAAAACCAAATAAAGTTTTGCCAGTCACACTATCTGCTCGGAGGTTGGATTGGGCCCTAAAACTACCCGAAAAGCATGACTTCATGTCCCCCATTTCGGATACTTTGATAATTGTTTTTGCCATGCAGGTGAAAATGACGATGAATTGGAGGAGCTTGATATATCTGAAGGACACATAATACCAAGTCTTGAAAAGGATTTCTTCAGTGAAATTAATAAGCTTAAGACGTCATCAGTTTCCATGAATTTGGCATCAATGTTTCAAGCTGCAAGAGAGTTCTTTGACAGCAAAGAAGAAAACGGTAGTGAGCTTCGGTTAATCTATCCGGTTATCGACCAGTATTCTAGGATGACGGAATACTTCTTGGAAAAGTTGCTTCATTTGCACAGAACTACATGCAAACTGCTCTTTGTTTTGTCTGGTATTTTCACGGACCTCGCCACGCGGGTAAGTTTAACTTTTGTTGAAAATTAATGAAATAGTTTCGCTTTTAGTTTGATCGTAAAGAAAATTTTTATGATAAGTGCGTGATACGAATTTAAAGGCGGTAATAGTGAGGAGCAAAGCAAAACAACGACAAGAATCCAATGTCGTGTGATAGAATGTGTAATTTAATTCGATTTATACTAATAATTTGCCCTAATAAATTGTTATATGAAGTTTTAATGTTTTCAGCAAGCTTTAAAGCCATAATTTATTTTTCTGTTAAACTTTCATTGCTAGTAGCTTTATTTGAGCTTCATTTTTCCATTTAGGGGTTTTGCTTACCCCCTGATGAAGTCGAATCTTCCGGTGAAGGTGCTACTCAATTTGAAGACATTCAGGGCGGTGGAATCGGAGAAGGTGAAGGAATGAAAGATGTCAGCGAGCAAATTGAAGATGAAAGTCAGGTGGGATGACAATTTATCCTGCTGTTATATTAGCTTCCCTTTTTATACGTAATTTCTCAGTACTTATGATGAAAAGTTAATGTCTGCATTGAAAATACCTATCCAATCACGGTCCTAGTACAACATTGTAGGTGATGTTTACAATATTTTACAATTAAGAATTTGCTTTTTCATCAAGGATGTCGCAACCAGGATTATCAGGGGGGCTTGCACCGCCCCGCCCCCAAATGTTTGTAATGAGAAAATATGTTTTTTTGAAAATTGCCAAATTAAGGGCTAACGACAAATGCCACCTTTTCAAACGCAATGCCCCTTCCGCTTCAATGCTTCCGATAGTCTTGTTTGATATCGTCCAAAATACGAGGTTTCGCATTCATGTTATCAGAAATGTATTTTAATTTCTTACACGGAGAAAAAACATCAACAAATGCATTCCATCAATTAAAATAAAAGGCTCCTTCAAAAGACGTTGCGACATCCTTCATCAAATAAGGTCTTGAGGCTACATTCCCTCATCACTAGAAGCAACGCTGGGTCATTGGTGCATCGGCATTAGTTGCTTCACCTATCCCATACAAAAAAACCGAACCTTTGATATAGCTTAATAGACTCATGTATAGGCTGCTTAAAATTCTGGGCAGGGAATGGACAAGAAAAGTTCACTTTTCCCCACCATAGAGCCGATGCACCAGTCCTACCTTAGATACCTAAGATATGAGAAGGAAAGAGAAAATATGACTGAATTAAGAGCCTAGTCTTTCCTAAACGAAAAATATAGAGGAATTTTGAAATGAATCCCGTAATGTCAACAGACCCTAGCCTAATACAATAGAATAAACAAGGATTTGAAGAAACACCCTACGCTTGATATCAAAACCGGAGGGAGGGACGGAAGAAGAGAACAGCGTGGAAACAGCACGATAATCCCAACCCAAAGCAATTAGATACACTTCATAGGATCCAAAGTCAAGGGACGTACACTTTCGTGCAGAAGCCCAAAATACAGAACTCCGTCTTCTCTATTATTCCCAATGGCATCAAAGAAACACATAAGGACTTAAATACCAAATTGAAGCATGACAATTGACACTCAAATGAGAATAATACAAATAAGCTAAAAAAAGAACCCCTAGCGAAATCTAATTGTACAACATCCCTCGTGAAATTAACTCTGATGAAATTTTATTTGATCAGTATTGAGAGGCATTTGATACTCCATGAAAGATGCATCTAAACCATTTATGTCCACATTATTCTTTAGAGCCGTGTTAAAGTCTTGCCAGTATTTGTCTTCCTTTCGATTAGAAAAATACATAGTATATTTATCTTTAGCTGGAAGGGGCTCAACAAGAAGGCAAAGAGAAAGAGGACAAACCAGAACAAGATCGAAACATTCAAAACGAAGAGCATGGCATCGAAATGTCAGATGACTTTGATGCTCGCCTTCATGATGTTGATCCGGATGAAGAAGGAAAGCAATCGGATTCTGACGAAGAACAGGAACAAGAGGAAGAGCAACCGGATGAAAAGATGGGACAACTGGAAGGAATGGAGGAGGAGCGGTTTGATGAGAAATTTTGGGGTGATTCTGATGACGAAGAAGAAAATGATCCCACAGATGAAAATGACAAGGGGCCAGGGGCTGAGGGGCAGGCCGAGTCAGAGCTCGTAGCTAAAGACGAGCATGATGGTAAGTGCAGTTGAATTGGAATTGATTGTGATGGAGTGATTGAATCATTGTCGATCTATTTGTGATTAATATGATTCGATGATTATTTTTTGTCTTGTCTGTTTCACAGCAATTAAAAACATACAACTACATTAAACCGTTAAATTTTTTGCGAATATTTTTTGTATGAATGTAGAAGAGAACTAAGATTTATGGTTAAGCCTTATTCGACAGGTCAACAAAAAGGAGAGGAAAAAGAAAGGAAACGGGAGGAAAAGGAAGAAGTTTCGGAAGAAATAAACGAACTTTCTCAAGATGAGATGAACGATGATGAGAAGCTGGATGATGCTGAAAATGAGAAAAACCAAAACAATGAGAAAAACGAACAGGAAACTGAAGGAGATGATATCCCAGACAATTTAGAGTTTGATGATAATGACATTGGTGAAGAAGAGATGGAGAATGAGCATACCAAAGGTGGTTGTTCTTTTAAAGTCGGAATCATGTTTATTTTAACGTATAATCTATAGTAACATTTTGGTATGGAACATGGACTTAAAGATATTTCGTAAAACAGCATGAGAGATAAGATTTAGGGATAAATCAATTTCTTGAAATTATGATTTAAAGCTGGAAAGAGGCTGATACTTCAAAATTGATTTATTTTTTAGTCACTGCTTATGATCTCTAAGGTCTTCAAAAGACATTAGAAAAACCAGAAATCACAAAGAGCTTTTTATCCTCTTAGATCCGAGAAGGAAAATGCGCTCTTTCATATTTTTTATTTTCTTGCAATTGAAACCTGTTGAAATTCTGCCATTTGATAAAGTAATTTGAGTTATATTTTAAGTTGTTGCAATTTACTAAGTATTAGAAATACAAGCTTGTTTCTCAAAGCTAAATAATCCAGAAATCTGCTCACATACAGAAACCTTTCAAAGAAAAGTGAAAATTTGTAGAATCATTTCAATTAGTTTAGTTATTTTGCTAATGTAAAGCCTCTATGTTAGTTTGATTTATAAAGTATTACATGTTACCACTGTGGTGAAGCACAGATTACATGTTACCAGTCTCCTTTTCACATAATTCCTCACTCCAGCCTCCTGTCTGTGGTACCGTCTTATTCTTGTATCTATTCTTTCAAACTGTATTTTGGGACTTTTAGAAGATGTGTAATTGGTTATTACTTCACTTTTTGTTATGTTTTTTATTAAGAAAATGAAGAAGGCTCACCTGATGAACTCAAGTCTGAGGAAGAAAACGGTGCTGCTGACGAAGATGATCCAGAGAGCAACGAAAAGGAAGAAAAGGATGAGAATATTGAAGAGGAGATAAATGAGACGGAGAAAGAGAGAATGGAAGGAGCTGAGAAAGAAAATGAGGATATTGTTGAAGATAAAGGGAAAGTTGGAGAAGATGCAATGGTAATATTTATGATTATCGGGTTTTATTGCCACATATTAGATTCATAACCATAGAAGTCTGGGAGACGAGGGGGTGAAGCTCCTACTTGAGAGCTAGTGAATTTTTAAGGTTTTTTGCCATTCTGGAGAGATCGGCTGGAAGAAGTCAGCAAACAGTCCACTTTTTTCTCACCATGAGTACTCTTGCCTTGGCTGCTCTACTTTATCGAGCAGATATCCAGTGACAATGTGATTTAGAAGTTCTAACAGCTCATGTTATAACCTAAATGCGTCATCGTTGATTCTTCTGATATCGCTTCTCATTATTCAGGATGATAATGAAGATCGTGAGGAACCAGATGGAAATGCAGATGAGGTAACAGATAAATCCTTTCAAACCAGCTCTATGTGATGACATTTGAATTTTATAGCAACGCGACCCCCTGATGTAATGCTTAATATAAAATAAACATGCTCAAAGATAGGCAAGGGTTGTCCAGTAAAAAACTTAAAAAACTAAGAAACATATTTCTGGTGGTCGTTCACATTTAGTATTGTGATCCACATCTAAATGTTGACTCTTTTATGTATTAAAATAATGCGGTACGATATCCTTGTCGATTCTGGCTTTGTTATCACTGTGCATCTGATTGTGTATCAAGCTAGCCTGCGTGCAGCCTCTACTGTTAATGCGGAGGAAGACGGAGGGGAGGAGGATCTCCCCAGCGCAAATCAGTGAAATTTTGCGCTTTTTCCTCCTCCCCTCCATCTAACAATAGAGGCTGCACGCAGGCTAGTGTCAAGCTGGATGAAGGATGCGCTCGAAATTCTGAGGTTGGCTGCATGGGTGGGGCATTATATACCTTATGAACCTATTTCTAGAGCGGGTTGAAACTTGTGACAGGAAGATATCTCATATCAGAGCTTAATAAGATATGCTCAGGACAGTGACCTCGATACTACGAGTTGGCTCGTAGAACTCCAATCGAATCCAATTTTTATTTCTACTTCTGGTATCAGCTTTTTGTTTGTCTGCACATGTTGATGTTGAAAAAAATTACTTTTTGTACAGAATACGGGTCGTTAAGATACGTACTAAAGGTCTATGCTGCACCTTTTTATTCTTTGCCATATTCATCAGCGTCATGTGGTGTGTTACTGTACCGTATCTATTTTGAATTGGTTTTATACGAAAGAGGGCGTGTTGTCATCAAATTTTGCCGCTACCTGAAGTAATTAACTGAAATTGCCTTGTTTTATAACCCCTAAATTCTCTCTCATTGAGAATTTCTTTAAACTTTCATTTATTATTTTCACAGCACGATGTTATGGCTGAGCAATCTGAGAATCAACAACACGGCTCGAACGCACCTGATGCCGATCTTAATGAAGCTACTGCCCAGATCGAGAATGAACTGGATGACCAACAACAACAACAGCGAGAAAATCAAGGACATGGCTCAAGTCAGATGGAGGCTGGCGATGGCCATTCAGGAATATCCTCGTTCAGGGAAAATCAGACTTCGAATGAGAAAAAGGTCGAGACATACTTTTTAATAATGTGACGTTTTTGGGCAAGATGAGTGTTGTAGGTTCTTGGTGCCCCGCCGAATTACTTTATTACTTAATCTTTGACCTGATTTTTTCTTGTATTTTTCAAGCAACAATTTCCTCGTTTAAAGTATTTTTTCAGCTGCAATGCCTGCTGTAATTCTTGGTAGTCTAACGTCAGTTTTCAAGGGCAAATTCAGCCATTCCCCTCCCCCACTTTGAACAGTGTTGGTTTTCTACAAAAAGTCGCAGGTGATTAGGAAGTGCAATTTTTTCTTGCAACTTTTAATATATGTTTCTAACTTATCAACATTGTTTTGGGGGAAGTGGAAGTATTTGGGAACAGAATTGAAAATACAAAAACACAACGCAAATTGCTGGGTTTTCCAAGTACTTTGGACAATTAAATATGTACGTTGCGTGTGGTACTTCATCCAAAATAACGATGATATAGTTAGCACATGCTCGAAACGTCGTGTTTTTTACAATCAAACTATTATATTTTCACTCTGGTACTGAATTTATTTGCTAACTATTTTATTGTTACTTTTGGCAATTAATGTAGGTTTCAGCTAAAGAATCTTGATTAGAACAATTTTCTTGTTCACCTTTCTTTCTATTCCTTTAATGTAGTCTGTCTATCGAGGCAGGAATTTTCTTTACTTAGTGAAAAGGAATTTCATCTTAATCGATTTTTGAAATATATTTGTCTCTTCCTCAAGCAGAATAGGAAAAAGGACTATAATAAATCACGGCAAGACCGATCTCTTGCTGATGATGTTGAACAGAGGCTCAAACGACTGAAGACGGAAGATCTAAAAGAGAACCAAGCCAGAGAAGACGAAACGGTTTGTTACTTTTAATGTTGTTGTTATTTGTGTTTTTTCCTTGACAGCAATATCATCGTAATTGACTCTGTATAATATCTTATTTGACTTCATTTGCAAGACATGGACATAGATTTGAGATGTATGAATCTTGAATTGGCTTTGAATAAGCAATCAAATTTCTGCTTGTTTTTTTTCAATACCATCTTATATTTTGTACCACAAAAAACTGTTCGAATGCTGAAGTGAATTTGCAGCTGTTTTTTAATAACTTTCTTTGTTTATTTCTTTTCTTTAATAGCTATTTTATGTATTCTGTAACTGAATATTTTATTAGAAACATTGTTTGCTCTTTGTTCTTTTTTAGATTTTACTTTGATAGATATTTGTCGGTATCATTTATAACCGTTGCACATTATTTAGGACAATGCTGAAAAACAAACGTCAGATTTGTACGAGCACGTCCGAGGTGGTGACCATTATGACGCCCAGACCCTTGACGCTGCAACTGCTGAGCAAACTCAAAGCCAGTCCAACATGGAAAAGCCACAAGAAGAATCCGACGTAGAAATGAGTGAAGAAGAAGCTAAAGATGAAGAAACAGCTGTGGAACAAGATTTTGAAATTGCTGAAAGTGATAATTTGGTAAGATGTGTTATAAGACAAATGCTCTATAGGAATAGGATATAACTTTCAAGCCAACAAGATCTTGACTGAAAGTTTTCAGTGAAATTGTTTACACAATGTTGAAGATGCGAGTCTTTGACCTGGAATTTAAATTTTAGTAAAACAATAGATAATAGGACTAGACAGAAGAGAGAATCAATGCAACATGGACAGAGAATAAAAGGGAGTAAAAGAAAGAGGTCCAGGTTCAATGAAAGCCTCTTCTAATTATATAAAAATTCGGAAATTATGAAGGCATTTTGTAATTATTTTAAATTTAGAGCCGAAACCGAGTCATACTTTTCTGTCTTTATGATTTTGAGATAAAATTGAAGACAAATTGCTTTCATGAAATTACTGCTTCAAGTTTTATGAACACTAGGCTGGAGCGTTTTGTAAAATATTTGTCCATTTACTTGGGTAATATTTTTCAACAAAGCAAATGTATTGCGATAACAGAGCCAGAGAAGAGACTGTCTTGGCGAAATTTTCTTTATTTCGTTTCGTCACTATACGTGACTGACTAAATGAACAAAGAATGCATATATTTGTAAGAAAATGGTCTAAAATATAATGTGGTTAATAGCCATGAACTAACCAATGTACGAGGAGAGAGAATGGCCTATGATATTGTGAAGACTTATGCTGTGTATGACGCATGAGGATACCACAATGGTATGAGAGAATAGATCAGAATGAAAATGGATAACTGAAGTAGAAAGTTTCCTAAATATTGCAATGTCTAAAGTCATCACTAATCTATTTTTCCCGCACTTTTTTCTATTTGACACTGCGTAATTACCTCATATAATTACGTGAGTATTACCGCATGCATTTCATGTTCATTTTCGAAGCAGCAGAGTAAGAAGTCAAAAAGCTCAAAAGATCAACCCGTGTTGGATGACAACTTCGACGACGAGAAGTTCAATAAAGAAGTTTCTACAGAGGAGCCAATGGTTGCCGAAGGGATCGACATTCGCAGGATCGATAGTGCCTTTTTTACTTCAAGAGAAGCTCTGACTAAAACTTTTGATGTTGCTTTGGTAAGTTCAGCCAGTCTTTTCCGCAGTTAATGCACTTTGTTAAAATGGCACGAAAAGACGACTGGTCGACGCGTCATATTATATTTTGCGACTGTACTATGCTGTACTCTCCTTCATGTATGTAAACCGTTTGTAACAGGGCAGGATGCTTTCCTTCATGTATGTAAGCCATTTGTAACAGGGCAGGATTAATCTGGAAAGGCCTTAAAATTTCTAACTTTTTTGGTACTATTTTGAAAGAATCTATTTCAAAGCTTCCTTATGTTTCCTAACCCAAGCAATGGAAACAAGATCACTCTTATACAGGAAAATAATTTTCTTACGAGACTTTGTTCCACACAAGTCACATATTTTTGTCCCATCACTCTGAAAGCCATGTTGCATAGCGTCCTTCAGTGGTACATTCGCCAGTAAACCTTATTTTGTTTAACTTACATGAGACAACAACGCTCGGTGGTATCGTATTGGTTTAGCACGACCATGTAATGTCACAACCACAAAAGGTTAAAGTTATTTTAGATCATAGGATGCACCTGATTTCCCATAAGCTATTTTAGTACCAAACTTTATTTTTGCAAACATTTAAACTCTCACTATATATAGTTTGCCCTTATACTTAACAGCCGACATATGAAATGAATGGTTTTCAATGAATAAAATAATTTGAATTTTAGCTTCTTTCATGTCAATAGCACTATCAACTTATGGATTTATTTTATTTTTAGTTTGAACTCGATAGTGATACACTGCGTAAGGAACTTGAGGAGAACCTTGCCTCTCAGAGAAACATTTCATCTCAGGCTGCCGAATCAAACAGCGAGGCTGTTGAAAGATGGCGCAAATACGAAACGCTGACATCACCTTTAGCGCAGCAGCTTTGTGAGCAGTTGCGTCTTGTGCTCGAACCAACACTGGCTAGTAAACTAAAGTGAGTCGTTGAGTTTCTTTTCTTTTGAATTCATTCATTTTTGGAAATATGTTTATTATGTTCATTCAGAAAACGCGTCTTTGCCTTTGTTTGTTTGTTCCGGATTTATCTGAAACTATAAGACTAAGAAAAAAATATGAAAGATAGGCCATTCAAATGAACACGCTCCCGTAGTCATTGAATACAAACACTTATTTATTTTTGTCATATCATGATTATTTTTTTTGAAAAGCAATCGATGCTAAAATACAAAAATGAAATAGACTTTCGAATGAAGAAGAGAAAAGTGTCTTCCTAATATGGTCCTCTGTTGTGCTGACTAATTCTAGACTTGTTCATAGACAGTGAATACAGAGCCTCCGTTTCATGCAATTAGTTGGTTGTTCTCTGTATACCTGATGTCTTTCTTTTTCTCCAGGGGTGACTATCGAACGGGAAAGAGGCTGAACATGCGAAAGGTAATTTCTTATATTGCAAGTCAATTCAGGAAAGACAAAATTTGGCTGAGACGGACGAAAAAGAGCCGGAGGCAGTATCAGATCTTAGTTGCTGTCGACGATTCATCGAGCATGGGAGACAATCATTCTAAACAGGTTGGCTTGAGATTCATTTCGTTTCTCCTTAATTATTCTCGCCTTGATTTTCACACGGTACCATCGGTGGCGGCCCAAGTGACCAAAGTAGTGCAACATTTTTCTAAACATTTTAAACCTGTCAGTCAGCATTGAAAATTACATTCCCGTGCAAAATACCTTATTTTCACAAACTTCTTTATCAATTTTCTTTTGTATGCGTTATTTGAAAATCTATTCATCATAAGAAATTTTTTTCTCCCTCTTTTATCTAAGCGGTTATCATTTTGCAAGAAAAATCAATTTGTTTGTCCTGAGAATTTAAGCGCGTAGCTGCAGCTGTTGGGGCGAAAATCTGGAGAGCGTTATATCTTTCTCATCGATATCGGCCGAGAAAAATTGTCAAAACATAATTTGCAGCTTGAATCATGATTGATTGGTTTTAATTTCCGAAATCGTCTAGACCATATGAGAGAATAGTTTCTATACAACTCCTGTGAAGTCTTGGAGTCTTGGATTGGAATTCCCAAACCCACTTACACCCCGACCTTTGTAGAGCTACTGCAAAAGAGCAAAAGCATTTTCAGCACATTTAGTCTGGGCTTAATTTTTTTAAGCAGAGTTGCCAAGTTCGATATGGGAGTCTCTAGAAAAGAAACATTTGTATTTATTAGCTAAATTGGCATTATATCGAGCGCTAGAGAGATGAACGATTCATTTAGGCTTTCCTTTTCGTTCACAACTGTGACTCTCTATAGATAAATGGGACAGGCCAGCAAATGGCACATTTTATACCTTATTCGCCTATAACGATGTTTTTATCCTTTTTCCACTAAAAATGATCCATTAAAGAGACTATTTTATGATAAAAGGCAAAAAAAATAATTAACAAAATGTGAATGGAGGATATAGCATTTCCCATTATCAGTGCTAAATAAGAAGAAATTTAGACATTTGTTTTGCTCAGGGTATCAATCATCTTAGATTTGTAATGGTTAAAATGCCTTGATTCGTAGGTTAAAGGTGAACAGGCCTTAGTTTTTTAGCTCCTTATTTCCGCAGTTATTTTGGCTGTATATTTTTGATTGCTTACTGTAAATGTTGCTATTAATAATTTGATAAAATTGTGCAAATTTTAATGGTCAATTACGAGTTGTCAAGGTTTGAGAGTCATTAAACATGGTATGAAAAAGATGGATATGGAACGTAAACAGGCCCTGGCAGATGCTGTCGACCAAAAAAATGATCCTTCACCTCTGATATTTTTCCTTTTTTTCAACCTTCACAATCCGGACCACAACTCTATTATCTGACAAAATTTCTTCTTTGCAGCTTGCATTTGAATCTTTAGCTGTCATTAGCAACGCTCTGACGTGGCTTGAGGCGGGTGAACTTGCAGTATGCAGGTAAATAACATGAATAATTAGCTCTTTGTGGAAGAAAACAAAATGTTTTTCTTAGTTTCATGAAAAGCATAATTATTTGGAATGTGAATGAACGGCTGTCAACGAGTAACACAGTTGACCTTCCGAAGATCTGGCCTCTCTAGGACCAGTTTTTTGTCTGCTGTAGGGAGTAACAGTTATCTGAAGATAGGTTGTATGGGGCTATACATGCAAGGAAGAAATTTTCGGACTAATTTGATGTGGTCCTTTATTCTAGTTTTACTTGACATTAAGTTGCGTATTAAATTTAGTTGTGTTCTTAGAGCTTGCAAACATTTCTGTTTTATGACTGGATAAATGTGTGTTAATGTTTAAATACAAGTACAAAAGGTGTAGCAAAATACCTTTTCATGTTTATCAAAATATGCACGATTTAGTTAATGATTTTGTGAAGAAAAGATCAGCATTTTGAGAATCAATAATTTATACTTGTGTCATTTGTAGTGTCGTTGTTTCGTTAGGAAAGAATTTCTATGTTGTAATTTTGAAGCGGATACACAGTATGATATCTGTCCAAACTAGTATGCAGTGCTAGTAACCTATATAAATGCAGTAAGGATCGTTGATGATCAAAAATCATACTTCAGATACTTTTTCCTCTAGCTTTGGTGAGTCAACCAAGTTGCTGCATTCATTCAAGGAACCTTTCAACGAAGACGCTGGGGCACACATCTTGCGTGATTTTACTTTTGAGCAGAAGAAAACACTTATTGCAAAGGTAATCTATCTTTAATGTACTTATTTTGCAAAAGTGGACAGGTATACTTTTTGTTTATACTTGAGGGTCAGATGCTGTTTGATATCTGGTAAGATATCTTGTTCAATCAATCAAGTCGAACTTCTCTGTCTGTAATGATCTTGTCTTTATAATGTTTTTCTTTCTCAAAGAAATGCTATTTAACGATTTAGCTTGGATATTTTGCACAGGTATTCAAATCTGTGAATGTGAAATTTTACTTGAAAATTATAAAAATAACTTTGCTTTCAGATGTTAGATACATGCACTGCTTTCATGTCAAAGGAAAGAACTAATGTTTTAAGAGGATCAGCCAATCGAATCGACACCTCGCAATTGCTACTCATTGTATCAGATGGACGAGGGATATTTCTCGAGGGTAAAGAGGTACGGGTGTATAGCAATTTTATATTCTTAGTTTTGTCACCAACAATATCAACAGTGTCACCAACTTAAAAGCAATCAAAATATACTTTAGCCATCTGTCAACCACACAGATTGCCAATAGTTGTTTGACAGATAGTTTAAGCCACTTTAGCGTTTGTTGATTGCCTTTAAGTAATTGAACAGGAATCCTGTCTCTATGCCCAGCAGTAAATTCTATGTTTTGCAAACCCTCCCATTTCAGTTAAAAGCACTTTGTCCCGACGAATCTCGATGGTAAATTTCGTCGGAAAGGTTCTCTTGAAATGTAAATAATATAAAATGAAAGCAAAATTTGGCATCGTAACTTTCCTGTCTATATTTTAGCCTTATCAACTCAAATTGTTTGTTTGTTTTGCCCTAATTACATCTTTAGCTGGGGGCTCAAGTCAAGTAAGTCTACACTTCCTGTTTGGTCAGACCTTTTAAAACGACATTGGCTTCGTTCAGATATAAAGCATTATCTGTTAATATTCTTGAGAAACGAGAATGCTTTGGCATCACTAGTTTGATGCTGGATAGTCTGGGTCAATTACTACAACATTACGTTTTTTCGTGTGATGATCGATTCAGTCGAAATCATAAACGAGTTGATCAGAGTTAGTCATCATAATGTTAATCTAGAGGTAGACGACATATCAATGTGGTGGCCATCTTAATAAAGCGGAATGTTTATGTACCAGTGTTGATGCAAAATTGCACATTTTCAATTTTTGTTTTAATTAGTACGTGGATACAAACCAAATTAGAGGCAGAATTTTGTGATCTTTCAGATTCTTTGAACAGTAGCGGTGAGACAGGGATTTTAATTGTTTTGGTTTTCCAGTTCAATCGAACGCAGAATGCGACAGTTGTGTTTTAAAATAGTTTTCTGTTTCTTCTCCTCTTTGAAACATTTCTATTGTATTTTTGTGGTCATCATATGGATTATTAAAAATTTTGCATTTTCATTTCACTATTTATACCTCTTTGCTTTGTTTTTCGGGCTTCGATGCTTCGTTCTTTCATTCATCAAAGTTGTTGTCTGTCATGGAATTTTTATCCTTCGTCAAGGTATTCGTGTCTGCGACTCACAGATTCCTATTTAAATACAAATCCCCTGTTAGTCATGAAATATCCATAAGACCAATCCATAAATTTCGACCTCGATTCAGTTTCAGCGCTTCAAGTCTCCCTTTCATGACACCTTTTAGCGTTGCTCTAACAGACCTGATTCTGAACCAAATTGATAATTCCATCTCATATTCTAGGCTGTTGAGCGTTCAGTCAGACGTGCAAGAGAGGCTGGTGTATTCATTGTATTTATCATACTGGACAATCCATCAAACCGAGACTCGATACTTGATATCCGAATACCAATTTTCAAATCTGGTGGCGGTTTTCCAGAGATCAAGTCATATATTGAAGAGTTTCCTTTCCCCTTTTATATGATTCTCAGGGATATAAACTCTCTTCCCGTTGTGCTTAGCGACGCTTTAAGACAGTGGTTTGAGTTAGTTATCAGTGCAACATAGCATGTTCTTTTTTGTGTTAACGACTGGAGACCCATAAAACTCCCTTGTCGATGATATTCCAGTAATTTTTTTAAAAGCTTTTTTTGCCTTAAGTAAGGTCATCTAATTCGACCAACTTGCTTTTAGTATTATTTCACATCACGAGCAATCCATATTTCAATGTAATTCTTTCAGTGTTAATAAGCAATGCCATAAACTCTTGATCATGAATTCTAAAGCACATGATGCAATAATACATGACTTTACCACCGAATTTTCTAGTGCAAAATGGCAAAGACTTGTAATTGGTATGCTCGTTTGAACATTCCCTCTTAGGTTGCATCCAGACTATCCAGACTAATCGCGCCTGGGTTAGTTAAGTAAGATTGAATCTAGATAGCATTTTTTGTGTAAAAAGAGGTTTAAAATGATGTCTGTTCTTATGAAATTTCCCTAGTTATGCTTGTAAGACAAACCTTCAGACGAAAGAACTTTTTTCTCGTCAAAGCGATTAATATATAATGTATTTTTGAGAATATTTTGATATTTTTCATTAAAGCTAGCAATCACAGTTTCGTATTGTCTTCAACATCTCTAAAATATCTTCACCCGATTCGCTTGAAAGCAAAAGATCCGATTCAAATAATTTTCTGTAAGGTCGTTGAAAACTCAAAGGAAATGGCCAAATTGAATTTTAAATTCACTGTGAAATATGTTACTTCTCACAAGTGTACAATTTGATAAAGCCATTAAAAAAGTGATTAGAGATATCATCTGCAAACAGAGATAGAAGGATCATTTGAAGATATGCAAATCTCCTACATGCTGCTAATCACCATTCAATTATTTTTGCGGCAGATTTGGCTTAAATAATAATTGCTTATTTGTTTGCTTGGCCAGGAGTGTTTTTCTGATGTAGGCGTAACTTGCAGATGTTTCCATTTGGTTTCAGTCATTTAGGCTTGTACTCAAGAAGAATATTTGATGATCTCATTTTGAATCGATTCTCCACTCCTGTCTTACTGTCACCTAAAGAGTTTCGTTTTTACTCCTTGTGATATTTGTGTTTCTATCCTTAAGACAGTGATTGTGTTTCTTGTCGAAGATAGAAAACAATATGTACATTATTTTTTATAAGAAACAAAGAATGAAGTTGAGTGCTCCAGTTTGTAATCATTTTTAAAATTTTATAGCTCACTGTATCTCAAGAGTTTCTAAGTTATACTTACCTTTTTACTGCTGAGAAATTTCAAATAGAAACTTGCCGGGGTAGGATTTTCGCAACTGCTTACAGCGAGAGTCAACAATGTTTCTATTGGCTTGAAACATCCGTAATATTTCTGTCAAGAGATTCTCTTCCTTTCTGATGCTGTACAAAGATGTGAAAAGTATATTTTTACTTTCTTTGTATGAATTTCTATTCCAACCAGCAAATTATGTTGATGGAATTTCCGGAAAATTCGAAGTTCTGGGATTTTTTTCCACTTTAATTGTTATCTCGATTGTTTTACTTCGAGTACTGAAGTAACTTAGCTTGTTCTGATTGCCCAGTACCCGTTTCTTATAACGAGCTCTTTGTAAAAATTGAGTGGGTCTTCCAGAAACCTATTCATACCTCTTGGATGCATTTGAAGAGCTTGCACAATTGCAGAATTAGCATTACATATATATAAAAACACTATCTCCTTGCTTTCATTTTTAACAGACAATTGTACATTTTTTTGGCCATTTCTTTATTTATTCTTGCAATCGTAGTAAGTTAACAATATTACCATAAATTGTAATGATTCATGGAAAATAACCTCGGGGACAACTGCACAATAAAAATGCAATTGGAACCTTCAAAAGGGGAGGGAAGGACGAGCCAGAGATCAAGCCACTAGTTAAGGATCAGTCCAGTTTTTTCATTATGTGCTGGAGAAAATACTTACTTTTAAGGAGAAAGTTATACACGCCATTGTTATAAGGAAACTAAGGTCGGGGTCAGTAAGTACTCCGTTAATTTTTTCTTGATTTTAAAAAGTTTCTTAAAATTTCTCTAATTCCAAACTTCTAGATTGCTACTTGAAGGAAAGAAAAATGACATACCAAAGCAAAGCATAACCGAATATAGAAAAGAACACTTAATATGTTGCAAAGAACTCTTTTTTCTATTATCTATCTCAACTGAATCAGAGGCAGATATCTAATCTTCTAAAAGAAGTATTTTTGAGCGGTTTCGTTGAGTTGAGGGTGATGAGGGTGATTACTTAATCATCTCACTGATGTACTGCCAAGCATTTCCGTAAACTCTTCTGCCTTTTTAAATATTAAGTTTTTACATACTATAGATTTGATATACCTGAATGAGCTCTACCCCTCGTTGCGTCTACTCCTCCAGTAGTCATGTTCATGTCGCGACCAATGGATAAAGAGAACGTTCGAGTGTACGTAAACATATACTTCCCACCTATGGAAACCAAAGGTACAGTGAGGGTTACTGCTCCAATTATCGCCACCCAAGACCCTGCGATCTTCCCAGACAGGGTAATAGGAACAATGTCTCCATAACCAAGGCATACCATTGTCTGCAAAGCCCACCACATTGACTCTGGTATGCTTGTAAACTGTGTGTCCGGAGATCCTTGCTCGGCAAAGTACGTTATGCTGGCAAACAAAACACAGGCAACCAGAATGCATTGCGCAAGTACCAAGAAATCTTGAAAGCAGTTCCGTATGATGCTAATTACGGCATCTAAGGTTCGCGAGTGTTTCGAGAGGCGAAACATTCTCAAGACACGGACTGTTCGCAATACACGTAGAAAATCTAGCTTGGCATACTGTTTTTCTAAGTCAAACGAGAATTTCATGAAATACGGAAAAATTGCTAATATGTCAATGATATTGGTTGCAGAGATAAAGAATCGTAGCACACTTGGGCTAAAAAATATTCGCAAAACAAAATCGGTTGCAAAAAATACGTGGAACACCATTTCTGACGTCATAAATGCCTTCAAAACTCGTCCTGATCTGTTTTTGGACTTAAGGTCTCTTTGTACTTCAGGTACAGTCAAGGCAAACTCAATGGATAACGATATAATTATGAGAGCAAATGTCACTATCGAGTAGACCTTCGCTCCAGTAGACGATTCGGGGTTCTCAAAAAACTGCCATGCCTTTGATTTGAAGGTATTTTGAAAGTATTCCACAACCTTTTTCCTTGGACCCTCTGGTTGTGTCCTGAGCTTAGCTATTCTATCTTCATGGATTCCAAAGAAGCGACATTCTTCTTCGAACAGTTCCAATGATAACCAAATTGGTTTGGCTAAGATTCCGTTTGATTGGTAATAAAACAGGATGCTCTCGAATGCCTCGATATTTCTGTCAAAAATAAGCTCGTTGCGATGTATATCAAGATATTTTGATCTCGCTGCTACAGATCCTAGCAAAGTTTCAGGAAATCTCGATAGTGTGGAGAAGCATGTTTCGTATATGGTACCGCGGACGTTTATAAAAACCCGACCGTCTTTTTGCATGTTGATTACTTCAAGCTTGCCATCAAGATGAATCATTTTTGCTTCCCATCCTTTATGTTTCCCAGAAATATTGCTTCTGTTGCTATTTGTTTGTTTGAAGTTTTTCCACATGAACTCTCGTCTCCCTTACATTCTAATAACCCAGACAACGACGTCACTGTTGCGAGTTTACCTGCTTTCTCCCTGCTGTATCACCGAGGTGGGAACCAACAGCATATGGTAGCTATCGCTAAATCGCTTTTTTTTCTGTAAACAAACTCAGTGGAATTCGACTTCTTCAATGCCATTTACGTCGTTACTTAGAGAAACATAAAATGCTCATTGGCTCGCCATGGAGATTTGCTCCCTAAGTCGTTGTAGCGGGCACTGTGCTCTTGAATTCAAGGGCTGAATCAGCTTAGGTTGACCTTCTTTAACGATCCTTAATTCCTATTTATTATTCATAAATGACAGTGATTTTCGGTTGACATTGAATATCTTGCTAGAGTGATCGGGCTTTAGGATCAGTAGCCTAGAACTGGAAAGAAAAAAGTTGCGGTAGTACGCACTGTTTCAGGGCTGTTGCTAAGGAGATCAATGAACAGTGATATTCTTATGATCCAAGCTGAAAGCAGGTGTACGGAGCTTAAGTTCCATTTAAGCCTGTTTTATGATATGATACAGCATAATTTTATATTTCGTACCAGTATATTGTATAGCATAAATAGATTGAGCAGGGGTGTATGATATAATATGATATCTTATTTTGTCCATAATCAGCGAATCCAACACATTAAGATCCGTAATGGCTTTTTATACCCTGGCGCGTTATGTGAGTCCCATCCCTGATTTTGTTCCTTTCATTTTGAGAAGAATTCTATAAAGAGGTTGTATCATGAATAGACTTCAATCCTTTCTTACCTGCTCAGGCCTTCAATTTTGACAATTTTGAATTCTGTTGCTTGTCGAAAATTATTTTTTGATACTTGTAATATATATGATTTTTTTCTTTGACTTTTACCGTCGCTGTTATTTCCTTGTAATCGCCTTTTATTTCCTTTTCCGCTTCATACGACCTTGGAGCATTCTCTTGCATCTACTCTATAGTTCTTCAGAAGGTTTCCAAGTTTTGGAAAATAATACCTGTGAGATTTCATGAATGCAGCTAGTGAGCAATGGAACTGGGGTCCAGGGTTGGGGGCAGAAGAATTCCGAATTTCAGTAGATCCGGAGTGCTCAAATGGCTTAAAACTAGACCATTCAGAATGCCTAAACATTTGTTCATTTCACATTTAAAACATTCCAGAAAACACAGAGAACAGGCTTTAAACATAACAACAACCAATCGAAGCAACGAACAATAATAATGTATAATACTGATACATTAACGTGACATTAACGCGTTTGACAATTATTCGCGCAACAGGTCAGGGCAAGTGATTATGATAAACAATGTAGTGGAATAGAATGTGTTCAGCAACCACTGAGGCGTTAGATTCGAATTGAAATAAGAATGAGGCCCGGGAAGAAACCCGTGAGAAAAGTAATTCTCGTCGTGAGACTGTGAGAAGAGGTCAATATATGTGAGTCTCACGGCCAAACCATGAGACTTGGCATTGGATTTCCTTTTGCTATTTTCTGTGAAATTTTCTAAGGGGTGAGAAATAGAAAAATGGGGAAGGTGCACTGACTGAATGGGAAGCCATGTTGCACTTTCTGATATCTTCTCGCTAAATTTTTCTATAGAAAGGTTTTCAGAGGATGCGTCTGTTCCCATCCACCCAAGATTTGCTGCCTATTCTTTCATCTATTATACTGTGGTGGCAGGAGTGCAAGTTCTCTTCCTACTCTTTTGGTCTCTCCCTTTTTAGTGATCTGAAAAATAAAGGAAGAAAGGAAAGAAAAAAAAGAGGGAAGGAAAGAGGAGATACTGCGTAAAAGTTGCATCATCAGTGTTCTTGGAAAGAGGCAATACAGTTGGAAACGAGGCAGTTAGGCCCTGTGGCTCAAAAAACTTCGAAATTTGGAAATTAGAACTTACCAGCAAAAAAGGTCAATATGTAGGGAACAAAAATGGCCGACAAACCGCGACTGAGTAGCAGCTTGAGAGCGTTTTCAGGTGTAGGCGTGCATTCTGGATTCCCGACTGCAGATGAACTGAGAGAAGAGCTTGCGAATAAAAGGAAGAACCGAGATGCACGAGGGTCGTTGTCCTGGAGTGACATAAAAAGGACAGCGCATGAACATTGTTCTGATAAAGATAAAAAGCTCGTAAGTAGGATTGTTCTTCAATCATCAGCACATTTATATCACAAACTTTGTTATTTTGATGAAAATCGTGGCCAACTGTTGGTGTTGGTTGTGCCTGCATAGGCTAAAGTTAGTATTATGTATATATTTAAATTTGCGTAGAAGAGCTTTGTTTTTAACTGGTTTGGTTTATTTTAATTAATGTTGTATCCAGCAACTTTTATTGGTTAACATGGACATGATTGGTCGTGTAGTTAGCCCAGAAGACTATTAGCTAATCATTGTTAAATGGAAAAGTGGTAATATCCTATGCTCACATTGCCTTCTTTCAACTTAATTGTCTTTGATATTCCTTTGAGCATGATACGTTAAAACTGTAAACACAATCAAAAAATGTAGCCCATAGTTGTGCATGCATATGAAAAAATTGTTAGCTTTCAAGTGACCAGTTTCCCTTCTGCTTTCCTCTATTCTGTATTCATGGACTCCAGTGGCCTACAGGCCCAAGGGTCAGTGATTAAAGCCCCTGCTTTGACCTAACTTTTTTATAGCGAGTACAAATTCAAAGAAAATATAAACATAATTAAAATTTGAAAGATTACTCTCTCCTTATATTTCACCTCTGATTTTTCTTTTGTGGATTAGCTTTTAGTCAAAATGCAGATACTTGAAATGGGCACTGAATGTTTTAATCAAAACCTGGGTGCTCAAATTGTTCAACTGGTTGTGATGAAGTGCACTTTTTCAATTCAATTCAAATTTAATCAAAAAATATTATTATGCCAGTAGAAGTAATATTGAAAAAAAGCTTTGTCTGTACAACCCAAATATAGCATATGGCTTATCTTGTTTTGGCTACAAAATTAAGATTAAAGAAGTTAACAAACTAGGTTACTAACATAACAATGAAACATCAAATATGCAAAGGGTATTTGTATTTTGTAGTTTATAATAAGTCTTTTTTGAATTGCTTAGTAAATGTTTTAAAGTTATGATTCAAAGAAGGTGCAAGTTTATTCCACATTTGTGCTCAAGTGCTTTGTATTGTGTAGTTGTGTCACTTTCTATTTGATTTAAATATTTTGTAGTCTAGTTTTTGTCTTGTGTGATTTTTTGGACTGCTTGTTGCTCAAAAAGTAGATTAGGAACTATTTAAGGTAGTATTCTTCATTATAACTCACCTGATGCATAAATTGTAATATTTTAAGGCTATAGAGATCAAATGTTTTAAGTATGTTTAGTTCTTTATATAAACAATTGGTTGCATTTTTAAATTTATGTTATCTAGTTTTGTTGCATTTTATCTAGCTTTTTCACCTCTATTAAAATCAATAAAGTACTAAAAAATGCAGAAAAAGTAGTAACAAGTAGACAACTCAAACATCAAATACACTTTAGCTGATATATATTTTATATTTTGTGTTAGTGTTGAGAAGCAAAGCTATAGTTTTGAAAAGAGAGATGAAGGAATGCTAGAGGTCGATCACAGAATCCGCTCATCGGTTTCTTTGATCTTTTGCATATATAGTTTGTGAAATAAATCTCGATTCAAAATTTTTCAAGAGAATATTTTTCTTCATCGAAGGCAACATCATTGTTCAGGGAGCTCTTGGCTGCATCAAGCAAGTTTGGTATGTTGCAACATATGCTCTTTTTGTTTTGGATTAATTTTACTAGAATCTCCAAAGCTTCTTTCTAAAATTTTTATTATTGCTTTTGAGCAGGCCCTATGTACTGCAAAATATCAATGTGTTGTGACAAATTTGAAAATGTATGTATGCACGGTTTTAGGTCACTACTTTAATTTTAATCCTGTAGTATCAAATATTAGATAATGACCAACAAGGGCAGAGTATTTAAAGATACTTTTATGATTTTTGAAATTTTTTGTAGCATTCAATGCATTTAAGCTAAATACAGCATAACAAAACACTTAACTTTTGGAATTTGTCTGTAAATCAGTAGACATGAAACACACTATTTTTTTACTCTTTCAGTTGGTGGCACTGACATATCACCAGGTGCAAGTGAGAGTGCAGCTATATTTCTATTTCAGCATTTCAAAAACAGTGATGATGTAAGTGCTGTGGACACTAAAATACTGAAAGATAGGTTTGGTCCCTTTCCTGCAACTATAGCCACACAATGTTGTAAAACTGTTCAAAAGATACTTAATCTTGTCCCAGAAGATGCTTTTGCTCTGTCTAAAAGTGAGAGCAATAAGGAGCAGAAAAGATATGGGCACAGCTTTAAATTAGATTTCAAATATGAAAATGATACAAATTTTGAAGACACTGATTCCGAAGCAGAAAATGATGTTGCAGATAAATTTATGAATCAATTTATGGAACAATTGTCATTAGATCAAGTAAAACCCTTCAATGAGAATCCTCTAGTTGGCTCAAGTTCAACTAATACCAGTTATGAAGATGAAACATCTTGGTTGTTAAATCAGTGCCAGCGGTATTTTCCAAGCCATGATTCACCAGAAAATATGGCTTCAGCGTTATATGATGTTCTCATATCAGACAAAAATGATGCAGAAATTCAAAATGAACTGTTTGAACTTGTTGGCTTTGAGGCAATTGATCTTATTGGGCAACTTCTTAAACGCAGAAAAGAAATAGCAACAGGTGAAGGAAATGTGCATAGGCCTCGTAATGATCGTAAATGGAAGAATGAAGCAAAAAGGCCTGCGGTGGCCTCTCAGGTTACTATTCAGGTAAGATTTTATTTCTTTACAGTTTATGTGTTGTTAGCTGTCACATATGCTTCAGTATATAGAACATGATTACTGAGTTTTTTGCTAGCTTCTAAGACATTTTCTTTAAAGTGGCCAATGATAAAGTCTCACAAATCTAAATCAAGCCATCTTTATTGGAAACCAGCACATTATCATTAATTAAAGCAAACACCATTTGCTAAACTTTCATTATATGTATTTCTTTTTTAAAAATTCAAGCATAAGTTATTTTATCTAGATAAAGGTGTCATTAAAATCTTTGTATTAACAGCTCTATTTACAGAGGCCCAAACACAGGTTGGAAAATGGGGGGAGGGGGGGCAAGTGAAAATTTATTACCCATAACATAAGATTTCAATTGTTTTGCAAAAAATATGGGGGCTGCCATGGTTCCCCCCTTAGTCAGAGACCCTGATTTATATTGGATAATGTTTTTAGATTTTTGTGGGAAGGAAAATAGTATATTCATGATCTATTTTTTATGTATACATCAAGATGGTGAGTGTTTTACCTAAATATGCTGATTACTTATTGGCACAGTAATATAAAATTAATAAATGGGTTTTGATCTCTTAACTATTGAAAAAAGTCAAGCATTAGTCTGTTAAAATGATTCTATGTGCACTTGTATTGTATTGAAGCTTGAGCCATAGATGCTTATGATTTATTCATAATAAAAAGGACTAGAAATTCAAGCTACTTGTAACACACCAAATGCATTTGTTTTTAATTTGATTGCCTATGGCCCACTTCAGATATAGTTTAGATTGGTTGCAAAGTTGTATTCACACTCATATTTATAATATTTTAACCATAAACTATAATATTAATCTTAATTTGTTTATGAAACATCAGTTTGCGAACGTTTTTGGAAGGGAATGGGGAAGATGCAAAAACGAAATTGATTTTATTCTGCTGGATAAAAAGTTATTTCAAAAGCTATAAGCATAAAATTACTTCAGTATCTTTGAATGTGCTTTGTGTCTGTGTGTTTTTGTTTAAATCAGTGTTCCTAATTTTGATTTAGTCAGAGCAAGAGAAGCAGCTTCAGAAGCTACTTAGAAAAGAGGAGAAAAAGCAAATGAAACTTGGGTTGGGACAGCAGTCAGATCAGAGGTGGGAATTACTTCATACTGTCTTTTGCTATACCTTTGCAAAATAGTCTTCATTCCGTGGGGACCTGTGAGAACTGGGCTACTTTTTGTTTCAAAGAGGTCTCTGTTGCCTTGGAATCAACACTAGTGGATGATTATTCAAGGCTTAAGACCTATGCAAGATATTTTTGCTAGTTAATTTGGTTTATTTTTTCAAAGGAAGTTTTCGCCAGCTGAATAGATTTGATCTTGTGATGAAATTACTAGTGAGACTAATTTTTTCTTTATGCGCACTCAGTCATGGATGCAGCTGATTCACATACAAAAACCCAATAGTATTTCAGACTTTCCAAACATTAATAGCTAGCATAAATTGATTTTGTGTGTATGTTGATGCCCAAAGCATTATAGCTGCCAGTGAAATTCTCTTGGTGCAGAGTTTGGCACTGCGTCGAGGCATACCTCAACAACAACGATGTTTTGTGGCAATGGAAAGAAATGCCAAAATATGTTGAACAGTTGGGTTTTCCTTGCTATCACTTGCTATGTTGAAGCCAGCCTACTTTAGTATAATTACTAGCAATGGCTAATACTAAGTTGGGTTCCAGATATAATGAATTAGCGCTGTACTTTTAACAAGTCAAGAGCACGATAGATAGTGTTATTTAAAAACTTTACCACAGACACTAAACTCTAAGAAATTAAGCTCAATCTCCCTCTCTTGTTCTGATGCATTCATATATAAAAATTGCGAAAATTAGTCGAAGAGTTGGTTTTTTACTGTTTACCCTAATTGATCATGATAATAATATTGTACAATAGTGTTAAAGTTAAGGATATGGTAACGAACAACCCAGTTTTCAAACAAATAGATAATGTCTCGTTGACAAACAGACTCCACTGGAAGCATAGTTTTCAAGCAGAAGACAAGATTGCCAATGTTCGCTTACGTAATATTTCCTTTTCCTTCAACACAATGAGGTATGGCCTCACCACGGATCTAACCGCCTACATTCTGCTATATTTCTTCTTTAATACACCATCGATATTTTAGCAGATAATGGTTGTATATATTTTAGCCTGGCTGAAGATATTTCAACGACACCCCTGTTTTCAACGTCCATCAACAGAGACACTCCGAAGCAGCATTATCCTTTCGTGTTTGATTCTTTGGCTGATAGAAAGCAATCCAGTGCTTACGTTGGCGGATCTAAGGTTTGAATTTTGATCAATTTATCAATTTTTCATAGAAGAAATTTTCTGTTTTTAAATCTGTTTGATTTCTTTAATATGCTTTGAAACATGTTTACAACCTTGGGCCTAAAATAGTACTTCCCCGTAGCTATTTAAGCTTCAATTATAAAAACATGTTTCACAAAAGAAGTTTTACTTCAAATTTCTTGGCTTCCTTTATTCCTTTGCCTTTCAAAATATTATCATTATATCTTACTGGTGATAGTGGAAAACCTGTAGTCTTTGAATTAGTAATTTGCTATTTTAGAATTTTACTTTCGATGCAAAAATACGATTCACCATTCTAGACAGAAATTCCTATCAAATATCAACTGCGATAACGAATTCTACAATCCTTGAAGCTTTAGCTATCCTTGAAATTTAGTTCAAGCTTTAGTTTTGTTATCTTTCTTTTTTATTCACAATATCCTCTCAGCTATAAATGCTACTAAAACTGTGCACTTACATCAATTCACGAGAAAAGCTTTATTGCCTGAAAGAATAATTCTTTGAAGTGACAGTTTATTTCTTTGGTATATTTCTAATTTGAAACTGTTTTAAAGGTTTGAAAATCTTTTTTAATTTCCGGCATAACTGGAATCTAGTAAGAAGATTTTCTGGTAGCAAAATTATTAACAACACAAATCTATTGTAAACGACTTCCTTGGATTAGCAAACCATGAATAAATTTTGCTAATAGTTTTTAGTCTACAAAATTCATGATTTCCTCAGCAAGTTATTTTGTTATGCAAAAAGTTGTCTTTCTGTCTCATTGTTTTATATCTTATGACCTCGTCTTATCCCGGTTGTTCATCAACGTCTCTTTCAGAAGGGCGCTGCTAAGCATCATTGATTTTTCCATCTTGAAACCATTGATGTGTATCATTTAGGGAAAAATTGTATAAATTCGTGACTCCTCAACGTTTCTGGCCTCTGTAAAAGCCTGTAAACAAAACATGAAGTAGATCAAACGTTTTACGCGTTTTTAACCTACACACTCTCCACCCCCCTCCTGAGGTCATTGGTGGATGGGATAATTACATTGTAAATGGGGATACACATATGCAAAACAACATCAACGATGATTTGGAAGACGTGGCGTATGAATTGAGGCTAGCTTGACCTTTTGCGATTCATGGTGGTAGTTGTATGGAGAGCACCAGAGACTTGAACAAGGACAGCGAAATCCCTATGCAATATACTTACTGCTTTGTGTTTTTAGTTTGCACTTCTTTTAAAAACCCAATGATCATAAATTCATTCTCTCCCAGATCCTTTTACCAGCTGATATTATCAAGCAGACAACTCCAGAGTATGAAGAAGTGTCAATACCACCAACTCGCTCAAAGCCTCCCAAAAACACAGATAATTTTGTAAAGATTGAGCATCTTGATGAGGTACATCTCTCGCTTTAATATTTTTCGATGTAAAAACAGAGAACAGTGCTTATCTTTGCAGTGTTATTGTTTCAACACTGCGAAAACTTTACTACCCAGAGTGTGTTTAGAATTTTTACTTAAGGCATAACAACTTCACAGCCTCAGACTTGAGACATAATAACTTTGCAAAAGGTTTCCAAAGCGTGATCTGAGCCCTTAGTGTTTTGAAAGTTAAAAAGATAAAAATATATTTCATATCTGTCTAATTGAATTGGAAGGTTTTATGTTTTTAATCAAACGAAGAATGATTTCTTAAAAAGAAATTCATGTGAAAAATATTTCATGTGAAAACAGTATCTATTTATTAAAATAAAAGTCCACTTTTTCCCGGAGCGAGGCTTAACAAAATATTCGGTTCGAAAAACAAAATATTCTCAAGCATTCATGCTAGATATAGCTATTTATGCAATACCATTTAAGCCAGTGTTATCACCGGTTACTGATGAGTGGGGAAAAGGGGGAAACCCCGCCCGTCCCTGCCCATATCACTTCAGATCGTGATCAGTAAAAGACTGGTCTTTATCGAATTCACCTTATTGTATGTGACAAAGTAGGGATATGTGAAACATGTCGTTCATTCAGGGCATATGAATCTTTTGATGTTTAATTGATGGCGGCCTTACGATGTTTATCAATAAAGAAAAACTATCAAATGTATGAAATTTTTGATATGATTATTATTAAAGGCAATCGACTGATACTAAAATGACTTAAGCCAACTTTCAATCAAGAATTGACCAATCAGTTGGTGTGATTCTTTAAAGACGACTTTTGATTGGCTCATGTTGATTGATTGGTTTTTGATTGGCTTAAGCCCCTTTAGTTGTTAATGTATCTTCTAGATAACAAAGAACAACACTCTAACTCGGTCTTCAATACTCCATTTTCTATTTTCACGCTTCGAACATAACATAACGAAACGGGCGGCTGCCCAACATAACTTATAAACGAGGCTAATAACGTCACATTAGTATCTGTTGATTTCTTTTGTTTTTTATGGTTAGCAAAATAATTTTCTAAAATTGTGCTCGCATTGTTGGGTGAAGTTTGTTGTTGAAATTGATAGTAATTTTACCGGATTTTACTGACTTTGATTCACAGATTGGTCGTTTGATATTCAAAAGTTTCAAGAAGCTGAACCGAATACAGAGCATTGTGTTTGACATGGCCTACAACACAAACGAAAATCTTTTGGTAGCTGCCCCAACTGGTGCTGGAAAAACCAACATCGCGTTGCTAACTATAGGTCACGAAATAAAAAATAATATAAAGGAGGGTGTTTTAAAAAAAGATGAGTTCAAGGTAAGTTCTAATCGATTGGCTTTAGATATTTCATCTTGGTTTCAGCGCAAGGCTTAAATCTCATTAATAAATTGAAACGTTTAATTACTCTCAATACTGGGTGCTGATCCATTGAGCTGCCGCTAATCGTGGACAACTTGAATTGACCACATAACAGCACTCATTAGTGTTGCGTTTTTAGCTGAGTTACAATAGCAGTCACAGTTAAAACAGCAAAGGGGGATTAGTGGCCGCGTGAAAAGTTGCGAATTTAACGAATTCTGAAGTCAAGAAGCTTCGAAAATATTTATGCTATGACAGCAAGGAGCATTTGCTGAAGAAACCATCAACTCTGTTTTAATTTAAGCCCCTTTTCCTTTTAAGCCCCCTACTTTATTCAGCCCCCCCCCAGTAACCACTACTAGAGAATTTCGAAATTTAATATTTTATTTTTGATCGTTACTGTGTTGTCATTGAGCTTCGACTCACAAAGTTTTGTTGATTGCTTACAGCGCAATGTCTATCTGTTGTAGCTCCATTTATACTTGTATTCCTTTTCAACTGATAGATTGTCTATGTTGCTCCAATGAAAGCACTGGCTGCTGAGATGACAGATAATTTCAGTAAGAGGCTTGAACCTCTTGGAATTTCAGTCAAGGAACTGACAGGAGACATGCAGCTGACTAAGAATGAAATTCTCAGAACCCAGGTAGCCTCCAATTTTAATGTTTTATTGGTAGTTCTATTGCTAGGACACTCGATTTAACATAACAGAGGTTTTTGTCCTTGCTTTGACCATGCTTGCATACCTTGGCTGGCGCTTGGGTCGATGGGATTGGCCAGCTGTCTATTTCTAAGCTTCAGCATTTGAATTGCACTCACCTATTTATTCCGTGGCATGCCCCATAGAGATCGAGTGCCATTCTACAGAGGCTCCCATTAGACATGCGCCTACTGCTTCCTTAGAGATCTCGTCCCCTAAATGGAAGAGAACACTCATTTGTTATATTTTTATAGCTAAATGAAATGCCATTTTGTCCTTGTATGAATTCATCTGTTGTAAGATCCAAAATGGAGTAGAGGAGCTTTCAGCACAAATTGTACCCCTCTAACTATGAAAGACGAAAGTAGTTTTGGAGATTATGTTGTTAAAGGTGGTTGGGATAATCTTTCAATCTAGTGATGGACACAACAGAAGTGAGGCGCATCTAATGTGTAAATTTGGTAATGTTTGTGCCTGTTTGAATATAATACTTGCAAGCATGCTCATTGCCTTTTCTTGAAAGATTGTCAACATCTTTTGGCAGGCTGAAGTACAAAGTGGTTGAATGTGTTTGTCTTAGAACATTGCTTTCATATTCAAAGCAATATGAATTTAGGATTCACACTTAACTCCCATCCATTGTTATTAGGCGCATAGTTATAATTCAAGTCTTTTTCTGTCAAAGATGTTGGTTACTACGCCTGAGAAATGGGATGTTGTGACGCGAAAGAGCACAGGAGATGTTGCATTATCAAACCTGGTGAAACTGTTGATTTTCGATGAAGTCCATTTGCTACACGACGATCGAGGATCTGTTATAGAAACACTGGTGGCCAGGACTCTTAGACAGGTTGGGTTACGTTCCAAATCCAGCAAACAGTGGCTAACAGTAGACAAATAATAATAGGGGAAGGGGGAAATCAAAGTGGGGTGGGGCTATCATCCACAAAGACTCTGATATTTAAAAGCAGATGTATGTTTTCTTCTTAGTTGTGGAAGGGGGCCTATTTCTACATAGTGTCTGCTAATGTTGTTGAACTTATAAACTTGCTCTTTTTACATGATAATAGTGCAACACATTGTACCCGAATTTCCTACCTTAAACGTACATATTTTGATAGCTCATTTCCTGTTGTACTTTTTACCTTATTTTAAATACTGACATTTTACTGCGCATCCTGCTTTGACAAGCTCCCATAATATTAGAGAAACGTCACGGTAAAATTTAGTACAAAATATTGATAGATTAAATGACTAGGTAGTTTTCGTTTAAAAAATATTCAAAAAAATGTTTCACAAATCACGTGACATTACCTTTTTACGTATGCCTTACATGAGTGTCTTCATTTTTGGATGAATTTGAAAAATATGTCTAAGAAAGTCAATCTATTATTCGTTAGTTTAATGAGTATATTTGTTTGTCTCGATTGCCATGTGCTGATGTATTTTTGTTCTAAGGTGGAGGCAACGCAAAGCATGATTCGAATCATTGGACTCTCAGCTACGCTGCCAAATTACTTAGACGTGGCTAGGTTTCTTCATGTCAATCCACTCAAAGGATTGTTTTTCTTCGATGAGCGTTTCCGACCAGTTCCTTTAGGCCAGACATTTGTTGGAATCAAGGGCTCAAACTACATGCAAACAATGCAAAGGATGGATGAAGTATGTTACGACAAAGTTCTAGATAATGTTGAGCAGGGACATCAGGTAAATATTGGCCTAATCAAGGTTTCTTTTCGATCAGAATAGCTTTTCAAAGTAGTAATGTTGTGTCTTCTTCAAAGAATTTTGTATCTTTTTTAAGTTTAAACTTCTGTCCATTTGCTTGTCTTAAGCTTGCAAGATCTGCAAATGAAATTACTTTAGTGCTTGAAGTCATTTTCAAGAAAATAGCCCACCCAACAAGCTTCTTATGATTCACAAGCTGTTTATAGCTCTTTAGTTACTAGGAAATTGCTTCACTATTTCAGATAACACTTTTACGTCATGTAGTCTGTATGATAATTTGCATCATGTTTTAACTTTCTAGAGAAAAATGTAGAAAAGCATCGGTTTCAGTATACTTCTATATGTTGTAAATTGTCATTTCATTCAACAGTGTTTAAAGGAAGGGATAGTTCTATATTTTTCATTGACTGCAAAGGTGTGCCAAAGACTTTTGGAAGGGTTTTTATATGTAAAACTTAAGCAAAGTTGTTGTACGTCTGAATTAGTAAAACCATCAAATAGGCCACTTTTTGCTGATTAGGTCGTAAACCAAAGTCGAAAACAATAATGTGCCTTTGCGATAAAGTCTCCTTACCCGTGCTTAGAGTTACGTCCATTTTTTCAGGTTATGGTGTTTGTCCATGCAAGAAATGCGACAGTAAAAACTGCACTTCAGTTCCGGGAAATTGCAAGGAATAGAGGAGATATAAGTGTGTTTCTTCCGGAGCAAAACGCTTCTTATGGTGGCTACGAGAAGCAAGTATGTTTTTGGTAATTTCATAATTGTTCGCATTAATATGCTTATCACGAACCTGAAAATTGTTTTTTTAAAACTTCAGAACGATTTGAACTAGAGAATTATTGGAACTAGAGAAAGAAAGTTCCCTTTAGCAGCAAAAAATCGTTTCCATTGCATCATAAGTAATTCCTTGCAATCGAGATGTTTCTTTGGCTTACAGGGACAAATGATTGTTCAAAATCTGTTTTTTAGAATGCAAAACACACCGTATTTATTTAAATAATACCTAATGTAAATCTAATGTAAGTAGTAGAAAATAATGTGAATAGTAGGCCTTAATAAGCTGTAAATTAGCTTTTTTTCTAGGTTAATGTAAATAAATAAATGATGCTGATTATAAAATTTGTATTTAGAAGCAATGATGCTTATATGCATTGTTTGTGACAGGTGATGGCATCACGTAACAAGCAGCTTCGAGAGCTATTTCCTGATGGGTTTAGCATCCATCATGCTGGAATGCTCCGGCGGGATCGAAATCTGGTCCAAAATTTGTTCTCTAAAGGTGTCATCAAAGTGCTGGTGTGTACTGCAACTCTTGCTTGGGGTGTCAATCTACCCGCCCATGCCGTCATCATCAAGGTATGTTCTGGAAGTCTTGCACTGATTGGCCGTCTAGGATTAATATGTATGAAACGAGAGACATTTAAGTTAAACATTTGCAAAAATGCTTTTATACGATGGGTAATTTAAGGTAAGGTCTTAAAGGCTGCAGTCGTGCCAAAAAAGTTACTGAAAGCTTTTACTGCAGCTGAGTATTGTTCTGTCCTAATTATGATGCTAAACTTCTTTTCTCTGAGAAAGTTTTTGTTTTATGGACAATGCATGCGTCCCAGCAATCGGAATGTGGAGAAATTAGCATATTAAAATTGCATGCAGGAGATTGTAGATCATTTCTCAAGATCACTGTAATTTTGCTCGTCATTCGAGTAGCTAATGGCCACGATTGCACTTTCACGAATCTTTTTGCATGAAACTTTTAAGAGATAAAGTCCCTAGTCTCGGTGATGAGTATCATCGAGTGTCCATATATCAACATTCTTCTTTATCCAAACACTGCTATCTTGTGAATAAATTTGTCCTTCTCTTTGAATGTTACAGACTAAGGGCTTTTATATATTTTATGCTATTTACTGAAGCAGTATATCAGTCTGTTTATCTTGCTATTTATCAAAATCTTCACAGGGTACAGAGATCTATGATGCCAAAAAAGGTTCGTTTGTTGATGTTGGTATACTCGATGTAATGCAGATATTTGGTCGTGCAGGGCGACCTCAGTTTGATACCGAGGGTCAAGGATACATCATTACAAAACACGAGAAACTTTCACATTACCTCACGCTGCTAACGAGGCAAACGCCAATCGAAAGCCAGTTTGTTCAGAGCTTAACTGACAATCTTAATGCTGAGGTGAGCTTCTCCTTGTCTGACTATAGTTAGTGTGCTTCCTGCACGATTATTTTGGAGGCGTAACCAAGGACGGTGAATTTTAGCAGTTTTTGGTGGTACAAAATTGAAAATGGCTTTGAAAAAGGCAAATATTTTACAAAATTCTAAAAGCTTTTTCGTTTGACAAAGTCTGAAGTGTCAGAATAAAAGCCCGAAAGCACAATATTCGCCATGATGTTTATAAGAAATTCGATACCTATAAAGTGATATGAATTTTTGAATAAAAAAATTTGCCAAGGTGTTCATTTAATTATTTATTATCATTATGATGGAATGTTCTTTAATGGTGTAAATATTTTAACATTCAAACCTTTGAATGCGCTAGATATCCCTTGGAACTGTGACAAACGTAGATGAGGCTGTGCAGTGGCTTAGTTATACTTATCTTTACGTCCGCATGCACCTCAATTCATTGGCCTATGGAATAACGTACAAAGACAAGCAGGTTTGTTTATGTTCATTTTTTTATCATGTATAGGCTTTCCAAGATGTCATGAAATCCCACCTAAAAGCTTTCCATATTAAGCAAAGGCACAAATTTACTTGAGCATTTCATTGTGTTTATGGAACTTCTTTTTTCATTTGCCATGTAAATAATTTTTCGTTGTTTCTTTTACATATTAGCCCGTACTCTTTTTATCTACTTTGATATGATTCCTGATAGTGTCAAGAAATATGCACCAATTCCAAACTGCTCAAGATTTGCTATTTTGGCCAAAAATCAATAAAAGCTTGATTTTAAATGAATGGCGTAAAAAATATAAAAATATATTAGTAAACACCTGATAAAAATATTTATACAGGGTAACCTCTTTAACACACAAAGTGCTGTTATCAACAAGGTCCCCTTTATCTAAAACGTCGATACCGTAAATGTAGCAAAAAATGTTAAAAGAAATAAATATAGTAATTAGATTAAATGTTCACCTTTAAAAGCACGAATTCGCTTGAGTTTTTCAAACAGAGTTGTTTTAATTTGTCACTAAAATGGATGAATCGTTTCTAGAATTTTGAAGTGAATTTTGAGTTTCTTGTCGTTGGTGATTATTCTTAATTCATGGGCTATTTGCTTGTAGGAAGATCCGTTGCTACATCAACATCGTACAGAATTGATAAAAGCAAAAGCAAAATTGCTTGATAAAGCCAAAATGATAAGATACGAGGAACACACTGGCTACTTGTACCCGACAGATCTTGGCAGAGTCGCGAGTAATTATTACATTAAATATGACACAGTTGAAGTTATCAATGAATTGTTTAAGGCTTACATCACGGAAGCTGATATTTTCGCTATGGTTTCCCATTCACAAGAGTTCCAACAAGTAAAGGTAGCTATTATTTATTGTCTTCAATCATGCCTGCTTTTAGATGTTATCAGAGTTTGATGTCTAACCTACGTTCTCGATATATATTTGTTGCTCCTCAAATTGTGGCCCCCTCTTCCGTACAATATTGATTTATTTTCTCAATACCTTAGTACAGCTTTAAGTGACAAATGTTTACCCTCAACTTCAATTTACCCTCAGCATCAAAACGAGGAAATTGAGCATAATTATAATGGGGAGTAAAGGATGGGTGTTCAAAAAAGCTTTGCGCAAGTGTTTAAAATATTTTGGCAAGGATTGTAGATCTGTGTCAGATGGGTTTATCATTACATTTTCGGTCAATAGTAAACTAATGTCTGGGCAGGTTTTTTTTGGTGAAGAACTCTAATAGATGTTAGTTATTCGTTTTAAATGGTCTTTTACTATTCCGATTTTGTGTAATACACAGTGTGTATATCCGTGGGTACCCATTTTATGGAACAGTGAAAGTGGAACAAAGTATTTACTTGCCGTTGTTTTTATAGTTTATTAGTAAGTATGTGCAAGATGGCCGTTTTATACTAGCGTGGAAGGCAGCCTTAGCACTGATGCTATCGATTGGTGAAATTGGTTTTCAGATTGGGCGTTGCTGTTAAGACAGCCTTAGTCAGTAATTTTCAACAATTTGTTTGTGTTTTCTGTGACTTTAGTTTGTTACAGATGATAGATAGTGTCCTGGATTGTAACTGACGACATGACAACAACTGGCCTTTTCTTGTCCTCAATTTTGTAAACAAGAGTAATCCTGTTGATGGTGCTTTTCGTCAATATTATCTATCGTCAACTAGCAAACCTTTCACAACAATGTTTATTCATTCAAATCAAACGTTTTCAGGTTCGCGAGGAAGAAATCCCAGAGCTGGAAAGGCTGCTGTCGGAATGCTGGTTAGGCCCTGTCAAAGGTGGAATTGAAAACGAGTATGGCAAAGTTAACGTGCTCCTCCAGTCTTACATTTCAAAGTCATCCGTTGAGAGTTTTTCTCTTGTCTCGGATATGTCATACATTGCACAGGTATCTAGTATTATACTGATTCTCAGAATGTTTTTCTGGTTTTTTTATAGCTTTTAGTGTTTAGGGCACAGTGAAGTTGTGCCTATTAAGGATTGTCCTAGTCCTTGTGGTTTTTAGGCCTGGAAAAACAGAGAGCTGGTGACTCTCTTCACTCTAAGTGAAGGTTCGGTCATGGTAGTGACTCCAACCACACATCTTGTGATTTGTAGTCCAGGACCAAAACTACCGAGTCAACCTCGCACCAGGCAACAATGGAGAGGCAGCAAGATAGGAGGGGTCACGCTACCTCATCAGGCAGTTGGTGCAGTACAAGTGCAATTTGCCACTTCACCTGTATACACTGCCTGTTTCGTCGTTCCAGTGTCTTTTAAGTTCTTTAGGAGTTCGTGTTGATGAATATAGCCCATAAACACAAGAAAACACCATATTTTATAGATTTAAAAAACTCAAATGCCTAAAACACAACGTAGTACAGAGCTGTTTATATTTTCAAAGTTTGCCTTCTTTAACGCAATGAACAGAAATAAATAGTCTCATTTGATAAATAACATGTCGACGTTCACTTGGGCCCCGCAAAAGCAAACTAATAGTCATAGGTTATATCTCTTTGTGGTTTTCCTGATTTTAGCCGACTTTCTAATATCTTTGTGAACAATTGCCTTACCATCAATTTTTACGACTCTTTGTTTGATTTCTTACATCCTGTCACAGAACTGTACCCGAATCTGCAGAGCTTTGTTCGAGATGGCCCTTAAGAAAGGCTGGCCTGCTATGACACACAAATTGCTGAAGCTCAGCAAGGTGGTTGATAAACAGATTTGGGACTTTGAGCATCCGCTTCGTCAATTCGAGGGAATGACGTTTGAGATTTTGCAGAAACTTGAAGCGAAGAAATTAACAATTGATCGAATGAGGGACATGGACGCAAAAGAAATCGGTATTGTGAAATTCCTGATCCTTACTTTTTGTTATTTCTCTTTAGATGATAGTTGTATTCACATTCTCATTGTGAGATCGAATGTCAATAGTTAAACTTTTTTCTCTAATTGATGTTTTAGATTCTACTTTGTTTAAGTTCTTTTCTTGACTCTGACATTTGCTTTATTTTTTATTCTGAAGAGGCTTATTTTCTAATCTTCTTTGCTTTTATCTGGAATCAAGGTTTTGGATTAATCTGGATTTAAAAGATTCTGTTTAGATTATATTGTCTTGAGCCATCTGTCAATCTGTCGATCAACATTTGGCCAATCAATACCTCTTACGTAATACAGCTAAGGCTGCGTTTACATGATGCCGGAAAACTTTTGATCCGGGTATCCGGCTTTCCGTTAACACGAGTACTGGGCTATCCGTACGAAAATTGATTCGCTTAGCCGTATAACTTTTGATCCGTCTAGCTAGACGATCTTAAAGTTATCTGGCATCGTGTAAACGGGCTATCCGGATAAGTTTTCTTCGGAAGCTGAAATTTTGGCGCAAAGCTTCGCTTTTTGCAAAAGCTTCGCTTACTTCGCTTGATAGCATATTACTATCTGTTGTTGATTAGAACACTTTGCGTAAGTTTTGGCAAAGTTCTGGCAGAGTATGCACTTAGTGGGGAAGTTCTTTCAATGGTATTGTAGTACCAGAAGAATGGATTGAAAACTTGCGAATATGCAAAGAGAGTTTGAACAGAAGCCGTTCATTGAGAAAAATCTGGTTAATCCGTACTCGTGTGAACGGGAAGTCTATCCGTATCAAGAGTTGTACGGCACTTTGTAAACGCGATCTATCCGTATAACTTTTTATCCGGATCAAAAATTATCCGGTATCGTGTATACGCAGCCTAGGACGCTTATTGGTTGGGCAGTAGTTGATTGACAGATGACTTAAGTCGCTCTAATATCAGTCGATTGCCTTTAATACTCCTTTTTTGTTAATATAGTGTAAAATATCTTAATTGGGTAATTGTAACTATCTAAATTTCTATGTGTTTATTTATATTGATATCAAACATTCGACGTATATAGGTGTAAAACGTTATAACCCAAATTTCAGGACTTCTTGTTCATCATGTTAAAATGGGTGGAAAGATCAAGGCAATGGTGAACCAGTTCCCTACGGTATCAATTGGCTCTAATATTCAACCTATAACTAGGACAGTACTCCGTGTAAGGCTCATGATTGTAGCGGATTTCGTATGGAACGACAAGGTACACGGAACAGTGCACGAACCATGGTGGATTTGGGTGGAGGATCCTGATAATGATCATATTTATCATTCAGAGTATTTCATGCTAATGAGAGATCAAGTATGTTTTGCAGCGTATAACTTTTTTCATTTAAAGGACATTTTTCTAATCCAATATAACGTGCCTTTTTTACGTATTCTGTTTCATTTCCGTGTTTGTTTCGTTGATAAATTAAGTAATTTCCAAGTTAACAAAATATACCACTTTTAAAATGCCTGCCTCACTCTCTGCTATTCCGTTTATTTGTTTTTATCTTTCTGTAAGTGGGTTACTTGTTTCTCAAACATAAACGATTGTGCAAGTTTCAGGTCTTGTGGTTAGGATGTAAGAACATTTGTGTCCATTTCCCTGTGAAACAGTCACAGATAAAATTGAAATGAAATAATGCCTACCAAAGCCTTGACATAATTTTGACATAAGTCAGAAGTTAAGTTAAATTGCAGCCAATGTGTACCTCCAGTCATTAATATCTGCTTTTTCTTCCAGGTGAAGTCAAAAGAGCCCCAATACTTAGTATTCACAATTCCGATATTTGAGCCGCTGCCAACCCAGTACTTCATACGAATGGTTTCTGATAGATGGCTAGGCGCTGAGGCTGTTTGCGCTGTGAGTTTTAAGCACCTGATTCTTCCGGAAAAGCATCCACCCCACACAGAATTGCTGCCTCTTCATCCATTGCCAGTTACTGTGCTTAAGGATCCCCAGCTAGAAATGCTATATAAATTCAGTCACTTCAATCCAGTGCAGACGCAGATATTCCATACGATGTATTACACAGATCACAATGTCCTTCTTGGTGCTCCTACGGGTAGTGGCAAAACTGTAGCTGCAGAGCTAGCCATGTTCAGGACTTTTAGAGAATACCCTGGTACAAAGGTAAGTCCCTCTATGTTTCAAAATGGCATAGTCAACCCATATTTAAAAGCCGTAGGTGGCAAATGGTCAAGAATAGTGAATATGCGCTTTCTAACTATGTGCTGATCAGTTTCAAAGTGATACTGTGCAATGTACAACTCCAACCCTGCATTTCGGTTTCTTCTTTTCTAAAAGTGTTTTAAAATCCTTTTGATTGGAATTTATTGAGCTGATCTAGCTATTTTTAGGGTAGCTGACTACAGACCCAAGGGTCCATGATTCGAGTCCCTGACATGACCAAACTTTCTTAATGCGATCACCAGGCAACTGTTAGCCAAATCGATAAATTGCTTGATGATCGCATTAAGCGTGAAACTCAGAGTTACAACTGAGAACCGTCCTATTCTTTACACGAAATGACGTATAGTGAAAGATGCATGTGTAATGAAAATTGATATCGAAATATTCTATCAGGTTAAAGATTTAGAAAAAGTGATGTATGTCAAAGTTATTGTCATGCTAAAACCGTATTCTATTGCAGGCAGTATATATTGCTCCATTAAAAGCTCTTGTAAAGGAAAGAATAGATGACTGGAAAAAGCGGCTAGAAAAAAAGCTTGGGAAAAAGTAAGTTGAGAACTTCTGATCTTAACTTTGTTATAAGGCGACACTCCCTACTATTTATACAAGTATATCTAGGAACGTTTTTTCAAAACTCAGCTAAATAACTTTAAATTTCCTCAATTAGATATATCAATAGATTTTAGAATTGTATTGATATCAATAGTATTGAGCAAAAATTTTGAACTCCTAATTGATCTGTTCACCAGCTTACACCTAAGAGTTATAGTTTAACATTCCAAGAAGTTTCTTTTTGCATTTTGCTTTTTGTCAGGGCATAGTTTTAATCTATAAGTGCTTAGCAAACGACATTCCTGATTTTGTTCACTAGTCTTTGCAGATTGCCTTGGTCTTTTCCATATTTCAACTGCCTCCTTTTCATTTGTGTACAGGGTTGTAGAACTCACGGGTGACGTCACACCAGACACAAGAGCTATTGCTAATGCCGATGTAATCGTCACAACCCCAGAGAAGTGGGACGGAGTGAGTCGTAGCTGGCAGACTCGTAGCTATGTCAAAGGCGTCTCACTACTTGTCATTGATGAAATCCACTTGCTGGGCGATGAGCGTGGTCCTGTCTTGGAAGTCATTGTTTCCAGAACCAACTTCATTGCATCGCATACGTCTAAAAAAATGCGTATAGTGGGTTTGTCAACAGCACTTGCAAACGCCAGAGATCTAGCAGATTGGCTTGGTATTGAAAATGTGAGAGTTATTATTTCGATTTATTTTAAAATAGTTGAAGTTACATTTTAGTTTTGTAACGAGTCGTTGCGAGACCGTTAGGACTGTGCTCAGGAAACCGTAACGAGTTCCAACTCGCGTCGTCATAAAGAATCTTTGCTCAGAAGTTTTTACTTTCAACCAGGTAACCTGAAAGAAAACAATAAAATAAATGCAAAATCAATTAAATATGCAAAAATTGCTTAAGATATGGCCAATGAAAGATTTGAAGCTTGCATGAAGATTGCTGCTATTTTTGCTTTGTTCTGTAAATCATGAAGTGAGACCAAATTAAAGAGATTTGATGGGGAAAGAGTCTGTGCTCTTGTGGCAATTTCTCGGCCAATTTGTAACACATTTCATATAAAGTGTTATTTCACTGTGTTGTGGTCTTTCCAAGGTTGGTCTTTTCAATTTCCGTCCATCGGTACGGCCTGTGCCCCTTCAAGTGCACATCGCTGGGTTTCCTGGCAAGCACTACTGCCCTCGTATGGCAACAATGAACAAACCGGCCTTCAAAGCGATCAAGACACATTCTCCCGATAAACCAGTTTTGATTTTTGTGTCCTCAAGAAGACAGACGAGGCTGACTGCATTGGACCTGATTGCCTATCTAGCTGGCGATGACAATCCAAAACAGTGGCTTCACATGGCAGAGGAAGAGGTTAGTTTACCAATACTTTGCATGTCTTAATCACCGAGATCACTGACTTTAGAATTCGCAATTCACTTTGGTAGTGCTTCTTCTAGAGCCCCAAAAACAGAAATGTGCAAGAATGTGATTCCAAAGGACAAGTTAGGAAACTTTGACAGGGAAGTTTGTACTTCTGTTTGCTTCTGTGTGTAGCTAGCGAGCGATCGAAGCAGTATTTTGCAAGAGGTGCATTTACTTCGCTAGAACTTATTTATAAATATCCAGTAGGTTCGTTTTTTTCGCATATTTTGGATAATTAAAGTTGTACTTCCAATTGATTTATAGATGATGAACTTAGTAAGCTGTGTTCGTGATCAGAACCTCAAGCTAACATTGTCATTTGGAATTGGGTTACATCATGCTGGTCTCCATGAAAAGGACAGGGCAATTTCCGAAGAGCTGTTTGAAAACCAAAAAATCCAGGTAACTTTGTAGATCACTGTGTTTAATGTTCACAATGTTTACTCCGTTTAAGAGAACAGGGAAAGAAATCTCCAATAAAGCTTTCCGCATTACCCTCTACCACGTGTCTACCCTTGATCTTACAAACTTCTTTTCTTTTACCGAAAATAGCAACTGATCCCTGAGCTAGATTGATGAACCAATCTAGGGCTGACTATAGTGGGTATCATACAGCAGTGTACTTGACAATATAACACAAAGCTACACCATGGGTTTACTCGAAAAATATTAATGAACTTCACATATATCGTATTTAGTTCATTTGCTTTCTATCACGTTAACACTAATTAATTCTTTATAGAACTATTAATGTCTTTTGCAATCTTTGCTCTGAAATTCTACACTCCTAGGAAAATGGCTTTGAAAAAAGCAAAAATTTTACAACATACTAAAAGCTTTTTCGTCTGACACTCAGCAGAGCATAAAACGTCAGAATAACGGTCCGAAAGAACACGATGAAAAATATATACCCAGTTGTGGATCGAAATAGGCCAATCAGAAAAACGCAAGCACAAGACCGGTATAGTTGACCAATCAGTGCCCCGACTCCTAGGAAAGCTTTTCCCCAACAAATGTTTTTCTTTTAGATTCGTTTCAATTTACCCTAAATAAAGTGATCAATTTTCTTGAAAATTAAAAAACATTTATATCCAACATGAAATGTCTTTTTTTCTTTTTCGTTCATTCTAATATTTTTTTAAGGTTCTTGTTGCAACAAGTACTTGGCGTGGGAAGTTTTTGTTTTTGCTTTTAGATTTGTTTCAAGGTACCCTGAACAAAGTGATCAATTTTCTTGAATATAAAAAACATCCAAATTTAAATGTATTTCTTTTCTTTCCTTTTCATTTAACTTACTGATTTCTTTCAGGTTCTTGTTGCAACAAGTACCTTGGCATGGGGTGTCAATTTTCCTGCACATCTTGTGATAGTAAAAGGCACCGAATTCTTCGATGGCAAAACGCACCGCTATGTTGATTTCCCAATTACAGATGTTCTTCAAATGATTGGAAGAGCAGGAAGACCCCAGTTTGATGATCAGGGAATCGCTTCCATTTTTGTCCAAGAAGAGAAAAAGCATTTTTACAAAAAGTTTTTGTATGAGCCGTTTCCTGTTGAGTCGAGGTGAGCTTAACTCTACTTTGTTAAATACAACCTGAAAGGGAATTGTGGTTTTTGAAGAAATGATGATATAGAACTGGTTGCAGTTATGTTGATTTTTGTGGTCTGCGAAGGTCAATTTAATTTTTTTGCCACAAAAATTTGTAAACACAACTGGTTGATCTTCGCAGTGAATGAAGATTAGAGTCTCTTATGTTTCTATATTTTCCATTATTGATTTGGAAATTTCCATCAACGTTTTGAAAAATACGGTCTCTTTGTTATCTCTTAGGTAAAAATCTATGCAATCCAAAGGAAAACAGTTGCTAGAATTGAACGCTAGGTGTCTTATATATTGATACGTCGATAGCAAAGGCAACACATTCATTACACCTAATTTGTGCTTTGTAATATGCTGCAGGACAGCTTTGTAATGTGCTAAGTCGTTGCTGCCAGCTTCTCTCTTAATGCAATCTTCAGGCAATACTCAGAGTTAGAAAACACCTCAACCTTTTCTCTGAATGAAATTTCGGCCTATTTACCTTCCTCATATTTTTCATTGTATCTTTTTAGTAAAAGTTTCGTTTTTTTAATAAAAGAAAGAAAGAAAAGTTTAAGCGATAAATTCCCCTTTTTAAATTCTAATCAAGTGATGCATTCGACCTTCTTTAAAACTACTACATCACTGGATATCTTCCATCGAACCACAGCCGTGGAGACGTGATGTTTTCTTGACCCTTAGCAAATTGAGCTTGAAACTCGGAGAAGGTGCATACTTTGCATCGATACATTTATTTTGCGTGTGCCAGTGATTTTCTTGAGCCCCTATTCACACGATTCTGTCTTTCAAGTTTGGTAGATGTCCTTGCTGACCACTTGAACGCCGAGGTCGTTGCTGGGACAATAACATCAAAGCAAGATGCAATGGACTATCTCACGTGGACCTACTTCTTCAGACGGCTTATGATGAATCCCACGTACTACACCCTGGTTGATACGTCACAAGGCGCCATCAACGAATATCTGTCCAATTTAGTGCAAACATCTACCTGCGAATTAGCGAGGTCTTTCTGCATTGAAGTCGCAGAGGTGATTATTCCTTTACTTTTGTATTTCCCGCCTGTTATCTCTGCATTTTCTGTATTCTTAAACCCTGAAAATACTTTAACTTCGATCTTTCCATTCGTCCTGATATTAGCATGGTGAGTGGCGTCGCCACGGGGTGGATTCGGGTGGACATGTCCACCCCAGTTTTCCCAGGAGTCGATTTTCTAATTTCTCGAAATCCATTGAAATCTTTGGGGGGGGGGGGGGCTGAGTTGGGCCGATCAGATCGATTTCGATTTTTGCACTGGCAAAAAAGCCACCGTTGTGAAAATACAAAATAGATAAGAAAATACTAAAAAAGGATTTTCCAAGAGTCTGAAGTGCCTGGCCGAGAAAATTTGTTTTTGTCCACCCCAGTTTTTTTGAGCTGGCGACGCCATTGATCATGGTTGGTTTTATTTCCATCATTCTCGTGCAATTTGATTACGAAATTCCCCTGTCATTTAGGATGAAAGAACCATTGAAACAACAACACTTGGAAGAATTTCCTCTTACTATTATTTGTCACATGAAACGTTGCGGCTGTTCAGGTCAAGACTTGCACCTTCAAATACTGTCGAAGAATTACTGAAAGTATTGTCCGTAAGTACATTTGATATGATTACCCCACTCTATAACTGCATTTATTTGTCTTTGATTGGTTTAGTTCTATTATGATTTGAGATTTCTGTGTCGTTTATTTCTTTAATGAAAGTCAGACCTGGTATGCAGCAGAAAGTCATACATCTCGAAGAGATTTCTTCCATGAACTTGTTGGATTATAACAAATAATATAAGTGGAAGTTATAAATGAGACCATGAATGGTAACTTCTCACTCGAATAACAATTTTTGTTTCTCCAGAATATAGTATCAACTAATGTTTTCAACTAATGTTTTCAATAAATTGATAAGAACAACTCTCTATTCCAAAATCACTTCCTGTTCATTTTGGAACTGACAGTAGCCTGTTTTTATTGGAATGTTCAGTTGAAGCCTGTTGCTCCAGACTACCATTTTACACTGAGGTTTAAAGCTGTTTAGTGATCTTGGATTCAGTAGTAAGCCCGTCACAAACATTATAAACAAGGTTGGAAGTAACCCATATATCAGTCTACTACAATAACGTTCAATTACATTCTATTCTATGCATTGTTTTCTTAATATTTTCTAGGATGCTTTAGAATATACGAATTTACCTGTGAGACACAATGAAGATCAATTGAATCGGTAAATAAATGCTGTACAATACACCCTTTTTATAGGAGCTAAATATTTTTGCTGCGGTGCTATATTTTTATTTTTAGATAATTTGAGGCTCAGGTGGTCTGAATTTTGCTGGTCCCCTTTGAACTTGTTCCTATAAGACCGATACGCTGTTGGGATATAAGTGGATACAAGTCCAACCTTCAAACGAAATGTTTTGAAGATGTTTCTATCTCGAACATTTTTGCCTGAAGAACGTTAGACAGAAGATTTCAGTGATGACATTTTTCAATCTTGATGATAATGGGATAAACCATGGATGGGTTACCGGAACTTAGCCTCTTCTGGCTTTATTAATATTGGCTTTGTCTAACATGATATTCTATCGAGTGATTCTTGAAAAAAAGCCGCAGCTGTCTGCCCTTGCTCGAGTAGCGTAATGATCTAAGAGTATCGAATCCTTTATTACTTAAGCCGCTTATACACGGTCAGATTTTGTCGAATTCGATTATGTCGAATATAGTTTTGCTTCAGTTTTGTCGAATCGAATGCCTCTTTTACACGATCAGATTTTGTCGAATAAATAACAGTCAAACACCTCAATTTTGTGTACAAAATTAAGAAGCAGGCTGCTTCAGCTGCCAGAGTTATAGATAGCACTGGCTTGAAAAGATTAAGAAATAAGAGGCGAAACCGTACAAAATGGACAAAGAATGGCTGAAAGATCGTCCTGTGAAAGACTACATGAAGTACATGAGAATTCAGCAATGAATAATGCTGTTTCTTCGTTTTTGGCTGAAATTTGACTGCGCTGATTCCATGCTTTCTTTAAAATGATTGTAAACAAATTGAAACAATACAGAACATAGCAATTCGGGTGACGTAGCAGCGTGGATGAGATCAAATGTCCTTCATTCACTTTTTGATTTGTCGAATGGAATAGGACACGTTCGATTCTTGAACGTGATAATCAAATTCGACAAAATCTGACCGCGTAAGAGGGGCATTGGCCATTTAGACCACGTTTACATGGTAGCGGATCAAAAAGGTTGGGGATCAAAATTTACCGGAGCACCCTCCCGTCTACATTGTAGCGGATCAAAAGTGTTGCAGATCACCCTCCCATCTACACGGTAGCGGATAGAATCGGGTATGTCTATTGCGCCTGCGCGCCAAAAGCCCGCAAAATCTCTGTCACGTTGTTTCTCATCACCAGTTAGGCTATCCAAGATTTTCTGAGATTCTGAGCAAAAGTGTATGGGATCACTTGAAGGTCGTGTAAACGGGAGGCTGATCCGCATTACTGTTCCAAGCTCATTTCCAAAAAATGATCCGCTACCGTGTAAACGGGGTCTTAGACCTGTGTTAGTTCTTCTTGGGGAAGGGGGTGTTAGTAAAGTGGGTTGATTAGGCCTCTAAACCAGTGACATACTTAGACCTGCCAGATTTGAAAGTGTCGAAGGACAGGGGGTCCCTATTTGTGCTGTTGGGTGTTTTTGCTCACCAACCCATTGGCAGATGATCACCAAACAATTTTACAGACTAGTTTCACTGAGACTAGTTTTACTGTATAACACTCAAAGTAATGCCCCTGTAAGGAGTCAAGTCCGACAGCAGAGGAAGCAACGGGAGCCCTTCTATCTTTTTCTCCGTTTTTGCTCTGCGGATCTCTACTTTTGATCTCCACTCTTAAGAGACTCCGGTAACCATATTACCCTACTCCAAACCAGCTGCTTCGTTGGCATCCCACCCTGTCCCTTTTATAGGGACAATCTAACAGGAGGTGTTGGATGGGTACGGTATGAGTCTTATAAACCTCGCAACCGTCAGCCAAATTTCATTGTAGGTTACCTTTTCTTATGGTCTCTCGCTACTGACCTAGTTTGAATCGACGGAAATATCTTTTGCAAAATCCCCTTTGGAAAATCCCTTAGGTAGAAACATTGTCTAAGAGAATAATAGGTTCTTTGAAGCCAGCTCAAAACTCACCCTAGAATCTCACTAGAATAACTTTCTTAGCAGCAATGATTGAACATATCTACTTTCTTAACATTACTAACAACCTTCCTTGATATTCTCCTTGTGTTTTCCGTTAAAGCTATGAGGTTGGAACGTACTGACTTGGAGCTATGTGCTTGTTGATCGCTTGCTTACTTGAAGCCATGAACTGTATATGTACAACCTTATTTCAAAATATGAAAAGATTTATATGTTAAAGGTGGTAAATGCTACATCTTTTCTTCGGTTGTAGTGATCTTGCAGCCAAAGTACCATTGCCTGTGGACGAATATTCATTGGATAGCCCTCACACGAAAACCCATTTACTGTTTCAAGCTCATTTCTCGCGAATACCGCTCCCAATCGCTGATTACCTTACCGACACGAAATCTGTGCTTGATCAAGCCATTCGAATCTTACAGGTAAGTATCTGGGCTTTTTACTTGTACTTACCATTCAAGGATTGTGGCATGTTTCAAAGCTGCTAAAAAGATATGTTATTGATGCTGGTTTGAATGTAATTGGAAGAACCGTAAGGATGTCTGCAATGTAGCAGGCTTTCACACAAGGTTTCATAGCAAGCTCGATGCCAGGAGAAACTTTCTGTGCTAAAGCCACAAATTGTAACACTGTATATAAACCCAATTCTTCAGTATGTTGGTTAATATATTTATAACCAACAACCCCCCACCCCCCAAAGAAAATATCCCTTCTGGCCTGGGGCCTGTTTCTTTAACAAAGCTCTATTCAATTACGGCGACTGACTAAATAGAAAGTTTAAAATTAGCCCTGATTTGCCTTGGGGCTTGGATACAGTGTTTTGTTAAGTAATTTTTTGAACTTAAACAAACATATTAGTTAAACTAACTAGTTAAAACTAGTTCAAAACTACTAACTTATTAGTTAAACAATGTAACTGGGACGGCATACCTGTAAGCAAAAAACCAACAATTTTGGATGGCGGTTTTTATTTGAAGACCTTCATATGTATATTTATGTTCGCAATGCAAGAGTTGCCTGACACAAGCCTTTTTGAGCATGCGTACTCTAGCACGGTTGGAGGTCGGTGATATCATGTGATTGTTACTGTAATCCGATCGGTCGTGCTGGTCGAGCGCTAAACGCTTTCACACATTTGCCTGAAGATGACGCATCGCCATTCTAAGAAATAAAAAAGGTTATCTTAGCATTTTCACAACCATTTAGCGACATCATTTCAACTTCCTATTTTTCTCTCATTTCAAACAGGTCAGAAAACACCATATCAACTTCCTTTTCGTGTCTTGTAGCCCATTCTCCTTCCATGCTGTCCATTTTGAAACAACATACGAGCGTTTTATATAGAGGAAAATGTAACTTTATCATTACCAAGATTTCATATTGTGTTGGAGAGTGAATTCATACCCCGATTGATTTGCGTAAATAGCGAATATTCACATTCTTTCGTACGTTTTTCGGGTGCTTATATGTTCCCTGCTGTTACTTCTCGCAATTTTTTTAGAGCGTAGCCCGGAAGTGTGTGGCATCTAGGCCTGTCCACCGAAGGTCGAATAATCGGTATTCGGTTACCTGTTTCACTATTCGGTTAGCTGAAGTCCAAAGCGAATATTCGGTTACAAGCGAATAGTTCGAATAGTACGATTATTCGGTTACAAACGAATAGTTCGAATAGTACGATTATTCGGTTGGAGACGAATAGTGCGAATAACCTCACTGTTGGAGGTCCACAGTGGTTGTTTGAATAGCCGTGACTCATCGAATAGCGTTGACTGTTGACTATTCGAATAACCGTGACTATTCGAATAACCGTGACTGATCGAATAGTCGTAACTGATCGAATAACCGTGACTGGTCGAATAGCAATAGAGTTCTAAAGTGTGACGTCACCAAAAACCTATTTTTAGAATTTTTGAATTCTAACCACATAGCATAAAAACTAACCATGAAATACTTTCAAATACGCAAAATTGGCCAAATATGTCTAAAATCGGTTGAGATATGGCAAATGAAAGATTTGAAGTTTGCTAACGAATCACTGTTATTTTGGCTCTGTTCATGAAGTTATGAACAGAGACCAAAATACAGAGGTTTGATGGAGAGAGAGTCAGTAAACATGTGGCCATATCTCAGCCAATTCGTAACACATTAGACGGATTGTGCACATTTATAGGTATTTCATGATGATCTTTCAGGTTATGGGATCCAAATTAAAAAATTTTAAAAATAGATTTTTGTGACGTCATCACTTTAGAACTCTATTGCCAACCGAATAGCACTGACTGGTCGAAAAGCAAGGATTGTTCTAAAGGGGAAAGGCAACTTCCTATCTTCAATCTTAGAGAGAGTTTCATGTTTCATGGGCCTTCTTTAAAAAACGCAATCCCAAGAAATAGTTACAAAGCCAATGAAGCAAGATTGGAAGGGGGCAGGGGAGAGTGGAGCCTGGGATGCAGGTGGGGGTCATGGGGCTTTTTCTCGGAAAATGGTTGTGCTACAGTGCCTCCGACGAAGGGGAAGCCGGGGGGCTATGGCCCTACCACTATTTTGCAGAATAATATAGCTTTTCACAAAATCATTTGTTGTGAGTGTTAAATTTTCTTTTGCCCCCCCCTTCCCAACCTGTGTTGAAGCCCGCGCTAGAAAGCTTTTCACTTTTAAAAATGTTGGAAAACGACCCTTTTTGAAAACGTACGACTATGGTTTCTCGTTAATTTGATACTGACTTTCCGGCCATTAGGGGCAACTAATGCTAGGGAAGGTTCTAGAAAACATTTATTTTTGACAAAAACTCGTTTTAAAAATTGCTTTGCAGCACACCCTTTGAAGTTACGTAAAACACAGGAAATATCAATAGGAAAACAAAAAAATTAATGGTTCTGACTTATCGAATAGTAATGACTGATTAGCTATATTCACAGGTTGGTTAAATTACAAGAAATTTTCAGATTGCAATTTTTTACCACCACCCTGCCACACCCATTTTACCACACCCATATTCGCCGAATAACCGAATATTCGTTAAATTTTAAGCCGAATAACCGAATAGGAATATCCGAAGGTTTGGACAGCCCTAGTGGCATCATTCAATATTTTTGAAACATGTAAAGACATGATTTAAGTAAATTCGAAGATTCGGTCTACAGGTTTAGTTTTAGCAAATAGGTACAGAAATAAAACAAACTGTGGTTATATTAAATAACTAAATTCTCAGCTTTCGAGTATTTCAATTGTAAACAAATGCAAAATAGGATTAACTTGGAGGAAGTTGATCAACATGAGCAACCGAGCCGGCTGAATATGAACGACAATGATGACGAAGGACTGAGCCCGATTTTCGAGACTCTTTGCGGTAGGATATGGAAATCACAAGACAGTTTTTGCAAGCTGAAATCCTTCGCCATCGCCCTCATTTATTTCATTTTTTTATGGAAATTTAACTCTGTTATTTTTTATATCTATTTTTTAATATCGACTTTCTATTTTCAACATTTATTCTACTGTCTGGAAATTGTTTTGTGGTCAATGTCGCCCCAGTGTTATAAGCCCCGCGAGTATTTTGTCACGGGGGATACCAGGTAAATTGGACGTATTGCCAAAAAGGGAACTCAAGACTGACTTGGCTCGGGACGGAATGGGTGTGAGGAAATGCAACAATGTTCGTTTCAGTCGATTTTTGAAATTGGATTCTCAATTTTTAAAATTTTTCGCAAGGGACGGTTTTCATCGAGCTTGTTACACAGGAATGTTACAATCTTATTTACGATGGTCTTAATTTCTTGCAAGTGTCGGTATGGAAAAGAGTAAACTAGGTTTGTGTAAATTTGGTGTTCACTATTTAGGATCTCTCCGCTTGTAGATGCTTGCGTGCCATTTTGTTGTTGTGCTTTCAAAGCCAGCGTGGTCGTTTTAAAGTCGCTTTCAAGCAGGGTATAAATTATTTTTGAGTGTTAGAGAAATAGCCGATTGGTTCTTGGCTCTCACGACAAATGAAATGAAATTTGTATTTGCAACGTGCATAATTTGCGATTTCGCAAAATTGATAGCCATCTTCGTTGACGGCAGACATGCGGTTAATCAGGTCCTATGTAATACAACGAGGCCGACAGCCCGCCCCTTGTACCTCCTACCCGCAGCCGCATTTTACCTGTTTCCTGATTATGATGATGATCCATTTCAGGCAATGATCGATGTTTCTGCTGACCAAGGCTGGCTTGCCAATGTGTTGCATATAATAACAATCATTCAAATGGTGAACCAAGGCAGATGGCACACCGATTGCCCGCTCTTGCAGTTACCCGCCATTGACCAGGACCTGTTGGATCGATTCAAAATCAGAACCAAAAATGGGTAATTTTTGTCGATACGTTTATTCAGATAATGAAAAGGAATGTTTTTTTATTGCAATGAACATACAGTCTGTATGTTCGGTTTGAAGCCTCAAAAGGGGCAAGATAAGGGTTCCTCTTTCGATCCTAGTCGTAGCATTGCTCAGGTTTAATTTTTGGGAAAAAACTTCCTCTATGCTTTTATTCTATAATCTTCATCCTTTCTTAACTGAATCACAAACTAGTAACGCCAAACATCATTGGTTGTAGGGTAGGCCATAGTATCTGCGATTGTTCTTTCTGTGATAATCTTTTGGCTGTTATCTTGAATTTCTGCTCGTAATTCAAGATGGATTCTCTGAAATTTAATATCCATAATAGCATCTTTAAGGGATAATGATTATCAAAGGCATATCATGAATTTTCATGCTTCCTTATTAATGTTCTCAGTTACAAACTTCTAGTGGTTTATCTTACTTTTGCATGCGGCTTAACATTCCTACAGCTGTGCGTTTCCGCACGTACAGATATCGCATATTCGTAAAAGTCAATCAATTGGTAAATCTATGGTCGTTCATAAATGTGTCGTGCGTATAACCTTGGATTCTGTTCATAAACCGAGGTCAATTTTGTCAATTTAGCCTTTCAAAGGATGAAACTTTATAACTTGCAAAAGGAATGCACACAGCCATAACTGGATTGATCAATACGGGAAATGCTTTAAAGCCTAAATGCGCTTAGAAGAGTGCAGTCGTTCATCTCAAAATTTAAAAGAAAGAACACACGCCTTAACTAAATTTACCAACAAGTTATAGGTAAGGATGCTATCACGAATTGGCTTCGAGCAAAGTTCCGAGGATGTACTCCTTCCTACTCATTCAGTAATTAAACCGCGTTCATTCTTACCGATTGTATGTGATATACATTCATATTTGTTTATCATAATGCCGTCCGGTCCAAATCAACTCTGTTCCTCAAATAATTGCGCTTGGTCTTCTTGTGATATAGTAGGACCGCCAGTGCTAATCGATGGAATACCTGAACTATGGATCGTGTGAACATGGGCAAAGAGCCTTGCAAAACGATGCTAAAAGAGTCCTGAATTGACAGACGAGATGAACAGGTAATGAACTTGTTTGCGCTTTTTTCCTGAGGAATCATCATGCAATATCATTTTCATCATCTTTGTTGACACCATCTGTATCATTATCCATTTTTTATCAAACTGTCAATTATTAGTATATTTAACTTTTCCAAGTACTCAAAGCAGACCGTATTTTACCTTTTGTGTTATAAACTGCAAAGTAGTTGGACAATGGTGACAATTTCTCAAACCAACACTGTTGGGTCCGAATGTATAATCAAACTAGAATATCTCTTTCATAGAACAATTTTGAAAACAATACAAGCCTTAAAATTGTATTCCATAAGTTAAGGACAAATAAAGAACAGATGCTGAGGCTAAGAATTCTAGTCAAAGCGTGAATTTTGAACAATTTAGTCCTAATCCACTTAAAAAAAATTCATCTCATAAAAGAGAACACATAGGATTTAAGATTAGAATAATTCCCTAGAAACACTCTTCGCCTCCAGCAACGTCACCTCTAACACCCTAATTAAGAAAGGATTAAGAATTTCAATTTACTGGTTCTTATAAAACAATGCTGTATGTAGTAAATGTTTTTATACATTACAGTAGTTTGTGACTTTTCTCTTTTACTAAAGATAATCAAACTGGTTACCGAATTAACCGTTACTGAATCTGGCGGTCTGTCCGTCAGTGGTTCTGGGCAGGTGAGATGGTGGAAAAGATGACAAAGAAAGTGGACACTGAATCCGCGAGGCTCCAAGTCATTAGGGGAATGGAATGAAAGTTCACGGCTGACCAATCGAGTATATTGTTACAGCGTCGATTGCATAGATTACAGATAAATAATAAGCGTAAGGTGCTTCTGGAATTGAGATTTTTTCCTTTTCCCTTTGGTTAGTTTATATTCATGATGTAGGAAAAAATAATGAAATGGTTGCTTGGTGGGCTGACCGATTTTATTGGATTTTATTGTTTTGCCTTTTTAAGGGATCTCTATTTTGAAATTCTTTTGTGTAATAAAATTAAGCAAATGCTGCCTGGAATTATTAATGTGTACTTCTGCATATGAAGCAACTTCCTGTACAATATACTTTAGTTTAAACGGTAATAAGCGGTTTTGAAGATAAATAGGCATTCGCTTCAAACTGTTGCGAAAACATTTCTTTAATTGGCTTATTTATTTCTTGCATTTCTTGAGTGTTGTTTCAAATGTTGCCGTCGTGCACAATGGGGTTGTAAAACTGTTGAAGCACAAAAATTATAACACCGAACTTGAAAAAATACACAGAAATGCTTCGTAAAATGACTATTTTGTTTGATTTTGTTGTCATTTTGTTTGACAAGCTGTTGTCTTCACTTCAATAGCGTAAGAAATTAAAGCTACACACCTAATTTTCCAAAGGTGAAAGATGAAGGGATGGATTCTTTGTCTTGGCGAGATTTAACTCTGGTGATCATGAAGCTCTCAAAGAGTGGGACCTGGGGGAGGCATCAAATGTATTCTGTTGGCATTTTACATATCCGCCCGAAGACTTGGCAGGAAGATAATACACCATTTGTATATCCTCGAGCTGACCTGTTATTTAGGCCTAGATCAACAGAGACACTTCACTTAGAAGTTATTGATGCTGATTTGTCTAGCCCAGATATAACACTGATGCACATCTTAGATGACGAGAATTAAATTATTCAGAATTATGTTAAGTTAATTCACGACTGATAGATGAATAACACGTCAGATTATAGAAAAATCTTCTTTAATTATGGATAATTGGAATAAGCATAACCACCTTTTCACTTTCGATTCCCGCCATATAAATTCCGTTATTTTTATTGGTGATTGCATACCACCACCAAATATACCTGCTCTTACTGCAATAGAAGTAACAGTAAAAAAAGAAAAGTGATTCAAAAATATCGCCTTTAATAGACGGTTTTCAGGGATACAAAGCGACATTTTGATAAATGCAACTTAGTTGCTCCTTAGCTCATTTGAACGTATACAGAACTTGAAATTTTAGGCAAATACAATTCTTCTATGTAACGTATTTTAACTCTTAAAAGATTAAGAAAGCAGTGAGTATCGAAGGTCTAATATCCAGGCTTACTGTTTCCCCCATCACGACTGATAATGTTTGCTCCAGTTTATTCAGAAGCAGTAAAGGTTTACGTTGCCCATCAACTTATCCGTTGAAAGCAATAACACTGTCCTACCTATTTAGGTAACCTATCAAATATTTGCCTGTTTTCAATTGGAAACAATAATTTATTATCTGGAAAAATAAAAATTTAAACATTCCAGGGAATCTGGTCAAATATTTTATTGAATTAATCTTTTGACCAATGTTGGTGAATCAAACAAGTAAATATGATAATGATTTTGATGATTTCTAGTTCTGTAATAAGTCAACAAAATTGTCAAGCTTCAAAATTTGTTTAACTCTGTAGAACCCTTCTCCACATGCGCACTTATGTTTTCTCCAAACAGCTCGTGTTATACTACACTTTATTAATAGGACAAAACTAAAAATATAACAGAGCTTACGACCCTTTTCAACTTGACTTGAGACTGAGGCAGCCTTTCCACTAGCCCGGGTTAAAACAAAAACGGGCTAAAAGTTATCCGTTTTTAAAGTGAGTCAATGGAAATTATTTTGATTGTTTTTGCCAGTTGAGCTGTGATTCGCTTGCCATGTCTTTTTAGGCGAGCTCTAATGAAAAATAACAGTGTATGAAGATTCAGATTTGGAATATGGCAGCCTCGACATTTCATGCAGCTCGAATTTTAAACTTTAAACAAGTTTTGCTGCCTTTATATTGCGGAGAAAGAAAGAGAACAAAAGACAAATTGACGCATACATTGAGCGCAGTCAAATGATTTTTTGCTTCTTTGCAAATCTTCAAATGAAGGACAGTTTGTGTTTTTGAGATTTGTTTTCCTATGTTTTCCATGGGTTTTTGGGCGTTTCTGCAACAGGATGGACTATACCATCAGGATGGACTATACCATCAATCATAACCAAGAAACATTTAGTATTTAGTGAGTCGAGGTGCATGAAAAGTCGAGGCTAAAATCAGGCACGGCTCGCCATTCAAACCAACAAGTACGTATTTTGGTTGACGAGGCACATTAAATCAATCTCTGGCTTAAAAGATGCAAAAATACTTAATATGCTTAAAGCCAAGGGGGCTCAATATGCCAAGGGCAAGAGGATTCATTGTATGATTGTAAGTCCATTTTGGCAATTATTGTGGAAGTAAAACCCCTCGGTCTCCTGCTTCCGCCCCCCCCCCCCCCCCCAGGGCTCACTCTCCACTTGAATAAAGTTTAACAGAAAGTGATGTAAAAAGTGATGAAAGTGATGCATATTGCTTGGATGATATTTGTCTTAACGTAGCCGTCAGCCTTACTATATGGGGTAGCATGAAAAATGCAGAACGAAGACACGATATCCACCTAACCGCGTCTAATTTGCTTCACTTTCCGCCTAAGCGCGCCATTTTGCTTCGATATCTGTTGAAAATGGTTTTCTTACAATATACGTAATCGCGGCGATGCCGTTAATTTAGACAAAATCCGCGTAAACGTGAAACTTTAATTGACCCACCATTATGTATGCCGATTAGTTTTTTGCAGGCATTAGCTTTACGCGCAACAGCATTAGGAGTCTAATGCAAAGGGTCTTCCACAATATTCTTTGATGGAAACAGTTTCTGCATTTTACACACACTCGTCTTTTTCAATTTGTTTTTCGTTTTTTTTTAATTTCCATTAAACCATTTTTTTATGTATATTATTATGACCTATAAAATGACCCATTGATTGCCTTTCGTTGCGCAGGAGCTATTTCTTCTTTGCTTCTTCTTCGTCTTCTTCTTCTTCTTCTTCTTCTTCTTCTTCTTCTTCTTCTTCTTCTTCTTCTTCTAGCTTCCTTTCCGTTAGCCTGGGCCGCCGGTGCGCAGGAGCTAATTAATTTGTAAAAAATGAATCTCATTGAGTTTTCTATTGCCATTGTCTAATTTAAATGGCGGCTGAAAACGATGGTGTAGTGGATCTGAAAAGCTAGTGCGGTTTGCTGCATTTTTGTGTCTGACCTAAACTGATTGTTTCCTTTGAATTTAACTGTATAGAAAACAAAAAAGGAATTCAAAGGTGTTTCTCATGGGAGATAAGTGACCGGCGAAGCATGGACTTAGACACAGTAAATAAGCTCCTGCAACTGCCAGCTGGCTCAGACATGTCGAATTTAGGATACATCCACTCGAATCGCAATTCTGCCAACCTGGAAGATACCTCGAACGTAAAGCAAGAAGAAGAGGTAAAAAAGTTTATTTACAAATCATCCCGTTTGACTAAATACCGTACTTTTTAGTATTACGAAAAAAGGCCTGTAGCCAAAGGACATTGACGGTACAATATCTAGGACCTCGGGAAACACATTCAAAACCAATTTCATTCTGAACTACCATACATTGTCATGCTCGTAAAAAATTACGCTGAAAAGCATGTGTTCCACCGAAAATTCAAGAGAGAACAGTTTATTATTGTGGCATGCTTTAAAAACAAGCAAGTAGACCTCGACATTTTGCCATTCCCTTGTTTTAGAAAGGATAACACGAGACCTACCCGGTTACTTCCAGCCCAGTATATTTCCAACCCAGCATGCCTCTATGACATGAATTACCACGAATTTGAGAAAACCTTTCACTTTTTACAATGTTGCTAAAAGTACTACAATAAACAAGGGGCAAATTAATCGAAGAGGCAATCAAAGGGATAGGCGTGGTTGTGTGAACTTGTAAATACCGATCCCAACATTGCAAAGGAATCACTCTTTTGTTGAGAAGCGAATTAGAGATTTATTTTTGTAAAAGGCGCATTCATTCATTAGTTATTTTCCCTTTGTAATAGAGAATAGAAATGAGTACGCTCCATTGCACCTCTCCTCTCTGTCCTATGCATTTTGATTACAGTTAGGGCTGAATGCACTTAAAGGCAGTGTTTTGCGCTGCTCATTTTGTTGAATTTCGAGGGTCCGAGAAAGCGTGACAAATTAGAACAACTCATCGTTAAGCGTCCTTTATTACGAAATGAAATAGAAATTTTGTTCTTTGTTTCGATAAACCAATGAACGGCGCGACGTACTGCCTTTAAATAGGCAAAGGGGTGTGTCGCATGTCTCCTATAAATCCTCTCAAAGATTTGAGAAATTATAGGTTTCTGTGAGCTTAACTGTGTGATCAATGCTTCAACGGGAAAGGGAGAAGTTATATAGCTTTTCCAGTCCCCATTTTGCCATAATCTTCTATAAATAAGTTTAAGGGGGTGCATCCATACCCGCAAAATCCTTAAATGTAGCATCTAATCTAACGAGAAATTGTAGAGCAGCGGCAAGAAGGCTGTTGACTTTACATAACGCTGAGCAGCAGCACTTGCAATGACCACGAGAAGGACAGTCGGCTTTAGATGCACTTTAGCAGACTTCTAATAATATAAAAAATTTCGGTGGTTTAATTTTCCGGTGGAAAAAAATTCGGTCATATTTTTGAAATTTCGGTGGAAGAAAAATCTGGAACGCAATCATGAAAATCTCGAATATTTTGATGTTCTAAACTCTTATAAAGACGTCCTTTTTATTTCATATTTTATAACACATGGAGAAAAATTCATTGGAAGTGCTTATATTTCGTAATATTTTCGACCGCCTATTGCAACAAGTGACTTTGAAATTTGGAAGTTTGGTGAGTTGAAAATTTAGGCGTCCAATTTAAAAACCGCTGAAACGTTAGTAAGAAATAATTCAGAGAAATTATGAAGTGCCAATAGCAGCATCAGCTCAGCCCATAGAGAACTCAAATTTCTTGAATGTAGAAGGGCGAAAGAGAAGATTTGTTGATGAAGAAACGAGAACCAGAAAATTGATATGTACTGGGTGTAAAGTAATACTAAAACAATATAATGGAAAAGTTGTTTCTGTTATTTTGAAAGTCCATCGGTGGCAAACGAGATTTTTCTAGCGTTTGAAATTTTCAATAAGAAAAAATTTCAGTCTCAAAAAATTTCGGTGAGATTAATTTTCGGCTACCCTGATTCACATGATATTTTCAAGGATGCTTGAGCTGCTAATACATAATCAGCTATTTGAATCTTTAAAATGAAACAAAATTTTATCATGCAATCAAGCAGCTTTTCATAAGTTTTTAATCCACTACAACATCGCTTATATGCAGCACAGACTTCTGGTAAGAAAACGTAGATCGCAGCTGCGCCTACCTTTTTGTAGATCGCGACTATATTTCAGTTCTGAAAAAGGCTTTTGACACAGTCGATCATAACATATTGGTTAAGAAATTACGTACAACAGATTTGCTCTTTGAATGGTCCGAATTTAATTTCTAGAGAAGTAGTTTGTGGAATCCCTCAAGGTCCTGTCTAGGCCCCCTTCTTTTGCTACTAACGACGTAACTGGTAAAAAACCTACATCAGGAGCTTTCTTATCTATTTGAGTGGAAGAGGGTTAATAGGCTAAGCCCGAGTCCAAAAAACTCAATTTATGGTCATAGAACTTAACTCAAAACAAACAAGTTAAAGCTTCCAGAAGTACTAAAATTAAATAACAATGGGCTCAGACACATTTTGGAAAGCGTGGGGGGGGGTGTCGAGGGGAAAATTCAACGCCCATGGCAAATAATTTTTAAAAACTCTGTTGCAAAAATGTTGGGAACATGGCCCCCAGGCCCTTTCATCAGAGGCCCTGATAACTGCGACATTAAGGGAATTTTCTTCGGCAACATCCTAAGTGAAAAACTCTTTTGGGAAGAAAATTCCAATTGAAGAATAGTCGTCATCTCTACTTTATGACACCACAGGAAGCTGCCACTTCTTTTATGAAATTGTCAGAGCAATGATGCAAAGTATATGATGAGTGGCGGCCGCACGACCGGTGTGATACTAAAATCTGCGTGGCAATCATGAGTGCGGTTATATGAATTTAAGATCAGGTGTAATGACGTCATACTAATATGGTCATAATATATCATTTCCTGAAATTTTGATAATGTATTCTGAAAAAACAAGGAAAAATTTATCACCCACAATGAAAGATTTGGAAAAAGCTCTATCGCTTTGTAAATCAATAAATCTACAAGCACGATTACAACAACAAGAGTGTGATCGAACGACAACAAAATAAACATTAAAAGTAAGATTCGGTGAGATCAATATGACATCCAGAAAAGTTGTTAACCTTCCTCCAGACACAAACATCCCAGAAGGCAAACCTTCCTCACAAAACAATAGAGAGTTGGCGTGGCTGGGGTGTGTCATAGGAGCTTCTTTTGTTTTTCGTGGACCCTCCTCCGGTCAGTGGCCGTGCCACCGTAATGTTTTCCTGTCTCTGGTTTGCAATGGATATAAAGTCCGCGGAATAGTTTCATTGTTGCATGATTTCACAACTCAGGTATTGTCGACGTAAATTTGTTTACACTCGTTAGAATTTTTCCGGCATAGTGTAAACAGAGCTCAGATGGAGCTCGTTACATCTTTCTGTAATTGTAGCCACTTCCTTGAAAGAAAATATCTGTCGTGCTGAGAGCATGGCCAAAGGCTGGCTGAAAGACACTGACACAGAATAGGACAAAGAGGTCTCTGGCAATGAGGTGAATTCACCTCATTGGTCTCTTGATGCGAAGGGCCGCGGCTTGTGCCCGCTGCCGTCAACAATCAACAGTATTTACCCAGGTTTCATTCTCATAGCGTGAGTAGTTCACTCACGTGTATCTGACGATTGAAGTAAGAGAACATGTCAGCTAAGAAAGCATCGTATAATTTGAGAGGCGATGAAGACGATACAGACGAGATAACATCTGCTAAGAAACTAGCTCAAAAAAAGATTTCGGAGGTGAGTTGACAAACTCAAATTTTTTACAGCCAGCATTGGCAGCAGCATGGGAAAGATTGTTTGTATCGGTGTCATTCATTAGATTCTGGCATGGCATGTTATCAAAGTCGTAGATTCGAATCTTTCTCGCAAATCAGCGTTTAATTTGCAACAAACTTAATCGAATTAATAGGATTTCTTAACTATGGAGCTATATAGTAATGATTTCAAGCGTTAGCGAATTCTTTCTCATTAAGATAAATTCAACTGTGCATTGCTGATAACTCAATGGCAACTGATTTGGTGTTTACATCGCTCACATGTTTTGTAAATCGTCCCAGACAGTCAGATCTTTGTTTTATTCCGTTCAGTGTTGTATTCCAGTTTTTCGAGTTTTCATTCTTTCATAAATTTCTGTGTGTCACCGAAAAAACAGATTTTTATTGATTTGATCAAAGCTCCAATTGAGATTATAATGAGTCTAAAGCAGTAAAGAGTTCCGTGAATAAACACGTTGATCGCTCAAACAAAGTCTCAGAATCTATATTTTTTCATCATTTGAATTATACAGGAAAGTTTTCTTTTAGTTTATATACAACATCCTTCAAATCGTATGACCTTTCCAGGGTTCACGGCACCACACTGAATTCTATCGTTCCATGATGACGTCAATGTGGGGCAATACTGCTTTGGCCCTGTCACAGAATAGGAAATAGGCAGAAGGGTAACTCTCATCGGTTCCTTTGTTGTTTTTGAAGCCTGAGTCAACAATAAAATTCCTTAATTCCCCCTTAACCTCGATTTTATTAGACGAACTTAGCCATGGCAAATTATCATTCATTAATCAGATATAAACGAATTATGATACATTTGAATTTGTTCACTATCATGGGGCATTTCGTCTCAAATAAAATTGTCTACTTTCATTCTTTTTTAAAATTTCCCCAACAGATACATGCTAATCCTTTTATAAGTTAACGTGGCACTAGTTTTTTCAGGCTTCACCTGATGGGCAGGAGTTCCTGATAGGAGGAGGTCCTAATTCCTATTTTGTGGCCCTGTTGCGTAAGCGAAACAAATGTGATTAAGATAGTGTGACGTCACAAAAGGTTATATTCACCTCGCTGATTCAGCTTTGAGAATGCATTTTCATGATATTTTGTTACCATGACATCGACAGTTAGCTGTGTTGCAAGCAGGGGTGGATTCCATGACATCGACTGGTTCTAAATATAGGGCCCGGGCCAAGTTGTCGAAAATAAAGGGCCCCGAAAATAAATAATAAGTTCACGGGTATCCCCAAAGTTGTTTGTTGCATCACGTTTTATACTGGCTTTGCTTAAAACGTTATTGGAATATTGCTATTAATTCTAATTAGTAGCTACCAGGGATGTAGGCGTAGGTGTAAAAGATTTACAAGGGATCTTCAATTCTTAGTCCAGGTCAGCATCATTTTCACTGGAAATTTAATTCTGACGTAGGATAAGAAATGAGAGAAAATCATGCCATTGCGGGGGGGGGGGATTATTGTTTTCTAGCTGAAGGACTTTTAGAGGGGGGCCTAGTGATAAAATATGGCGAATGGTATTTAGAGGGGTCACCTTTTTCGATCACTGAGGCTCTGGTACCCAGGGTAGAACTTAATGAAATATATAAGTTATTCAAGAAAATCTTGATATGTAATTTTCCAGTTTAAATATAATAGGGATTGATGTTTTTCCGACCACTGTTTGAGCAGTCAGGTTAATTGATTATTTGCGCAGCAGCCAAGATGGTAACATCAGTAGCATAGACAGGGCTGACGAAACGTTAATTAAAGTGGGGGATATGGTTAGATTGTTCAGGGGCCTAAATAATGGCCACCACCATGGTTAGGAGTTCTGGCCGAATTCAAGAAATATGACATAATAGGGTTGGCCAGAAATGCATCTAGAATACTTGCCACATCAAGTTTGTCGAAAGGAAGATCCTATGCAATGCATGTGAGCTTTCATTTACAATAATTTCCCATGTCCTAATAGTTTTCAATTATCAAAAAGCCAAGATGTTTTTCTCAACTTTTAGCGACAAGCCCAGCGTTTTCGACACACATAACTTTGAACAAATTTCTAAATGCAATTATAAAAAACCCGGTCTTGTCTATTGAAGACAGTAAATAAATGTTCTCAGCAAGAAACTTTCAAGAATAACGAGTCATTTCTTTCTTTGTTTGGATATCAATTCGTGTCTACATTTCTATGAGCATAAAGCTTGTAATGCATCTAAGTTTTCCAGTTGTATCTCGTTTCTTTTTCTTGTTTAGTTTACAATGGGAGACATTTCAAGGTGAACCGACACGCAAAACTATTTTTTTATATAATGTAGAAAACGATGTATGGAATCTTAATATTAAGTTCTCTGTTAATTATTATTGTCCGTTTTGACGCAATTTATGTCATGAAATTATCGTCTAGTGCTCGGCCATTGTTGGTATTTCATGTTACCCAGCGCGTGTGACGTCACAAACACCATGTTTTTATTACTTGAATGCAAATCACGCACAAACACCATGTTTTTGTTACTTGAATGCAAATCGCGCACAAATTGGACAGGTAAGTTCATCTTGTTCAGTAACTATTCGAGGAGAATGGTTTGTTGTTGTTATTGGGCTAACTTTGACGCCCAATAGCTCGAAAATTGTGTTGAATATTATAAAACTGACAATGTTTCAGGTATTCATACTCGATATGCTTTCATTTGAGGTCAAGTTGATTTTGTGTCACTTCACCTTATTCATTTTATGCAGGCCCGTAGACTGCTAAACTGGATTGGGGGGGGGGCATGGATAGAAATATAGCTTTTTCTTTACCTGCCTCACGAAATACTGCGCTTATAAGATCTTCAAACAAAATTTTTGCAAATTTTTGGGAGGGGACATTGCCTCCTGCCCCCATTGTCTACGGGCCTGTTATTTTGCAAAGTTCGCTAGGGCAAATCTCGCATGGTTTTCGCTACGTCAGCAAATTTTCGAATAAAAACCTAGCACAGTCAGACCACGCCAATGGAATTATGCCAAAAATTTTCCGAAGAATTTAACCGAAATTTGGCGAAAGTACCTATGTTTTATGCCTAAGATCTTTGGCTAATCATTCATGTTTTTACCCTGGGTACCAGACTCACTATATATATCATGTTTTATGCTGGTGCAAAGTATGGATGTACTGGAGCAAAAATTTTGTCAGAGCTGAGGGGGTTGAGCCTTTCTGCTGCTTTGATCTATACTCCCAAATCTATTTGCTTAGCATTAAAATAATGTGCCTACCTAGAAATTGAGTCACAAAAATTGTCATTCCCTTACCACCTTAACCTATGATTTAATGAAAATATTTCAACTGAGAGCCTGAAGAGAACATTTGTCAGATTTTGAAACTTCCAGTTAAGTATCGTATCATTGCATTAGGGACAGTGAGCCCTGGGCCCAGGATTCTCCTTGTTTCCATGGGGCCCAAAATTTTGGCAAATGCTTTTTCAGTACTTAAATATTGCAAAATGATATTTTTATTCATTCTGTATCCACTAATCTTGAGAGAGTCTCGGTATTGTGGCAACAGAGGAGGGCCCCTACCAAACAATAAAAAAAGAGTTTTCATTCAATAGCAAAATTAAGAGAAAATTACAATAATTTTTGAAGCGCTGTAATAGTGCTAGTTTGGATTTCGTTTGTTTTGCAACTTGTAACCTTAGTTATTTAACACCTTTTGCACATTCGATTGTTTATAATTCCTTTTGTTATCTAATTGCACCTTTAGGTTCATTAATTATTTCATTTGGGATTTTTGTATCTTCATTCACTTAATCTAATTAATCTTGGGAGTAGTAGCTATGTAGTATTTCAATTAGTTCTTGTTTAGGTTATATTTTGGGCGTGTTATTTTACAGAGTTAGTTAGATTCATGGTTAAGAGCGATATGGATCAGGTTTCACATTATGTATGTTTAAGTTCTCGGCGATTAATTAGTGTGGCAAGATGCTTGTAAAAGATCTTGTCGACGTATTTGGATTTATGGAATCGCGCGTGATGATTTATTGATTGTGCATTATTATAGTATAGTTTGAGTGGACAGTGCTTGTGGAAGACTGTGCCTGTTATTAAGAGAACGATCGACGTTACGGGACAACCATAGAGAAACATTTTGAAGTCGTGAGTTCGAGCCTCGCTCGGGTCGGTTATTTTCCCGCACTCTCTATTAATTTTGAAGTTTATAACCTTTCGCGGAAAGATCACATGATCGCAAAATAGACGTTTGAAACATTATTTATTTGTCTCTTTGTCTCAATTCTCATCGAAGGACGATGTCGGTAACGATAGGGTGGATTCGTTTGGCAAAAAACCCTATTACAGCGCCCACCGAGCGATCGCCCGGTAGCGCGACCGGCAAGTCCGCCCCTGGTTGCAAGAACTATAACAACAAAAAACTTCGTCAGATAAATTTTCGGCGGATAAATTTCGTCGAAAAAAAATTTCGGACAACTTTTCAGAATTTGTTTTGACAAAATTTCGTCGAGGATTTCTAACACAAATACCTTGAACGAATGAAAGAAATAGTACAGTTGAGTATAAAAAGACAGAGGTGGAATCCTTTGAAATGGTGACAAAAGACAGTTAGAACTATTTTTATCCAACAAAGTTAGTTTAAGACCCGACAATGATAATCAAGATTATGATGATGATGCCGAAGATAAAGATAATTATGAAGAGGATGTAAATGAGGAGAATGACAAAGTTGGCATCGACTAGGTTAAAAGGATACATAAATTTGATTTCTGAAAAATGGGATCGAGATGGGATGGGAGGGCCAGGGGAACTCTAAGACTACAAAAAGATTGTGCAAACAATTTTTTCCAAAAATGTGGAGGATGTCGTCAAGGGCCCTGACCCAAATGTATACCTGTCCTATTCAGTTTTTTAAAGCGATTGATTTGAAAGAAAATGTTTATAGTTGGCCTTATTATTCACAGTTTTAGACAAAATTTGAAGTCCTATGAATTATGTACAATCATTGTATACATAATTATGTACAGTCATGGTTTCAATGTTGAAATGATACAACACTGATTCATAGTGTATTTTTGAACTTATTGTATCTTTTGTTGCTTTAAGAGTCGAATTGGAGATGTGGAATTGAAAGATTTAAGTAACGGAGAAAAGGGTCATGAAGAGACAGTTGTTAACGTACCTGATAATGGGAATGAAGAAGCACCAGCACATGCCTCTGGCATCTGTGCACCTTTGGATAAATATCTATCACTAGTGGAGAATGCATGCAAATCAGTCTATGAGCAAAACACATCAACTGTCAAGTTCATATTTTTCACATTCCTTTTTTGTCTGACTGTTGCATATGTCCTGGCTGCTTGCATAAAGAACTTTGATAAAGCAGTGGACTTGTTTGCTGTGGCTGTTTTTGCCTTGTTCTGTGTTATATACACCTTTGTTAAAAAATATTTTGGACACTGGATTTCAAAGAACATCTTCGATCCTATCATCAGATTTGTGGAACATAGATGGATGTTTTTCAAATGGTTTGTTGCTTTTGCATACCTTTTTATCCCTTGTAACAAAATGTAAGGTAACAAGGCCATAAACAACTTTAAACTTTCAATATTTCAAGGGCAGGTCTGTTCATTTATTTTCTTCAAGGGTGTCAGAGGCAGGAACTGCAGAAGCAAAGGTGTTGAGGGGGTTCATCCCCTTAATAATTTCCAAAATGTAAATTGACAGAAGGAGTAATATTTCTCTTAGTTTTTAGTATGTTTAGCATAGCCCTCTTAAAATTGTTTAGCACTCTTAAACTTTTTAGCCCCCCCCCCGTCCAACAGGCACCATGATCCCCACTTAGAAGTGTTTAATTCCCTCAGATATATCAGTGCAGGGCCTGCGCCACGAATTTTAAAGTGGGGGGGCTAAGGCTAAAAATGTAGGGGGCCAAGGCTTCTTACCCCTTTTATCGCAGTTTTAAAACTACTTGCTTCGCAAAAAAGTGGGGGGGGGGGGCATGACCACCCCGGCCCCCCAGTGGCGCGGGCCCTGCAGTGACTTCAACTGAAGCTTGCGTGCCATATATGTTTAAATGTAATCCCTATAACAATGATATTAATAATGTTAATTAATTATAAAGTTTAGAAAAGGCTATCAATTACTGATATATAAAAAGTGCAGAAACCTTTGTCCTCCTGCCTCTCTCCTTTTGTCATACCTACAGTCTACAGTAAATTATATCTAGATCAAGATGAATGTGTATTTTAAATACTTTTTATTCCATAAACTAATTTTTAATGTCGTGGAAATTTCTGAGGTAGAATGATTACAGGTGGTTGTAAAAATCCCTAATTGCAAAATCATATCTAGTTTCTTTTGTCATGACAGTTTTTCTCACGTTGTTAAAGAGTCATTATAATTCTAGATATTACCATCGATATTTTATTGTTTATTTCAACAATTAAGTTCTTTTTTAGGGGCAGTTTGTTGGTATTTGCAATTCTGCTGGTTCTTTGGATAGCACTGGACACTGTGAAAGTTCCAAGTCGTTTAGTTTCCTTTGTTGGTCTGATAGTGTACATCATTTTGGGCTTCCTATTTTCCAAGCACCGTGCACGGGTAAGCAAATATTTGTGGGTTATATACTTTCTAACTACCTTTTCAATCAAATCAAGGCATAACCAGAAAATTTAAAGGTATATCCCGTGCATTTTTAAATTTTCCGTTATTACCAAAAAGTGGTCTCGTGCTGCCCAGGGCTTATAATACAAATTATAATACAAAATTGGGAATCAATACATTGGTTCTATAGTGGGGGGGGGGGGGGGTAACTATTAGAGCCAAGTTGTAATCTTTTATTTCACAGTTAGATTTGTTCTGCGTTCTGGCGTTGAGAAAGATTCTATATTTATAAAAATACAGAAAACTTTTGGTAATGCAAGTCTAGTGGAAGTGAATACGTCTTAGAATTTTTTATTGATCCCCTTTTAAGCAAAGATTTACTTTGTGCCAAATCTTGGTTAAATTGTTGTGTAATATAATGTTTCATGAGACAAAAAGAAAGCTTTCGTTGTAAGTACTTGATACACAGTTTAAGGTAAAGGTGAAGTATCATGCTTACTGGGAGGTCATAGGCCTTGTTATTAAGGCCAGTATGGCTCACATTGTATTGAAAGTTGAAATCCGAGATTTGTAACCTGATTAGTCTTCTTTAAAGTCTAACAAACAGTTCTCATTGCAGAAGTATTTGAATATGGCAAAATACACAATAATAGCCACACATTTAATCCCCTTTATCGACCTTTGATGGGCTACAGAAAGCTTCTGGGAATTCGACCCTCCCATTGTCCCAATTACTAATAATCACCTAATTTTGTTGTGGTGGATTTTTATCCCTCTCTTCTCTCATCTTTGTGTGTAGCTGAGGTTTAAATGGGCCGGTTTTTGCAGATCATAACCTTGATGAAATGTCCGTTCTTTGTTGATACGATCGGATTTCTATCTTCTCTTCTCTCATCTCTGTGTGTACCTGAGATTGAATTAGGATTCAGTTTGCAGGTATGCATATCATAGCCATTAAACAATAGCCTTTTTCATTAGAATTTATTATTAGCATTTCATTGAGGCTGAAATTAAGCGGAGAATAATTCAAGTTCTACCAATGTACACAAATTGGCCAAAAGTTATAAACAAATGAAGAACAAGCTGCGGCTTTGAAGCATTTTATGAAACTAGCTTAAAAATTTCATCTCAAAAGTGCGGACGAGGAGGTTTTTGACATCTAGGAGAACTTTTTGGTGTATAACAAAGCATGTCTCACGCACTTCGTTTGCAAATGAGGCGTTAATCCTCTAGCGTACAATAGCAAGCAATTGCACTGCTTACACCTTATACCTAAATAATTAAAAAACAAGTTAAGAACAATCCAACCTCAACTTCATTTGACTGTAGTTTACTTTCATTTTACTTTTTCAATTTAATTTTGATCTTAATGGGCCCCCGTATTTTTTGTTTTGTTGTTTCTATTACAGCTGAGAGTTTGTAAATCTCCATTTTCAAAAAACCTTTAGTTTCAACGGCGCTTTTAAAAACCTAGCCGTTATTTTTGTGGGTTTCTTCGTTTTTTCTTTAATTATGTAACTTTCTCTATGTTTTTGTCAACCAAATTAATTTTGCCCACTATATGTAATCTGTTTGCCTATCAGGTGATATGGAGACCGGTTATTTGGGGATTCGGTCTTCAGTTTGTGTTCGGACTACTGATTTTGCGAACCGAACCGGGCCGAGTATTCTTCAAATGGCTTGGCGACCGTGTCTCGATCTTCCTTCAGTTCTCTGATGCTGGTGCAAAATTCATCTTCGGGGATCTCTTCATGAATCATTTCTTTGCATTTAAAGTAAGTTTGCTAATGTTACAGTGACATTTTGTAGTCTTTTACTTCTTTGAAATCCAAATTCGTATTTACTAAAAGAAGCCATAGAATTTCGCACCTCTCATCCACTTATCACATTGCATTGAATTTTATTTTCATAAGATTTTAAAGTAGAAATAGGAATATATTTTTTTCGAAAATAATTCCGGTTCGTTGGCCTGTGCCATTCAGCATAACCAAGATAGAGCAAGCAAAGTGCCAAAATTTAAAAAAGGAAGCTTCACAGAAAATAGAAACTGTAACAAGTATAAATGAAGAATCATTGTATTGTGAATTTCTTATTTTCGTTAAAGGCTCTTGCGTAACCGGCATGCTTAGCGGCAGTTGTCCTGAGAACCATTTTAGTAGTACGATTTTAGGCCGGTTTTTTATTATAGTCGCAATTAGTCTTTAAATAGTGTATCAGCACAGAGCTAACACTAGGCTCAAATACCACACACGTGCAGTCTAACATCTCTTGCTCTTCAAGCATTCAGTTTTGGTGTGTTTTAGTTTTAGCAGCCGTGATGTCAACTGCAAATTTGGGTTGACGGGGGTTGAAAATCTCAATTCTCTCTGTTTTGTCTCTCAGCTAATTGTTACTTTTGTTTTGTTGCAGGTGCTCCCGGTCGTTGTGTATTTCAGTGCCTTTGTCTACATGATATACTATTTAGGTATCATGCAGGTTGTTATTAAAAAGATTGCCTGGGTCATGCAGATTTCAATGGGAACCTCAGCAGCTGAATCCCTTAATGCTGCTGGAAACATTTTTATCGGGCAGGTTAGCATTACAGTTGCAGTAGAATATACCGATATCGAATAACCTTGCCATGCTTAAAGCTGTTCTCTGTGGTCAGCTTTATGCCGATAATCATCATATTTGCATTTTGTCTTTAAAGAAAGTTTGTTTAAAGTTATAAGAGCATTTAAAAGGAGAAAAAATGTATGGGAACCGAGCAAAAAGAATTTCATATCAGTTCCAGACGGTAACAAAAGGTGTTGTTGCACAATCTTATATTTTGCAATTGTCTAGTGCTCATTTTAAAATCTAGGCTTGTGCTTTTTAGAATAGAAGTAAGTAACATGGCCTTGAACGTGTATTGCTGCAGAAAACCTTAGCGACCCATGTCTCAGCTACACGTATATCTTGATTTTGGCGGCAGATGCAGGTTAACAACGACAAGCAAATGTTTGTGTCATTTTAATTTCCAGGAAATGATTTGTTTGAAAGAGGGGATCTACTTTGAGCATAGCTCCATCATATGCTCTTTTAATGTCATTTTAAGCACCATTATTGTCAATATTCTCGTTTATATTTCGGTTTTGGTAAAGTTGCAAGCGCCTTTGTAGCATTCATTTTACATAGGCACAAGCAAAATGTGTCATTTACATAAACGTTTATTTGTGAAGGGACATAAGCTTAGACGAATGATGCCTACCGGAAAAAAGGCCCGTTTTCTAAAAGGAGGCCCTTGAAACATTTACCAGCCTGTATAGCTCTTACACAGGTATGTAGTTCAAATGCATCATCAGTTCTATCTTTGATCGCAGACTGAAGCGCCACTCCTGATTCGACCATTTCTGCCTGACCTAACGAAGTCAGAAATGCACGCAGTGATGACTGGTGGTTTTGCGACTATCGCCGGAAGCGTCCTTGGTGCTTACATCGCGTACGGGGTTTCAGCATCGCATCTCTTGTCGGCATCAGTCATGTCTGCCCCTGCTGCATTAGCAATTTCAAAACTGATGTACCCGGAGACAAAGGTGCCGAAGACAAAGAATGTAGACGACATTCATATTGAAAAGGGGTTTGTATATTTTACTTTAAAATGGAATTCTAAACTCTAAAACTAAAGTCTTTTATTCAACCAGCCACGTGAAAATGTGGGAGGACAAATACTATCTAAATTTTTACATGAGACTTGAACTTGTGGTTTTAGCAAATAAATTGCATTGACTGAATCATATTAAATGGAATGCGGCAAGATATTTGAAGGAATTATTTCCTAGTTCCTCAAATCCTGGGAGCTTTTGCCAGCTATGAAATACTTCAAAACCCTGAAGCTCTTTAAAGGCTCTTAAATATTGGAAAATCATAGCATCATCTACTTTTGGTCAAAGAAAAGTCTCGGAAAGTGCTTCTTTATTATTTCCTACCATTTTATTGTTCTTTTGTTCCTTTTTGTCCACCTGATGGCTCCTTGGATTTCTGATAGCACCCAGCAATAATTTCATTATATTCTAAATAACAACTCGTTATGTACTACAAAGTCTGGTTTTCCAACTCATTTCATTTAAATTTTGCTTAATTACTGTTTCTAAGATATCAAATCAAAGTATAATTCAAACGCGAGAAGAAATATTTTTGTCCAAGTTTTGATATTTATATTTTCTTCGGCGGTCTTTCTGGAAATGTCTAGTTTATTTTGTTTTGTTCATTGGCCGCTGATATATTTTCAATCATTGATTTAAATTATTGAACTTTTATATTGCTTTTCGATTAGGCCATCATATGTGCTAGTTAATACGTAAAATTGGCATTCAAGGGCTGGGGCTTATTCGTGGTGAGGGCCAATTAAGAATTATTATCAAGTACTGAGGATGTGGGCTTATGTCAACTGGGCCTATCCAATGGAGATCATTTGAGGATTTTCGGTTTTTTGGTGACTAACTGTTCATTGAAGTAAATTATATGCTTTTCAATCGCCGCTGCATATATTTTCAAGATGGGGGCTCATTAGCCATTGTTATTAAAAGGATGGGAGCTTATTTCAAGCGGGCTTATAGAAGTGGGATCAGTTTGAGGGTATACGGTGTTTGGTATCTAACTGTTCATGGGAAGTTTATTACATGTTGTAAGTTGCGTTTATACAGATTGCAAGGAAGCATATTGCAAGGATAACAAACTGTCTTTTTCTGTTCAACAGGAAGGAGAAGAACTTTATTGAGGCCCTCGCTGCTGGAGCATCAATGTCTATTTTGTTGGTTGCCAACATCGCTGTTATGCTTATTGCCTTTTTGGCAATGAAAGAATTTCTCAATGCAATTTTATGCTGGCTAGGAGGAATGTTTGGCAAATGTGTCACATTTGAGGTATGCTGGTACACTTCTTGCACTCCAGTTTTTACACAGCTGTCTACTTGTCGATGATATTCTCCTTAAATTTGCAGTAAATAACTTAGCAAAAAGATATCTGTTTTATTAAAGCCCCCTCTGGAATAAGCCTCCCTTTGGAATAAGCCTCCCTTTCACATCAAGTCTTGAATAACCCCTCCCCTCGGGGGGCTTAATCAAATTATTACGGTATTCGCACTAGCTTTATCAAAAAGTTTTTATAATCTCAATCTTAGATCCTGTTCTAGAGCAAAACATTATTTTCTTAGGTTTTACTTCAGCCCTGTAGCTTTCCTCCTCACTATAAATCTTCCTTCGTAATTAGTGTGGAAATTATCATTTTTCGTTGTATTTACTTTTTCTGAACTGTAAACACATCACTTGTAAAAAATGTTACAAAATTGTTGGCTTTCAACCTTGATGTAAAGAGTCCTCCCCTAGGATTCTTTGCTACAGAGATCTTAAGTTCTTTTTCATTTATAGTGTTGATTGTAATGTACTGCGAAAATAAACCTTAATTTTGGCAGCTTTTTAGGAATATCAACTTTGCAATGTGCATGAGTAAGGTACCGTCATTGACATTTTGTATGTTTTTTAACAATTCTGTTATATTCTTTGTCATAGTTGATTTGTTCATATGTCTTCATGCCCTTTGCATACGTCATGGGCGTTGCATGGGATGACTGCTTTGTGGTAGCTGAATTGTTGGGAATCAAGACATTTGTCAACGAATTCGTAGCATATGAAAAGTTATCTGAATTAATAAAGAATCGAAGACAAAATCTATCGGGAACGAAATTATCGGTATGAAGTTTCTGCATCATTGATACTAGATTTTATGTTTGTTATTTGAAACTTTGCCTCCCTTATAACCAGTGGTGTAGTGCTATCAAATAAACAAATGGGTTCTTGTACACAATGTTCCAAAAGACAATAGCAAAAGTAGAAATTTGGCAATTTTTGGTATTGATAAGGGGGTCCCTAGCTCTACACCTTTGCTCGTGACATCAGCATCTACGCTATTTCACGTTCTGTTTCTGTAATTGGAGACCTGCAGATTATCGCTGTCTTTATTCGAAATCTCTTCTATTAGATATCAAAGCTAACACTGAAAATGTACCTTCTTCCCTGTAATCAATTTTTTTTACGAACATCGACATTGCCGAAGTTTCAAGACTATTTCCTTGTTGGTTTAGAGATATAATGTCAATCTATGATGCAAACTTCTATGATGCTATCTGAATGGGAATCCTAGAAGCTTATCAATAGAGAGTGAGCTATATCTGAAAAAGCGAATAACCAGATAACAAGGAAGGAATATCTCACACATTATTTATTTCATGTCATTAAGTCCTAAAAAACGTATTTACCGTTTGTGATATTGCTAATATATTTTTCAGTGCTAAAATTATGATTTTAATTTTTTTGCTTAAAGTTCCCACTGAAGTCCAAGGAATTTTATTGTCAAAAATATTCGATTTCGACTTTATCTTGTATTTTGATACAAGTCATTTGCTAAGCTCTTTTGCATTGATAACAATCCTGATCTCGAATTCAACTGGCAGCATCAGCCTGACAGCATTCTTTAAACGCGAATGATTTGCACAGCCTCATATGAATTTTTAAAATTTACCTCCCATGTTTTCTTTTTTTTAAAAAAAGTAAATCCTTACAGGGGGACCCCGCTGTCAAAAAGATCGTACTTACCTAGAGCTAGGCTGTCCTTGGTTATTATTTAGTGGTGCATACGGAGATTGCAGGTGAAGTGGTTCTTCATGAGGCTGTTGTCATAAAAATATAGTCAGTGATGCTTGGCAATAATGAAGTCTTGTTTAAACGTGGCTCAAAGGACAATGCATTGAAAGCTTTATCTGTTTCAATAGCTGAAAAAGTTTTTAAACACAAGGTGTTTAACTAAAAAACAGACATCGGGATATTTTCTATATCTTCATTATCTTCATCGCCGAGATTTTCTTAAGCATTTTTTGTTTTTTATATCAGTTGAATTTTTAAACTACAACCAAAGCTACTTAAATACATGCCACTGACAATAGTGAAGGACGCAAGGTTAACTAGTCTCCATTATGAGTGACATTTACAATTTTCAATAATATCTAAATATGAACACCAAAAAGGGAGAGAAGTAAAAGTAACTTAATCAGGAAAAGTAAGGCACCTCGAAAAGTAGAAAAATTTTCACACATATTTTTTAACATAATTTACATCTTTTAGAGGTAGATCAAGAAAAGAAAAAAAAATAAGAAAAGGATTTGCTGCTGTTTTTTTTTTAATTAAAAGAATCTCTTAATGTTTTTGATGAATTGAAGTGTGGCCTCCATAAGAAGTCTATTGGCAAGCACATTTAATTCGGAGCTTCCATAAAGTATTACTTCACAAATTTCCGCTGCGGAGAGGTTTGAAATTTTTGAGTCCAGGGATTTCAGAAAGCCGACCAAAGAGCTCGTTCCGCATTGCTTGGAACAAATGGCAGTGCAGGAAAAAGTACTTAAGCATTTGAACTAAAATAAAAGAATTAATGTCTCTCTGGTACTCGAGCTTTGGGTTGGGTATTGCTGTTATTGATCCATTTTGCTTCTCTTTTGTCAATCTCCGTTTCTGTTTCACAGCTACGTTCAGAAATCATAGCCACTTATGCGCTGTGTGGTTTTGCAAATATTGGCTCGATTGGCGTGCAGATTGGGGGACTCAGTGCTCTCGCTCCACAACGAAGATCTGATCTGGCAAGTGTAGCGGTTCGTGCCATGATCGCAGGAACCATAGCCTGCTTCATGACAGCATGCATTGCAGGTATTTTCTTTAGTGTTTTCTTCGTGTTTAAGTAGATCAACATTTAAGTCACGGATCATTCTCATTCCATGAAACGATGGCTGTTTCATTTGCTACTCTACAAAATTCAAAAATTCTAACATTATGTTTTTATGACGTCACTCTTTAGAAGTCTATAAGGAGGAACAACGCAAAATGAAATTGAGCATTGTAGGCCGAGACGAAATATTTGTCAACTCTACTTTATCTTCAAATTTTGGTTTTTCAAATTAGATTTTGTCAGTGCCGTCGGAACGAAATTCTTATTGGGGGGGCTGCCCATTGTATTGCTCCCCATTTAGTACACTTCTATCAAGAAATTACATTAGAGCTTAACAATTGGGAGGGGGGGCTACAGCCTCCCAGCTCTCCCACTTCCGACGGCCCTGCTGTTTATGCTGGATTGGTGTCCATCATTTTGCCTTTTTACCCCTTTTCTTCTTTCCCATTAATAGATAAAAGCATTATAATCTAAACCGTTTAAAATGAATTTTAGGTATTTTGTATCAAGATGGGTACGATGACAGTACCATCCCGGTTCTAACGACGATTCTCACGCCAAGAAATTTCACAAACTTCACCACTGCCAGGCCGTGAATCATTTCCATTCAATGAGAAATTTTTAAAGAGAGTGCCAACAATGAATTTATTGGTTCGTATATTGCCGCATTTATGCCAATTTTTTTTATTGATACCGTCATTGTGCTGTGCCGAAGGCTTATAAGTAATAGCATTTCTGCAGTCACATTTTTGATGATCGTATTACGTATTACGATAGTGTTGATATTTTGATATGATTTTATTGATCTTACATTTCTGTATATGATGCATCTATGATTAATTGTTCTCAATATGGTTAAGTATCGAATTTTATCGGGAAGTAAGTTTCAGCTTGCTATACTCTATACTGCAGTTAAGCCTTGTTTTATATTACATGTAAATATAGCATTTCGTTTTTAGATTCTATGTATAGTAGTTATAATGCAAGTGAACAGTTTTTGTAATTATGTGGCAGGTCCCTCTTTCTTGCTGTTTAGGAAACTCTTTATCTGAAACTCAGTACTTGTGCTGCTGAGCAGGCAATAAAGGCCCCGTCTACACGACTACGTTTTCAAAAAATTGCATTTTCACTTTGATGAAGACGGATAAAAGGATTTCCGTCTACACGCACGTTTTCACATTGTCCATGCCGTCTACATGAAAACGCAAGAATCTGCGCAGGCGCATGTTTTTGCTGAGTTTTTGTTGAATCGTTTGGAAACGATGCGTTTTGAAAAAGTTGCGTTTTCAAACAATTCCACTCTGGAAAGCGTTTTCAAAAATTTGCGTTCACATTCACAGATTTTTCGTTTTCATGTAGACAGTAAGCTAAAACGCAAAAATAAAGTTGCGTTTTCATTTTAAAACGTGCTCGTGTAGACGGGGCCTAAGCATTGCCGAATCGGCAGTCCGGGAGGGGGTACTTCCTTTATGGCCTAACAGGGGGTCCAGTCAGGATCCAAGAGGACCAAAGCTAAAATGCTAAAAATTACCCTCAAATGATAGCATAAGGGTGAAAATTATGTCCTTGGTAGCATCCATTTCTTTGTACGCGCCTGGACCTTCTTTGAAAAACTTTCTTCGTCATTGACTGTTGTTAATTCGGGAAAGATAAAAACTTGTTCATTGTCTATAATAAATCGCAAGCTAAACTAAGCCGTTAAGTTATTATCGAAACTGGGCCATTTGGTAGCCATTTGGTATAACACTCAAATCGACTGGACCACCCTGCCAGGCCTTCACGGGAGTACCCCCCTTGGATCGGCAGTGGATCGAATTCTGGTGCTCCATTGTTTTTACCAAGCGCCCCAAGGTCTTGACAGCTAGTTAAATTTGATTCTCTACTACTGATTTGACGAACAACATCAAAACTTAAAATTGGCTTTAAATAACTGCAAATTTCAGAAATCATGTGTAATGAGACTTGGATGGTTTTTGGTGGAAATAAAATATCTCTTAAATGTTGGATTGTATATGCATAGTTTTTTTGCGATGAAGCTGTGAATTGAAGCCTAATTTCTGTCGAGATGACTGGCCTGGGCACTCATTAAAATAGTTTCTGAATGTTTGTCTTAGGTCCCAGGCAAGAACTTTATTTCCATAAGAAAGCAGATCAAAATGTTTCATTTTTAGGCCTCGCGTTAACCTTGCTTGTCAATGAAAACGGATGATTTTGAAAATGCACTTTGAAAATTTTAGCAAAATAAAAACGGAGCAAAACGAATACGAATTTATGTGAACGTATTTTTAGAGGAGAGGAAAAAAGCACCCACTGTCGTTTAAATTGTCCCTGTCTCCTTCTTTGGCCTGCGCCATGTGTCCAGGCCATGTTCGCCGTGTCCCGTTTAGGTATAAATGACGAAGTCGTTTAGCGGCTCTATATATTTTGATGATTAAAATTGCTTACATTCTCAATTATTCAATTGCTTCGTTATTACTATGATTCACCAGGTTAGCCAATATTTATGATCTATTTAATTGATAGCTATTGTATTTTAATGATTAGATTTTCGTAAACATTGACTTTTATTCTTTTACGAAAGAAAATTTCTAGTTACGCATGTTTCTTTTTATTCCATCTCATCCCAGCCTGTGATATCAGTTTTTCTGTTGTGTGAGATCATTTTTGGTGTGATTTGTTGGCCTGCTCAAAGGCATTTGAGCTTTGAGTGTGAACTCCGATACACTTTTTGGTGATCCTAGGCAATTTATTTCCCGGAACCTCTCATAGTGTTCATTAAAGTTTTTGCATAATTTGCTAACATTCATATAACTGATTAAACTTTTAACTGATCAAATGGTTAAATGGTTGACTGATTAACTGATATTTCTCAGAAAATGAATCTAAAAAATTGTTTCCCCACGAGGCAAGGTTTATTTCTTAAAAGATTTCCCGGAAATGTACCTGGCAGCAGGGCTCTCATTTTCATCGTGCATTTCTCAGTTTCACCCTTCGTGCAGATTCTACGGAGGAGAGGATGGAGGAGTAGGAAGAGGAAGAGAATCTAGAGGAAGAGAAAAGCACCCTTCTTTTACCTCCTTCTTCCTCACCTCCTCGTAGGTTATTAATTTAAGGCTGAAAATTCCTGAAAAGGATTTGTAACGGAGTGTCCGACTTGGCAAGAACAACACCAATAAAACCTCGTGAATTCTCCTCGGTATTCCCTTCAATTTCTCAAACTCCTTTTCTTCTACTGAACTTTACTCTGAATCACTTTTAACTATTATCCGTCACACCTTAATCTCCTTTTCCTTAACAGCCTCGTTTACAATATCAATTCACAATACAACATCTTCGCAGATTGTACATTTTGTCTCTTTTCCGGTACAAAGAGGCCAATGTCTATTGAAGATACTTATTCTAAGTCAGGTCGGATTTTTCATGAGAATAAAAGTGTTGTCCAATATGAATCAAATCACAAAATGCATATATATATTGATATTTATAGGCAAATATTTACTTGTTCTTATTCAGTGAAAAGTATCATGTTATCAGAATTTTATTTTAACACATGTTTTCATATTTTTTCCCTGCATATAGTGTTTTCTGAATTGTTTTTAAATACAGGGTCATCCCATGTACACGCAGACCCACTTCATTTTTCTCCAAGGTAGACCCCGGGCACTTATTCTAGAAGTAGAAAATGCTGATTCTGAAAATATTTGCTTCCTTTTTTGCGAGAATTTATTGTTATCACGTGATATTCAAAATACTATTCTAGGTTATTTTTAAAGACCCATTTCACACTTAGGTAAATCTTTAAATTATTACGGCAGGTTCCGAGCTAAATGTTCGGCAAAACTTCAGAATGACACCAAGAATGAACACAGATATAACTTTTCTCAAACGCATATCATTAAAGGACTTGTACCACTAAGCCTTTCACAAGAACGAAGTGTACGTGCTCACAATACTAACTCTAACTCTAACTAACTCCAAAAGTTTAAGGCGATATAAATATATTTTGATAGCTCCTTGTACGAATAAAATATAGGTCTAATTATAATGTTTAATGTCTACTACGGCAGAAAACATGTTAAGATATCAATAGAGAGAGACGTGGGGTGTATTTAAGTTAAATTGAGTCACATAAGGTGCGGCATTTTAAAATAATACCAGAATAGAAGATGTGGGGTGCTTACGCGAGTGTTTCCTGCAAGCGCAATGTTGCCTAGTAATGAATGCGCAAGTGGGGTTACTTGGCGAAAAATAGTTCACAAACAAGTATAAATGAATAAGGAAATGAGTGGCGCAGAAGGAAATATGGAAATGAGGCACATGAAAATGAAGCAACGCGATTAGCAGTATTACACTTAAATCGAGTTGATAGACCAATGTTTAATTGTTTCTGGTCACCTTAAATTAGCACTTAAAATGTAGAAAAAGCACCAAAAGTTAAAGAAAATTTATTACTGTTAACGATAGAAAGCCAAAGGGGGAATAGGGGGAGCAGTGGCGTACCCCAAGGGGGGAATAGGGTGCTCGGACCCCCACTTTTCTAAAATATGATCCTCGAGATTTGTCCAAAACGATGCAAAACTCATTGGGGGAGGGGGGGTTGGTGTAGTATACTGTATGCTTGCGTCAATAACAATTTTAAAATACTTTGCTATTTACCGTAGCTAACATGAATCAAATAATGGGGGAGCATTTTGCAAAAAGGGCGTTTCCCCGCATTTGCGAGTGTTTGAAGGGCGTTGTTCAAAAAAATTTCTGCAGCAGCTCTGGGTACGCCACTGTTGGGGAGGGGAAAAGGATAGGATAAAAGGAACTGCGGAAGAAAATAATATTGTCCGTAGCTTCACCATTTCTCGATCCCTTTCTCCCTCCCTGCCTCTGTGGAGAAAAGTATATTTGATCGACTGTGGAGGAGTTCTTTGGCTTTGACCGTGAAACTGCGAAGGAGTTATCTCTATAAACAAGGGCCTAACTGTGAGTCAATTATTGTCCGGATTTTATATATATATCAGCTGACGTAGCTTGGTTTTTAGTAAGCAAAAGGAAAGACAACAGATTTGATTATTTCATGAATGAGGTTTGTTTCCTTTTTCCTGCTTCTTCCCTTCAATTTTTTGAGTAAACCCTATATTGTATCGAATCGAGGCCGTGTCCGCCATATTTATGTATGACAGAACTGGTCCTTGAGTTTGTATGTACCCTGGCGTAGGCAAAGCCTGAAATCTTCCATATTGCTTCGTGCTTCTATACGCGGTTTTGTCAGCGTAAGGAAAACCCGAAAACTCTTTGATGTTTTGCTGGAATTAATCAAAATTATTGTGATTGCTTAAGCTAAATAGTCTTCCCCCTCCCCCTCCCCCTCCCCCTCGAAAAAACTCTCGGAAAAATATAGTCTTGTATGACTTTGAGGAATCTGAAGACTGACCCCTATGACAAACTCTAGTGTCTTTGATAGAAGGGGGATGCTAATGGAAGGGGGGTGTTCATGTCGACCAGTTTTCAATAGAATGGGATGCTAATAGAAGGGGGTGTTCATGTTGGCAATCCTTCTTTGAAATGGAAGTACTTTTTAGAATATACTGTTAAAATTTGGTTTCAGTTTTTTGCATAGTTTTAGAGAAAATTGCAATCTTAGCAAAAATGGCAAAAATGGGTGAGTTTTGTGAATGGGTGTGTTTGGGCAGTCATGGGATCTTAAAGTCAGGGATAGATCCAAAATGAATCGAGACTGCCACATAGGGCAAAAGCAGGGTTCACAGAGCATAGCCCAATAAACTTTTCCTTTTCCACGTACTGTGCTTCTTCAAAAACCTTTTTTTCTAGTTGATTCCTGTTACTGAGACTCTTTTTGAAGGATGCCACAGGCCTGGCCGTTTGAGGCGAGCGATAGCTCGCGCTCGCCTCCACGCTCCCCTCGCAACCTGAGGCGAGCTATGAATTGCTCTCCTAAACAGAACATGAAGGGAGAATCGCTCCCCTAAAATTTCCATTCATTTGCCCTTTTCCTATTCAGAGAACCCGGAAAACGGGTTAATTGGCTTATTTTTGTAACAGCGATTTCTCCCGTCATTGCATTTTTTGCAATTAACTTTTTGCTTGTTGAGCGGTTTTTGTTATGATAGGCATAAACTTCGATCTATTTGGAAAAGGATAGTAAACCGAAAGGTACGTTTGTAGCGATTAGAACCTTTCAATCTTAAGAAAACAGGAATATTTTCGGAAGGAAAGTCGAAGAAATGGGTAGGAATTGTAGATTTGGGATATAATAAGACAGCAGGTCCCTTCCAGCAATAGAAACAAAACTATCCCTCAAAGAGAACAGGGTACTCTGTCTTGCAGATCAAAAACGACAACCAAAACATGGAATTCCACTATCCAGCAGCATTTACTGAAAAACCCAGATTGGGTGAAAAACTATAATGGCGACATGTTTCGCATTATTGGCAAAGCCTGATCATCGTTCCATCTATGTAGCAGTTTGTGAATCTATCTACTATATAAACATGGCCGACTGCTTTTGTGTAGACATAAGTGAGTTCGTTTTCACCTTAGGATTCCGTTGGTAACATTTTCAATAGGAAAGGGGCACTTATTGGAAAACCTCAACAGTCATGTCCTCGCGTTTTCTGATGCCTATTTCGATCCAAAACTGGGTATCTTAGCGTAGAGTTTTCCATCTATGTTCTGACCTTTTATTCTCTGAAGAGTGCTAGACGTATAATTAAGTTTGTTTCAAAATTTGTTTTTTAAAGCCATTTTCAAATTCTGTGCAACAAAGAGATTGTTTTGCAAGAGAATTGTTGTTTTTGTGTTGTGCCAGCTTTACATAAAACGGAGAAAGGTTCTTTCAAATACTTCAAGTAAAGGGGGGGCCTAAGTCACGGTTAAAGCAAATGCAAATTGAAAGAAGTAAAACAGCACACTCCTGACTGAGGCTATTATATTAAGGCAACCAACAGATACTAAAGGGGCTTATTAAGTCATCTGTCGATTGTCTTTAAAGTAAATTCTATGTGTTACTGATTTAGCTCGCCTCAGCAAATGAGGGGAGCGATTCACAGCTCACCTATAAAAATACAAACGGCCAGGCCTGATGCCATCATCATCAGTCAAATTCATACATGAAAATCATTGCTCTCTGGAAGTGATATGAAAATAATCACATTTTAGGCTTTGGTGAGAAAAATAGAGCAGGCGTGCTCAGCATCGCACACCTGAAAAATTCCAGGCGTGCGATAAGTGTGTGACATTATTTTGCAAAAATTTATTGTTATCATAATATGTCTACACACAAATTACCAAGACAATAATGATTACAGCAATAAATTTGCTGAAAAATTTTGAACAAAAAAATTTTATGAAAAAACTTGATTTTTTACAAAAACATGTTTTTTGTGAAGACTTGAGCAAGTTTCTATAGATGAATAAACTGGATACATATGTTTCATTATGTTTTTGGACCCTCATTCTAACATTGTACGATCTGAGGAGTGAAGATTTTAGCCAATATGTTATAAAATGTTTGCTTTTGTCAAAGCCATTTTCATGAACTTATTTAATACATCAGCAAAAAACAGCACTTACGAGTTCAGAAAAATGTTTGCAATGTATTAAGAAATTTTCATCAGCTTCAATAATAAATCCTTAGTAGAATCATTGAGGTCTTAGTGCACATCTGGTTGTAATGACCGTTTTTGCGAGTAAATCAAGCATGACAGCTATTTTATGTACCTCACTGGTGGGCCATTTTTCATTAAATTAAATGTCTCCAAAAGCTAGATTAAAAGCATAGTGAAGTCTAAAAAAGGGGCTGTAGGGGGATAGTGAAATCTGAAAATTTGCTACTTTTATCGAACAATTGGCAAATCCGTTACTTTCACTAAATCAGCGAGCTAAATTTGCAACACTTGATGTTCCTCTTAAAATACAAAAGCAAAAATGTATGTTAAAGTCTTCTGTGTTTGGGTTTGTTCACTGGAATAGCCTTGAAAAGGTGTAAACTTTTGCACAAATCTCTTCTCCATTTTTGCATCATGAAAATTTCATATTTGCCATTGTTTGTTTTACTGATGAAGGTACTGATTCCCTTGAGAAATAGTTATACACCAGGAATAAGTAGACCAGAATAACAGTGAAAATTCATAGAAAAGTTTGTCATATCGAGGAAAATTATGATGAAGGGACCTACAATTTAGTTCGTAATAACGATAGTTCATTATATACGGGATTCGTTATACCAAGGGAATTTGTATAGGGTTCAATTGTAGACATTTTTTGTTATACAGGAAAATTAGTTATAACCAGGTTTCATAATATTGGGGTTCAATTGTAGGTTAGTCCTATGATTATGTCAAAATTTTATTTAATCCGCAATCCCGACAAGGTTTTAAGCCTTTTTGAAGTGGCATGTAGTAATAGTACCAAGGAAGGATAAACAATTAAACTCGTCTTATAAACCAGCAAATCCAATCATTAAGAATTTTGCTCTCAAAATAAAAGAAGGCGTGTAATGTTTTGCACTCTTTGAAAGGGGATGGCGTGTGCCAGGGCATGCGTGTGTGAAAGCCTGATCTGGTGCACTTTCAGAAATTCAGAGGAGTGCATCTGTATGAGCAAGCAGATCCTTTTGGTGTAATTGCATCCCAATTAATCACTTCTGAGAAAAGCTACATTCGCTCTGCTCTGCTCGGATAACAATCTGGTATAGTGTAACTGTAATTCTAGGAAAATCATGCTCCTCTGGTACATTTCCAAACAATTCAATGTGTGCTTAAGTTGCAACAGAGCAATAGAGCAGGCAAGAAAAGTAGCAATTATATTTAGTTAGCTCTCCAAAAAAACACATCACTTAAACTATGCAGATTTGCTGTTATTTAGTCATTTGATATGCCTTGTTAGGAAAGAAGGGCTTTTGCTAGGATTTGGAATGACATAGGAGGGGCGAGAAATTTAAATTTTATAAGGGCTTTTATTTTTTCAAACATCATATGGGTTATGCGTCATAAATCATGCGATATTTCTTGTCTTTTTCTCAAAAAAGGCATTTTTAAGTTCTATACCTTGTTGAAAGAGATTGTCATTCCGATTTAGAACAACAGAAGAAATCACCATACTCAGCTTTAAAATCGTTTCTCTCAAAATGTAACACTTGGATTAAAATAGATAACCATGTAAAATTTCCAACAAGATGCGAAGTTTTCTGACAAAACAGCAGTTTAGCTTAACAGGAGGGTTTTTTACCCCCTCTGATCCCCTTTATATATGCCACTGTATCAATCCATATTTCCCTAAATATGTCCAGTAGCATCAAATGTTCTTAGAACATCCACAGCAAAAACACTCAAGCACACCAGGCTCTCTGTAAATTGAAAACTTAGCATCACAGGCTGTATCATAACTATACCGCACAACAACAAAATATTTGAATTTAGTGCCATCATGGTTCCGTTTCCTAATAGGACAGTGTAAACGGGGTATGACATAGCCAGATATCTAAATTTGAATCACACGCATGGTGTTTTCCTTATGACAAAGACTATGGCAGATGATATTTTACCACAATTTCAGCTTTTGCCACATGGCTCTTTTTTAAATGCCAACGCCATGCCAATTAACATCATTCCATGCTGAAAATCCTTGGAGATTGGCTATATGGAATACACCCTGGCATTTATTACACTTCAGATTCTAACACTTTGTGAGACCCTTCCAATTGTGGCCCTAACTAAACCCCAGACCAATCTTAAATTCCTCCCTCCCAATTCTGAGCTCAACCTCAATAGTGGTGTCCCCTATGTAATCATTGTTGTGTATTTTGATGTCATTCTTTTATCAATTCTGTTCAACTTTTCTTTCTAGGTTTGATTGTCAGGAATGACATGAGATCTCAACATATTTTAGAGAGCTTATTTTGGAGAGATGTCAGCTGACAGAAAATTTTGTGCCACCATCCACATCAAGCCAAATAACAGGCATTGTTTTGTTGAACTCTCAAACTCTATTGCAAAACAATTCACATCAACGATATCTGATCAATTGGTAATGTTGCTTTTATCTTTTTCTTGTATCTTCATTTTGTGCTTGTGTCATGATACCATGGATGTACCCAAACTCTATTACATAATAATTTGCTGCTTGGTTGCTGCTACAGGAGGGTCATAAGAGGTTTGGGGGCAATATGTCTCTGGGGCCAAAGACCTGGCGGGGCTTGTAGAGATGATATAACATAATTGGTATTTCACTGTTAGATCTCTTTACATCATATTTTATGACATCTCTCTACTTCAGCTGTGTCTACTCAGCAGGATATCCATGGTGCAAAGATTTTTAAACAGTTATTCTTAAGATGGACATTTCTGTTGTTTGCAGGTAGTCTTCTGAGCATAGACACATGTAATTGTCTTGAACATATGTTGATTTCAAGCCCCCCTAGAAACCTATTTTTTAAACAAGACCAGACCCAACTGGCTTCCAATTAATACTTTTCAGCTCCATCAGTCGTAACATTCTCCACAGTCCTTGATGGGGCATAACTTGAATTCAAGAATAAGGATTCACTTTGGGCTAAGGGCAAAATAATCTGCAGAACAAAATTGTTTGATCTTCTTACTAAGAGCATAAAATCAGGGGCATACCTGCTTATGCTCAATTCCCATCCTTCCTGCTTGAAAAGATGCTTTTGTTGGTTAGTTATATTTTCATTTGTTTCCTTAATTTTATATTAACATAGAATTAATATATATTTATGGTAACTTAATATTAATTTTTCAGCCGCCTATTGTTGGTATTGAAAGTTCTTCTGGAGCCATTGCCTTTGCATCCTGGAGACCTCATAAATCTACTCAAATTTCCCCAGACGACCAAGTGCTGTTTTTAGGAAAAGGATTTGCAGACTGTTTGTCTCTAAAGAGAGATGACTCGGTATCACAGAAGTATTATTTGTCATTTTATTGTTTGATAACATTTTTGTACAAAACTTTTTAATCCTTTGTGCTTCTGTAGTTTATTATTTCATCATTCATACCAATATTTACCATCTTAGAGTATCTTTTATAGATGGCTTTGAAAAGCAAACATTTTAGAATGAACATAAGCTTTTTGTCTGACTTTCTTCAGAGTATAAAACGTCAGAGCATAGATCAAAACACTACCATCTTAGAGTAGCTTTTATAGATGGCTTTGAAAAGCAAACATTTTAGAATGTACATAAGCTTTTTGTCTGACACTCTTCAGAGTATAAAACATCAGAACATAGATCAAAACACTACGCTAAGAAATATGTATACTCAGTTGTGGATCAAAATAGGCTAATCAGAAACACAAGCACACAACATTTGAGGTTGAATTCTATACCACGAAAATATTGTTATTTTCTTTTATATTGAAAATTGTTAACCCTGATTTCTTAAAGCAAAAGCCCTTTGTTTTCCAGGTTCTTGTTTATTTTGTCACAAATGCTGTTCCTTTGGAAAAGGTCTTCATTGCTCCAATAAAGAACCAAGAATGGGAAATACTTGTATGTTGTATTGGCATCAATATATGTTATATAGCAAATTAATCACTATTTCAGCTGATTTTTCATTCTTTGTTTTTCATAATTTACGTTAGCATCAGACAATAATTTCCTATCAAATTCTATCCACGCAATTTTCAGAATACTTTAAACATTCTAAAGTCAAAAGAATTTAGAAATGTTTTCAATTGACCAAATTTACACAAATTTTTTGGGAAATATAATTGTATAAACATACTCTGGACAGGATCATCCTAGTAATTTTTTTAATCAAGCACAATTTTATAATATTCAGTCATAATTGGTGACAGCGGTTATCATTAGCAGCCAAAAGGTTTGCATACTTTTGTAAATCCTTCTCATATCTTTATGTTGAAGTCTCTTTAAAAATTAATTTACATCAATAGCTTCTTTAAGGTACCAGACTTGTTTAATTTCTTAACTGCCTTGCTTATATTTTCCAAAGTAACTGCATGTTTTGAGAAAGTTTTTGATTGAAAATTTAGCTAAGAAATTCTTAACTTTGGTTATCAAGATACAAAATACAGAAGTATTTTTTTTCATACAGGAGCTGAATACCCAACTGATAGAGGCAACTCTTCTGGACCAAATAAGAGTTGCCTATTCTGCACTAGAATTTCCTATATTTCTTAAAGGATCAGCTATTGTGAATGCCAAAGTTGGTAAGGCTCTTTATTACAATTCAGTTGTTTCATTCGGGCAAAAGTTTGATCAAGAAGAGGAGTAATGGCTAGAATACATTTAATCTTTAGAAACTGCTTGTCAATAATTTCAGTCATGCTTTTTTTGACAAGAGTTGTTAATCTGTTTGTAGTTTTTGCACGTTCTGATTATTTTACATAATTTTTGTCTATTGGTTTTTAAACAGTGTTCAATATCATGTCTCTCGAAACGACTTGCGAGAAGTAGTTATTCAAACGTAACTAAGATTAGGTGAAAACTGTTAACATAGAAGAAGATAGAGCTATTTGTTAAGATTTCCCCTTTCATTTTGTTTCAGATATGTAGTCCTACACTTTAAATTTTTCATTTAATATCATGCTTCAAGAACATTATTGTTATGTTGTAAGTAGGAAACAGGCGACCTTAGATTCGATACCATTTAAAGTCATGGTCTTTCTTTTTAAAATGCAAGTTCCTACTAGTGATTTAGAATCCATTTTAAAGGGCTCTTTTAGAGAAAGTTTTACCTAAATTGTCTGTACAAGTGATTCTTAATGTTGGAAAGTGCTATGTTTTATTCATTGTGCACTTCGCGATGTCATTTCTTTTTTCACAGAATCTGTATATCCTAATGTAAAAGTTGGATATCTAGAAGAATTCACAGAGCTCCATATTGCTCCGGAGCTTACAAAGAAATCTGTTATTTCCAGAGACGAGAGAAAGATATCTAGAAAATTTGATGGTCTATTTAAGAAAAATCTCCAAACAAAGACCACTACCATGTGCGAGAAATCAGATAGTACTCTCTCATCGTTATGGAACTTCATAGTGAAACAAGGTCCAGAAGAGATAAAAGAATTTAATGAAAACACTATTCATGCAAATACACATTCAAGACCCACAGCTTCCTTTTGCACTGGGCAGGAAATAATTAACGAAACAAAGCACATTAGCGAAGTTTTAAGAATTCATCCTGTTGTTCCTAGGAAAAACGACACGCAAAGTAGAAGTTTATTTACCCTCAACTACCATCCTTTTCGTTGTTTTGTAAGTTTGAGCACCTTCAAGTCAATCAAACGTCAGTGCACCTGTGTATTTAGACAGAAGACTGACAAACTGATAATGAAAATA